AATATAGAAATATACATTAAGGTAACTAGAAGTTCGTAGCCTTTTAGAAAAAGGTAGAAGCTTTCTATTCCTATTCTATAATTTACGCTAGTTAGCCCTATTCTTAGAACTAGTATTTATATAGAAGTAATACCTCTTATACTAACTAGGGTTTAGAGATACTATATATAGACTAGAGTTAGTAATCTATAAACTCTATTCTATTTAACTACTAGAGAGACTATAGGGATTAGTATAACTTCTTTATAAACTATAAATAACTATTTGATATAGTTAAGAGAGGACTCTACTATATAAAAAGAAACTAAATTATTAAAGGCACTTATAAGAATTCTAGATAGATAATTAGACTACTAAAAGATAATAAACTAGAAGCGCTAGAGCGTTACTTTATATAAAAGAGTATAAAGATCTCTACTTCTTTAATTACTCTATTAACACCTAGTAAGGGTAATTTAGAGAGCGAAAAAGAAGAGATTAGTCTAGAGTTACTAGAGTATAAAGAGGAAGACCTTATTGATAGAGAGTATATAGTCTATTCTATAGATTCTAGATAGGTTTTAATATAGCTACTTAGGAAAACATTAAATATAGTTAAGAAGGTTACTAGAAAGATATATAAAGAGCTTCTAGTTAAGGATTTAGTAATAAGCTTACTATTATTAATAATCGCGTAAGGGTTACGAAACTAGGGCTAAAGCTAGTAGTTATAAAGAGTTACGCGATAGAGAGTATTTTCCCTATAATAGGACTACTATCTTACTATTATAGTAACTACTAGACTAATAGACTTTGCAAATAGTTAAGCTAGAACTATAAGTATATAAACTAGAGTTAACTAATAACGCAACTATAACTAAGGTACCTATAGCTAAGACTATAATAAAGTAGAAGAATATCAAAATAGAGTAAGTAAAAGCTATTAAGATTTAGAGTCTATTAACTAACAACTAGCTTCTAGAGGAAATAGTAAGGTTAGTTATAGAATAGAAGATTACGTTTTCTTTTAGGTAGCTAATTATAGAAATACCTAAGATCTAGAAACTTCTAATAGAAGTTATTTCTAAGACTAACGTTAAGGACTTTAAAGGGAAACTTATAAGATCTACTAATAAGCTAGAAGCTTTAAAGAAAGTATTCTATATTAGTTATATCTAATCCTCTACTATAAAGAAGCTTATAGAGTAAGAGATTTACACTAGTTAATAAAACTACTACTATAAGTATTCTTTTATTTCTATCTTTATAGGAGATTACTGAAGTATAGTATCTACAATAGCTCTTCTAGATACTAGAGCTAAAATTAATCTAATAAAAAAAGATTACACTAAGAAGGTCAGCTTTATTATTAATAATCTTTCTAAGTATATACTTAGTTATTAGTTAGTTATAGCGGATAATAAGAAGATAGAGTTTCTTAGAATTATTACTAATACATCTATTTAAGTAGATAGAGTTACTATTAACGCTCTATTTCTAGTAGTAAAAAATATATCTTAGGATATTATCTAAGGAGAATTATTCTATTACTATAAGTTAGTACTAATCTAGTACTTTCTAAGTAGAGAAATATAGTACTAGATTACCTCTATTAATAGATTATATAAAGCGCAATCTATTATAAGTTATATAGAAGAGATCCTAGATTAGAGAATCTATCTTATGAAGATAGTATCTTTAATAGAGTAAGCGATATAGTAGCTAGCTATATCTTTATATTTAATTTTACACTAGTACACGACACTCTAGTAAGAGAGTAGTCTTTTTATATTTATAATAATTTTTAGAGTTTAGAGTTTAAGGTTTTAGGTAGATATTTTAAGAAAAGCTAAAGTATTACTAGCTATACTAACTACTTTAGAGTTATTCTAAATTAAGGGAGTAATCTCTAGCTTTAAAGATTCTAAGCGTTCTAACCTCTAGTTTAGAACTATCTATACTAAACTTTATTATTTACTATAGAAAGTATTAAATTCGCTCTAATAATATAATTCTTAAGAAGGTTTAATAATTTAAGTATTAAGTAAGAGTTAAACTAGTAAAGAATAGGAGTAAACTAAACCTACTTATATATTTTAATACTTTATAAGTAAAAAGTAGATAAGATTTATTCTGCAGACTTCTCTAAATCTAATAAATCTAAATCTAGAGGCTTTCTTAATTAGAAATAGAAAGCTATTAAAAGGGTAAGTATCTATAGTTACCTCTAACTAAAGAGGCTATATAATTATTAGACTAAGCCTTATTTTATAGATCTACTAGTTAGGTGTAGAGTAACTTCTAAGTACTTAAAGATAATAGTAATTAGGAAAGGATTATAGTTAAAAGAGTATAAGGTTTTTAAAGTAATAATTCTAAACTAGAAGGTAGCTTTTACTTAGATTTTTTCCAAGATTAGCTAATTAAATCTAGATATTACTTCTCTATAGCTAATATATACTATTATATATAATATCTAGTAAGTAAAAAGTTTTCTAAGACTAAAAGTATTAAATAAGAAAGTAATAATAATATTAAAGAAGTAACTAGAAAATAGACTACTTAAGTCTAGCTATAGCCTATACTATAATCTATAGTTTTTAGTTAAGAAAAAGAATAGAAAGTATTAGCTAGTTAGCACTATATAAAATATTAATATAGTTATAATTTAAAATATAAATATACCTCTAAATCTAGATAAGTTCTTAAAATAGTTTATAGACTATATAATTATAAGCGTTATTAACTTTTTCTCTAGATATAACTAGAATCCTTTAGATAAGGTGTGTTATAACCTTACTATCTTTATAACTTCTCTTAGATTACTTTAATAAATGACTCTTACTTAGGGAGCTATATATTTAGTCACTTAGTTTATACGAATATTATTAAAGATTCTCTAAGATTATCTTCTAAAGAAAAGTCTCTCTTTTCTTAATAATATTACAGTTAAAGGAGTAATAACTATATATAATAATAAAGAAGTTATTGTAGGGATTTAATAGTATATTCTTAAATATATAATAGCTTAATAGTATTCTTATTAACCTTAAGCGTGCTAGCTATACTATTTCTTTTAAAAATTATAGTTCTATATAGTAATAATTAAGATTATTAGCTATCTTTATAATAATATAGGAAGATATTCGCTTAATAAGAAGATTAAAAAGATTATTACATAGCTATTATATAAGAATCTCTATTTAACTAGGGCGTTTATAGGTATTTGCATCTATTATAGAGTATAGATTATTAAGTTTACTCTTATTATAGAGCCGATCTTTCGCTTATTCCGCTCTAACTAAGAGTTTAAGTAAAGAAAAGAGTAGAAAGAAGCGATAAAGCTACTAAAGAATACTATAATAATAGCATCTATACTAGTTAAACTAGATTATTTAGTAAAAGTAGGAGAAATTAGTCTTACTATAAATATAAGTAGAAAAGATTAAGAGACTAACTTTATATAGCTTAGCGAGAAATATAGAAGGTATCTATACTAGTATAAAAGCGGTCTTTAGTCTAAGTAAGAATAAAAATATGATACTAGTAATATTAGGAAAAAAATTTAGCTGCTTAGAGCAACTTAGAGCGCTTAAAGCCCGCTCTAAGTGCTTAGAGCCTTTAAGCGACTTTACCTACTTATAAGTGACTCGCGAGTAGCTCTAAGTGTTTAAAATAAGTCTTAGAACTAAGCCTACTTAGTTATTACTAAAATTTTTTTAGAAAAAGCTCTAAGTCTAATTTAACTAGTAGAATAGAGAGGGTATATAATAGAGCTAGCTTAGGGGGTAAACTTTTTAAAAAAATATTTATTATCTACTTAACTTTTAAAAACGTGGATATATTATCTATTTTTATAGGGGGGAGAAAGTTAAGTAAGAAAAGGAACTCTAAGATTTTTTATATAATTTATATTTTTTATACTTACTAAGTAATTTATACCCACTCTAATTACTTAGAGCGCTTAGAGCGCTTAGAGTATCTCTATAAGCTCTTTAAGTGCTTGGAGCGCGCTCTAAGCACCTTAGATATCTTAGACCGATACTAATTTCATAAGCGCCTAAATTTTTCCTAATAATTCTTATAAGTTGCTTATAAGCTGCTTATAAAACAGATATAGATTTAGTATATCTAAGATCTTAGAGCTATCTCTAAGATCTTAGAGGTAATAAAAACTTTTGCTAATATAGGCTATCTAGTAACTTCTTTAGTAAAGCTAGTAGAGATATATATAATTATAGATTATAAAAGATTAGAATTACTATCTATAGGTATAGATATATTAGTAGAAGTAGAAAGTACTATAGTAGACTATAATAGAGGTATAATAAAAGATAATTAGTTAGTATAATATAATATTAGAATATAAGAATACTTAATACTAAAGCTTAATTAATTGAATAGCATATAAGATATTATTTAAGGCTTAGAATATTCAGTAAGCTTAATAAGAAGTAAATTCTTTATATAAAGTATATAACCTTAGAGTAATAGAAGATCCAAATACTAAGAAATAATAGATTTAAACTACTTAAGTAACGGTTTTGTGAAATAGTTAGCCTAAGCAAGACTTTAATACATCAAGCCGCTGGCGTAATGGCAGTGCATTTTAGTGTGCCCGCAGCTCAGCCGGCGGATTTACAAGAAGCATACACGCAGAGTACAAATAGCTAGGGTTTACTACATAGCTTAAGCCCGTCTCAATGGTGCCACATGCCCCCATCGGCATAATACCGCACCCACTCCTCCCCCAGTCCCATCTCAATCTCCCAGTCCGACCACTCTCGTTTCCCTCTCGACAGAATGAACCACAGCACGTCAGGCAAACTCGGTCTTCGCATTTGGCTATTCCTAAATACACGCCAAGAATCAGCCCTTGGTCCCAAAAGGCCGCCGACCTTCGCTATGCGCTAGACAAGATGGATGATACAACAATCATGCAGCAAAAAGGGGCATCGCACAACAGTACTACAGGTGAAGATGAGTGGGATATGGGGAGCCGAGCAGGAAGAATGGGATAGCTAGAAACTACCCATGTCCAGCCAGCTTTCCACGAACCCTAGACGGCCATCCGCGGCCTCGACAGCGTGCCCAAATTCTTCGAAGTTCAGCCTCCCGCCTCTGCCGCCCCGTTTCTTGATTTCCTCCTCCGCCTTGTCAAGAAAGGCAAGTCGCTTTAGTCGCGCCTCGGTCGGTGGCGTATCGAGGACGTTCCGGCGGCGAAATGCCGCGATCTCAAGGTCCAGCGACTGGGCATAGCCGCCTTCGACTCCACGGCGGAGCGCCTGAACGGCCGGGCCGGGGAAATCCAGTGTTTCAAAGACGAAGCGGAGCTGCTCGGCACTTATGGGGTAGAAGTAGGGCATCAAGTCCTGCGGGCGCGAAACATCCTGCTCACTGAGCTTAGTTGGCCATATCTCACGGTCTCTGCTCGTCAGAGGCGAGGACGTGATCGCGTCCACGTTAGCAAGAACTGCAAGGGCCCGGATACGATTCATGAGGCTCCGTTGGTAGCTGCGGTTCTGGATCGCCATAGGGGCGTGTCTGGCTGTGGTGGGGAATTCGAGTATGCGGATGGGTAGCTCTGGAGTGTTGAAATCCCACGGCTTACAGTGGTTGGCGCTGAGGTCGCCGTGCGGTTTGAAGGGGAGGCCGCTGGGCATGTTTTGAGGTAAAGTCGGGTCACGGTCCAGTGTAGACGGCCAAAAACCCTGTGGAGGTGGAGGTGGGCCCCATGTAGGGTCTTCTAAGACGAACGAAGGCACCAAAGTAGTTTCGTCCAGCCGTGGTGAAGCAGAGCGGTCGTCAGCCACAGTGCAGCCGAACTCGTCCAAGAGCTGCCCAAGTGGCTTCTCCAGTATCTCGGGACCGAGAAATGAGGAGTCCTCGTTCGTCTGGTCTTCGGCGTCCGCCACGCCTTGAGCAGCCAGAGCGTGGGCGGATTGCATCAAACCTGTCATCGTGGTCCTCCCATTAAGGTACCGGTCGACCGATAGCTGTGACTCGGATGACTGTTGAGCAGAGACGTTCCCATTGAGAGCTGGAGGGGCTGGGCCAGCTGTGCCAAGTGGTGCATCGGATAAATCCTTCTCAGCAGCTGCTGCCATGGCAAGAAGCGGATCTTTGACCGCCGCCTCCGAGTGCCGTTGCGCGACCTGTTGCTTCCTGGCAATTTCAGCGATGCGCTCTGCCCATCGCTTACGTTCCTGCTTAGTGGACTCGATTTCGATCGCAAGGTCTTCCGCCGCCTTGAAAATCGGATCTAGCATCTCGTTGAAAGCCTCCTGAGTGACTTGATACAAAACCTCGCGACCGAGGTCCTTTTCTGGTTGGGGGATTTCATAACCACCCCACCGCTCTCCGACAGGGCGCGAAGATGTCGAAACAGTGGAGTTGTTGTCAAACTCTAGGTGATCTTGGAAGCGGACGCGCGAGGATGATCTTGAAAGCGCAGTTTGGGAGCCACTAGATTGCCGCCGAGTAAGAGCGCTGCGCAGATCAGAGCTAGCCGGCTCTGCTACGCCGGAGTCCCGGTCAACGTCTTCATTGTCAGCCAATGGCTCCAACTCGTCAGAGCGGTCGAGATTTCCCGCCTCGTCCAGGTAGAAATCACGTCTGCGCCATCGCTCTCTTACTACGTCGCGGCGGAGCTCCGGCGCCCATCCAACCGGGTTACCGTCGTCCCCAATGGAGTGATCCTCATGATATTGCTTAGCGTTCGCGATGATCGTTCCGCGATCGCCCTCGTCTTTTCCGTCAGAGCGAACAACGGTGTCCGATGCATCTGTAGGTCGCAGGTCACCAAATGCGTCTGGCCTCTTGCTCCAAGTACTGTCATGCTGGCTTGGAATGATAGGGTGGTCCGTAAATGCTGAGCTGAGCGGTTGAGCCGACATAATCGTGTCGAGCGCCCCGGCAGCAGCAAGTTCCTCTTCCTGCACGGCAATAAAGTCTCGCGTGATGTCTTTCGTGATTGCGTAATAAGCTCTGAACATTCGCAGAAAGTCCTTTCTGGAGACGAAACCGTCGGCATCAATGTCATAGCCATTAAACACCTCTTTCAAGCGGGACTCCGACGTCTTGCTGTGCACGCACGCCAAGCCCCTCATAAACTCTTCGAACCCTATGAGACCGTTTCCATCGGAATCGTAGAACGCAAAGAGACGGTCGTAAATCAGGTTGGGCGGAGGAGCATGCGTTGAGTAATGCGGCACGAACGTTTTGTCGAATGCTCTCCGATCTATGGCCCATCCGATGTGGTTTGGATCGTGCTCGAACTTAGCGTTGGCGAGGCAAGTAAATTGATCCCACAAGGCGTCAAACTCAGAAAGGTCGTAGTTGAGTCCTTTTGAAAGAGCGGACTTGAGATTCCACGGAGCTTGATGAGGCATCTTTTCCGGTTTGCCAGGATATAGCACCTCTTGACCTTGCCTTGGACTTCCAAGATATGGAGCCGGGATCTTGACTTTGTAGAAGATGTGAGTCTTTGGGTGCAAGCGATCGGTGGCTTCGCAATCTGTGCACAGGTCGAAGTCGAGGCAATTTGCGCACCTCCAGCGTACTCCACGGATCGGCTTCGTGTGACAGCTGTTGCAGGTGACACCGCGATGGATGTAGCCATCTCTTCTCGCCTGGTCTTCGGCAATGTGGAATAGTAGGCTGCGAAGATTCAGAGCTTCGCTCTCTGCGCCGGCAACGCCCGTTGACTCACTAGGCGACCAAGAAGCTTCGGTCTCTGCCTCTGCTGCTGCTGCCCTAGCGGCCCTGTCATGGTGGCCGTCCGCTTGCTGAACCTAGAGCGAAGAGTATCAGCATCGCAAGGCATGCAGACATTGCGCTTCCACGTGCTCGACGCTTCCACCGAAATCCGTAATTTGACCAGGCCTTTCCACAGGCGAGTATTGCTACAAAACACTGGTTGTCCAAATGACGAGCCAATGATCATATGTTCCGGTACTAAAGGATATGCGAAAGGACTTCAAGGACAAGCTTACCTGCGAAGGGGAGCCCCTTGTCGCCTGCCGGTGCTCCAACCTCTGAAATGCGGCCACAATCCTCTCTTGCGGGATTCCACGTTCCTCAAACCATCTCGACATAGCCACAGTATCGCGGCTGGCATCGCCGGCAACAGCATTGACATCCAGACATTGGTCCAGAAACTCCGCCTGCACCTGCTCCAGGAGCACCTCCGCATCTTCCCTGTTCATTTCCGGAACACTGCTGAGTATTGTCTCCACCGTAGGCAGGCTGTCCGGATGGAAAGGGATCTGCACCCGTGATATGCCATTCTCGGTCTGTACTTCGATTAGAGCTTGACCAGCTCCCACGGTCCGTGATGCTCGTGCCTGATTACTCCGGCTCGACTGACTTGTTGCCTCTTGGTGTACACGACGTCGCGGCCGATGCACGGCATTGCTTCGATGTAGGCCGGAAGGTGGATTGCGAAGGCTTGAGTAGATGTAGTAGAGACTGCACGCAGCAGCAGCCCCAACGATGGTGAGAACGACAGGCCGGTAGCGCGAGAGAGCCGAAGCTGACGCTGAGGAAGCCATTTCTGCGATTGAACAGCTTCAGGAGATGGTACAAGGCAAGGTTTTGAAATTTGTGAAACCCTGATTAATGAGGGAGGTTTGTTCGGATCAGCCAGGTGCTGTGGTTAGCGGTGCTACCGTGAGCTGAGGAACACTGGGAGCAGTTGCTGCCGCAGCAGGAGCAGCATGCTGACAGCAGTGTCGGTGAGCAAGCTTGGTGGACGATAGCAGTGTGTTCGAGGCAAGCACGATTCGCGACATGTTGTTTGGATGAAGCTCTCCCAGGCTCACTTGAAGGGCAGCTTCGGCATATTAATAATTTCAGCCCTATGAGAAACTCCGCGGGAGAGCCGCAACAATCACCGACCATGCACAGCGGTGGGACGGAACACCTTGGACTTTGTTTGGAAAGTAAAACATGGAATGCAGCCCTGTTCATCAAGAAGCTTTACATGATAGAAGCCTAGGTACACGCTATATCAAATTCCAAAGACCTCTTATGAGATTGACGATATTATACTTCTGTTCTTCAATACAACCGCCTAGAGGACTGCTTTCTAGATCGAAACGCAATTGTCTCGGCTAGTGCCTTCGAATTGGCCTGTATGGATGTTTTTAATAAAGTGCGATCCGCAGTGTCCTGCTTCTCTCTGATGAATAGCATATGCAGAGTTGAATTCTCATGTTGGTATGAGTCACGTGATTAAATATTAATGGAACGACTATAGCGTTCCGGTCGGGACATGGTGCCATGCAAAGCGCCACCTCAGCAATCTTCAATATCCAGCTAATCACTTCCTTCCCCTAGTGTAGCGTATGCAGTGCAGCGTGTACGCATGCACTAGAATTAGCCATGGATCCTACCGCCCCAATGGTGGACTTGTGGGCGAGGAACTGTGGGCGGAGTACCTTGACTTACTCCTCTCCCACAACCTCAACCTCCCCGCCCGCTTGAGATAGGCAGGCGCTACTGCACTGGCAGCCACATTGCCCTGGGTTCGGACGGGTTGTGCGCCGCGACCCGCGTCCCGTCGCTGGAGGGGTTTATCTCCCACCCAATCAATGTCAAACGATATGGGTCATGCAGCGAAGGATGCGAGACGAACCTCTGTCCTGGGGTGGCTCAGATCTCAAGCTGCATGGCCCCCAAGAAAAAACATAGCTCATAAGCTGCGGTAGGGCCGACGTTCGCGACTCTCAATCCTCTCAAGTCAAACGTCTTTTATGTGCTCCTGACTCGAGTTAAGTGGGGGGCCTTACACTGCGCGTACTCCTTCATCTCTGTTCCCTTGTAACGCATAGGAAAATTGGTCAAAGATGTCGGAGAAGGTCCTTGACCACGTTGTTGTCACGGCGGGAGTCGAATCGCCAGACTCAGCTTCCCTCGACATGGAAGACAAAGCCGTAATGGCGCAGATGGGCAAGAAGCAGCAGCTGGCGGTAGGAGTTTCTACCTGATCCGCCTTGATTCTTCAAAGATTGACATTCCGCAGAGACGCTTCAATTTTGTTACCAGCCTCGCATTATCCGCAACGCTTCTGTCATCGTGGGAAGCCATAGCCTCGTAGGTACTCCTGCCGGGCAATGCTATCCGAACAGCCACTTATCGACACGCTCGTTAGCGCGATGGGCGTTGGTCTCTATGCCGGCGGACCGGTCGCCCTGGTCTGGGGCTTTTTCTTGACTGGCAGCGGCACACTCGCCTTAGCGGCATCGATCTCTGAGATGGCCTCCATGTGTCCAATTAGCGGGGCGCAGTATCACTGGACGTACATGTTTGCGCCGCCGAAATGGAGGGTTCCGGTGACGTTTGTGCAAGGTATGTGCACTCGCACGATCGCAGGTGCTGGAGAAACTGACTGGCGGACGTAGGATGGGTCACCGTTTTCGCGTGGCAAGCCACCCTTACGAGCGTGTATTTTCTTATTGCGACTCAGATCCAGGGGTTGGCTATACTCAACTGGCCTGGTTACGGCTATGAGCGGTGGCATAGCACCCTGATGATGTGGGCTCTCGTCGCCATCACATTCGCCGTAAACGTTTGGGGCATCAAGCTTTTGCCGGCTACTGAGCTGCTTGCTGGCGTCTGCCATATCCTGTTCTTCATAGCCGTGTGCTTGTTCTTGGACGGAATGCTTCACCAGATCTGGTCTTCAGGACCTACATCAACCAAACTGGATGGAGCAACAACGGTGTGGCATTCTTCATTGGACTGCTTCCGTGTGTATGGTGTATCGTTGGTAAGCATGCTTTGCGTACGAGTGACAGAAATTTTGCTCACGCTGTAAGATAGGCTTTGATGGTGCCATTCACCTCAGCGAGGAGACGACCAAATCAGCGACCACCGTTCCCAAAGTGATTATGACCACGGTGGTCCTCAACGCCACACTAGCCTGGCTTTTCGTGCTCGTCTCTCTCTACAGCATCTCCAGTATCGAGGACGCTCTTGGCACACCGACCGGCTTTCCGATTATCGAGATCTTCCGCCAGGCCACCGGCTCCACGGTAGCAGCAACTCTCATGGAAACCGCCATGCTCGTCGTCGGCGTCCCTGGCCTTATCGGAACCCTCGCTTCTGTCTCCCGTTTGACTTGGTCCTTCGCCCGCGACAAGGGTCTGCCTTTCTCAGACTTCTTTGCGCACGTAGACAACCATTACCTTGTTCCTACGCGGGCCATCTCCTTGGTGGCGGTGGTTGTCGTCCTGCTGTCCTTTATCAACATCGGCTCGTCGGTCGCACTGAGCGCGATCTTGTCGCTCTCGACTATCTCGCTGTACTTATCTTACATCATCCCGATAGCCTGCCTGCTTCTCAAGCGTCTGCGCGTGAGCACGCGTCGAGCCGCTCCCGGACAGGCTTTCGTGGGGGAGAACGCGATCGTGTTTGGACCTTTCTGTCTAGGCCGGTTCGGGGTCCTCATTAACTCCTACGCGCTGTGTTATGCCTGTATGATGGTGCCGTTCCTAGCACTGCCGACGGTGCTGCCATTAACGAAAGAGACAATGAACTATGCTGGTCCGATACTCTGCTTGGTACTGTTGTTTGCGGCAGTAGATTACCGTCTTAGGGGGAAGAGAAACTTTCATGGACCGAGGAGGGAGTTCGATTGATGGGACAGTACGCTGAGGCAGTTGGCCGCAGATACGGTTGTCCTCAATCTCGTTCTCGACAGGGCTGTGCCCCGGTACTGTTCCGCTCACTCAATCGGCTTTCTGATGGAGAGACCGCACACTACGGTATTGCCTGTACGATGTGCCGCTCTGGTTAAGCGCTGCGATTCGGCATACGTCTTCCTTAGATGTTCTCATTGATTCGCACCTCTTCCTTCTCCTCCTTATCATACATCTGATGTACTCTCTTCCCAGACTGCCTCAGCTCTGCCCCATCTTGAAATCTAGTCGATTGTCTACGAAAGAGAGGTAGTGCTGCAAGATTGTCGGTGACTACGTTCTACTGTTGGCTGGAAAGACTCGTACCCGTCTGCGACACCGGGGTGTCTGTCCTTGCCCGCAGCTGTTCGCCGTTGTGAGGTCATCCACGCCTGGCAGGCCAATAACCTTGGTGATGTTCCCGAGGGGCAATTGCGCGGAGCTCTTTGTTGTGCACCGCCATATGGTGTTAATGATGGGAAAGACATAGCCGGCGAGATGACCGCGCCAGCGTGCAAGCTCTTCATCGAGAAGAAGGTAGGGAAGGCAGCTGGCAGCGCTCTCGATGTTACTGTTTGTCCACGTCGACCCCCTGACGTCAGACAATCTCCCTCAAATCTCCCTCTAACCTCCCGAGCACCTCAGGAACTCCCTCCGCAGTCTTACCCAGCCATAAATACCTCAAAACTCACTTCTATCGTCGACCCGCGGGAAAGCTCATGTGGTGCACCCGCGGGACCCCTGCTAATTTCCGCTAGACTCTCCTCCGTCGCCGGTTCGAATCACGGCTGTCTCGGAAAAAAACTTCTATCCGATACCGAAGGGGTTTCTCATCAAACAATCCTGGCCCAGGGGTTGGAATAAAGTGGGGCCGGGGGTGAGTTTTTGCTGGTTCACTTGATTTGGGGGGCAGGTTGATGCGCTACAAGGGTTGGTATAGAGAGCACTAGCAAGAGTAATGAGAACTCAATTAAAGTAAGTACTTAGAGTTTCAGCGTATCATCTCTAAACAATAATTTATAAATTCTCTAAATATAGTAATTATATAGTAACGCAAGCGCAAAAGTTTTCATTCTTAATAAAACCAGAATATTCCGAAGTATTGCGTCTAAGCTACTCTACTCCACGTTGTTAATAGCGCCCTTACTATCTAATATACTCATTCTTCTTCGACTCGTTTGTCTTCTCCGACAGTGTTATAGGAGCCGCCGCAACACTACTACCACGACGCACAATTTCCTCCAGGCCAACCTCCCTATTGATCTCACGCATCTTCTCCGCATCTGCGCTCGCGACACCTGCGCTACCGAATAGGATATCCATCTCCTCAAGCGATAAGCGCTTCGTCTCAGGGACGACAAACCAGACGAATAATGCACCGCCAAAGGTTAGCAGCCCGAAGAAGATATAGGTGCCGTAGCGCATGTGCTCTAGCATGTCTGGAGTGACCTGACCGACAATGACTGCGAGCACAGAAGTCAGCAATATAGTCTTTCGCTCTGGGGATAAGGCTTGACTTACAGTTGTTCATCCAGTTTGATGAAGCACCCAATGCGATGCCATACGGGCGGTTGCTGATAGGCCAGACCTCTGCGATGATGATCCAGGCGCATGGACCCCACGAGTACCCAAAGTGGATAACGAAAAGCCAGACCATAGCAACTGCACCCCAGCCCGCACCGCGGTGAGAGGGCCAGGAGTCTTCGTAGGTGGCTGCGATGGCGGCCTAAAGCGAATTAGCTTCATGGAAGGGGGTGATGGGTGAGGTAGACGTACGACAATAAAGTGGCAGACTGCCATGCCAATGGCGCCCACAATTAAGACGGGTTTACGGCCGAGCTTGTCAACGTACATGACAGCAGGAATAGTGGCCTGCAATTAGCGATGTTAGCCGTAGTGGCATCAGGCCACCTTCATCGGAGGACACTCACGAGGAACATCACAATACCGACAACGCCTGTCGCGAGAAGAGAGACTGCGTTTGAGGAAAGACCAAGCCCATTAAAGATTTGAGGAGCGTAGTACAGAATGGCGTTGATGCCGGTCCACTGCTGGAAGAACATGGTGACTAGTCGGCCATTAGCTTTGCTTCATACACCCACTGCAGCAAAACCTTACCCGTAGCGACGATGACACGGCGGAACATCGGCTTAGACCGAAACAAGGATCCGATAGCGACCCATTGCAGCTTGAACGTGTTCCAGGCGGTCTGTTGCTGCAGGTGTGGGAACTTCTCAGCTAGCGTGCGCTTCTCGAATAGTGACTGGGCTCTAATCTCAGCGAACTCCAACTCGATCAGCTCATGGTCCTGAGGAAGGCCGCGCAGGTTGGCAAGGACACGGCGGGCTTCTGGCTCTCGGCTGTGGTGGACGAGCCAACGTGGCGAGAAAGGCATAAAAAGCATGCCTACGCCAAGCAGGACGGCGGGAGCAATTTGCAAGCAGAGAGGGACGAGCCATGCCGCGGGGCTCTGGCTTGATCCTGTACCGCCAATGAAGTTGGTGCCGTAGTCGATCCAAAAGCTGATCATTATACCCAAGGTGATGGAAAGCTGTTGAAGTCCGACGAGTGCTCCACGCACTTCCGGTGGCTGTACAAAGCGTTAGCATTTTGGATTGCACGTCTTGCAGATTGCGAATACATACAGCAATCTCGGCGTTGTACATCGGCACAATCATCGAAAGGGAACCGACACCCATACCTATCGTTCGTCGTTAGCACCAAGTACCTCGAAACTTCAAGGCCCATCGCTCACGTACCAGTGACAAATCGACCTCCGAGGATAGAGGATGCGCCAGCTCCGGTGATGGCTGTCGCCTGAATCACAACGCCTACGATGAAGATGGCCACGTTGATAAGGATGGCGTATTTTCGCGATAGAATTTCAGCCAGGAAGCCACTATACAATGTTCCGACCCAAGCACCCAACTCGAGGATGGCAGTCAGCCAGCCTTGCTTCGTCTTGTCGGACACCCAGACGCCCATATCTAGTAACTCTTAGTTGCCAGGCGAGTAGAGGAAGCATACGCCGGAGCTTACGTTTGCCAAAGTTGTTCATAGTGAGTACACCGGAGAAGACGCCTTGGTTGTAGCCGTAGAGCAATCCTCCCAGACAGGCGAAGCAAGCGATGCTGAAAACCCTGATGTTCTTGATCAGGGCTGCTGGCCCGGAGCCGCCAGTAAGAGCCTGACGGCGAGCCAACGCGCCTTGGTCGAAATGCGAGGCAGTACCAATAGGAGCCATAGTGACACGAGCGCCGACTGTGGGTAAATGAGAATAACTCGCTGATAAGCACTAGGAAGAACGATTTGAAAGGTGGTAAAGCAGGATGAAGGCGCTTTTATTCTTGACGCAAGCGGGGGACGATCTTGACTTCCAACGAACATGTGTACGAGCACCCAGTGCCCCCGTCGGCATGGAGTCGTTAAGCCTCGCTTGATGGATAAATGGATGGATAAATGGACGGCTAAATCGCGAAAACCTGGGGGAGGCTTGCCCGAGTCCACGGGTGGGCCCATAGTTCCCACTAATGAGGTGCCTCGTCCAGTGCCAGCGCTGTCGGCTCAAAGCTTAGTCCTTCCTCGCGCCATGCCCCTGGCTTCTGTCGTCACACTAAGGGTTTCTTTCTTGTACCTTGCGCTTCGACCCACAGCAGTATGGCCCCAAGCTACTCGCTGCAGTTCAACGAGGAGCTCTCAATGAACTTCAGGATACGCTGACCGCTACACGAAGCATGACCTTAGGATGACGTAGAACCGGAGCCCTTCCTGGATAGAAAAGGGGCCGATCGGCGTGCGCCACCGTTGCAGGGGGATTTAACTGCCGCGGGGGTGGCGGGATGAGGCTCCGATGCGGCGGGATCTCCACAGTTGCATTTAGCCTAAATGCGCATCGAAGGATGACCTCGGGATCCAACGTCTGCCACCCGCCGCTAGGGTCGGCATTTCGGATAGGGAGTCGATCAAACATCAACACTGCGCTATCGCCTCGCCTGCGGCTATTTTCCCCGTTGCCTTCCAATTGATCCACCCAATTGCCAAGCACCTTGCAGGCCTCTGCTTCTCCCCGCATCGATCCCAACAAACTACACTATGCACAACGCCATATCGTCGTCAACGCTCAGCGGTGTGGGGAATATGGATCCACAACCGGCTGTGATGCTTGAGTGCAGCTGATGTGTTCGTGCAGACCCTCGTCCACGAATCCGCACGGCAAATCATTATATAAGATGGTCCCTCTCTTATGGGATGGAAAGGGACCACCAGCCTGCCCTTCGAGCATCTAGTCGTTTGTGATCTTTTTGCACAATGACACCCATACTTGCATTCGCCGCGTTGATGCTGGCTAGTGCGACCTCTGCTTTCCCCTTTGGCTTCCCAGACTGTGTCAATGGACCTCTTTCGAACAACACAGTATGCGATACTACCGCCGGTAGGTTCATATAGCTGTACAGTCGGCCAATGATAGCGGGAGTAACCGGAGTCTAGATCCTCTTAATCGGGCCACTGCCTTAATCAGTCTCTTCACGACGGAAGAGAAGCTTAACAATACCGGCAGTGTTAGTCCTGGGGTGGCTCGTCTCGGTCTACCACCGTATCAATGGTGGCAGGAAGCGTTGCATGGAGTTGCCTTGTCCCCCGGCGTTAATTTTAGCACCTCTGGCAACTACTCGTATGCGACGTCTTTTCCACAGCCCATCCTTTTGGGTGCGACTTTCGATGATGCTCTAGTCAACTCCGTTGCAACGATTATTTCCATCGAGGCTCGTGCCTTTAACAACGATGGCAGAGCCGGCTTGGACTTTTGGACTCCCAACATCAATCCTTTCAAAGATCCCCGTTGGGGCCGCGGCCAAGGTGAGTCTGATGTTTGCGCTCGCAGGATTCCTCGTTGAGCGAAGCTCCCAAGCAATCTATTCACCAAAATCCGACCTCTCAAATAACTGAAACTCTTACGTGAATCCGTACAATGGAGGAGATATTGACTGGAATGCTTAGAAACTCCTGGAGAAGACCCATTCCATCTGTCGTCTTATGTGCGCGCATTGATCGATGGATTGCAAGGGGGCTATGCTCCGAAGTACAAGCGTATCGTGGCAACTTGCAAGCACTGGGCCGGTATGAGCCCCATGCAAATAACGGCAAACTTCCGCTAATGAGGGATGTAGGGTATGACTTGGAAACGTGGAATGGTAATTTCAGATACCAGTGGGACGCTCCTATCTCTACCCAGGATTTGGTCGAGTATTACGCGCCTCCTTTCCAGACTTGCGCACGTGACTCCAACGTTGGCGCTTTCATGTGCTCGTATAGTGAGTTTCTAGAACAATCATCCGTTTTGAAGCGCAACGCAGCTAATCCTTAGTAGATGCGGTCAACGGCAGACCCACCTGTGCCGATCCATACCTCCTGCAAACCATTTTGCGTGAGCACTGGGATTGGACAAATGAGCAGCAGTGGGTCGTAAGCGATTGCGATTCTATCCAGAACATTTACCTACCACATGGGTACGCTGCAACGCGTCCGCAAGCCGTTGCCGACGCTCTGAACGCAGGTACAGACCTGAACTGCGGAACTTATTACCAAACCTATCTGCCGGCCGCGCTGGAGCAAGGGCTTATCAACATCACAACATTGGACCGAGCGCTGATTCGGCAGTACTCTTCGCTGATCCGCCTTGGCTACTTTGATCCGCCTGATGTGCAGCCATACCGTGCGCTCAACTTCGGCGATGTCAACACGCCGCAAGCTCAACAACTCGCTTATCGAGCCGCCGTCGAGGGCATTGCTTTGCTTAAGAATGACGGGACGCTACCGCTTTCTATAACACCCGAGACTTCCATTGCGATGATCGGGGATTGGGCCAATGCAACGACACAGATGCTAGGCAACTACCATGGCATCCCTCCTTGTAAGGCAGATCTTCCTCCGAAACATTAGGCTTTCGACTGATCTTCAACACAGACCTGCACAGTCCGCTCTGGGCCGCACAGCAGCTCAACGTCACAGTAAACTACGCTGCAGGTGACAGTTCCCCGGGGAATCCAACCACCAACAACAACTTGCATGTTTACGCCGCCGTAAATAAGTCCGACATCATTATCTTCGCCAGCGGCATTGACAACTCCGTTGAGGCTGAAGACAGGGACCGCCATAGCATTGCATGGACTGGCAACCAGCTGGACCTGATTGGGCAGCTTGCAGCCTACGGCAAGCCAATGATCGTCCTGCAGATGGGTGGTGGACAGTTGGATTCCAGCCCAATTGCCAACAACCCTAACGTTAGCGCGCTGCTATGGGGCGGTTACCCAGGCCAAGACGGTGGCCTCGCAATTATGGACATCCTAACCGGCAAAAAAGCGCCAGCAGGCCGTCTACCCCAGACGCAGTATCCAGCAGACTACAATGCCCAGGTCCCAATGACAAACATGTCCCTTCGTCCAGGCCTTAACAACCCCGGCCGGACCTACAAGTGGTACACCGGCAAGCCAATCTTCGATTTCGGCTATGGACTGCACTATACCAATTTCAGCGCCTCGATCAACCCTCTCGAAGCCACAACCTTCAACATCTCCAGCCTCGTCACAGGTTGCAACGAGAGGTACATGGACCGCTGTCCCTTCCACTCCCTTTCCGTAAATGTGACGAACACCGGCGAAACCACGACTTCCGATTACTCGGCCCTCGGTTTCCTCACCGGCTCCTTCGGCCCAAGGCCATACCCCAAGAAATCCCTCGTCGCGTATCAGCGTCTATTTGACATCTCCCCGGGCGCTACGGCCACGGCAGTGCTTAACCTTACGCTTGGCAGCCTGAGTAGGGTTGACGAGATGGGCAATCGCATACTCTACCCTGGAGACTATGCCATGATGATCGATACGCAGCCGCTTGCAATGCTGAACTTCACATTGGTTGGAGAACCAGCGATGTTAGATCAGTGGCCGCAGCCGCCGCCGAGGGTGCCGCAAAATAATACGGGGAATTATTTCGTTGGCGGGTTCGATGGCACGGGACAGTCCGTGGTTTATTCGTAGGACAGATGTGGAGTGTGTAGATAGGTTGACTTCAGAGGTGACTTCAGAAGAGACGGCCGTACATCCAGTGCAGGAAATGCTTTTGTTGCCTTCTTAGGCCATCAAAAATACTTATCTAGCTAGAATCGGCTGCAGATTAACATGCATCGAATAGTGAGCAATGTCTTGTTTATTGGTCAAGGTCGGCAATCATATGATCGGTTGTGGATATAGCCCATCACAAGTTCTACACCCTTACATTGCAGTCTTGGCGTCCTGAACGCTCCGTCACAGCCGCCCAAGAACCCCGTTTCTACGGCCTTTTATTGGTAGCCTTCTAGATGTTCTCGACAGGACAAGCCGGTTGCCATAGAACCTAATCTCGACGAGCGATCACCAAGTGACAAGCGTATTTGCGTACAGCAACCCAGGGTCTTATTACACCCTAGGTTAGGGATGAACATCCTATATTTGTAGTTAATCGCTCTCGTTAAAGAAGAGGATCAGACACCTCGAGACGGCGGCTTCGAGATGGCTTGAGCCCGGAGTTCTTGGCCATAACAATACGAGTTTTAATACGACTGTTAGCGATAGAGAATAGAAGGAGCCGCGAAATAGCCGCCGAATGCTATTATACAGCCCTAGATATAAGCGCTGCGTCTCCAAAGAGCAATAGTCCCATCGTAAAGCTACAATGTAACGATGTTCAAAGGTTATTAATGTTATTGTCGCAGATCATAACGCAAGCCCCGTCCCACTGCCAGTCCACCGGTATAGCGCGAGCACCTTCCGCCGGCGCGACTGTGCTTCCCCGGGATCCTCGGGCAGCCTACCCCTGACTTGCGCCAGAGCCGACCGCATGACTCTGCGGAAATTGCGCTGTTATCAACGTCAGTAGTTCGTCGCCAACAATGCTTGCGGTAAGTGACTATACCTGATACTCCGTGTTCAGCGTAACCACGCAAGCTTCATGCGCTCTAACTATCGTTTCACACGCCTTGACTACGCTTGGACCGGCGTCGCCTTGCAGCTTGTCCGCAATCAGAAGCAGGAGAAAACTGCCCTGCAGCAAGTAGATGCCGAAGAAGAACGGCATGAAGCTTGCATCCGGGTCGTGCTCGAGGACGTCGCTTAGCGCTTCTGCGGCGGAGACTGCGTGGCCGGTCGCCGTTATAAAGGATTGTGAGGATATCCAGAGATCGTTGTCGTCGAGCAGGGAGATGGGGTCCCACTTTCCGTTGAGCAGTGTGTGCAAGGTATGCATGAGGTACGTGCCGTACGCGACGACCATTTTCGTCTGAAGAATGGACTCGGTAATGCGCGTGCCGGATGTGCTGAGTCGGTGGACTGGCTGAGTGGCAGCTTCGGGGTGGCCCTCTTCTGTTGTATAATCCATGGGAGTGCTCGTGTTGCGGGCCTCAAGTTCTCGAAGGCTTCTGCCGTACACCTCAAGTTGCACTGCGATCTCAGCTTGGTACTCATCCCAATGGGAGCCGCTACGGAAGCGCAGTCCAAGCCAAGGATGGTTTCGTGCGTGTTTGAGGTCGACGATCTCTCCTAGAATCGTCATTAATGGCGTGAAGTAGCCGAATATACTGTATCCTGTACATTCGAATGTAGGTCCTATCCTGCGCACATAAGTCGGGCCGGAATCCACATATACATGATGCGGCTCCATGCTGTAGTACTCTCCCGCTTGCCAGATCGAGTCATCGATGGGTTGTAACAGCCCTTCGCACTCGGCGTCTAGCAAAAACAATGGCTTGTTATAGCAGAGCGACAGGTGACGGTCCATTGTGTAAAGCAGCCACCATATGCGCCGCCGTTCTTCTCGTTCTTCTTCCGTAATAATCACGGGTGGATCTTGCATAGTATCAACTCGTCTCGGCTCTTGATAAATCCCATCTTTGCCCATCTCGAGATCAAACCTTCCTTCCATGTCCCTTTCCATTCCGGATGCGGCTTCCTGAAAGGGTGACTCAACAGGGTTTGGCGGTAGTTCCCGGCTCAACTTGAGCTCCCTAGCAAGTGACCAAGCGGCATTCCACCATCGTAAGCTCGCTGCTTTGTTCTCAGTAGCTGAGATAACGGTGGCGAGATGCATGTACGTAGCGACATCATCCAATGCTCCTGTAGCACCGGGTGTGACGCCTTCCGTCCCTTGTAGCGCATCTGATGGTTCAATGCCTAATCCACCGAGGGCGGCACCGTTGAAGACACTACTTGCGGCGGAACCGTGCGTTGCTTCGTTGCTCGCACTCGGAGTATGAATCAGCGGCTTTAGCAATCTTACCGTAAGTTCCAGCAGCTTACGGCAGATCTTACTGCGTGCTGAGGGCGGTGAGGTGAGCAGGGTTAACTCGCTAGTCTGAGCACCGATAAAAAGCATGCTTGCGAGGAGAGCAGGACTGCATACACGTGGACTCGTTTCCCTGAGGAAGGATCGTTTCCTGAAAACATAGCCCAGGACATATGGTGAAGCAGGCTGCATGAATGTGGCTGAAGAACTCTGGAAATAAGCGTCGAGCAGGTCGCGAGCAAGAGATACGTGTACTACAGAGCCCAAATAAGGCAGGAGCGGCTGCAAGACAGGGTATCGTAACTTCTGGTTTTGGATTGGATTGACCGACTGGTTATGAGTGTACAGGGCCGCCGAAGGCGAAGGCAGTGATAGCCATTCAGGTGACCCGGCAGCTGGTGGAGATCCCAAGAAACTCAGGAGTGGACCATTCGTCGTGTTCGACTGGAAACCGTTTGGTGGACCCGGATCGGTTTGGGGATGAGCCAAGGTGTAAAAGCCATTCTCATAAGCCTGCAGGTTACTCGGCGGTAGCGTTGAATGTGGAAGAGTATCTGTGGCGCTATGTAAAGGAGGATGCTCAGTTGGCGCAACTGAGGGATGCACTACTGCATTTCGATACTGATCATTTGACGCATAATCGGTCATACTCGCTCCGGGGGCAACTTGCTTGTCCGAAGCAGTACTGCCATTGTCAATGAACGTAGTTGTCATGTAATAACCTGCATCCAGCCTGCCGTCAGCACTCAGGGCATGATGGTGCGCTGGGTCTATGGACGTCATAGTGACTATTCCGTTGTGACGCTTGTTCGTCTCCGTTGAGTGAGGCTCCTCTTGGATTATGGATTGCAGTGAAGGTAAAGTAGGCGGCGCAAGCTGGCTGGCCGGTACACGACTTTCAATCACTCGGTTGCCGCAGCCTGCAGGCTTAACTGCATTCTGAACTTCCAGCGAGTTGCTCTTGACCGATTGTGAGCTACCCTGACTCACTTCCCCGGAAGCGGTAGCAGCAGCGGCGGCAGCGGTGGCGAGTTGCTTCGCGAGGTCCTTTCGGGATACCTTTCCTCGCTTTTTGCGCTCGCGGAGGTACTTGCAGCTTGAATCGAGCTCTACAGCATGTCAGCTTTCTGTTGCATGAAAGAAACCAGCAAGGCAGCGCCTACCTACGCAGTTTGCGCAGGGAGCTTTCCCGTCGCATTTGGTCTTCGACTGGTTGCATTGATCGCAGGCTCTGCTGATTCTACGACAGACTAGTCGTGGCGTACTGCTGGCACGCCTATGCGCCGCAGAATCTCCCATCCCCGGCGATCGAGCAGTCTCCGCACATGGATACTGCCGCTGTCTAACGGAAAATCTGCGGGTTACGAACCGATTGTGGCCTTGCAGCAGTTTGTCGTACCGGGTAGTGAGAAATATGCGGATGCGTCGAGTGCTAGTGACGAATCGTCCTGAAAAGGCAGGCAACTGGCGCGGTCAACGATGTTCGACTGAGGGATATAACTGAATGCTAGCGAAGTCTGGGAGAGCCTGGCAGAGTAAAAGACCAAAGGGAAAGCATTGGCGTGAAGGTCTGATGGATTTTGCGGTGGTGGAGGTGACGTTACGAAATTCAGATCACCAGCTGCCTCTCCGCCCCGACCCCGCCTCGTGGAAAACATGGCGGGTACCTAGGTAGTTATTCGGTTGCAAAATATGCGGCCGCCTTAGCAATGAACCTAACCACCTAGCTCCACGGTCGCAATTAAGCCTCGGCCAGAATTTCAAATCCCTACGGCTTTTGCACCAGCGGTCATGGAGCGTTACAAGGTGGATGCATCGAAAGCGCAAGGCTAAACTTAGAGTCCCACTCTCCACTTTCTGCGATTTCGAACCGCAGCATTTGTTATGGCGTCGCAAGCGTTTTTCCCATACAAATTTGGGGGAGAATATTTTATTAAGTATATTGATTGTGGTTTTCGCCAAGGAGCGCACCGTGGAAAATCATCTTTTATTAAGAATATTGATCAAATTGATCAAATACTCTAGCCACCGTTCTAATACGCTTCCAAGTCGAGCAGTTGATGTTAGTTCCTCGGATGGATCGGGAGAGCTATGCCTTTTTGTGCCTTAGCAAACTATTATCAGCCGCTACAACCTCCCCGGTAATTATAGAGTTGCGTTGAAATTAGAGGCATACTACTTTGAGTTACTATCAGGATACTCACCTTGTATACATTATGATATAGCATCGGATTCGGCGGCATTGTTTTTTTGTGGTAACTTACTAATAGGGTGGCCTATTTAGTTACAAGAGGCCAAGCCCAGCTTTCCTCCTTACAGCAATATGCAGGAGAATATAAACCGTAACGCCGAACCCAAGCATACCCGAAATAACTCCAAATCCCACAAGATACTTCGGCGCATCCTCCGAAGGAAAGAGATATGCCCCATAGATTTGGGCCAGGTTGCCCATTGCATTCATTACCGCCAGCGCGACGGCTCTGACTTCCGGTTCCATTGACCCAAACGTAGAGGAAGCGAAAGACAAGGAGAGTGCGTTTGAGGCCCAGAGTCCGGCTGCCATGACAATGAGCAACACATACCGAGCGGTGAAGTTGTAAACGGCGCAGACGACGATGGAGGTGATCATGGAGAAGGCCAGCCAAGGGGCGATTACGATTCCGCGATGATCAGGGATGCGGTCGGAGAAGTAGCCCGTTATAACTGTACAGACAAAGGCGAAGGCGTAGATCGGAACCTAGAAGATTGTGCGTGTCAGTGATGTGCATGAGATCGATGGAGGGAAACCAAGGACGTACGGTCATGTACTGGGCTTGAACGGTTGATTTGAACCCGAGGCCATTGACCAAAGTCGGGTAGAAGTAAGAGAGCGTCGATGAGCCGACAATGACCTTGATATTCCTTGTTAGTTTTCCAAACTCGCAGAAGATGAGAGGCATGTGAGACGACATACCATGTACCCCAGAACAAATCCCCAGGTCCGCCAGTCCTTCACCGCAAGTAAGAATGACTGCCCTACCCCAATCTTCGGCCGATCCTTCGACCGCACCGTAACACCCCCTTCCGTCAGCCTCGCAATCGCGATATCCCTCTCCCTATCAGTTAACCTCTTCGAATTTGCCGGGAAATCAAGCAAAATGAATGCCGAGATAACAGCCCACACGATCGTCGCGACCCCCTCAACAATGAACAGCCACCTCCACCCCCTAATTCCGTGTGCACCCTCCAAACCCCCGGTAATGGCACCGGCGAGCAACCCCCCAAACGCCCCTGACAAAATTGCAGCGGACATGAACACAGCAAAACGCTTCGACTGCTCATCTCTCTTATACCAAGATGAGATTATAAGCAAGATACCGGGTGCGAAACCAGACTCCATAATTCCGACGAAGATCCGAAGGATAACCAAGTGGTGGAAGTCTTTAATGGCAGCCATGACGCAAGTCAGGGCGCCCCAGATCGCCATGATGGCTGGAAGGTACAGAGAAGGCCGAGTGCGGACAAGGATCATATTCGACGGGGGTTCACAGACGACGTAGCCAACTATTTTGTGTTAGTACGAGATGAACAAGTAGAATCAGAACATGAGCAATGCACGAAAGGAAAGAGAAACGTACTGAAGAAGACGACGAGGGCAATACTGTATTGGCTCGAGCTCAGTTCGAGATCAATAGCCATGCCTGCGATTCTTGCATTGCCGATGCTGGAGAACACACTGTTTTAGCAGGCTTGTTCATTAACCAAAGTAAGTACATGCTCACTTTGTTCTGTCCATGTACGATAATAGGTACATGAGCCATATCGTGGGCATTAGGAAAAGATCAATCTTTCTGACGAGTTTCTTCTCTTCTTCGGGGGTCCACGTGATTGTTCCTGACTCTTCCACATGTTCGACGCCATCCAGTTTGTCATCATCAGTGAAGTCCCCACTGATGGGATTAATTGATTGAGCCATAATGGAGTAGAAGACGATTTCAAGCGATTTGCTGCAGAACTCGATCGTAAGGAAATCGCGTTAGTCGAAGGTGCAAGCTCATCAGTCAAAGTCTGGAGGGTGAGGGAAGATATAGACGATTGAGCCTTTACTATAGGGAAATGGACCAACCAGTCTGGTGACAGCGAAACCCCCGGGCGGGCGTGTTGCCACGGGGTATCCATAAATTCTCCAATGAAAATTCGGAGCGAGCTGCAAGAAGGTCCGGGATGCGCCAAGGCAGGAAACAGACAAGGGACTCAACTAGCCTAGGAATAGGCTTCGCCTGATACAAACACTTTCGGTAAAAGAAGGTTGTTCGGGGGTAGTTCAGTGCTTGATTATCGCATTATCTGAGTCGCGGATCCGGATTGCAGGGATGGAAGGCCCTACGCATCGATACGAGGGAGACCTGTGTTTCGATGCGAGGACATCCGGTATTTCGCCCCATAGAAGACAGACAATGCGGGATACGGGACACCTAGGCGTGATCTTTGACCCATGATTCCCAAGGCGCATCTCGTTGCGAGAGAACATCCCCACAACACGTCTCGCGTCAGCTTTCGGGTAAAGGGCCTTAGGTACTTCGGGTGATCCCCGCGAACTCACGGATAACGCTGGATTTTTCTGTAGATATGGGGCTTCAATATATTATTAAAGGAGATATCAAAGAGGTCAAGGGATTGACAAAAAACCATCTCTCCAAATTTTAAACAACTACACCCATACTCCTCCTTTCCGACACAATGTCTCCCATCTCAACTTCAGACATAAAGCCCCCCTCGCAGCTGTCCTTTAACGGTATCAGCAACGGAAACGCCGTACAACCACAGCAAGACCCCGAGTATCTCTCAACCCAGCCCGGCCCAGATCACGACTGGAAAGTCAGCCTCAAGAACAAGGTCGTTGCCATAACTGGGGCCAACCGGGGAATAGGTCTCGGTATTGCAGAAGTCTGCCTCGCCAACGATGCCTTAGCAGTCTATTCTCTGGACATCTTCGAGCCCGGCGATGAATTTCAAGCCATCCGAAATGAAAACCCGAAGCGCTTCCATTACATTCACTGCGACGTCACTTCCGAAGAGAGCATTACATCCGCCATAGACACCATTGTTGCAAACCAAGGCCGCATTGACGGTCTCGTTGCAAATGCCGGAATGACGAAACATCAACCCGCACTACAGTTCGACCACGCGCAGCTTGAGCAGCTATTCAAGCTCAATGTTTTCGCCGCGTATTTCTGTGCCACGGCCGCAGCCAAGAAATTCATTGAACTTGGAGTAAGAGGGTCCATCGTTTTTACTGCATCGATGACATCCTACCGACCCAACCGTGCCGCTCCCTCCGCTCCCTACGGCGCCACTAAAGCCGCCGTTCGGAACATGACACACACTCTCGCCATGGAGTGGGCGAAACACGGAATAAGAGTGAACTCGGTCTCTCCCGGGTTCGTGAAGACGGCCATGACGTACTTTGTGGACCAGGCACCCGATTGGAAGCTCAAGATGCAATATTATGGAGGCATGCCGAGGTTAGCGGATCCAAAGGAGTTAGGAGGTGCTTATGTGTATCTGCTTTCCGACGGGGCGAGTTACACAACGGGCGTTGATTTGCCAGTGGCAGGGGTTGTGGGAGCATGGTAGTTTAGAATAGAGGACATAGATGACGACACATACAGAGTGGTTCCTTTCGTAATCGTGCTTTGCCTAGTAAATCTTTGATTTCCATATTCGTTACCGATTATCAAGGTAGGCTTTCTACGTTGATGAACTTGCCTATCAGTATAGCTTGAATACTACTTGAACACTGATAGCATAGGGGTTTTGATATTGATAGCAGCCATGGCTTAAATTTAAGTCTTGAAATTCCCTCAATTATGTTCAACCCTTCGCGTCTGAGACATAATGAATTAGCGGCACATACGGTAAACTACAGATGTATGGATTAAGAGACAAAAAGCCGATGAGCATGCTGCTTTATTGATCACAACTGATCATAAATCCTGAAGATCTCGCAACACCAGTTCATAGGCATTTGTTGGCTCGCAAAACAGCTGTGTAGATGAAGACTACAAGCGAATAAAAAGATTTTGTGAGTCATTTTAGGTCTTGTACTGTTTCAAGAAAGCTCAAAATATGACCTCTGGATACTCGCCTAGGAGAGATTCTCTAAATGTAAATCAATCTAGTCTTTGTTTGTTCGGGTTTCGGAGATGGTGCAAGCTATTGGATCCCACGTAAGCTCCTAATATTCAATACCGTATGGTTTCTGACATAGACAGTTAGATGCACGCTGCACGGCATGTTGGTTGTCCAGACTTGGAAGTCTTGAGTGTTGATGCTCCCAGCGATTTCTCCTGCCGCTCATGAAACCTTTTCCGCTGCCCTTCGATGAATCCCGCTAACGCCTTCGCGTAGCTATGGGGTTAAGTTCCCGCCTCCTATCACCCACATTGAATATCTTGGTCTCATACTGCAGCCAATTCAGGTACCGACACAACTTTTTTGTATGTAGCTTTTGCCGCGGGCCGGGAGGCCAACCATCACGATGACGAGTTCGGCGCGGTGGAAGTCGTACACAACCTGGATCCGGACATGCGGGGGTGCGGGTTGCGGGGTCGCGCGTCGTCTCGAGGGGCGCACGAAGCGAAATACTTTAACCTTCACCAAGGGGCCACACCAAACTTGACAGCTTCGCTCTCCATCCCTCGATGCGAGAAACGACCGTGCCTTGGCCCTCCCCAACCCACTCATGTCTGTGCCGTCAGTCGCGGCGAGCGAGTCTGATTCAGGAGTCCGTAAGCAACGAAATCCGCGACCGTCTCGAGCGCGGGGTTTGCGCACCTCAACGGGATGGTTAGATGTCCAATGAAGACATTGTGCTACGGAGAGTTCCATTGCTGACTCTGTGAAGCCTAACATGCCGGAAGCGACGCGTCAAGTGCGATGAAGGCCGACCCCGCTGCGGACACTGCAACAGGTCTGATAGAAATTGCACTTACGCACAGACAGCTACATCTCACTCTTCGAACTCCTCGCATCCACCTGGTGGACAAGCGAGCCCCTCAGCTGCATTGGTCGATGTCCCTTTTCAAGTCCCGGAGCCAAGCAAGGCAGCCCAAGTCGAGATCACATCCTCTTGGGAACATTTACTGGCAGAGGATAATCACCACCACCTCTCCAGCATTGCACCTGGTGCGAGCCTACTGCCGGTCAATGAGTACGACCTGTCTCCACTGGCCCAAACGGCGACACTGTCGTCTAGTGGAGCCCCATTCGAGTGGTATGACTTGCTAGCACGAGACGCCATCAGTAACATCCAGAAACACAACCTTTCCAGCAGCGGGCGTGCCTGGAATTTCGATGAGAGTAGCCTCTCAAGAAGACACACTCCTGTGCCCGAAAATAACAGAAGGCCACAAACGCACCTGAGCAGCGAGAGTCCCGTTGGCCAGCATGGTGCCATACATGAGCCTTCTCCATCAGAGCCCTGGAATACCGCCACCAGGATAAACATCAACGGGAATGAACTTGTTCTTTTCCAACACTATGCCAGAATTGTCGGTCCCATCCTAGACCTGTTCGACCCAGACAGGCATTTCTCAAACTTCGTTCCTCATCTTGCAGTCCACAATGTTGGGCTTCTCAAATCCTTGCTCGCAGTCGCTGCGCGTCACATGTCTTTGCACGGCGGCACACCTCAGCTTCAACAATTTGACGCCAACAGCCAAGCACACATTCAAACACCTGCGTCCACCCTCAGCAGTCACACAACAGAGTCGGAGATGTCCCAGATGGCCACGCAATATTACTATGAAACTCTACAATACCTCTCCCAGACCCTCTTATACCCTTCATATACCCGCTCTCTCGAAATTCTCGCCACCGCTATCATGATCAGCACGTATGAGATGTTCGACTCTAATGGGTCCTCCAACAACGGCGACTGGGAGCGACACTTGCAAGGCGCCTTCTGGATCCAACGATCCCAGGACAATAATGGAGAGTCAGCACACGGCTTGAGAAAAGCAGTGTGGTGGGCATGGGTGCGTCAGGACATCTGGGCCGCGTTTCGCGAGGGTCGACATACGTTAACATTCTGGCGACCCAAGAAGAAACTCGCTGATCTGAATGGAGACGAACTTGCAACAAGAATAATCTATATCGCGGCGAAGTGCGTAGCCTTTGCGGCGAGTGGAAAAGAGGATGATATTGTGGCACACATTGAACAAGGCAGCGAAATCCTCCAAGCGCTCGAGGATTGGTACCGCATACTTCCCTCGTCGTATCAACCTATCTCCACCTCTGCCTCGGATTTTGACCCCAATAATCCCGTATACGATATCTTCACCCCTATATGGATTCACCCTCCATCTTATGCCGCAGCGATACAGACCTACCATTTCGCCCGCATTGTCGTGCTCCTTCACCAGCCCTCTACAGGCGGACTCGTCGCGTATCGGAACAGACAGAAGATGCTTGGGGAGAGCGTGGACACAGTATGTGGGATTGCAATGGCGGAGCAGGCCAATGAGCTGCCGAGTGCTTTTGTAAACATTCAGGCACTTTTTGCGGGTAAGAGAGCCCTTGTTATCATCGAACGTTTTCTTCTCTGGGAACCATTACTGACCAAAGAGATAGCGGGGCTTTGTATTCAAACACCTGAGAAACAGAATGCTTTACGGATGATCTTGGAGAAGATGCTGGACGTTAGTAAATTTCCGCCTAAGATGCTGTTAAAAGATTTAATCAGTCTCTGGAAGGGTGGTGTATAACTCATCATCCTTACGTATTTGTGCACGGGCTTTTGCGAATTCATTCATTCATTCCATCGTTTAAGAGAGCACGATTAAACTGTACAAGCCTTCCTACTACCCTCGCAGATGTCCACCCAACACTCAACCTCCTTTTACAACCTCTTCGATCAACCGCAGAAACGGCGACCTCGCATTGTTCCTCAATTGGACGTCCCAACATCCAAGCAACAACTTGTTCACGTTCAACTCCACCGCTCCAGCCCTGACACACCGCCTCATGGTCTCTAGTGTAAAATCATTCGTGCCATGTAACGCGATCAGCAGCGACCGTTGATCTGTTTATCTATGCATTTGAGACGGTCGAAACCGAGTTGTGGACCTAGAGGCCCGTAGTCCCAAGGATTTTGCCGATGCTGGGCGCCAGAATGTCGACGTCGGCGGTGAGAAATTTTTTGACGTCCGGTGGGCTTGTAAGAGGAGCTATTGAAGGCGAAAAGAAGCTGTCTTGCAGCACCATCTTTTTCTGCAACACATACCACCATGATGTCAGTAAGGATGTACCTTCTGTATTGCCCGTATCGACAATCCCATCCTCTTGATCATCCCACACTCTCCCTCAACGGCGACGCCCTGTTTATAGCATACCTTGCCAGCACTTTAGTCTTTGCTAGATTTCCAGCTTGATCGTAATGGCTCATGTCCACCATGATGGAATAAAACGGTGGGGTTTTCGAGACTTCCCGCCGCCCGGATCTGTGCCTCATCCTGCGTACGGTCCAGGTGTCAAAGATGGGAGCGGAGGCGGAGTCGATGGCGGCAGATGCGACCCAGGCGAGCGAAGGGAGCTGAACGAGGGTCGAAGGGAAGAGGAGGATGGTCAAGGGGGAGCGTTTGGCTTCGGTGGCGCGGACGAGGGCCGTCAGGTATTCGACATTGTAGCGGTTGAAGTGTTAAAGCTGCTTTGTCAAATCTCTAATTGGCGCGAACATAGAGACATACGCAACGACTGCATGGACGGCATACTTTCCTCGTGTTGCGGCCTTGAGCATTTCGGGTTAGGGTTTGGCATCGACGAGCTGACCATTGTGGGCAAAGTCACTCAAGCTGGTATCCAAGACAGGTGGTGTGGAAATCTTATCGATAGCCAGTCCAATCCGTTTTCTACATCGTACATCATCATCCATTCTGGTCTAGGTATGGCGAAACGTACCTAGGTAGTGCCGTCACTTCAAAAACTGCACTAAACTTCAATGCAAAGTCTCTATGGTCCTCGCATCGGCCGAACCCTTTGCGCGTGGACGTGGGAGTAAGGTATATGAGATGCCTCGATGCGAGCGCTTGGCGTTCGAGACGAGCCCCCGTCCTCGCCAGCCTTGCCTCTCTTCGACACGAAACACTAGGATGGGCCGACAGGACTCTCTACATCTCGACTCAGCAACCAAACCGCCATCGATCTTTGAAGGTACAATATCTATATAACAAGATGATTTTCCCAAGATCCGATAATGGCCATCAATACAGACTTTACCCTCGTACACATTCTAAGTTTCTCAACACTCCACTACAATGTCACCATCACTTGAGTTTTACGAAGATGTCGCTCGTTCGCTGCCAGTCAAGCCTATTGCAGCGGAAATCAACGGCGTTACGAGCATCTTGGGTCTTCAACTGGAGGAGGCGGACAAACATGACCTCGTCTTGCGATACTTCCGTGCTTTTATCGCGGATCTGTGTGAGCAGTTCAAGGGTGGGCATCCTGGGTGAGTCGCATGACATACGGTCTATATCATCTATGTTACTGACACTTTCTAGTTCCGCCATGGGCATGGCGGCCATTGGGATTGCGCTTTATAAGTATGTCATGAAGTTCTCTCCCAGGAACTGCAATTACTTCAACAGGGACAGATTCGTCCTGTCTAATGGCATGTTGACTCCGTTCTATTCAAAGCCCGCCCTCCACTAACATTCTCTATAGGCCACACATGTCTTTGGCAATATCTCTTCATGCACCTTGTCGGCGTCAAGAGCATGACGGTAGAGCAACTGAAGTCATACCACTCCACGCGATATGATTCGATTTGCCCCGGCCATCCTGAAATTGAGAACGAGGGCGTTGAAGTAACCACGGGTCCCCTTGGTCAAGGCGTTGGTAATGCAGTCGGTCTCGCTATGGCGACTAAACACCTGGCTGCAACCTACAACAAGCCTGGCATTGAAGTCGTCAATAACATGACATGGTGTATGATTGGCGACGCCTGTCTCCAAGAGGGTGTTGGACTAGAGGCCGTTTCCCTCGCCGGTCACTGGAAACTCAACAACCTTTGTATCATCTACGACAACAACTCGATCACTTGCGACGGTACAGCCGACGTTGCAAATACCGAAGACATTAATGAGAAGATGAAGGCGACAGGGTGGAACGTCATTGACGTGTTTGATGGCCACTCAAACATTGGTGCTATTGTTCAAGCCCTGATGACTGCCCGAAGTAGCGATAAACCGACCTTTATCAATATTCGAACGGTCATCGGCTTCGGCTCACTCATGGCTGGAAATGCCAAAACTCACGGTGCTGCCCTAGGCGCCGAAGATGTTGCCAACATTAAGAAGGCATTCGGCTTAAACCCTGAAGAGCATCTCGTCATCCCGCCTGAGGTATACGACTTCTTTAGGGAGGTTGCGGATCATGGCGAGCAACTCGAGGCAGATTGGAACTCGACAATTAAAGCTTACACAGAGACATACCCAGAGCTTGCAGCCGAGTTCAAGCTCCGCGTGGAGGGCAAGATGCTTGATGAATGGACCAAGTATATCCCGAAGAAGGAAGACTTCCCCACAGGCCCAACCGCTTCGAGGAAGTCAGCCGGACTCGTGGGAAATCCGCTGTGTGAGAATGTAAAGAATTTCCTAATCGGCACTGCGGACCTGACACCATCTTGTAATGTTGCGTACAACAAGAAGGTTGACTTCCAGTCGGTAAGCTTCACCGGAACCACACGGCTTGATTGAGATTCTAACTTGAGACAGCCTGAGCTTCGAACCGCCTGTAATTTGAACGGAGACTACACAGGGAGATATATTCACTACGGCATCCGCGAGCACGCCATGGGCGCAATCGCAAACGGCCTCGCTGCATTCAACAAAGGCACATTCTTGCCAATCACGAGCACGTTTTTCATGTTCTACATCTATGCGGCTCCCGCTGTCCGCATGGGTGCTCTCCAAGGCCTCCAGCAAATCCATATCGCTACACACGACAGTATCGGAACAGGTGAAGACGGTCCCACACATCAGCCAATCGCATTGCCAGCATTGTACCGTGCAATGCCAAACCTCCTCTACATCCGACCATGTGATTCGGAAGAGGTCGCCGGCGCCTTCATTTCGGCAATCAATGCTAAGGAGACCCCAACCATCATCTCTCTTTCCCGCCAAAACCTCACACAATACCCACAATACTCGTCCCGCGACGGCGTTGCTAGAGGTGCCTACGTCTTTATCGAAGAACCAGAGTTTGACGTTACACTAATCGGCGTGGGGTCGGAAATGGGCTTCACGGTTCAGACCAAGGAGCTGTTGGAAAAGGAGCATGGTCTCAAGGCCCGCGTTGTCTCGTTCCCCTGCCAGCGTCTCTTCGAGCAACAATCCAAGGAATATAAACAGTCGGTCCTAAAACCGAAATCTGGAAAGCCTATCGTCGCCATTGAAGCTTACGCCGCAAATGGCTGGGAACGCTACGCCGATGCCTCGATATCAATGAGGCGGTTCGGCAAGAGTCTGCCGAGCGCCACGACATATGAGTATTTTGGGTTCCAGCCGAAGATTATGGCGCCAAAGATTAGTGCATTGGTAGAGGAGGTGAAGAGAGAGGGAATTGAGAGTTTGAGGGGCGATTTCAGGGACTTGAATGGGTATCTAGGAATTGGGTTTGAGCATTGATCTTTATCTGCAGTTAGGACTAGGCGCAATTTGGCTCACTTTCAGTCTTGTCAAAAATCCCCTCGGATTTTCTATGGATAATGGATCTTGTTGATGGCTGTTTATCGGCCTTGTGCCGCTGATGAGGTTCTATCGCAGCTCTGCGGCCGGACCATCGAAGATGCCCCCAGAGGCTGTGAGAAGCGTACGGCGTCCACGCCGTGCAGAACCAACAAACCAATCTTGATCCACCAAGCTGCTATCGTGGACTGCCAGATAGGGTAAGGCAAGTAGATTGCAAGTGTCAGAACAACAGTTGGTCGTGTGGTTATGGTGCTGCGGTAGGCGGTCCTGCGCAGCCTCCCCAGGCTGGACAAGGTGTCGAAATTAAAAGCCATATAGAACGCCAAATTAAACGTCCTGTTTCCAAAGCTCTTGGAACAGCTGAATCGCTGTTGTGATGCGCGGCGAGGTTGCAAGGCTCTGCTACGTAAGACTCTACCGCGTGAGGCTCAGCGGTAAGCACGGCGTCTCCGTCGTCGTCGGCCGCCGCGGCGCCATCGCGTGCGCTCGCGATAGGTAAGGTAATCGCTGCGGTATCACAGGCGGGCGCTTGAACGCGTGAGGCTTCGTGGATCTCGACGGACGGCAGCACGCTTGATGTGCGGATAAGGTCGCGGATATCGTTTCGAGAAGCGTATCGCGAGCTTCTAGGCGGGACACCCTATCAACAAGACATTGAAGCAATTCTAGAATCTAATCGATGCGATCACCGCGCTAAGGTGGCGGTGAGGCTATAATGATAATAGGTTGTATAAGCTATAACGGATAGCTATTTACTTATATTATAGGCTAAAGGACATTACCTTTATTATCTAGTAGATGCGCGTAGGAGGAAATAAGCGTCACTCCGAGCTAAACTGCTAAAGTTACTTAAGGGAAAAGCCTCTACCGACTTCATCGCCCTCTTCTACTATAAATGTACTGAACCCTGTATAGTTCGCCCATCCGCTCACCCTAACTCTCACTCCCCTTCTACCTCCTATCTCTATCTCTTCTACCGGCGTACCAGTGAAACCTCCTTTCCCCCCATATGCGTTCGACACGATGCTATGATACGTCCAACGCTGCCCCAGCTTCCTCTCCCCCTTCTCCACAGCCAACGCCACCCTCGCCTGGACACCCGAACCCGTTGGACTGCGGTCAACTTGCTGATCTGCAAAGAAACATAGTCCTGTCTCGGCGCCCGCCGACTCGGGCGCAGGAACACCTCTCCCCGGCTCGGTCACAAATACTGAGTACAGGAACTGCAAGTCCTCATGGTCAGGGTGGTGCAGGTACGAGCGCAACTCGGCTGAAGCGTTGAAAGCGGCTCTCAGCTTCTTCGTCGCGTCGCTCAGCGCGGCGATGTCTGGATGGGCTAGAGACGGCGAGAAGCCGAGCGCGGGCGCAGGGAGGACGATATAGAAGGTCCCACCATACGCCACGTCGACAATTACGTTTTCGCGGTCCCCGAGATTTGGCCAGCGCAGAGAGGGTGGAATGGGCACGGAAAGACCGATGCCCGCAGCGAAGCTGGGGACAGAGAGATAGTGAATCGTACGAGTCGTGTCGACGCACCAGTTACCGCTGTCGCTGGGCTTAATAGCTGGAACTGTCGCGCGGACCAGTCCGCACGGCACGTGTAGCCGGACTTCAACCTCCTTTTTCTCTTCGTCGAATAGCAGCTCGTCGTGCCGCGGAAAGAGGGCTGTGTCCGTACAGTCGACCAGCAGTCGGCTGATGGCAATGGTTGCGTGTCCGCACATGGTGCTGTAGCCCTCATGGGTTAGGAACAGCACGCCCATGTGGGCTTGTCCGGCGTCGACGAGCTCGGTGTGAGGGCGGAGGATTGCGCCATACATATCGCGGTGGCCTCGAGGCTCGTGAATGAGGCTGCGTCGGATGTAGTCGTAGTGTGAGCGGGCGAGAGCAAGTTGCTCGAGAAGGGTGCCGCTGCAAGGTGAATTTTTGATCAGAAGGCGCTGGGTAAGGAGAACGAAATGGGGAAGGCATACCGAAGCTCAGGAAAGCCGGAGTACACAATCCTAGTGGGTTCTCCGGTAGTATGCATCTCTATGGTCTTAACTTGCGAGGATACATAGGGACGGAGGAAAGACTGGACATCCATAGTGATGTGTTTGCCAGCAGGGAGTAGGTTTGGAGATGGCAGCAAAACTTAAGAAAAATGTCGAAGTAGAGGTTTGGGCACGGCCGAGAAAAGAGGATGAAATAGAGGTGGTAGTGAGAATTTATTGATCGGCTCGCGCAACTTTCGTCTTCCCGACTCCAAGAAAGACGCATATCACAGCTGTAGAAGCCTGTGCCCTACGGAAGACATTGAGGGGACTTCAAGACGGAGCTTTGACTAGACACTACTGTCGCTTGCATAATATGCGGCCGTCTGGAGCGAACATTAACATCCCTCTCTTTCGCAACTTGATCAGGCTTCTATTCAAAACGCAACGCCTCCATCTTTATAGAACATACTTTAGAGTATTGCAGAAAATGTGCGTAATAGTTCTAAGTATTTACTTAATGATATATAATCGCTATATAGTCAAAAGGCTGTACTTACTATAGAAACCTACTACTATCTTATATAGCTTAAATATTACAAGCATAGAATTTACCTATTATTTTAAAATACCTAAAAAGATACAATCTAGACTAACTAGTTTAGAACTTTAATAATTATTATAGTTTAGACTTAGTGTTTCTTAGCACTTAGATCTTTAGTTGTTCTAGAGTTATATAACTAGATTATATGCTCTATTTATAGAGTTATCTTTCTATTTTTCTTACTACACCTTCTAATCTTATATAATGTCTTATATATTACTTTAATAAATTAAGTTTTAGTATTAAGCCTTCCTGTATTATGATAATAATTCGCTATTTACTCTAATATTAAGTGCGTACTAAAGAAGAGCTAATATAGTATAAGAATAGATATTTTAAGGCTTTAGATTCTTAATCTTTACCTATACAATCTATATTCTTAAACTAATAGCTAAAAGTAGTTATTTTCTACTATCTGATAGTATTTAGTCTTATATAAGTATTATAAGAAGATAAGTTATTTCGCTGAACTAAGCTCGAGGTAGAAACGAAGCTAAATACCGTGAGTTGAAAGACTTAATTCGATTAGTCTATATAGACTATATCAACCCCTCGGTGCACAATAGCTGTCGTCCCGGACGTTGCGGCGCCCTCGGCGTTCGACGGTGCCATCAAGGACGTCCACGGGATCATCCATGACAGAAGCAACATTTCCTTCAACAACGATCCTGCAAAGGCGATCCCTCGGTTAAGCGGGCGACGCTGTCCGTCGTGGAGGCAGCAGCCCGAGCGCCAAGTGTCATGCGCGTTGTGCTGACGAGCAGCTCAACGGCCGCCACGATGCCGAAACCCGAGACACGAGATCACATTGACAAGCAGATGTGAAATCAGGAGCGCATCGACCACGCGGCGGACAAATGCGACGATGACCCACGCTTCGGCCAAATTGTGTATGCCGCCGCGAAGACGGAGGAGGAACGCGCTGTGTGGACGTTCGTTCGCGATCAAAAACCTGGCTTTGGCTTCAACTCCGTGCTGCCGAATTACAATGCAGGAAGGGTATTACCGGGCGTGCCGCCTGGTCCCTCGGGTCAGGGCATCACCAACGTGTACCAGGGCAATCCGGACATGGGGTTTCTAGCACAGTGGATGATTAATGTGGAAGATGACGAAGATCCAAATTGCGTGTTTGGCTGATAAGACGGTCAGTGGAGGAAGGATGCTTCGGTTTGCGCATCCATTCAACTGGAACGATGTACTGGCGCTCATCAGGCGGTTGAGGCCGCAGGCGACGACGACAGAGGATACAAAGGGGCAGCAGAGAGACCGGAGCACTGTGGACAACGAGAGAGGCGTGGAGTTATTGAGGAAGTTGTGGGACAGGATGGGTATCGCACATTCGAGGAGAGTGCGAGGAACAACTTGGAGCTTATGGAGTAGAGAGTCTGGAGCACTAAAAGGTATGCTTTCTGCTGTATGCACCTATCTCATTCCATGCAATCTAGAGTCCGCCATAAGCATATGTATGACAACCACCTACTCCATTCACAGGCGGCTCGCACCTTTATTCGAGATCGCAACCTCGCACTCATTCGCTTGCTTCATCGCACTCCGGATCTTTGCTTTCGCGGTCTCTGTCGGCTCCAAGTAAGGCCGCCGTGGTTTCAACAGTTGCACCGCATTTTCGATGCCCGCTCTTGGAGCTGAGAACTCCGCACTTGCATACTTCGTGTTTGCGATCCCTGCCTTCGTTGGGCTTTCCGCAAGTGCAGCAATGCTCTGCAGCCTTTTTGCCTCGTCGTATTTGCCTTGAGACCAAAGATCAAAGATTCTCACGATCAGGCGTGGGAAGATGTTCCCGAATGCAGCAATGCAGCCTGCACTTCCAGCAGCAAGTCCACCAATCAAAAAGTCCGATTGGCCACCAAAAACAGCAAATCTGCTCACTGGAAAAGTGGCAGTAAGCCTGGTGATCTTCGCGACAGATCCGCATGTCAGCTTCACTCCCACGACCTTTGGGTGTTGTGCTATCTCTGAGATGATTTCCGAGTCGAGATCCAGCCCGTTGCATACGGCTGGGAAGTTGTAGATGATGATCGGTAGTGGTGACACATCTGCAACTTGCGAGAAGAAGGCTTTGACTACTTCTGGCGTCGTCTGCTTGCCAAAATATGCGCAGGGCAGCACCAATGCGAAGTTGGCACTCGCCTTGTGTGCAACATCAATATACTCAAGGACTTGCGCTGTTGAATGGCCACCAACTCCAGCGATGATGGGAAAGTCGGGACCAACTGAACGCCGTGCGAGTTGCAGAAGTGATCTGCGTTCATCGTGAGTGAGTAGGAATGTTTCTGCATTTGTTCCAAGAATGACAAGCCCTTTCAGACCAGTGGTAGAAAGGTATCTGTAATACTTCGATTGCTCCGTGGGACAGAGCCTGTCTGTTGCAGGATCGAAGAATGTGATTGCTGGAACATAGATGCCGGGGTCCGGCACAAGATAGGAATGGCGTTCTGGAATCGAAGACGAGGCTGACATTTTTCTGCGTTTCTGATGACGTGAACAGGATGAGCATGACTTCGGTTCTTGACATGGTCCTTTACACGTATATACCTTGCGAGCGGAGAAGCAATCACGTGTCATGCCGGTGCTCAGCATCGGTGAACTCTCCTTGTGATCCGATGGTCGCCGAGCACAGACAGATAGTACGAGTATTGGCCGCAGCCTCGCTCGGATCAAACCCGATCGGAATGGATCACGGCCACTGCGCCACAACCGGCTACGGTCTTCGGCAAATGCTGTTAAATTGCAAATAGAGCATGGCCTCCATTTCTCGAAAGCGCTGTATATGCTTTGGGCGTTCTATCATGCAGCTACCGAAGATTGCAAGGCTGTGGAGCTTATGCCAGAGTATTCGGCCATCGTTACTCGTCATATTTGAGATCGTATCCACGCCATACCCAGACTCATACCCCAAGTCATATCCCATATCCGCACTCCTTGGGTCCAGCTGTTCGGCTAGTCTTTCACGTTTGCTGTTTTACCACTTTGCTTGCGGATACTGAGATGCTTGCAGTTGCAATACCTTGCTCTAGGGGCAGGCCACTGAGCTGTTTTGGTGCCAACCGACTGGAATGACCATACCGGCAGAGGTGTATTCAGTACAAATAACATGAAATCAATATCGTATACTTCTTGATCCAGGTTTACTCACCCCGATTAAGAGGTATATATCAAGGATTAGCATATTCATTGCTCAAGTAGGTCGAATGAACCCGGATCTAGGAATAATCCGATATTTATTTCATATCGATCAAATTGAATACATCTCTGTCTCTGATCCAGTAGTCATCCATTCGATTCCATCGAGATCAAGAGTATTTGCGACTGCCATCAGTTGATCAGCAGTGAATGCAGTCCGCCAGATTGCATCATCGACGAAATCAGAGTTAGACATATCGATGCCTTCGGATCCACCCAGGTTTGCCATCGATAGGTCTTCGTGCTGCCCAGCCTCACCTTCATGCCGATGCTCTAAGGCGTTCACTTCTCGTGTAGGCAATTGAATAAGCACTTGCTGTAGCTGTTGCAGTTCTGTCTTGCGCGCAGCGGCTTGGATGTGTCCCTGTATCGTAAGCTCATCTAATATTGAATATGCCATTCCTAACCATGGAAACTGAGTTGCAAGCAACTCGCGGTTCACGTATGGCGCGAGTAGTAGGGCCATACTAGCAGCGAACACTGCTTCTGAGTCAAAAGGTAGGAAGCTTTCTGCAGAAAGTTAATTTTCTTGGGGTGGTGAATGAGGTTTACTAACGTACCGAGTAAGTTTTGCTCTTTCAATTTTTCAAGCACAGCTATGATGTGCTGGGAGGACTCGATGCACATTTGCAGCAAAGTTCGCACACTTCCTGGCGAAGTCACCAAACTGTGGACATCCCCAGGCTTGTCAAGTCCTTTCTTAAACAAACTGAACAGAAGTGGTCTGGTGGCAAGGACGACGCACTGCTTGAGTCAACCGAACGTTCACTAAAAAATATGGAGCAAGTCTCGTCCGGACATACCTGATGATGCAGAAGCTGCAAGTGAGCGGAAACACGAGAGATGCCGGCGGCAGAACCATTAGAAGGGAGGTCAAATGATCTATTGAGCTGATCGGTCACGCCAGCAATTGCCTTAAGTGCAGCGTTCGTGCTGGAAATGAACTTCCTATACAATCGCCCTTCCATGCCATAAACAGCTAATGAAAGGTTGGGAGATTAGCCTTCTAAAAACAAATCGCAGAATGCTTGGGCTTACTGTTCAGTATTTGTGAAATTATCCTTGAGAGTTTGACATTAAGCTCGAGAGCAAGACCCTTCTGAGGTGAACCAGAGAACGTTGGAAGAGGTGCACTGATATCTTCGTCTCGAATGGCGAGCGGAACGCCCATGGTGGATGACATCTGCCTGTCGAGAATGTATACCGTCCACCAAGCATTGCGACAGCGTTGGATATATTCCTCATCTAAACCTTGGGCTTGCATGTTCGTGTGCATTCCCTCCTCTAGCGCTATCCGCAAAGCTTGACCAATCTGTGAACTTCCTTAATTGTCCATTTCAAAGAAGAAACAAGGACGCCTTACCACATTGTGCGCTGCAGATCTGAAGTCTAAGCAGTGGAGGTAGAGGGCTTTGCAGCAAAGCACCTCCACAGCTTGAACTGGCTGCGTGTAGAGAAAAGTGATGTCGGGCATAAGCTTCATAGCATGCACAAAATACTCCCCACCTAGCGGTGTTCGACCATCGTTTCTGCGAGCTACGAACACCTTTCCAAAGGCGAGAATTATAAGAAAATGAACAAACCAAAGCCCCCTAGACTTTGTGAGGTCAGGGTTAGCTCCATGAAAGTCGGTAAACTGAGGCATAAAAGTCGCCTCGTCAAACATGTGAAACATCTGGCCACAGTGAAACTTGACAGCATTGATCAGATAGATAGCATAGTCGACCGATGGAAGCACGAGGTTGTCTGGAGCAGCAACATCTCGTTGTCCATCCCAACCTAGATCGTACATCGTGCCGTCGAATATGGTGCTTTGTGCCGGCGCAGGCTGATCCGTGAGCTGTTCGTGGGCCATGCTCAATACTCGACGGTTGAACGCCCAGTTGGATGAAGTGCCAAGATACCATTTTCGGCCAGCACTGTCAGCCACATATCGTGGTATATGACTCGAGAATGGATTTGATAGTTTTGCTGATGGTGTTGCGCGACCGGAGTCCGAAGCAGATCTGCGATCAGCGAACGAAACAGTCGGGGCACTTTCGTTGACAGGTGCCGCCAACCCTTCCCGTCTAGGGGACGACAGCTCAGCTGCGCCAATGTCATCAACGGCGTTCTCTCGCATCGCAGCCGAGCGACCAGCAGTCACTCTGAGATTGTCGCCTCCGCCATCGAGATCCTCAGTGGGTTCAAAGCCTCCACTACCGCTATGGTGTGGCTGCGCTGTGACAGTATTCCGAGCTGCGCTCTCGTCTGCCCGCTTCTCCAATTCGCAGAGGAATCTGCACCATTAGCGCCCCGGTTCAGAGTCGGCCTTGGAAGCCTTACTCCTTAGATACAAGGATCTTCTGCGATCTGTCTTCAAAGCTGCAGCGGAGATTCCTCTTTGTGCATTGCTCGCAAGGCATCCGGCCGGAGCATCGGATCTTCTGCTGGCGACAGCGATAACATCTGCGGTGATAACGGGGTTAGTCGCTGTTCGGCTCAGCTGGCCCAGAGAGTCAACATACGCGCTCGGAACACGCTTGCGGATTCCATCTTGTCGACGGTCGGTATCCTGCGACGGCATCATGCAGCCGAAATTAACAGAACCGGATGCTGCTTATATTAGGTCCGAACGCAGTAAGCCACAGCTGCGGCATCAAAAGTGGTTGCTTTTCTTACGATCTCGGAGTGAGGTGTCAAAGGGTAAAGCGGTCAGGCGGGGTATCCGAGTCAAAATGCGGCACCTTCCCGGAAGGGTATGAAGGCAAAAGCCAACATCGAAGATTCGGTCAAACTCTCTCTATTATCTTGCCGAACCGTATCAGGCCGCCTGAAATCATGTATCATCGTCGATCGCTTGCATATCTCAGGAACTTGCAGCGTATCTCTTGCTGCTGTTCGACCTTTTCGCTGTCATACATGATGAGACATCGGCATCCTCAATAAGCCAAGTCGTGAGCGTGCCAGATTTCGTTGCATTTCGGCTTCGATCCCGACCTTGCAGCCGTAACGCCGTAGCTTGATCATTAGCAAAAGCGACCCATCAGCTTCGAGTGGTGACAATTTATCAAGATTTATGATTGCCGAGCACACAGTTATCCGAAGTTCTGCCACATGGATGCTCGATTGATGATAGTCTAGACTAGACTTTTTGCAGGCAGCAAGGAAGAACACGAAGGCCCTGTTATTACGAAGCGAAGTCGATAGCAAAGGCCGACCACGAGGATCGCTCGGCATTACCATAGTGGCTGCCACATTTCTCACATACATTCAGCTGACTTGTAAGTGATATCCCTTCACAGAGCCTATATGACTCCTAGCATTAATAGCTGGTGGTGTTATCGCCCTGAACTGGCTCGTCAGCATCACAAGCTCCTGCTATTTCTTCAACTGGATCATCATTGCCTTTACGAGCTGCCGTTTCCATAAATTCTTGAAGGCACAGAATGATCTCTTGCTCAAGGAGACACACGCTTGGGAATCCACGAAATGGCCACTTGCGCCTGTCTGGCTATTCACTATCTCGACTCTGATTCTAGCTGGTTGCTTAGCTGCTGGCATCAAAACCATCGGCGACCTTGGCTTCACTGCTGAGAATCTCTTCGAGTACATGCTGGGCATCTTCATCGTTGTTTCCTTCCCATTGGCGTACAAGGTTGTTTTCACAACGCCGTGGCGCAATGTTAAGACGGCAGATTTGGTGACTGATCACTGCAAGCTGAGCAATGAGGAACCCACTCAGCTGGATTCATATCATGAGCAACCAAAGTGGAGGCGCTTCTTGACCTATGTGGTATGGTAGAGGCAGCAAGCCACAGACGGAGATGAAGGAGAATTGTTCTAGGGGAGGTGCAAAAAGTAGAGCGTGGGTCCGTTCAGTGTTTTAGATATTATCCCTCTGGTAGTATTATGATAACGACATGCGGAGGATAACGTCGTAAATCTTAAACTCCAGCAATTCGCTCATACCCCTAAGTTGGTATCACTGATGTGACCTCGGCCAAGTAACCAAAGGTGGTCTCCAGACATAGTTACTGTAGCTCCGACAGCATACGACCTCCGCCTGATCGAGACCGATGATCCTCAGAAGCCATCTACTGGTCATTACGATCCTGGAACGCTGCTTCGTGCACAGCAGAAAAGCTGCTCTGCATAAATCTCATGTCTACATTGCAGGTGTCTTCACTTATTGACGATTAAGCTGTCTACTATGACGCTTTGAGGCGTGCAATCAATTTTGTCCATCATTTCATCCATCTTACAGTCGAGCTTTCACCATGCGATCGCGTTCCTCGACCACTTCACGGATCTCCTTTGTCGTTCCGATTCTCCAAGATACCGCATCGCCCCAATCCTTGCTGCTCTTTCGATCAGTCTGTCGCCATTGCCACCTGGGCAACTTTTGTCGACCATCATTGAGTAGATCGAGCACCCAAGATCCAACAATCGGCATCATCTTGAATCCATGTCCAGAGTCTCCCGACAACAGTACCACGGAGCGATCTGTATCTGGCACGAAATCGATGCAGAACTCCGAATCTGCCGTGTCAGCGAACCAGCACATCTTTTGATCGATAAGAGGTCGCTCAGCCAGCCACGGCAGCGTCTCTCGGAGCAGTGTCCTCAACTTCACCACGTCTTCAGCGGGTATCCAGTTTTGAGGAACCGGCAAAGCATTGAGAGGAGGCAGGGAGATGCCAGTCTTCTCGTTGGTGTTCACATATCCCGCACCTAGCGGGCAGAGTTTGAACAACTTTGTGGCAGGATCCGGTTCGAAGAAGAAGCCCAGGTCTCTTACATTAAGTACTGGTATGCCTCTCAAGAGGTCGCATTCCGCTTCAGTGAGCTGCACGTGCGCTACAGACCATGACTTAGCAACGTTGAAACTGGCGGCTGCGGGCAGAATTTCTGCCTGATAGGCTCCCAGGCACGAGATGACCAATTTTGCTTCATGGATAGTGCCACTCGCTACTCTGATTCCTGTACATCGGCGAGATGCACCTTGTCCTGAATAGAGAAGGTCGGTCACTCGACCCTCTTCTGCTCCAAGGACGAACCTGACACCTCGACCAGCAAGATGTTGATGGATGCCTTTCATAGCATTTGAAGAATGCGCGTACCCTGCATAGCGATTGAAGTAGCCCTTGAATCCAGTAACAGGGCCGCGAAATTGCCAGAAGAGCTCTTTGAAGCTTTGCGCATCATTTAATGGTGAGACGAATGGCTTGAAAACCGGGTGATTTTTTATGGATGCTAGAGCTTCGTGGAGATGTGTGACCGCTTTCTGAGGCGCACGGCCAGACGTTGCCACCACATATCCAGTTTTGTGAAAGTATGGACCGAACAAAGGTGTCTTCCAGCCTTTGATAGCCTCCTGCATAAGTTGTTAGCACAGGCGGTCGGATGATGCTGATCCGATTACCAAAGCTAGATCTCTATAGAACGGGTCTTCATATTCCGGACGAACAATTTTATTCAGATCGTACCCAGCAGAATATGGTGAAGGTATCTCTGATGCTCTGTCGAAAACCGTGATATCGTTGTACCCAGCGTTCTTCAAATGCAGAGCCACTGACAATCCCCATGCACCACTCCCGAGAATTGCGACAGGGGCAGTCTTGTCGGTCGTCATCGTTGACAGCTCAAGAGCAGAAGGAACGATAGATGGCTGTTATGCGAACGTTCGGGGGCGCTCTTGCCATCACATATGGATGCCAACCTATATGCCAGGGACTAAATGCCGCGTTTGAAACCTGAAATCAGACCCCCGCATTGCGATATGGATGTCACCCGATTGTCGGACACGGGTATGGCGTTGCAGCGGAACCACATTGAATTGTTCTTACTGTGCCATCCGAGAGAATTTAGAATGCCGGATAGTTGTTTGCGAGAGGCAGCAAGGTCGATCGTGTCCCGACTATGGTCACGGACTGAGTGGCGTCGGAGGTCCGCCGTAGCGCGCTCTAGCGTGCTGTAGCGTGATACGCCAAGCTCAAGTAGAACACTGGCACGAAATCTTATCGGATGAACATCCGCGAGAAGTCGGAACGTCCCGTCGGCCACCACGCTTCTAAGTCACCTCTCGCATCTCCGAGTCTTGCATTATCGCCCTATCCCCATCGGATATCGTATTTCGATGTCCCTTGAAGTTTGTAAGGCGGACCAACGCAGCGCACATTTTGTGCTCTGCCGCGATATGAAACTCCTTGGTCATCGTCGGGACAACTTCCCGTAAAGCTACCTCGGTTCCCGCTGACTGAACGGCAATTGCGAGTTGGGCTTCCTGACCACAAGAGCCGCGACCAGCTTTTCATGTGCTTTGACGTGCGCATAGGTCTCTGCTCGTCCAAAGTGCAGAGGGTGAGCGCATCGCCCATTATTCGCACCGCTGTTCCATATTTGCCTGCCATCGAGCTGCTTCCATGCGACCCACTCCACTAGTCAATATGGCAGAGTCCTTCTTCTCATCGACACCAAGAATTCCCAAAGATGCCATCTTCGCTTTAACAGCACAGTATAAGAGCGACAGCTCCCCGATCAAAGTCAATTTGGGTCAAGGCACATATCAAGATGATGCAGGCCAGCCGTGGATTCTACCCGCGGTCGCAGAGGCTCGCAGACGTGTCCAGAACCGCAAGCTAGTCCACGAGTACCTTCCCATCCTAGGCCTTCCAGAATTCAGGCATGCTGCTTGCAGGATGGTCATCGGCCAGCCAGCCTTCGATTCTGTATCTTCTCGTGTATGATGTTCACAGAGCTTTGATGGTAACGGTTCTCCGCTAACCATAACTCCAGATTGCCAGCTCTCAAGCCCTTTCCGGTACAGGCAGCCTTCACTTAGCTGCGTCACTTATCAAGACTTGCAGCTCGCTGAAACCGACGATCTGGATCCCAGAACCAACATGGTCGAATCATCATCTTGTCTTCGGTTCACTGGGCTTCAAATGCCGCTCATTCCCATACTACGATTTTGAAAGAAAGAGCCTTGATTTCGATTCATATAGAACCATGCTGCAGAGCGCGGAGCCAAAATCAATCGTTGTTCTTCATGCTTGTGCCCACAATCCAACAGGGTGTGACCCAACAAAAGAGCAGTGGCGCGAGATCGGGGAAACGATGAAGCAACGGCAACTGTTTCCACTATTTGATGCAGCCTACCTGGGGTTCAATTCAGGCAATATTGACGATGACGCATACGCAATTCGCCTCTTCGTGAATGAGCTCGACATGGAGGCTGCTGTGTGCGTGTCGTTTGCAAAGAATATGGGTCTCTATGGTAGGTCCGAACGCTGTGTAGCAGAGCTACTTGCTGATGCTATGGAACAGGCGAGAGAGTCGGATGCAGTTTCCTTGTGACACGGAATGCCGATTTTGCAGTGAACACTGAGTCAGTGTTAGAAAGGTTGCAGCGCTCGGTAGTTTCAAATCCGCCAGCGTATGGCGCGAAGATTGCAGGCACGATTTTGAACGATGACAAACTCAGGAATATATGGAATGATGACATGGTTACGATGTGCTCCCGTATCAAAGAGATGAGACAAGCACTATACGAGCAGCTTCTTGTCAACGGTTTGTGCAACATATCTGCTGAGTCCGGCACCCATCTAATGTGGACAGATGCTCCGGGTGATTGGACCCACATTATCAAACAGTCAGGCATGTTCAGCTTTCTCGGTTTGCCACTTGAAATCGTCATCAAGCTAAGAGGTATGCATACCTCCGGCTGCGCTATTGACGGCTGCTGACAGCTATCTAGAGCAGCACCACATCTACATGGCAGATAACTCACGGATATCAATAGCGGGATTGAATACGTCGAATGTCGCGTACGTAGCTAGAGCAATTGCAAAGTCACTCCAAGTGACAGAGGGTGTGGATGCCGAGTCGCATGTCACTTCCATGCTGTAAGCTGCAGAGATGCAAAGCACTGTCGCTGTTTGTCAAAGGATATTAGATTGCGAGAAGATGGTGGTTACGCGAGCCTCCAATTGGTCTCCTGCCTCCAAGTAAGCCTATTTTCGTCCGACCCAGGGGTCGGCGAGCGGAATGATAGTCGCCATATGACAGTCGTGAGTCGTGACAGCCTCCAAGGACACAAACAGTGCTTGTTGTTGAAGGTCCATGTGTTTATAATCGGCGCCGTCTCGAAAATTGAACCGGCCGGGCTCTCGAACTCAGACACTAATGTTTTCACGTTGTTTACCAAAGGGATTAAGAGTAGGAATACTAGCAGTGTTGTCAATAAGTAGCTACAGTGTACGGAGTATATATTTGTTACGCTTTTGGAATAAACGATCCAGTACCGCCGGCATCTCGGTGACTTGCCCAGCCGGGCGATATAGTAGCCTGCGAGGCTCTTACAAAACCCCCCTAAACTACATATAGCTAGATAGCGCCCTGGTGTTGACTCTAGCCCTACCAACCTTATCTGAGCCTCATCAGCCTTACCGACCACGCTAACCGCGGTATGGCAACTCCGGATATCATCCAGACGGCTAGCCGTAGTACTGCCGCTATCGAAGATCCAGTATCGGTCCAATCTAGTATAAATAGTTACCGATTCACGAGCTATCGATTGACAACACTGCTAACGAGGGTGCATTGACAGATGGAGGCAACTTTCAAGGACACTTGTGGACGAGCTTACAGCTATGTGTAACAATACATAGGTCATAAGTTCGCGCATTTTGTGCTAGTGCGACCAGACCACTATTGAGCGAATGTGCCTCCAATATATCCTTGCCACCAGTTCCGTCGCTTTCTCAAATGACCTCACACTGAGTTCGAGTTATCAGCACAGGACCATGCCGCCGAGCCTCCAGAAGCTTTGTACGAATCCATGATGCCAACGATAGACCCATAGGTGCCGCCGATCATCAAGAAAGTCCCTGACACGACCACAAAAACAGCCCAGCAAACCATCAGCGTTAACTTGGTTGTTCGTTCGGCCTTGAATGTGCTCCAGTTGTCGTACAACCACATGCAGCCCATCGGCTGGAACGACATGAGCGTACCGAGCAAAGCACCGACGAGGGAGACAAGACCACCGAAGACAGGAATGGCGCTTGCAATCACATAAGCAATGATCGCAATTCCGCCTGTGCAGCCCAGCCAGGTTGCCCAATGTCTAAAGGTGTTCTCACTAAGGTGATGGGTACCACGCAAAAGGCGCACGAAGATGTACTTGGCTGGCAAGTGGATGACGAGAGTCGTTGTGACAAGGAGCCCCGGAAGAGCAAACCCATAGCAGATCTTCTTGATGAGGACACCCGCTGATCCGAGAGCAGGTGAGGCTACAAACGAACCGCAATAGTAGTAGACCACAACGCCGATTACGGTGTACGTAATCGTGACACCACTCTGGCAAATGATGAGGGATCGTGTGTAGTGTCGAGGATCTCGCATTTCAGAAATGATCGAAAAGAAGGCAGGTGTGCCGGCGTATGCGAAGACCAATGAAGAACAAGCGGAGATGGCTTGAGTGAACGATGGGTTGTTGGTGAGCTTGTAATCTGACACAAAGACACCTTCTGGAGGCGCGGCAGCAGGGCGGTCTTGTATGCCGACAGCAATAGTGACAGTGAAAACTGTGAACAGTCAGTCCCTATCAGATGTAGCCACGAATTAATAACTTACTTGCGGTCAAGATACACGTCAATCCTAGCCACGCGAGCCAGGTTATTTTACCAAGTGTCTGAATGCTAGAGAGGCCGAATCCTATAATCGCAGCAACAGCAACGAAGATTGCAGTACATGCTCCATGCGTCGAGACAGCATTCAGACCAATTGAGGTGCCAAGCATGCCAGCGCCAGCGACGAAAATCCAGTCTGTGCAATTCAGCGGGAGAGCCACTATCCGCAATACGGGTAAACTCACAAAGGATGAATGCAACCCCGAGTGTTTCGCGTCCAACACGACCGAACATCAATTGACCAGCATCGTCGATGCCGTAGACGGAGCGATGTCGAAGCTTGAATATACCGACCATGTAGTCCGACCATGTTGTGATCACAGCAATCGCTAGCAAGCAAATGACGCCTGGAATCATCCCGAGAGTGTCGAGAACGGCTGGAATCGAGAGGACACCGAGACCAATCTGGGTCTTCATCATGAGGGCAACAGTTCCCATCCAACCGACCTAGTGAAGATTGTCAGCTTCTGCGAGATCGTATTCTGCGGTATACCAACATTGCGGTAATTTGGGCCACCTTCAACGATCTCTCCAAAGACATCATCGACAACAGAAACACGTCGCCCAGTCACAGACAGACGGCGCCCACTCTCGTCGACACTGTAGGATCGATGGTCCAGCTGCTCAACTTTTTCTTTGCTCATGTTTGGAGGGAATTGATGGTGTGATCGAAAAGACAGTTGCTGGTAATGGTCAAAGAGCTTCCATCAAGGTGCGCAAGCTATCAAGTTAGCCGGCTGTTGCACGGATGACCTTGATTATTATGCTAGCCGTGCCGCTCCACCACCACGTCCGTCCTGCGGACGTGGTGGTGGAGCGGCACGGCTAAGAGCGGAGCCCACGATCAAAGCTTTTCCCGTGTCTGGGGTATAGCGTGCTCGGGACTTCATCCGTAGTGCAATGCAATCCGTTTCTGCGGGGGAAGCTACTTTGAGGCTGCAATGTGACGTCAGAGAAGTGGGCGCGGCGTGCTGATCTTGCCTTGAGCCGGGCATGAAATGCCTCAAGCCGCTATTCCGAATCAATCAAAAAGTATCGTGGCTATTTTGCGGCAGTCTGTGGTACCCAATCATAGGGTACACCTGATATGCTAGATCCTGGCGATATGCACATTCGGTACACAGGCAAATCAACTCAAAACATACAAAGCGATATCGGTCCGCAGCCTCACGGGATTTTCACCTTTCCACTTAACATCTCGTAATGGCTTCGTCATTCACAATAAGCTGGAATGCATCTATGCAAATTCTTTTCAATTTAATCCTTCAGACTGAAGGAAACCCAGTATGGGTGCATGGTTGGGCTACTATTAGAGACAAGTCCAAGCCGTTACGATCGCGTACCTGGACGTGCCAGTTCCTCTAGGGTCTAGATGCCTATCGCTAGGGGGTTTAAGCCCTACTTTAGGGGCCTGCATGCCTAATCGGCGGGCGTAGAGCCTCTAGATGCCGGCATGGCTTCTGATACAAATCGTCATCAGAAGCAATGAGCAATTGTGTCGTGGCCAGTGATTCCGTCGTGGCCAGTGATTCCGTCGTCCACGATATGTATACCCATCAATCTATTCACGGACGAGATTAGTGCCTTCCTCAAGCAGGCTGAAAATGCTCTGAGAGGTTTGTCAGTGGTGGATGAGCGTTCACACTAGCTTGAGGCAGCTATCGTTAACCGTCCAGATGGTTGAAGAAATCTGTCAAGAGCGTTTACATCCTCGATTGGTGTTGGGCTAAAAGTCTTTGGCGACCCTCTGCAAGCTTTAGCTAATGATAAATTGGTCACAGATGAGGCCAGGCACAAATTGGTTGGTTTGCATAGTACTATGCAGAAAACCCATTAGTCCATGTCAACGAAGCATCTTTCGAAGTTCAGGCGTGTGCTGTGTAATAACCATTGGTGAAACCATCTCCTAGAACACTCGATACAAATCAAACGCAGGCGCATGGCAAACTTGAGCAGCGGCGACGAAGGATAACTCAACCTGTGCAGAAAGCTCTCCCTTTACATAGCTCTAGTTCTATATATGCCATAACAATGTAGTGCAGATTTTTCTGAGCAGATCCTTGCAATCTCAACTCCAGCATGGACAAGCCACAATGTTCAATCTAAGACTCTCCCAATGATTCATGCATTGCTAGGATACAGTACATTGTTCAGCGAATGATACTCCTCCTTCAAGGTCCGAGGCGCAGTGAAACGCATCAGCATATTTGCACTGCCAGCTTTGTCGTTTGTGCCGCTGCTTCTCGCGCCTCCGAAGGACTGCTGACCGATCACTGCACCGGTTGTCTTGCAATTGGTATAGAAGTTGCCAGCAGCGTAGCGCAGCTCATTCTCGGCCTTGCGAATTGCTGCTTGATCATTTGCGAAGATTGATCCAGTAAGGGCAAAATTGCCTCCTTGTTTATCGATGGCGCCAAGCAGAGAGTCAAACTCGGCGTCAGGATAGACATAGGCCACGAGAACTGGACCAAAGAGCTCGTAATCGAAAAGAGGGTGGTCCAGAGTGTCGGAAGTGTAAATCGTAGGCTCAATGAAATACCCCTCGCTTGAGTTGTAACCGCCACCAACGACCAACCGAAGGTGGTTATCCTTGTTAGCCTTCTCCATGGCGCTAGTGATCTTGTCAAAGGCAGCTTGGTTGATGACTGGACCGAGGAAACTCTGAAAATCTTCCGGATGTCCCATCTTCACCTGACTAAGCTCTTGCTTCATTTCTGAAAAGAACTCCTTCGCACGGCTTTCGGGAATGTAAATGCGGGAGCAGGCGGAACACTTCTGGCCAGAATACTCGAAGGATGCTCGTATCGTATGCTTCACCGCGTTGCTGATATCCGCGGATTGATGGATGAGATGGAAGTTCTTCCCTGAGGTTTCAGCAACCAGTCGCGGAAAGTCGCGATACTTCTTGGCTTTCACGCCATCTGCGATCTTGCCATATAGGCTGCGGAAAACATCTGAAGATCCCGTAAAGTTGATGGCAGACAATTCTCGATGCTCAAGAGCTACCTTGGTGACAAGTTCTGCATCGCCATTAATGAATTGTATGACATTAGGCGGAAGGCCAGCCTCGCGCAGGATCTTGTAGACGAGGTAGCTAGCGTAGATGTTCGATGGAGAAGGTTTCCATAGAACAACGTTGCCTAAAAGAGCCGGACCTGATATCAAGTTCCCGCCAATGGCGGTGAAGTTGAATGGTGAGACGGCATAGACAAAACCTTCTAGTGGCCGCCAGTCGGTTTTCCTATACTTGAGTGTTAGCAAGTTGACTTTCCTAGAAGCCTTATCGTAGTGCTCACCCGGACTGGCCCTTCTCATTCAAGGTTGGCTGTCGAGAATAGATTTCCTCTGCATAAGAAACGTTGAAGCGGTAGAAGTCTGCCAGTTCCGCAGCCGCGTCAATCTCTGCTTGCCATGCATTCTTGCCCTGACCAAGCATAGTCGCAGCCATTATCTCGAATCTATACTTTCCCGACACCAATTCTGCAGCTCGAAGGAAGATTGCTGCTCTATCGACAAACGGAGTCTCTTGCCATGATTTCTTTGCTTTTAAGGCTGCTTCTATCGCGGCAGAAACCTCACTCTCTGTTGCTGGGACATATTTTGCAAAGACCGACGAAGCTTCGTGTGGCATATATGTCTTCAGTTCCGTTTCATTCGACGTGTTGGCAACATCAGCACCATCGACCACGGTAGGCACCTGAACTGGAATTTGGGTTTTCAATTTTCTCAGTGCCGATACCAAGTGTTCACGCTCTGGTGACGATGGTGCATAATGAAGCTCAAGAAGTGTCAGCCGAGCTGCCCACAGCTCCTCAAAGCATTGGATCTCTTACATTGGGCTCATTGAAAGGCTTTGGGGTATGGTAACTTCCTGCAGTGGCTAGAAATCGTTTCGTTGATGCCGTCGAAGATGGATATTGCCGTTCTAAGCAGCGCCGTGCTTGGCGAGGTAATGTGCCCGCTGATCGGACGGCTCGTCCTTGCATGCTGGATAAGAATCTGGAGACCAAACAAGATTTTAAAGTACTTGAAGCTGATCAGGTAAAATTATGGATCAAAGTTGTGCCGCTGCTGCTGCAATGTTGGATCGTGAGGGCGAGATCTCAGACAAGTCGACTTGTTCTTAGGCTATAAAGCATCCGAGGCCCACAGAAGCCTCTTTGCAAAGGTCGGCGTCTCTGGTTATGACAAGGTGCGGTGTCCGACCCGGACTCCACCAGAGGTTGAGAATTGCCATACTTCACGTCTTGACCCCGCAAAACAATCGTCTCTTCAAAAAAAGACTGGACGAGGATCGGATCGAGATCCGAGTCACTGGTGAAGGCGGTCTCCGTGCGCACTTGGGATGTTGTGATAAAGATGGTCGGAAACCGTGCAGCTTCGGGCTCACTTCCGACGTCGCATTCTTGGCAACAAAGTGCGATGTAAGCCAGGCCTCTTGCCTTCGGAGTCTTCCGCAGGGTACCCAAGAAGTTCCCAGCTAGGCGCAGAAAGCGGGAAACATCTACTGAATTCTATTGAGCTATCTCGACCAGTCTTTGGCTGAAAGTTTCAACTTAGGGCTGAGCACATGCATTGGCCAGAACCCTCCACACGCTGGCACTTCTTTCGAGCTCGTGTAAACACCACACCAAAAGCGCCTAATGTTGCAAAGGACAGCCTGTGCAGCATCGAGTAACCGACACTCACATCAGTTTTCTCAAGTGCTCAATCCTGTAGATTTTCATTAGCGATAGAATTTCGCAACTCACGCAACACTTACACAGCAAAGCACCCTGCTGACGATAATGACGTCCTCACAAGTGTTGGGGCCAGACCACGCCAGAAGCCTCGAAAACCGCCGTATTGCCATATCTCCTTCACCACAGCCCAGGTAGTTCGATACCTAGCATCAGCACCAAAACCATCGCTTTGCAACCTGGTCTTGACCGCATCGATAGGATAGCTGCCTATCCAGAACGCTATCCCGGCCAAAGCACCGCATGGTATTGTTTCCCAGACGGCTATGTCCTTCCGCTCTTTGCCCTTCAAGCTAGCAATCGAGCCTAGACTTGCTTCAAAAGCTGCAAAATAAAAACCGTAGGCCTGAAACTCTCGTAGAACAGTGGTCGGATACGCCTTGAAGATCCCTGCGACTCCAGCTTTTGCGAAGATCTGTCTGACACAGTCGGATGGTCCCGAATACAGCCTCGCGACACCATGAGGCTGAAGTTGTAACCTTGTCCTGATGTGTTCGACAGGTCCAGAAATGATGCTGTTGGCAATGCCTGCTGCCCCTCCAGAAAGGTAGTTTTGTCCGGTCGAGGCACGCTGGCTGTGCTGTTGCCTTTCGAAGTATTGACGCAAGCTGTGGAAGGTCATAAATTGGATACTCACTGAAGCACCAACGCCCAGAAACGGAAGTGCTGCACCTTTGTAAAAGGCAAGTGGACCTTCGTGTAGCCAGATGCCCTTCACGACTTGCCAAACATTGCCGGAGTCGCTTGTCTGGAGGCGTACTTTGATCAGGTCGAAAGGCTGGCCGAGAAGCACCGAAACAACACCTCCGGCTGCGCCTGCTAACGCATCCTTGCCTGATATTGTTGTCGCCTTGTTTGTGGCTGCAACTGGATGTCGTGATAGTGCAGCATTGTCGGGCGTCAGCAAGTATGTTTGGGACATCTGATATTGCTTATGCAGACTAATGACTGTGGTAGCAGAACAAGAAAATTTTGTAGAAAGTTTGACTCATGCAACATTGTTTCGATTATTAACTTCTGCCAGTAAACAGTCATCACGCATAAGCTTTGCCTGCAGGCCAGCATTGTTAGAGTCCGGTAATAATCAGCTCGAGTCTCTGTATCTCTCATGCACAGTTGCCATGAACATCACGGCAAACGGCAGGATCCCGACGTTACCATCGGTCACAGACCCGATTAGAAAAGTTGCACTACGGCATCCCAAGCGGACACTCTCCCATGCTTCTCCGCCTAACCAATTGAAAGTTGAGCCATTCAGTGTAACAGCAAGAGCCGCATATCGGCAGGTCAAACTGCTGTTGCTTTGCCATGAGGGTTTGAGGGAAAGTGTAAAGTGCGGGGTTGCGCGGGAATCGGTCCATGAGTAATAAATTGAACTCGGTGCAGTTACGTGGTTCCCGATCACTATCCGAGCTGCTATCAAGGCAAGTAATGAGTCTCCAGACTGATACTGGTCTTTTACAGGGCCGAGGACTATCCGCTTTAGGTATGAAGACCCCATTGTGATGTTGATAACACGGCCTCCGTGGTATGCAAGCAGTCTTTCTACTAGACCTTTTCTTTTCGTCCATACGAGGTGGTCTACGAAACAACAAGCACCGCGGAGCGACTCTTCTAGAACAATTGTGATCTGATCAGAAGGCATCCTAAGAATGTCGCCACTAACGCTCAGACGTTTCTTCATGTCACGTCTGCCACGGGCTTTGAAGAGACAACACGAAACCCTACGATGGCAGTCTACATATTCGCATCCTCCTGTACCGACCGATAAAGCTCGTATGCTTGCAATTCCGCCACTCGGGCAGACAACGTTACTAAGTCGTCTCTCGACTCTAAGCCTCTTCAGAAGTCTGTGCTTGAGCATATTTTTTACTTCGCCAATGGTCTTCAGGCCCGGATTGGCTGTGATGAGAACGATCGCTGATTCGAAGTCGGCATTGTTGGATCCTGATCACAACCCAGTTCTAAGAGGTGTTTTGAAGCCGCTCATCTACGACCAATTTTGTGCTGGGACGACCAAGGATGAAGTGCATCGAACAGCAGCTAGCATCAGGAAACTTGGCTTCGCGGGTGTCATTCTTACGTATGGACGAGAGCTGCAGATCAATAAGAAAAAAGGTCTGGTAGGCTTGGGCAGGGAGGCCGTGTCGCAGAAGAGCGAGGATATCAAGAAGTGGAGGGATGGAAACTTGAAGACGTTGGACATGTTGCAGCCGGGTGATTGGCTTGCAATCAAGTAAGTATTTCAGCCGACAGTGTCCGATGTCCGGAACTAATCTCGCATAGGTACACCGGAGCCGGTCAAGAGATCACAGAAAACTTGATGAGCGGTCAAGCACTACCTCAAGCATTTTCGGAGGCTATGGATGCTATCTGCGAACGAGCAATCGCCCAAAAGTGCAGAATCTGGATTGACGCCGAGCAATCCTGGGTGCAGCCAACCATTGACAGATGGACATATGACATCATGAGGCGTTATAATATCGGTTCGGCACCATTGGTTTATAACACCATTCAGGCCTACCTAAAGGAGTCCCGCCATAAGCTCCAACATCACTTGCAGCTAGCCAAACAGGAAGGTTGGACACCGGCGGTGAAGCTGGTTCGAGGTGCATATATTGGGAACGACGTGCGGGAAAAGATTCACGACACGAAAGCCGAGACTGATGCCTCCTATAATGGTATCGTACGTGATCTGCTTTCGGGAACAGTTCCTGGGTTCTCGCAGGATCAATTCCCTAAAGTAAAGCTTTTCCTGGCGGGCCACAACACAGACACCATTCGAAAGGCTATCAAACTTGCACAAGACCTTTCAGCAAAGGGACAACTGAAAGTGGCACCCGAATTCGGCCAGCTACAGGGTATGGCGGACGACGTTGGCTGCGAGATAATTGAGATGGCTCAACAGCAACAGGATGGTCCGCACAGCCAAGGCAAGCTGGTTGCTGACAGTCAAACTTATGTGCCGCACGTGTATAAATGTTTGACATGGGGTTCTGTTAGAGAGTGCATGCAGTACCTGGTGAGAAGAGCAGTTGAAAATCAAGGGGCCACAGGAAGGATGAAGGAAGGCACTTCTGTCATTGCAGCTGAGCTTTGGAGGAGGATTACATCACTAGGCAGAAGACGTGATAGGGTCTAGGTCATGAGTGTTACGAATGTTATGAATCGTTTCCACCAGACATCCCCCTGGCATATCGAACCGCGTGTCTCACCGCGTCAGAAATACCCGGCCTTACGCGCCCACGGTCAAGCTCCAAGATGGCATTTATGGTGATACCATTGGCGATAGACATGCTCTCCTTGAGACCCTCAATGGACATATGGCCTTGCAACATGCTGGCAGAACTCCGAAGACATTGCGCTGCCAGCTCTAGTGCTTCTGGCCGGGATATGCCTTCCGCAACACTTCCATCAACAATTGCATCGGCAGCGACGACCGTCAGAGCATGACACGCAGCGCTCACGGCCGTAAAGCTTCCAATCAGCTCTTCAGAGACGATTTGCGTGCGGCCCACCTGCTGGAATAGCCAGATGACGAGCTCTTTATCAACGGCGTTCAGAGAAGCGGCAGCGATGATGGACATGGATTCGTTGATTTGTGCGCCAATGCTGGGAATGACGCGTGCGACACGATCGGAATCAGCCAGACTGGCGCTTATCTGTCGTGTCGGAACGCCAGCAAGAAGTGATATTATCAGTTTATCCTTGAGTGCTTCGGCCAAACCGGGTTCGCTGAGTACTTCTGATAGTTGATGTGGCCGAAAGCCTAGCAAGACAACATCTGACAACCTGGCTGCCTCAACATTGCTAGTGCCGACATACTGCGTACGACCAGCAACCCGTGAATCTTGTTGCAGTCGGTCAAGCGACGCCTCTGAACGAACACTGAGGGAGAACTTCAAATCGTGTGAGGACTTTTCAGTGGCTTGAAGAATCCCTGAGAGCAATGCTGTTCCCATGAAGCCTGTGAAAGGGGGGGTTTAGCTCAGCTCAAACAGTCTCGGCCGGCATAAGGCTTACCACATCCGAGGATTGCGATCTGTAATTTTTTGAGTGGTTTGGCAGCTGGCGGATGTGCTGTTGGATGCTCGGACTCGGTATGAGACGACATTATTGGGGCTTGGCTGCTGGTGTTCTCTCACAGAGCTCAGAAGATGTACTTTTATGGGAGAGGCAAATATGCAAAGAGGCAGATGAGAGTATCGATGCTCTGGTAGGACTTTTTAAGCGGGCGGGCGAGGACTCGGATGGTGAACCGGGCTCTTATCTCCGGTCCCATATCGGCTGTCAGGCATGGGAGCAAAAATATCGCAATATGCCGAGGTGCAGCCGGCTGAAGCTCTACTTCCAACTTCTAGGCTAAACAACGTGTATTTATCTGAAAGGTTGATGCATAGTATAGAGCCTCGGTGTCTGTTTCTAGCTAAGCGGTAAGCAATATTCTGAAACTGTGTGGTGGACGATGACGTGGATTATGGTGATTCTTGGCATGTTGCAATACTTTTGCTCCCATGTCTGCCGGTGAAGCGATGGGATACGAGTAAAAGGGCCAGTACTAGTAGAAAGTTTATACTTGGGAAGGAGCCCAAACGGACTCTCAGGACGCTGGTACGAGGGAGATGCTAGCGCAAACGGCACCCCAGCGTTTAGACGGAGTCAAAATGAGCTTCTAAGACGCTAGTGTTTCCATCTCGCTCTACAAGTTGCATCGTCCGTCGAAGTAAATATTTACTTCGACCTTCCTGAAATGCTCCTCAAGCGGTTTACCTTCTTCACGCTTCCAGCTAGCTCTACCCGTATATCTGACGCCTCACTCTGCTTGGATAGGTCTACGCTCTCTCTCCGGCTAACAATCTTCTTTATTCTATCCCTGCTGTAAGGAGCCCGATATGGCTCTGAACCAAAGCTGATAACTCTATACCTAGCTTAAAGAAGCCAAGACTAGGAAAATATAGAGCTGGAATTTTGACTTTTGGGCGGAATGCTCGTTGAATATCCAGTGAAATTCGTAAAACGGCCCAATCAGGAGATACCGGACTGGACTAATGGCCGCACCGGCCGCCGTAACAATCCCAATGACTGCTAGGAGCTCTGGGAGCCCATACCGACGCCGCCATCAACAGAAGGCAGAAGGATCGCACGAGCAAAAGAAAGAGCAATGACACAGTCAATTTAACCAGAACCAACACAGCGCCCAGCTTCGAGTTCACAGGCGGAGGAGACGGAGGAGAAGGGCCTCAGAAACTCCGCAGATGCCATGCTACCGGCAGCACTTCGGATGAACCGGACTCCGCCTCCGCAAGCCAATTTACGCGTCATGAGAAAGTCGCGTCAGTTCGCGACCCTCTCTTCAGACAGAACATACAACCTGCCTACGGCCAGACCAGTGAAGCAACGATGGCTCGAGGTATTGAGGGTAATGAAATCGCTGTACCGAAGCCAGCCACCTTTAAGAAGACCCCCTCTGCTTCACAGTCCGGCAAAGGCCAGAAGAGCATTCTGGGTTTCTTCCAGAAGACCGATGGCGCCTCAAGTCCCGTTATCAAGTCTTCGCCACCCGCCAATGCTCCTTTCAAGAGTCCAGTAACTGTTCAGACGAGAAAACTATCGAGCCTGCCCAGGGCCTCAAGCACAGCGTTGACACCAGTCCCGACCAGCGATGCTCCGATACCTTCCTCGAGTCCACCGTACAACGAAAGTATTGGCGGGAAAGGTACGAACAAAGAGAATGGTCTGCAGCCATCTACCACATCACCAGGAGCACAAGCTGACGGAGCCTTGCAAGTAGAACTCGCAGGTGGCGCTCTGCTCAGCAGTCCCTCGCGGAAGGTAAACTGGTTACATCCATGCTCTTCGTTGTGCGCGATAATAACTGTCATAGTCCAAGAAGGCGGTCAGCTACGCCGAATCGGAAGAAGAAGACGAGGAAGTGTTTAGGCAGATCACAGGCAACACTGGAAATGGCCGGGCGTCGAAGAGGTTGAAGGTCAGCTTGGAAGAGTCGGATGATGAGTTTGGGCTTGATGCTGCCACACAAGCTGCTCTTGTAGAAGACGGTATGTGTGAAGTCAACATGGATTGCGGTAGCCCAGCACTTGTGGCCCAAGCAGGCGCTGACTGAATTCAGACTTCGATGACTTTATAGCTCCTGACGATTCTGACGAAGCACCACTTCCACAGAAGAGAAAGCGCCAGCCTTCGGCACAGTCGCGCAAGAAACCTACACAACAACCTCCAAAAGCTCCCACACCGACGGAAGATGATGACTTCGAGATGCCTACTGTGTCAACAGCACAACAATGGACCTACGACCCTGAGAACCCGCAACGCATTCAGCCCAAGCCAACACCCGTAGCTGCCAAAAAACCTGCCATCGACAAGAACAAGAAGCCGAAGGCTCACATGACGGAACCCGACCAGCGATACCCGTGGCTAGCCAACATCCTCGATGCGGACAGGAACCCGCCCAACCATCCTGACTATGACCCTCGCACCATCTACATTCCACCGCTAGCATGGAAAGCCTTCTCGCCGTTTGAGAAGCAGTATTGGGAGATAAAGCAAAAATTCTGGGACACCATAGTCTTCTTCAAGAAGGGCAAGTTCTACGAGCTCTACGAGAACGATGCCACTATCGGGCACCAGCTTTTCGACCTCAAGCTTACTGATCGTGTCAACATGCGGATGGTCGGCGTACCCGAGGCGTCTCTGGATCATTGGGCGAACCAGTTTGTGGCAAAAGGCTTCAAGATTGCTAGAGTGGACCAGATGGAGTCGGCGCTGGCAAAAGAGATGCGGGAGAGGGATGGAAAGAAACCGGGCAAGCCAGCGAAAGAAGAGAAGATCATACGCAGAGAGCTGGCGTCTGTACTCACGGCAGGCACACTGGTTGATGGCGGCATGCTGCAGGACGACATGTCCACCTTCTGCGTCGCCATCAAGGAGATCGATATGGGCAACCGACCGGCCTTCGGCATAGCGTTTGTCGATACCGCTACCGCGCAGTTCCATCTTGCCGAGTTCGTCGATGATGTAGACATGACAAAGTTCGAAACGTTTGTGGCACAGACGCGGCCAAGAGAGCTGTTACTGGAGAAGTCATGCATCTCAACCAAAGCACTGCGCATACTCAAGAACAACACCACTCCAACTACGATCTGGAACTATCTGAAGCCAAACAAGGAGTTCTGGCCTGCTGACATAACTTGCCGCGAGATCGATGCGAGCGCCTACTTTGTATCACAAGACGAGGAAAACTCCGAAGCTTGGCCCACCGTCCTCCGCGAAGCAAGGGAGAAAGAGCTCGTCATGTCAGCCTTCGGCGCGTTGGTTCAGTACTTGCGGACACTCAAAATCGACAGAGATCTTGTCAGCCTTGGCAATTTCTCTTGGTATGATCCAATCAGGAAGGCAACGAGCCTGGTGCTTGACGGCCAGAGCCTCATCAACCTCGAAATCTTCGCCAACAGCTTCGACGGCAGTACGGATGGCACGCTGTTCACGATGCTAAATCGGTGTGTCTCGCCTTTCGGCAAGCGCATGCTTCGACAGTGGGTGTGCCACCCGCTTGCCGATGCTGCAAGAATCAACGCTCGCCTTGACGCTGTAGATGCGCTGAACGCTGATGGTACGGTGACTGAGCGCTTCACCTCCTCTTTGAGCAAGCTTCCGGATTTGGAGAGGCTGATCTCTCGCGTCCACGCCGGAAGATGCAAAGCCCAGGATTTTGTTAGGGTGATTGAAGGCTTCGAGCAGATAGAGTATACCATGAGCCTCCTCGGGGAGTTCGGCGAAGGCGACGGTGTCATCGGACAGTTGATCTCGTCTATGCCGGACCTATCGGGCGCCCTGAAGCACTGGAAAGAGGCCTTCGACCGAACGAAAGCTAATGCAGATGGCATACTCGTGCCTGAACCTGGTGTCGAGGAAGACTTTGACGAGAGCCAAGAGCGGATCGAGAACTGTCTCAAGGATCTTGATGATCTTCTCAAGCAAGTTCGACGCGATCTTGGCTCCACAGCAATCGTCTATCGTGACAATGGCAAGGAGATATACCAGCTCGAGGTGCCTATGAAGGTTTCAAAGGTACCGAAGCACTGGGATCAGATGTCCGCCACGGCCAAGGTGAAGCGATATTACAGTCCCGAACTCCGCAAGCTTGTCCGTGCCCTGCAGGAAGCACAGGAAACGCACGGCCAGATCGTCAAGGACGTCGCCCGAAGATTCTATACTCGCTTCGATGAAGACTACACAACATGGCTTGCCGCAACAAAAATCGTCGCCCAGCTGGACTGTCTCATCAGCTTAGCCAAAGCCTCAGCATCCCTCGGCGAGCCAAGCTGCCGACCAATCTTTGTTAATGATGAACGGACTGTGCTGGAGTTCACTGACCTCCGCCACCCATGCATGCTCACCAGCGTGACGGACTTCATCCCCAACGACATCACCCTTGGCGGTTCCGCCCCCAACATTGACCTTCTCACCGGCGCCAACGCGGCGGGCAAGTCGACAATCCTCCGCATGACCTGCATCGCAGTCATCATGGCCCAAATCGGGTGCTACCTTCCCTGCACCTCTGCGACCATGACACCGATCGACCGTATCATGTCCCGGCTCGGCGCCAACGACAACATTTTCGCCGCCCAATCCACCTTCTTCGTCGAGCTGTCAGAGACAAAGAAGATCCTGTCCGAAGCCACGCCCCGCTCCCTAGTGATCCTGGACGAGTTGGGCCGCGGGACTTCATCTTATGATGGTGTTGCGGTTGCCCAGGCGGCGCTGCACCATATTGCCACGCACGTCGGCTGCGTCGGGTTTTTCGCCACGCACTATCACTCCCTCGCGACCGAGTTCAGCGGACATCCGCAGATTGCGCCGAAGAGAATGCAGGTCCACGTTGACGACGAGAACAGGCAGGTCACGTTTTTGTATAAGCTCGAGGACGGCGTCGCGGAGGGGAGTTTCGGCATGCACTGTGCGGCCATGTGCGGGATCCCGGCAAAGGTGATCGAGTGCGCGGAAGTGGCGGCGAGGGAGTGGGAGCATACGAGTCGATTGAAAGATAGTCTTGAGCAGGCGAGACAGGCGTGTTATGTCCCGCTGGGTATGCAGAGTGATGTGGCGTGGATTCTGAAAGAGGAGGTCGAGGAGGTGGTCGGCGAGCGAGGGCTGGAGGTCTTGAGGCAGGCGATTGAGGCGCTTTGAGGTGTGGTAGTTTGTTTCGCTGTATTGGCTGATGTTGACCACATTTGTCTGCTGGCTTAGGTGAGCGTTGAACTGATTCCCTGGGCTGCTAGCCGTGTCGCTTGTGAGTGGCACTTTCGCGCCTCTAGCCCTGATACATCTCCTTGCGTTTGCTGTCGCTTCACACACCTGCTGTTTTATGCATATTCTCAGTCGCCTCGCGCTGGCTATATTACCGTTTTGTCATGGGAACGCCGCCAGTTCGCTTTACTTATCCATGTATGAAAATGATGAAGCGAAATCTGAACGTCTGAACGCATCGTACACCATTGACAGTCAACTCACAAGCTCTTCCAAATGCAGCACACTGTAAAGTCTGTAATGTGATTTCGCTACGCAAGAATTGCGTGGATTTCGGAGACTATGGTTAAGCAGCGCCCTCCAACGCTCTACGAGCGAGAAATGGGAAGCCCTAAACTCCACCAGAAGATACGCCGAGCGCGCAGAGCACGCTGTGCGACAGCATCCCAGACTTCCGCTCAGGCAATGCAAGTTCCCAAACGTACCCGCCTGCGTTAGCCATCCGCAAAGAGACACCCACGCGCCATGAAAGATCGCACGAACGCACTTTTTCCAGTTCTCGGTGGAAAGACTCCGCCATCTCCGCCATCGTCCCACGCTGCCCGCCCTCTCACTCGGCGTTCAAGAAGCGCTTCTGCTCGACCTCCCAATCGATCTCCCCATCCATCTCGTCCTCGGCCTCAATCTCCGGCTCCTTCTTGACCAGGCTCCCAACCAACTCCCTTTCCTCCGCCCTGACCATCTCGGCCTCTTCCTCCTCGCGCAACGCCGCCTCGTCGTCGGCAGCATCGGCCTCTGGCTCCGCCTTCGCCAGTCCGCCCTTTCCATTCGCGCCTTTGGTGGCTTTGGTGGCTTTGGTGGCTTTGGTGCCGTCGGCGCCCTTGGCCTTCGTAGCCGGCCTTCCGCGCTTCGGAGGGCCTGCGGCCTCGCCGTCGTCGGTGGTCGGCTTGGTGGCTGGTTTCTTGCGCTTGGCGGGAGTGGTCTGGGTAGCGGTGGTAGAAGTGCTGGTGGCGGCGGTAGTGGAAGCGGCGCCGTTGGCGGCGTGGGTCGCAACTTTCTTCTTGATGGCGCCCCAGACTGCGTTGGCGGAGGCTTTGTTCTTGAAGCCGCCGAGGGTGGCGAGCTTTTCATAGTCGACCTGGTGGAGTGAGTAAGGGCTGGGTAGGAAGGGGGCCAGACGGGGTTGAAGGGGGACGGGGGGGAGGGGAGGGCGAGGCGGGGAGCGGGGCTGACCTTTGGGTCAGAGATGAAGCACTGGTGGACGAGTGCGAGGATCTCGAGTTCGCGGGCGGTGAAGGTGGCCATTGTGCTGGAAGATGTGGTGGTCTGGTCTTGGATGAGAGAAGCGAAAGCTGAGATGGAGTGAAGTGTTGGCTGAATGTGAGATTCCGGGGACGGTGAGAGTGGAATATGCTTCGATGCCGTGCAGAAGCGGGATGTTGTAAGCCGACGCAAGATGGAAGAAGTTGTCGTTGCGAAGTGAAGAGGAGAGTTGATGTGGTCTGACTTAGGTAGATCTGTTGAACGCAAGACGATGACGCTGCTCTCACTTCTGAACGATGAGCCGATGCAGCTGATTTTGATCAGATGACTTGGAAGACGCTGGGGTCTGATGTGAGATTGAGAAAGGTTATTGGTCTTGGTTTCAACAGCCACACATCAGGTCTTGAACTAGGTAGAGCGGGACGACAATGCTCTGGAGTAGTGCAGTACCCGCCGTGGAATACGCTCATAAGAACCAACTCGAATCAAACTTGAAACGGTCCAGAAAGTAATGTGAGAAAGTGTGTTTGTTATGGATAAAACACCGTAGACCAGATTACTCTACTGCAAGGCTTACTAGCCACACAAACGGCATCCAAAGCTGCCACCGCCCATCGCTTGGGAATACTCGGCCCTGGGTGAACTTCTCACCGTCCGATGATTGTGGTTCCATTGACTGGCCACGGAAGTAGAGCATGCATATGGAGATACATACGCTGCGGGCTTTCTACCGGAGTGCTCCACATGCTGCCTCCAACTTCGCCTGATCCAAAGTCATCAGCGTGATAGACGGAGGCAGTGATCGGCTCTCTCGTTCGATATCCCCGTCCGATAGACGTGAGTACCCTCTCGGCTTTCCGCCGGGCGCCTCGCCGATATGCGAACGCGATTTACGGATAGAAAACGGCTTCATTGCGTATTGCTGGTCTCTTTACTCCTCTTACTGTACACCGTCCCCTTCCAGATCTTCCACGCAGCAATCCGCGCGCTTCTCAGCGCCAGAGACTGGAGTCCCATGCCCTGCATCAGCGCGCATAGCGCTCGCACTCTTGTGACCCTATCCATCCCATGATTGGATAAAATCTGGTAAGCTCATCAAGCAACTCGGCATGGTTGACCGCCGGGGTATGACCACAAAAACGCCAAACTATTAAGGAAACTAGACCCAAAACTCCCGCTTATTTTGATACCCTTTGCCATGTGAAATTGGGCCGAAAAGGAAGACCTGGTCTCCAATATATTACAGGACATTACCAAGCAAACTGTTACTGAGTTGGTCCGCCGGGCAGCGAATCAGGTGGCGGGACCGGGGCCGATGCTGGAGTGGGAGCCTGGGCCGAAGCCGCCGCAGCACCCGCCTCGTCTCCAGCGCTGATAAGCGTCGGTGCAATCCTTCTTCTCTTAGTCTCCTTCCCGTCTTCTCGTTCATTCTCTCCCTCCCTTTTCCTCGTCTGGTTCGACGTCTCAGCTTCCGTCTCAGATTCTCGCCTTGGCGCCACAACCACCGGGCCACTTATCGAGCTCGTTGCGCTGTGACCGCCATGATAACCGGGCATCGGCGTGAGCGGCGGCGTCCACATCGGCATACCACTGACCGTGCCTGAATTCGCTGCTGCTACACTCGGTACGCTTCCCATGGACGGAATCGGATTGTTCGTCACGTTTGGATCTGGCGGTATTGCGAATGAAGAAGCCGCAGAGGATGCGGACATTGACCGTGCTGGACTGGCGGGTCGAGCTGGTGCAAACGACGAAGGCGACGCTGGGAAGGTCGAGCTCGGTTGCTTGATTAGCGATGGGATGGTCGGTTGAGTGGGAGTTGCTGTAGGGGTGCAGTTGGTCGAAGAGGCAGAAGTGTTGATGGCGGGAGGATGATGCTTCTGTGTGTTGCCATGATAGACTTGGCCTAGTTCTCCAGCGGTAAATGTTAGGCATGAGCAGAATCCATCAGATGATGTCATCAGTAGCATCAAGCCATCGTTAGACCTGCAGATTTACTGTCAGCTTGAGTCTTGCTTCGTGATGACGGCATGCTTACCACGAGAGGTCTGTGAACGTTGCGTAGTGGAGATTGCTGACCACACAAAGTGGTTTCTGTTGCTGCGTGTCGTACACATATACAGCGTCCTGTGTGGCCACAGCGTATACAATGCGATAAGGCAGACCGAATGCCGCTGGCGGTCCCGCAGGCAGGCTCGATGACGTAGGTGTTGAGTCGGGATCTACGGTCTTCGGCGACGCTGCTGTGAAACCGGGAGACGGGGACGTCGCGCCGGCGAGAGGTGGTGGGTCCATCGTATAATTTGAAGGAGGAAGTTTTGTCGGCATAGCTGGCTCTGGTAGTGCAAGAATCTCATCGTCGGCTGAGGAGGTGTCGACCGTAATCTGCTTTGTTGGCACAACTGCCCCTTGCCGTAGGGTGTAATAGATAGGAGAGCAGCGGACAGCAACAGAAGGCTTCTTGTGGCCTGGAAGATACGCGATGGGCGGCTTGTTGAGACCTGCACGAGTGTATATGTAGACGGTGTTGATGATGTCGTCCGAGGTCTTAGCAGCGTCTGTTGCTGAAGGGTGCGAGGTCTTGTACTGTCCAGCAGGCGTAAAGAGCAGGCTACCGTCTGGGGCGAAGGTCAACCGCCGGAAGAAAGACGTAAGGGTCTCGTTAGCGTAGATGTTCGTGTTCCTCACACCAAGCCCGGCAGCGATGTTTGGAGATGCCGGGGGCATCACAGCTGGCAGAGGTAGCGAAGGTGCCGGTGACACCGACCGGCGGATAGAGGGGGACGTCCCGAATGAGGAACGGCGGCTATGAGACGTAGCCGGAGGATTCATCGGCAGAGCCAGAGATTGTGGTGTTCCGGGCATTGAAGGTACGGGTGACCCTGCTGCAAACGATGCTGTGTCATCCACAAAATGCGGTCTGGAGCTGAAGTCTGGGGGTGCGGGGCTGTTCGAAGATATGCGGCGGGCTGGGAGGTCCATCTTCGTCACCTTGCTGTGTTGTGCAAGCGAGAATTGACCATCCTTCGTCTTCAGCTGCCATATGTGTACCGATCGATCCGACGACTGAGTCGCGATGAACTCGTTGAGCGGGTCCCACGCAACGCCTTGCACATAGTGGTTGTGTTCTGCGATCTGTCTGACAACATTCCCTGCACCACCTGTCAGCTGAGTCTCTCCGTTGATTGGTGGTAAGTCTTGCCGCTTTGCGTGTTGTATATCCTAGCAACATTGTCCATGCTGCCAGTGAGGAAGAACTGCCCATCCGGAGACCAGGCAAGGTCATAAATCTCGGAGCCCAAGGAACGACACATGTGCTTGACACGCCATGCCTCCTTGTCTTCAAGACCATCTTCGCCGTATGCCTGTGGGGTCTGGGTCTCCGATGGCACCCATAGAAGGACATTGCCGTCGTCCCCGGCGCTGCCGAGTAGCTCGCCTTATGGAGGTCAGAGAGAGGGGTCGGGTCGTCGAACGGCGGGTAAGCGTACCTCGAGGACACCATCGAACGACGTTGACGGCCTGTGTGTGTTTGATGAGAGTTGAAAGATAGGTCACCTTCCTATCCTCACCGCTTGCTTCAATTCTCCAGATCTAAGGTGCAATGTAAACGGCTGGCACTGGACCAAATCAACGACAATGAGACCATACCCGAACATTGTTGTCCCCGCCAGCGGTAGCTAGACGGCCTTTGCCGTGAGGCTCAAAATGAGCAGAGTAAATGGGAGTATTGTCGTTGTGCCATGAGACGAGCAGCGGTGCAGCCTTCATGGTGGCTGTCGTGGCTAGCGGACAGCCAGATCTGATGGTTTCTAATGGATTTAATGTTGGAAATAAATTTCAGGCGCTGAAGTCGCCTCGATTGATCGAAAGTGGTTTTGCTCAAGAACAGTGCGGTCAAGGTGCGGAGTAGGAGGGCGAGCGGTGCGGTGCGATGAGGCGCAGGTGATCCGTGGGCTTGTACAGTAATGTAAATACCTAGCCCGCCCGTGCAGTTAAGCAGGACGGATGATGTTGGCGGCAGGCAGAATTACTCTCAAGTCAGGGTCGAGTTTCAGAACGGTAAACGGGAAGACGGACTACTGTATGGGCATGGATGGGCAATGCAAGCCGTACGAACTAAGTTGATGGAGCTCTCCAGCGATCGAGCGACGGGTCAGACTGAGGATCCGCTAGCGACGCGGTCCTAAAGCCATCTAAACCGGATTAGGTAAACTAAGTGCTTCAGTGCAGACGCGGACCACACGCGTTCCTCGCTGCCGAGTAAAGAGCATCGACAGCATCAAGAGCACAGCCACAAATCTTCGGTGCATCGAAATGCTACACTATGGTACATGGATATGATACACATCTACAGACACCAAGCCAGCTTTGACTCAGCTGGCAATGACTCAGGCTTGCTGCGCTGGCTGGGGTTCTCTCTGCTCTTTCAACACCTGCCATCCCGGAGCATCGAGTTCCAGCGCCTCGAATTCTTCGTCGCTGACCACCTTGACCACCTTGAGATTCCATTTTCCTGCTCTCAGAACTAAAAGTGAGTCCTCTATGAGGAAGCTCTTCCTCAACTGTCCGCCCGTCTTTGTCGCATTTGTCCATACGAGCTCGTTGCGCTTGAGGCCCACCTTGTCAGGCCTGGTGCCGATATACGCGCCGCCGCTGATGATGAGCCTACCTCCCTCACTGCGTGATTTGACTAACCCGGCAGACCACAAAACCTTGGCGGTTGGTTGACCGACGACCAGAGAGCGTGGAAGGGTCACGCTCGGCTTCGGTGCGTCGAAAGCATTGGTGCTCTGGCCAGAACTCTCAACAGAAGGATTAATGGAGTTGATGGCGCCGCTCCTTCCCGAGTTCCCTGTTTCTAAGCTATCGTTCAGCAGCTCCTCCCCCTTCAAAGGCTGTATTGCTCGCTCTGTAGCCCTACTGAATAGCATACGGTGCTGAGTCGAGGCTTGCTTGGCCTCGTCTTTGCCGTGCACAAGCTCGACGAACTCTTGCGCCAGCACGTGCTGCGCTGAGCGCCTCTCCGGCGCCAGGTGATGCTCATCCATGATAGTGCGGATGCGGTCAAGCGGCAGAAAAGTGAAAAGTTTGAGGTAGCGCTCCGCGTCTGCGTCGGCTGTCCGTACGAAAAACTATACTTGTTCATTAGCACCTAGCTCTTGAGCCATTAAAGTCTTCCCACTACGTACTTGATACAGCTCAAAGACGCTTGTCATGTCCTTGTCAAGCCATATCGCGTTTCCCGCGCTCTTCCCAAATTTCTGCCCCGAAGCAGTCGTCAGAAGGGGCACGGTGAGACCATACGGTATCAGCGATGGGTCCTCCTTCTCCGGCCATCGAAAGTCGGGGTTGGTGTGGGTCTTCGCAATGTATTTGATCGCATCAATGCCGGCGACAATATTTCCGTACTGATCCGAGCCTCCGATCTGCACTTGTACCTTCTTCTTGTTGTAGAGATGCCACCAATCCCAAGCCTGCAGTAGCGGGTAGGAGAACTCGGCAAAGGACATTCCATCGCCCTTTTCCATTTTGTTCTTGACACTGCGCTGTGTCAGTCCCGCTTGGCCACTACGTCGCACGCTTGCAAGTTGAGGGGACTCACTCACGTATCCCGACTGAGCATTGCCCCTAGTCTCACTCCGGGACCGAGAACTTTGAGAACCTCCATAAAGGGTAGCCTCTCCATCCATGTGTTGTTGTTCATCAGCTCATGCGCCCGTGTCCAGGCCAGGTCATAGCCCCATTCTTTCGCATTTGCATGCACATTCCCCCATAACCGCTTCAGCTGCATGTAGATCCCGTTTATATTCGCCCTCCGCGTCATTGAATCTTGCATCTCCCTCGACGTGGTCCTGCCAGTAGGATCCCCTATCGCACACGTTGCACCTCCCATAAGCGACACAGCACGGAAGCCATGCACGTATAACCAGAACAGCGCCATCAGAGGCAGGAGATGTCCAACATGCATCGACGGTGCCGTAGGATCGATACCCACGTACGCGCCGATGCGTTTCTCGGTCATGAGCTTATCGAGACTGTCACGGTCGCCGGCAATGGCGTTGACGAAGCCCCGTTCCTCCAGTATGCTGAGCATGCTCTTCTGCTTCCCAGCTTTGATCTCTTCGGCTTTGGCGTCCCACACATATTTTGCTTGGTCCTGTTTGGCGAAGGATACGGTTCGCTTCGTGGGCGCGAGAAGCCTCTGCTTGCGAAGACAGCCGCTGCAGACGTAGTGCCGTGGCCGGGAGAGGTGCCGCGTAAGAGTCGGTGCTGCCATGTATGGCCGATGAGAAACAACGTGTGGAGCTCTACTAGAGCATCGAGAAACTTGTCCCAAGCTCAGGAAGCTTGCGAGGCTTGCCAAGGTGAGGCCGGGGATCTGCCGACCCTGTCAACCCGCGCTGTCACATGGCATCCATGGATCACAGCACTCCCTCCCCTCGCTCAGGAGATAAAGCCATAGTACTGTAGAATTTGGGAAATGATACCAGACGCTTACTCGCCTTCCCCGGCGGGCCGTTCCCCCCGCTCTTGATCGAGTAACAAATTGACACTTTTCCTTCCTCAGTCCTCTAAATTTGACCAGCGTTTATGCGGGGGCCTGAACGGTCTTGACATCATTGCGCTTTCCTTTCTCCTCTTGTACTCCTTCCGAGTATTCTCCCGTTACAAGTTGCTTTTGAAGACATTGTCTGAGTTATAGCTTCATTCAGGATACCCAATAACGACATCCTTACTACCTGGTCAATTCCCTCTTGAACAAAAGCCTTTCGTTGTTGCATCTGGAAGCATGTCTGCCAAGCTCGTCTGCAGTCCTCCACTGGGCCAGACGACTATCGTCCCGGCTAATGCTGAATCTGTGAGCCTAACAGAACAGTAACGACATCTCGCGTTGAGTCTTCTTCTGACAAACGCCAGGTCGTCATCACCGCCTGCATCGAAACCGAGGCAGCATCCGAGAAGTCATGGGAGATTGCTTTATGGTGCAATCATGCCAACTCAGACCGTTGGAAGAGCTTTGAGATGAAGGAGACGGAGGAGCACGCGGATACGGTACCGTCATGAGTCCGCTATAGAACGTTCGAGTTCTGACAGCTCTTTAGCTTGTGGTTCGACAGAACGCCCAAGCTGGCCTTCGTCGGCACTGGTTCAGCGTATGCTTGACACCACGACCAAAGCCGACCAAGGCTGTGTCGTTCACGCTCAAGTTCCGCGCCAAGGGAGACGAGGATTGGCAGTGGGCGAACGAGCGATTGAGCACTGGGGATGGCCAACTCATTTTCGAACCGGAGACGGTCAGCGAGCAAGAGATTTCCTTCTACATCTATGGAACGAGCTCCGACTTTTCTGTTAGAAAGGAGGCCAGCGAAACTTCGGACACCCTACTCTGGTCTCTAGAGGCGCCAGTTGAAGCAGCATCAGGGGAAACCTCCGGCTGCTCTGACCACAGGTTCGGTACTGTCACCAACTTCAGCAGATGGTTTGCTCTTGTTCGGCTGTGGAGTCCATGGCTTGCCCCACGGCATGGAAAGGACTTTTACTCGCCGGACAAGGATGCAATCCTATCCGCGTTTCTGCGGCATGATGGATTGCACGTTGTCGCGCTCGCAGTCAGCGGCGTTGACGATGTTCTGACTACGTTCGCCCATGACAATCAAGGCAACGTAGTCGTCAAGGCGTCTAATGACAGCGAGAAAGAGGGCACCGCACGCGTCATCGTTGCCGTTGCCAAGTCTTTCGAGATCGCCAATGCGTCGGTAATGTACCATGCCCGCAAGATAATCACCCGGTACGAACAGGAGAGCGAAGAGCTCAAAGCCGAACTCGAAGCCATGGAGAAGAAAGACCTGAAAGGCCAGTGGCTCGAAGACTGGTACGACGGACTCTCCTACTGCACCTGGAACGGTCTCGGCCAGAACCTGACCGAAGAAAAGATCCACGCCGCGCTTGCCTCCCTAGAGAAAAACAACGTCAACATTACAAACTTAATAATCGACGACAACTGGCAATCCCTCGACCACGAAGGCGGCGGGCAGTTCCAACGCGGCTGGCTAGAGTTCGAAGCCAACAAGGCCGGCTTCCCCAACGGCCTCAAAAGCGCCGTCACCAAGATCCGCGACGACCACAAAAACATCGTCCACGTCGCCGTCTGGCATGCTCTCATGGGCTACTGGGGCGGCATCTCGCCCGACGGCCAAATCGCCAAAGACTACAAAACCACCCCCGTGCGCAACAAGCCCGGCGTCACCGCGCGCGAGATGCTCGTCGTCGACGCCCCGGACATCAACCGCATGTATCTCGACTTCTACCGCTTCCTCGAGCGATGCGGGATCTCGTCCGTAAAGACGGACGCGCAGTTCGCGCTCGACGAGCTGGCCTCGGCAGTCGACCGACGACGCCTCACCCGCGCGTTCCAGGACGCCTGGACGCTCAACAGCCTGCGCGTCTTCTACGGCCACGCCATCAGCTGCATGTCGCAGCTCCCGCAGATCCTGTTCCACAGCCAGATGCCGACGAACAAGCCCCGCCTCCTCGTCCGAAACTCGGATGACTTTTTTCCGGACCAGCCGGCCTCTCACCCCTGGCATGTTTTCTGCAACGCGCACAATAGCCTGCTGACGCAACATCTGAATGTGCTGCCTGATTGGGACATGTTCCAGACGGCGCATCCGTGGGCGAGGTTCCATGGCGCGGCGCGGTGTATCTCGGGTGGGCCGATCTACATCACTGATGTTCCCGGCGAGCACGACATCGACCTCATCAACGAGATGACGGCGCAGACGCCGCGCGGCAACACTGTGATTCTACGGCCGCACGTGGTGGGCAGGACGATCAACGCCTACGTCGGCTACGACGAGGCGGCGCTGCTGAAGGTCGGGACGTATGTGGGGATGCAGAAGACGGGGACGGGGATCTTGGGCGTCTTCAATACCACGCAACGTCCGCTCAGGGATCTGGTCCGCCTGGAAGAGTTCCCTGGCACGGAAGTCGGGGCGTATGTTGTCCGAGCCCACTCGACCGGCCAGGTCAGCGCGCCGCTGAGCCGGCAGCGGAAGGACAAGCCTGGTCTCGTGAGCGTCGAGGTTGGGGTGCAGGGCTGGGAGATCTTGTCCGCGTTCGCACTGCGCAGCTTTGAGCTCAAGAGAAGTAGCCCCGCAAAGGGCAGCTCGTCGATCACGGTTGCCAATCTGGGGTTGCTGGGGAAGATGACGGGCTCGGCGGCGGTGGTTAACACGGAGATCTATGTCGAGCAGAGGGGGAGGCTGCATTTCTGGACCAGCTTGAAGGCGCTGGGGACGTTCGGTAAGTTCGATCGGTTTCCCTTGTCTGGGATGAGTATAGAACTGATCACGGCGGCACAGGGCTGTATGTCTCGGATCTGGAAAACAGGTCGCTGGAAGATGACTTCATGGCGCTTCTGTTCGGCAGGCCGATAGAGATGCACTGCGTCACGATATCGAGCGCCTGCAAGAACGTGCTCGAGATTGACGTTGCGAGGGCGTGGAAGGAGTCGGAGCAGAGGGCGGGATGGAGCAATGAGGTGGCGATTGAGGTGCTAATCCGCTGATATAAGTATAGCATTTGATACCATACGAAAAGTACATGGTTATCTTGAAACCCGGCGAGAGGCTTCATTGCATATCTAGTAACCGGGAGAATAGGCGTTTGACTCATGATTTCTTTGGTCCGGTACATAGATCGGATGTTGTTAGTATGACAATGATTCTCAAGACGCAGAACTGTGGTGCATTGATGCATCGCATTGCGCAAAAGGTGAGGTTCAGCCTTTCTAGGAGATTGTTGGTTGGTGTGTTTGAACATGTAGTTGCAGCGAGAAAGCTGTGGTTGTTATCGTACCGTACCACCCGTTCTATCCTTTTGAGCTCAGAATTTGAGCAGTTCACCTAAACCCTGACCAACGCCTAAACATCATGGTCGACACCCTACGCAACCCCACCACCCTTCCCCTTCTCCAACTTCCGCCTCTTCGCCCTCAGCCTCTTCGCCTCATCCTCCTTCTTCTCATTCCCATACCTCATCTTCTCAAAGAGCTTCCTCTTCTTCCGACTCATCATCATCATGCCTCTCTCAAGCTCCTCGTCCTGCTCTTTCCTCCTCCTATCCGCCTTCTGCCTCGCCTCAGCCGCCTTGCTCTTCGGCGCACTGCTATTCGCGATAGCTGCCAGCGGCACGCCCGCGGCCTCGGCTTCCAGTTCGCGCTGGTGACGGAGGCGCTCTGCTTCTGCTTCGTCGAGGTCTTCGGCGGCGGGCTCGTCGTCGAGGCCGCCCCACTCCTCCTCCTCTTCGTCTTCGTCTTCCTCGTCTGAGGTCTCGGCGGCAGCGACATCCATGCCCTCGCCCGCCTCAACCTCCTCCGGCCGATCGAGAAGAGGATTCTCCGTCCGTCTCCGCGGCGCCGCCTCTTCCTCCTCACTCTCCTCGCCCTCGTTATCGACCGCTCCCTCATCCGCACCCTCCACCTCGTCCTCATCCTCTGCAGCAGCCTCCGCCTCATCCTCCTCCTCTTGCTCCTCGAGCGGCTTCGCCGGATCATAAACCCCCTTCCCAGCCTTAACCCACGGGCTCAAGTGTGGCGGCAGTGTTGCGCCTGGCGCATACAGGTCCGGTCTGAGCAGCCTACCCTGGTTGACACAATCCCAGACCCACTGCGGCTGGACGTAGACGCGGCCCGGGACCCTATGACCCGGTGGCAGGGTCCTTGATTTCGGAGCATCAGCAACTTCTGCTTCGGTTGCTTCTGGCTGTGCGGCAGCTGCAGGGACGCCGGATTGCGATAACGGCGGGCGATCGACGATCTGGTGCGTGATGCTCGGATCCGACTCATCGGCCGTGTATGATCCATCGCCGAGAACAGGATCCCAAGCTACGCGCTTGCAGCCGAAGGCCTTGAGCAGGAACTCGAGGGGTTGGCGGGGCGTTTCGCGCGAGAGCCAGACGGTTGTGTTGGCGAAGAGCGACGCGGCTTCTGCGGAGGAGTTGAAGAGGGGTTGGGGTAGGATGTCGGCGTCATCGGCTGTGGGTTCGAAGGTGTCTATGGCTTCTGTAGTGAGGTCGTCGGCTGGGGTTGGAGTAATGGCGGGAGGGTCGGCGGCTTCGGCGGCTTCGGCGTCTTCAGGTTGTGGAAGGGTGGCGAGTTTATCTGCGAGATCCTGGGCGGTGGTTGAGGTCGCCGGAGCTTCTGCAGTCCCGTTCGTCATGGGCACGTCCTCGATTGCTTTTTGCGGTTCCTCGAGACCTCGACCTTCCAAAGTAAAGGCACTGAGCTCGCCGCCTCGCTCATCGCTCTCTGCGTCGAACTTTGGCGGGTAGAGCAGGCCAATGGAGTTGTACAATCGGAAGTTGACGAAGCCTAGCAGTGTAGTGTAGAATTCCACAAAGGTGCCCATGATCCGAAAATCCACATCGCCCGTCACCCGCTGCACGAACTTGTAGGGTACTAGCCATAGTATATCCTGGCCTTGAATCGTCGCTTGGTAGTATATGCCCTTGATGGAGAGGAAGGACTTTCGAAGCGCATGCGTGGTGATAAGGTAGTGTTCGAATTCAAGACAAAGCCGCTGGCAGAGCGCAATGGTCTTGGGAGGTACGGTGGCAGTAGAGGGCAGGTTGGCGAAGAGGAACAGCATGGACAGCGCGTCGTCCAGGTCTCGCAGCGCGTCGACGAAGGTAGGATATCGCTCTTTTATGATATGGTCCAGCGTCATGCGCGGCGTCTGAGTCTTCTCTAACCGCGCTGCATCCTTGACCTCGCCGCGCCCGAGCGCTTTGCTGATCTTCTTGCCGAGCGCTTTGTGCTCGCGGAACTTTCTAAGGAGTGGCTCGTGGAGGAGGTATTGTATGTCGCGTGTGTAGTAGAAGGTTGTCGAGGGCGTGGAGCCTTTGGCTGCTTTCTTCTTGTTCCGTGGCTCCCTTGGGTATATGCCTGATAGACTGGATTAGATGATGCTTCAACAACACTGCTTCTATAACCGCCTACCCTTGAAGATACATAACCGCCGAAAATCCGGAAGTGATATCTGAAGCTTGCGCACAGCTTGGGTTCTCGTAATAAAGTTCTTTGCCTGACCGGCTTGGCCTGAGAAAAGGTCAGCATGACTGCAGAGTCGAATCGCTGCGAACATCCAAACCTTTCTTTTTTATGCGCGCCATGATTGTGATTTGCGAGAGAGAGATTGGGAGCTTAGAGAGCTTTCGCCTTGCGATGCTTCAGATGCAGTTCTCCCAGAAAAAAGTTCGGCAACATTGACCGCCCTGGCAAAATCTGGACGATATCGATAACGCTCCTGCTCACATGATGCTTGAGCTGCCGGACTTAGACAGCTACTTTAATTCCGCTTGACATCTCGTGAACGCGCGACTGCCAAACACGCACCGCGCCTTCTTTTCCGCCATGCTCTTGCTCCGCTGAGCAGTTGGAGCTGCGATATGGCTTGCCTCTCTTACGAACGTCGCCATGACTTTGCGAAGGGCGAGCATCTCTCGACCAGCACGCCGTCCAACATTCAGCTATACCAACATCTTATCCATTCAGCACACGCGACTACGAGCATCGAACAGCAACTGAAGCTTATAACTGTTCCCCCAATCATCACTGTAGCACACCAAGCAACAATGACTCCCTCAACGCCCTCCGGCACCAGTGAACCGGACAGGCCGTCCCCACAAGGCGGCATGGAAAGCTCCACCACACTCTCAGCAACCACCACACCGCCACGCCAAACCCTCCCGGAGCGTCCATTCTCCCTCAAGCGCCCACACGACACTCCTCGAGGCAGCCCAACCAATATCGCACGTACAGCCGACAGACTCGATTGCAGCTCCTCGCCCGAGCCCCATCACAGCCCCGGCTATGCCTCCTCGCCCATCCGCCAACCCAGCCCCAGCCCGCAACGGGACTCCAATCCCAGACCTGTGGCCCTACCGCCAATCCCCCATCCAACCGACCCGGACCGCGCGCCCTCCGCCGCCTACCACCCACAGCGCCTCATAGCCAGCACGAACGCCCTCAGCGGCCCCGACTTCGAAGCCCTGTACTTCCGGCGCTCGAACAAGCTGCGCAACTTCCCGCGCCCGCCGCCCGAGAAGGACTGGAGCGACTTTTTCCAGCGCGAGCGCGACGGCCGCGCCCTAAGCCCGAGCCCGCCGCCCTGGCGCCCCACCCACGCCGTCGAGCTCGCCACCACGGCCACCATCTCCGCCGCCGACGTCGCGGCCTGCTTCGCACTGGTCGAGACCACGTCGGCTGCGGCGTACAGGGCATCGAGCTTGGGCTGGGACGCCAAGGCCAAGGTGCGCGAGATGACGCACCGCGATGTGAAGTACCTGCTCGTGCGGCGTCGGCCTGCAAGCGCGGCGCCCGCGCCAGCTCGACCGCGCGCGGCCGACTCGCCGCCGACGCAGAAGCGGGACGGGCGCTGGTGGGGCGTGTCGCCTCCGTGCAAACGGCCGCGGATAGCGCGACCGGCGCGCCTCGCGGAGCCGGACAGGAGCGGCGAGGTGGTGGCGTTCTTGTCCTTCATGCTGGATGTAGAGGGCGCCGAGGCCGTGCTCTACGTCTACGAGATTCACCTCGCCGAGCAAGTGCGGCGGCTGGGGCTCGGGTCGCATCTGATGGACGCGGCGGAGCAGGTTGCACGGGATGTTGGCGTGTCGAGCGCCATGTTGACGTGTTTTACGAGTAACGTGGCGGCTGAGGCGTTCTATCGGAAGCGGGGATACAAGGTGCACAAGAGTAGTCCGAAGGGGAGAGTGTTGAGGGGGGGCGTTGTTAAGAGGCCGGATCATATTATTATGGCGAAGCGGTTGGGGGAGCCGCTGTGGTGGAAGGGCGAGGAGGTTGTGGAGGAGAATGTAGATGGGAGTGAGGATGGAGAAGACGAGAAGGAAGAGACGATGCGAACGAAGAAGAGGAAGTAAGAGGAAAACCCGTTTAGTCCTGTGGAGGTTGAAGATGGGACGGGGTATGGAGGGCGCAAGGATGGGGGGTACCGCTGTAAAACTCCACCTGCAACAAGGACGCTCACTTAACTCATGCGCAGAACCAAGAAACTCGGCATTGATACTATATCTGCCTAACATCTTTCCCCCTCATCTCCGGCCTCTCGGCTTCCCACTCGTCGCGCAAGACAGCATACAATGCGTCAGCGATGATGATCGAGAGACCCAGGCTCCACACAAGAGTGATGGCATAGAAGAAGTTGGCGTTCCCCGAGCCGGCGTAGATCCATAGATGATAGAATGCCGGGCCGAGAAAGGTGGCGTAGAGGAGGGCCGAGGCGGCAGGAAACGTGTAGCGCATTACTATGGTACCATTAACATCGAGAGAACAAATACTCCAGTTGCAGCCAGGTCTTTCGAACATGCTATGCTGCTTGGTATCATGTGACTTACGCGGAAAAACGTGTCTATACAGCGGCAGCAGCCCTAGATACAAAGTGACATCCGCGATGCTCGGATACGGCTGGAATACCGCAAAGATGCCCAGCAAGCTGACCACGACAAACAGCGGCTGTTTCCGGAGCCTGAAGCTCAGTCCGCCGACATAAGACGCCATGTGCAGCCAGAAGACGCCGAGGAAGAACTCGCGGAACGAGTCGAACATCTCGATGAAGAAGTACCACCACAGCCCGACGTTGGGTGTCAGGTCAGGCAGCAGGAGCTGCACGCCGTAGGTGCTTGGTATAAACTCCCATGATCCGGTCAGGAGGTATGATACGTATAGCAGCGCGCCAGTAGTGACGAGGAGATCGGAGAGGTGGAAGAGCGAGAAGTTCCAGGGGTTTGGAGGGTTCTTGGGCGAGCGGCGGGCTTCAGCGTCGTAGCAGAGGAAGACGAGCGGCGGGAAGAGCAGGATGGGGTAGAACGAGAGGTAGGAGGCGATGGAGAGGGCGATGATCATTGTCATGGCGGAGCCAGTGCAGGCTTTCGCGATCGACAGGAGGATGAAGGTGTTGGTGAAGACGGAGGTGGGACGAGCAAGGGTAGTAAGGATTGTGAGCGGGTTGAAGAGGAACCTGGACGGCGTTAGTGTAATGCGGGATACGCTTCAGCCCCTTCTATGCGAGTCCTGGACCTCACCCTGCTGCTATTGCCGTGCTACTCCACCGCAGCTCTTTCCGTGGTGATGTGAACAGGCGTGAAGAGACCGACTCGGCAGTCTCAGCAATTTGCATTAACGCATTGGCGCTGCAAAGGTCCGCGAGTATGTACAGGAGGTTGGCCGCCAACGGATGTGCTCGAATATCCGGTAGCAAGGAAAAGAGTGGCAATAGTAGAGGCGCCTTTCATGGTCAGCGCAAGCCGTCGAAGTGGTCGGCGAAGGGGTGTACCTGGTGGAAGATGCCGCCGTCGTAAGGAGAGACATTATGCGTGTAGAGGAAGAGACCCTCTTGTACTGCCGAGCTGTTAGTCACAGTCCGCACCGCCCTGTCTCCTCTTTATGTCAGACCTACACCTCTTAAAGCTCGTTACTGGGGTGGATATTTCGACGCGGCCGGTCAGGAGATCTGGCAAGGAAGGGAATGCCGCAAAGAGGAGCAGACGGATGGCTGCTGCGGCGCCGAACAGAAGCGCCTTTTGCTTGTCAATAGCCATGGCGCCTGCTACCTCGCTGATTGCAGCATGTTGCTCAACGGGACACAGTGTTGCAATATTCCGATGTCGACAAGTGATGCTCGATAGCGCCAAGCGGCAGGGGTCATCGGGATGCCCTGCAGAGTTAGCGCGCGATGCCGTCAAGCATTGAATTCAAGCATTTATATTCCAATGCCAGAGCATCCTCAAATGCTGCCAGAGTGATATCGAAGTCCGTAACTGCAGCTCATGCGCCAGCGTCACATCCTCCTTGCCAGGAGCTATGCCACGATAGCCTCGAGGCGGAGCCTCCAGGCCAAAGGCCCCCTGCTTGGCTTGGATCACGTATGTTCCCATGTCGGACCACCATAGCACGCGTTAAACAAGCCTGCTGATCAGATGGCCATACACAGTTCTTGCAGAGACAGCGCACGCTCTCGCTATGGAGACAGATAGTCCGAGCAATCAACAGTAAGATCACATACCGCAGCGGATACCGTGTCGCTTTGGCAAACAGTAAATGATTGCATGTGCAGAGATTCCCCCATCGTCTACCAAGGAAGAGATGCGCCAGTATGCTAGGGAAGGGTTTGAGCGCAATCGAAACGTGACGGACCTGGTAGGTTCTTCACTTCCAGCTGGTAGTCGAATTGGTCGATACTGACCGCTACTCAGACTCACATCAGATACTTGGTCTCCGTCAGTGTTGCTTCTGGGACTTGCAGTTTGTCTGTTAACCGTCAATGCAGACTGGAAAGGTTGAGTTCGACTCCATGAAGAGGTATATCGAGGAGCAGGCTCAATGACAATTAGTTACTATCAGCAAGGAAGCCTGCCCGGATACGGAGGCCGGCTTCGGCTGTTAGTGAAGCTGCTTCAGCTTTTAGTGAATACATAGTCCGGCAAAAGAACAATAGAGCAATCGTGAAAGTGCGCCGTGAGATGCACGTTTCCGCAGTTTTGTAACGCGGTAAACCAGATGATTGCGATACGTAGGTACATCTAGGCTCCAAGGGACGTCTGAAGTCCTTGTCTCTTCGGCGATCTGCCAGCCTTTAAGGCTGGTATGCAGTTCTGTAGAGGTAGCCCTAAGAAAAGTTACATAGATTAAGTTCCAACTGCAGACGTCAATGGCGCTAGCAGGCATGCATCACATGCACAAGCTTAATGGCTGCCGTCCGGGGAAACCTCTTGGCCAAGAACAACCCACCTGCACATCAACGCACCTCCCTCATCGCCGGCTGTGTGCGATTCGAGAGCATTTGTTAGCAAGAGGAAGAAGACTGTGGTATCATCATGCTCTCAATTCGTGCTGCGCCCCCATCGACCCATCGGCGGTAACACCCTCTCCTCATGTCGGGCTCCCCTAACGCATCACGATCCTCCACCTTGTCCCATCCATCAGCTGCCTCCTCGTCTACCCTAGGCTCGCGATACTCTAGCGCAAAGATAGATAATGGAGAGCCTGGCTCGTCCGGTGGGAGGGAAAACGGACGTGTTTCCAGGAGAAGGCGGGGGATGCCCGAAGCCGACGGCGAGCACCCGCTCTCCAGCGGCGCATTGGAAGATAATCTTGTGGCCGAGCAAGACTTTGCTGTCCGGCGACACAGACCTCGAAGATCCGGAGGGTTCCTCCTAGAACCCACTCTAGCCCCTAGCGTTGAGAGCGAGACAATAGAACGGACGCCACGTTTCCACGAAGGAGACCGTAAAGGCAAGCGAAAAGCGGAAGACTCAGGGGCGAGCCGTAACTCAACAAGGTCTACGCGATATGACAGCGCACAACATGCAGCAGAAGATGGCATTGTCCCCGCACGAAATCCTATCATCGCTGTTGCCGACCATGACGAACGCGCAGCTGATGGTATCGCGAAGGAGAATCGCGCGCTCCTTGATGGGCAAACTACGCCTCGGCTCAGCAACGACACTAACACACTTCTGCCAAGAACGCGTGATCGTTCTTCCCCAGCGTCAACTTCTGGCTCGCCCTCTGCTGGCGGCGGAATTGACCCAGCTCAAATTGTGACCATGGCTCTGAACCTGAGTGAGAGTCGACGGAGACATCTGAGTGCTGGGTACCTCGCAGCTCCTCCCGTTCCTAGCACTAGGCGGGTAACATCCGCTGGTCTGCCTCTAGGCACGGCAAGCCCGCAGTTGCACGGCGGTTATCAGAACTACGGCGCCGGCGGCAGTCTTAGAGCGCATCTGCAGCAGCAACGTCGCATATCTCGAAACTTATCGCCGCTTACTGGCAGGAGCTCACCACGATCGCGGCACGCATCTCGCTCGGCGGCCCTGTCCACTGAGCAGTCAGACCTGCTGCTTCCAATTCCGAACTATGGCTACAAATTTTCCGCAGCAACATTGGCTAGAGCAGAGAAGGCCCGAACCGCTATTGAACTATCAGTGGAGTATAGGCGGCTACTGAATTTATTGCCTCCGCTCAAGCCAGACTCGACCGCCCCCGGAAACTACAGAACATCTGCTTCTAGCGTACCAGGCAGTGGCGCCGTCCACCTGTACCAGATACCCTCTTTCACCGGCGATCGATACAAGCTGGGAAGATCTTACAACCCGTTACAGTATCTTCGCAATCGCAGACTGAGAGCACGTGTCGGCAGGCCACTGGATCCAGGTAAGGAGGAGTTCAATGACACGGAGCGAGTAAGAGCGTGGATTGATACCGTACAACGTATATCGGGCCACGAGGGATATCGTGAACAGGACGGCGTCAATCTCCCAGCGTACTCGGATCAGCTCTCTGCTGCTGGCGTACAACCAGAATCTGAGATAGGGCATCGTAGGGCAGGCACAGCATCTAGCAACATCAAGCGCCCCCGTATGGATTGGCACTTCTCTCCTTCGGGCCTTCTAGCCGATGTCGTGTGGCTTGAACAAGGTGATAATAAGGGATTAATCGAGACCAGACACAGTTACAAGATCTTTCCTAATCTCGAGCCACGCCAGAGCAAGGAGTCCGCTCCAGAGCCGGAGGCGAAGCGGCACAGCACGGTTGGGTCTGTAGTGTCCACCATCCGCTCTGGTTTAGGAACAGCAGATAACAGCGATGAGGAGAACCACCGTGGTCGTAAGAGGCGGCATTTGCTCCCCGTACTCGGCGACAAGAGTATTAGGCGTGCGTGGCGCGCTTCGAGGACTCGTTCTGGAAGCGCATCTGGCCTGTCATCCTCTGACGGTGATGACTCGAGTCGACGTAGGGGTCGAAAGCTTCGCCAAGCGCTCACGACGGATGATGAAAACACTGGTCCTTTGGAGAAGTATCTGAATGATATACCTATCAATGATCCTAAGGATGATGATATGTCGTCACCCAGTGTTCTCTCCCCAGACACTCCGAACAAATGGGGCCATGGTCATGTTGCATTGTCCGGCGACCGAGTCAATCTCGACAAGAGGGACTCTAGGGATTTCGCAGCGAGCGACGGGTCTCACCAAGCAGTTTCTGGGATCTCTCATTTGGGCAAGCCAACTTTGAATGGTCGTCCGAAGGAACCTAGGGTCTCTTTTGACGGCTTTGACTCGACTGCACCGAACTCTCCAAGCATAGACAAATCTGCTGCTCAAATCACTCCTGATCCAACCCCACCCAGTAGTCGCAAGCCTTCCCCAACGCGAAAGTCCCACAAGTCCAAGCTTTCCATATTCCGCTCCGACACAGGCAAGAAGGACAAGGACACGAGCGCTGTTGATGCTGCCACTACCGACCACAAAGATCACGACAGCTCACCAGCACCAAGCGCTGACGCAGAAAATCAAAACCGACGCAGTATTGACAGACCTCACGTGGAAGAAAGTTTGAAGAATCCGCCCACTCACAGGCGCGATGAGAGCCGGAGCAGTCTCAGACGAGTCGAGACCAGAACAGCCAAGGATGGTAGAACTCGCAAGGAACCAGGCTCAGCTGTCTCCCGGTTTTTCAAAGGTGGCCGCCTCGGAGAGATTGTACGCAGCGAATCCGCGAAAGTGGGTGGCTTCATCTGGCGAAAAGAGACTTTGGGAGATGACCAGCGATCCGTAAAGAGCTTCAGCGACGTATCTGAGTTCTCGGAGACTGAGGATGAAGGGCCCGACGCAGGTCGGATGAAGCAGCGACCCAAAACACACAAGCGGACTGTGACCATCGGTGACACATTGGAGACAGATCCAAAATATCACCGAGTCAATTTGCCGTCATTCAAGCCATTCTCCGCCACACAAGAAGAAGAAGAAGCCGCCCAGGCCAACACAGCCAACGGCACTGATGATCCAGTCCATCGCCAGCAGTTGGAGCTGAAGAAACGCAATCGCTCAGCACGTTTTGACCGCCTTGCGCCGCCGAAGATCAACATCAGCACAGCGTCCACTCCGAACCTTTCGCGGCAGAACACCGACGACCGCCGCGGCAGCTACGCCTCCTCCACTCAATCGCGCAAGCAACCAACAGATCGCCTCACTGTCAGCTACACGAAAGCGGGTCGCGACAGCCCTCCGTCCAGTCTGAAGCTAGACCGACAGCGCAGTCCCAGCCGTCCACCGATCAACAGCAAGCGCCACTGGAGCATCTCAGATCCAAGCCAACACCAGCGCCGCCAGTCCAGCACCACCATCGAACCCAGCGCAACCCTCGCCACTGACCTAGCCCGCACGCGCGCCCTCCTCCTCAGCACAGGCATCAAAGCCCACACCATCCACCTCCTCGCCAGTTCACCCCGCTCCCCACCCTCTCCCTTCCTCCTCAAAGCCGCAGCCGCCGCGCCCGCAACCCTTGGGCCTGTGCCTCGCAACGAAGAACACATCCTGGCCGCCAAACTCCTCTCCTCCGCCATCGAAGCCGAGATCCAGGGCCTGCAGTCCTCCGCCGCGGATTTCCGGGCCCAGACCGCAGCGCTGCACTCCTCCCTCTCCGACTTACGTCAGAGCTGCGAAGACGAGCTCACGCCCCGCGTGCGCGGCTGTGCGGACGAGGCGGACGAGGTGACGAGAAGGCTGACGCAGGAGATGCCGCTTGCGGTCAAGGAGGTGAGCGATCGGATCGATCTGATGCTGAGGACGAGGCGGAGACGAACGAGGTGGGTCAGGCGCGTGGGGTGGAAGGTGCTGGAGTTGGCGGTGCTGGGGGCTATGTGGGGCGTTTGGGCTGTTGTTGTGCTTGTCAGGTTTGTGGCGGCGGTAGTGAGGGCGCCGGTTCGGGCTGTGAGGTGGGCGCTTTGGTTATAGGGATGTACTTGTGTATCTCATGGGTATGGTGCGGAAGAGAAATTTGTCTGGTTTGAGAGCATGTTTTGGATATTTAGCGTGGAGTTCGGGGGGTTGTTCTTGATCCTTGGGAGCATGTTGGAAACATATCACTGGCAGAGTCGTTATTTAATACTATTTATTGTGTGGTTGGTCTAGTATAGTACTCATCCGTTCACGTGCGCCGCTGTTCTGCATCCCTCAACCCCCGTGCTTAAGTACGACTTCTTCTAACGATCTGCTACTATACCGTGCAGTGATCTTATCTGATAACAGGGCCCAGGATACCGCTCGTAAAGCCAAACTTTCGATCATGGTGTATGCTAAGACATGCGGTACGGTCCGAAGTAACAAGGCTCTGCGCCAGCAGTCCCCAGGCCAGCAGATTTTGATGATTGAGCTAGCAGTGCTTCGAGCGTTCTTCGCCTTCGAAGAAGAGTTGAGAGCGAATAAGAGTAGTCGGGCCACTATGAGGCACGTTCTGGGCTACAAATTCCATGTACGCTCGAAGCATTGATTGAGCGATCTTGGTGAGAATTTTCCCGGGGTCCGAAAGGCTGCTCGTCTCTCTTACTTTATTGCTGGGTCCCTGAGAGGCTGTACTCATTACTGTGCGGCTAGAGCACGCTGGCTGGTGTAACAGGCTCGGCCGCCCCTGATAGCTTTTGCATCAGGTTGCCTGCCTGATGTATCTATCACAGCATATAATTTTCCCTGTTGAAAGTGCTCGAGGCTGTGCTCAAAATGAAAGCCTCAATGGGCTGCTGCACGAAGCCGTAGTCGCGCGCAGAGTCATTGGATTTGTCCAAGCAGGCTTCCAGGCGGAACGTGCCCTGCCGCTGGTGAACCACACCGTCCAGCAAGGGTGACGAACCATTCGATTCGCATGAAGTGCTACTTACCTTGGCTGCGCAGAAGAGGAAGCCTGTAGTTGCACTCTTCATGTTCACCCTGGATTTGGGAGTTCGGGCTACCCACCTTTTGTTACGCGAGGCTCTACACCCCGGTGCCTATGAGCACCTGGTGTGCATGCTTCAGGAGTCGTTCAGGCAACCGTAGAGCCTTCCTTAGGTGCGTTCAGCGGACTCCGAGTCCCTCTGGATCTCTGGTCCCCGCTACTCGGTATGGCTCTGTCTTGAGTCATTGCTCAGCGTGTAACGTTCGCTACTGGCGGTTCCCGCTTCGAGGATGATTGGATCCTGATTTGAGGCTGTTGCTGCGCCGCATCAGGTTGCCGCGCGCCGTGTTCCCCGGTGCTATAGTCCGTGGTGTACCTACTTAAGTTGACGAAGACAGAAGACGGGAAGTTTCAATTCTCCCTTGCTATCTGTTTTGCTGGCAGCTCATATCAGTATATCATTATCTTAGCTTGCTCTTCGGTCTGCTGCTGTCCTCAGTCCCTATGACGACCCTCGGCGAGCCTCATCAAGAGCGCCGGATTGGAATCGACTCGGTTGGACCAAACATCCACAGCAGATACGGAGCCTCGGACACACGTTCTAGCAGCAACAGCCATGAGTCTCATTACGGTTTGGTTGAAGAAGACGTCCATATTTCTCAGCCGTTGCGGAGCGTATGGGAAGACTGGTCCGGTCGGGGACCCCACGTCGATTTCGTCAAGACCGAGACCATTCCTCTTCAGCGAGGCAGACTCCTCGGACGCGGCGCCAACGGAGAAGTGTACGAGACGAGCTGCCAAGGCGTAGCGTTGGCATTGAAGACGATATACTGCCCCCCAGGATTCGACTCGAAGCAAAGACGAAAAGAGATAGAGATAATAAAGAAGCTGAGCCATCGGCACATAGTAAAGCTTGTAGGGACGTATACGCAGGGTCCGCGCTTGGGACTCCTCCTATGGCCGTCGGCAACCTGTGATCTTGCAACACTCCTCGACGACGTAGACCGGCTATCTCGCAGCGTAGACGTTGAAGAAGATGCGGACCGGGACATGGCAGAGGATGCCGATACCAAGAGCCAGCGGGCAATACGCTTCCATGGCCTAGGAGTGAGAAACCCATACAAAAGCCGGCAGCTTCAAAATGCCAGACAGCGATTGTATGAAAGCCTTGGATGCCTTGCAAGTGCCATAGACTACCTGCACAGCTGCTGTGTCCGCCACAAGGACCTCAAGCCGTCCAATGTACTGTTGTCACGCGACGGCCTCTGGGTTACAGACTTCGGCACCTCAACAGACTTTTCGACTCAATCCAGCAGCCTCACTGCGAACGGCGAACGAGGCACGGCCAAGTACTTCGCTCCGGAGGTAGCCGCTTACGAGGCCAGCGGGCGCGCTGCGGATATGTTCTCTCTCGGCTGTGTCTTCCTCGAAGTCTTCGTCGTTTCTGTCGGCAGTTGCAGTCTAGAGGAGCTGAGGGAGCTGCGTCCGGCACGCGATCGATCATACCAGGCCAACCTATTCCAAAGGGACAACTGGATCAGCCTTGCCAACTCTCGGGCTACAGCTTACGAAAAGTTTCTCCTAACAGAAATCAGGCAACTGCTCCAGTTCCATGCTGTCGAGCGGCCTACGGCGCGGGAGCTTGCACGGCAGATGGTGTCAATCAACACATTTGATCAGATAGCCCACTATCGGTCGCTGTTTGGGAAGTGTTGCGCGACTGAGTTGAGAGATATTCCCGGGCCTCCAGGATGGTTGGGTGTTATTGAGTGATATCGGTGGGCGATGGACTTCTCTGGAAGTGGCAAGCCCTCGAATGGGCATTGTAAGCGACTTGGAAGACGATGGCATAGTGGGCACGGCGGAAGCACTCTGTGTTAGCAGTGAGTGTCACTCGGGGTGGTGTTCAGGAGCTCGTTGAGTACTAAAGATCCCGTGATCGGTACCGGAACTGAAAGGGATACTGGGAAAGACGAGTGTTGCGGACAAAGGCATCTAGAGTTAGTTACGATCGAATTGATGTCACAAAGCTATATGCAGATTACTTGGACATAGTTTATGTATAAAACAACCTGGGTTGATGATACAAGACAGCGTTGACTTATTGCTTAAGATAGTCGTTGGTAGCAACGACGGAGTATTCTAGGTGCCAGCATAATCGCAGTTCCAGCTTCGTCCAGAGTCTCTGTGAAGTCCGGCGTGTCTATGACGGCGAGTTCGCTATCAGATTACAGTTGATGGACTGAGTGCATGACGTATGAGCATAGACGTGATTGAACTACGAAGTCACTTGCTGTTCTAAACAGGACGCGTTCCGGGATAGCGTGCGGCAGTGCATATTGAGATCCTCGCCCAAGACAAGATACGCCAGATTGTGTAGGCCCAACTTAGAGTGAAAGGTGTCCTCCAAAAGTCAGCGCACGATATGTAACGCCACAGACACCAGCGCTTACTTCGCTCTCTACAAGCTATTCCCATTGCGCCCATTTCAAACGAATATCTAACAAGAGTCCACGAACTCTCAAGCAGAACACAAAGAAAAAATCATAGCCACCCCTGCTGCTGTGGCGGCGCCGGCTGGCCAGGTCTAGGAAACACCGGCACCGTCTCCAGCTGTTCCAACCCTCCCATTGTGGCCTGGGGTCCGGCCTGCCACCCTTGACCAGTTTGCTGGTTGACGAACGCAGCTTGTCGGAATGGGTTTGTGCTTCCTGTGGGGTTCGGTACCAGTGGAGCAGGCGCAGGCGCAGGCATGGCTGAAGGTGGTGCAGCGGGTGAGGGATTGCGGGCGAAGGGGTTAGTACCTGTAGGCGCTGGTTGTAAAGGCTGGATTGCGATCTCTTGTTGGGGGATGGCCGCGGGGAACGACGGTGCCGGTTGTTGCTGCGGGGGAAGGGATCTGGCGAAGGGATTCGTACTCGACCTGTTGAGTGATGAGGTAGGGGTGGAGGTGTTTGCCATGCCAGTAGCATTAGGCATCATGGACTGGCGGAAGGGGTTGGTGGACTGAGGTTGCAGCGGCGGTGCCGGTGGGCTGACGAACTGCTGCTGGGGTTGCTGCGGAAATGAGGCCACATCATCCTGTCGAATGGAGGATAGAGCGTTTGGCTGAGTGTTAAAGGACTGAGGCTGTGGAGTGTAACCCCCGAAGCCTGCTCCGGTGAAGTCCGGTTGCAATGGTTGTGTCTGTTGTAATGGTCGGCCAAACGGATTGGTTGACTGTGCCATGGCTGGATTGTATGGCTCCTGTTGCAGCGGCGGCGCCTGGAAGCCCGTAACTTGTTGAGGAAACGCAGTTTGCGGGGCTGGCACGCCTGTTTGCTGGGGATATTGCTGCTGTTGCAGCTCGGACGACTGCTGTGCCATGGGCTGCTGTTCTATGGATTCGAAAAAATCGATAAGATCAGCAGGTGGCCCTCTCGCTGGCGGCGCCGCTGCTGGCAACTCTGCTGGCTTCGATGGAGCTGGAAGTTCTGCAGATTTGCTCGATGTGGCCGCTACTGGCGGTTTGCTGACTCCGTTGGATGCCTTGCCGCTTCTCTTCGCTTGCTGCGTTGCCAAATACTGACGTCTGTTTACTTCGAAGTCCTTGTCATTGAGATAGTCCGCCAGTGAGGCGGCCAAGCCTACCGGTGCGTGCTTGATTTTCGGTATCTCTAATCTTGTGGAGTGCTCATGTAATCTTGCCACGCTCAAATATTGCACGACCTGCTCGGTCTGACTAATGAATGTCCGATAGACATTGAGCCCTCGTTCCGCATCTGGATGTGACATCTCAAAGAAATGCTCTGAGTCTGTGTTAGGTCTGCTTTTGGTCCATTTTGGAGATCACTCACCAAGCACATTAATCGTCCCTTCGTTCATAACATGGAAAAGCGCAAGTAGATCCATAGTTAGCAGCCGGAAAGCGCACAGTGAGATGTCGTTCTCAGAATCCTCGGAAAGGAACTGCTCCGTTTTAGCTTCTCCTTAAACACGAGAAGAGACGACGGACTCTGCATTCCAACAGCGCCTCAATTAGCTCCTGTATAACCTCAGTCTCGCGCAGTAGACCCTTCTCGACGCTGAGCCGCTTGAGACGGCCCTCGGCCCCTCGGACATGGTCAACCTTCGTCGAAGCAAATGCTCGCACTCGCTGCACTAGGTAGTTTGCGTACACCCTTATGTTGCGTCCTTGCGTCTCGACTATCACGATCTATAATCAGCGCCGATTGAGGATGTGCATGGAAGTATGTGCTTGTTTAGAGTGTGATAGGAGTTTATAAACTGGCACTCTTGGAGGGATGCATCTGTATAAGAATAGACGAAACGCAAAGCTCCGTGGTGCCAAACTGATGGTGCACTCCGCTTCGTTCACCGTACTTCGGGTAGAGCTGGATAAGGCAGTTGCGGCAACTTTGGGCCGTCCACCACCCCAATACATTTTGCCCAAAGACTCACCGTCTGTGAAGTTGTTGATAGCCAACTTGCGGCTCGGACCGCTTGCAAGATACTGGAGTGTGACGTCTCGCTCACCCTCCCGTATCATCAGATGTACTACAATGAGCGACTTGAAGACGATAGTCCACGTCGAGTCTCTCAACCTGTTCTGAAGCGCGCGAAAGATCTCGGCGACACCGGATTCGCCGGCATGCGTAGCTACGAGGATGTGTTCGACATATTTCGATTTCGGCGCGGCAGCCTGTATAGAGCGGTCTAATCAGCTGCCGTCCATATCTCGTCCCAAGCCGCAATTGAGGCCGAAAGCTTCTAGAGAAGAAGTGAATGTGTACCTTGATCTTCGTAGCTCCCTTCACAGACTTCTCAAACGAGCTCGCCATCTGCGTTCGTCCGCTATGCGAATGGCCGCGGGGGGTGACCAGTGCGTGTTTCTGAGGATTATTGCTACCTCATAGCTTTCGGCAGCACGCGTGGGGTATATAGCGATAACGAAGGCGACTGCGACAGTCTACCGGCCGTAGAGCAAATCCTGTAACAAGTACCTCTGACAGCTGTGCCCGACGTTGTCAGTTTGTCGCACCGCGGCGCATTCGTCTGATCCGATGACGCTCCGCGCACACCTCCGCCGGCGCCATCCCACCATCCCGCATCCATCCAAACCCCAAACACCACGCCCGCCATGTCCACCTTACCGACGCCCTCCGAGCGCGAAAAAGCCGACACCGAGCTCAAGGCGAAAGAGGCCGAGGAGCAGGGCAGGCTCCCCTACAAATGGACCCAAACAATCCAGGATGTCGACATTACCGTGCCTGTGGCCGGAAACCTTAAAGGGCGGGATCTGGACGTCAAGTTCACGAAGACGAAACTCAAGGTGCAAGTCAAGGGCCAGGAGCCCATCATAGATGTGCATCTCCTCAATCCCAGACTCTCAAGTCAACTAAGCTAACCGACACTCCTAGGGCGACCTCCCCCACCCGATCCACGTAGACGACTCCACCTGGACGCTCGAGACGACGCCGACGGGCAAAGAAATCTCGATCCACCTCGACAAGATCAACAAAATGGAGTGGTGGGCACACGTCGTCACTACCGCGCCGAAGATCGACACCTCGAAGATCACGCCCGAGAACAGCAAGCTGAGTGATTTGGACGGCGAGACGAGGACGATGGTGGAGAAGATGATGTACGATCAACGGCAGAAGGAGATGGGGAAGCCGACGAGCGACGAGGAAAAGAAGATGGAGTTGCTCAAGAAGTTTCAGGCGCAGCATCCAGGTATGGAGCGTCTGCGGGTTTATCCTAATCGATGGAGTGGAACACTGACGGCATGCAGAGATGGATTTCTCAAAGGCGAAAATGGGCTGAACGCCGGAACGTGTCAACCACATACGCGATCCGACACGATCATAATCCAACATGCATAGCGATGGGCATCAGGTAATCAAAATCATCCAGGGGCCATTTGCCCCAAAGTTACTGTACATGCTTTCAATTTGCCTACCTCATCTCATCCATCACCCCTGCTGCCACAATACCGTCTTCTTTCCTTCGTAGCTGAATTGATCGATTGCCCTGATCTCGTCATCAGATAACCTCCACCCCAGCGCCTCCATGTTCTGTTCCGCCTGCTGCGGCTTTCTTACACCCACAACAGGTAACACTCCCTTACTCAAGTTATAGTTCAGCGCAACAGCAGCAATGCTCTTCCCCCTCTTCTTCCCAATGTCCTCCAGAACCTTCAGCGTCGGCTCAATGTACTTCATCGGATATTTGCTAAACCTGTACGTGTCCGGCGGTTCATGCTGGCTGTTGTACTTTCCACTCAGTCTCCCCTGCGCCAGGCTGGAGTAGCTCTGGAAGATGATGCCGCGCTCCTTGCACGTCTGCAACAAGCCGCTCGTCTCCGGGTATCTCCGCAGGATACTGTACTCGCACTGGTTCGTCGCGAGCGGAATGCCATATTTCTGCAGCTCCTCCTGCATCTTGACCATATCCTCCGCGCTATAGTTCGCCACACCGACCGTCTTTGTCAGACCCTTGTCCACGCACTCGGCGAGGCCCTCTGCCGCCTTCGCGATCGACTGCGGGTGGATATGCCCATGCACGAGGTAGCAGTCCACGTACTCGAGTCCCATCCTCTGCAGACTCTTCTCCAGCTTCTTGGCCGGCGCATCCACGGGGTGTATGATGTTCTCCAGATCCGGCACCACGTACCACTTGGTCTGGATGAAGAATTGGTCGCGCCGCAGCCCAGAGGCCCGGTACAGCTCGCCGCAGATCTCCTCGCTGCGCCCGCTGCCGTACGCCTGCGCCGTGTCGATGAAGTTCACGCCCGAGGAGACTATGACCTTCCACGCTTCGTGCACGGCCGGCAGCTCGTCCTCGGACCAGTGGAACGTCGCCTTGTCGCCCCAGGGCCAGGCGCCGATGGAGATGGGGGAGGCGTACGCGTCGGAGTTCTTGCCCTTGAAGGTGACGCGTGTTTCGCCGGTCGGTACGATGTCTTGCGGCAGGACGGCAGCCATGCCGTCGAAGTCTGGGGGGACTGGTGGTGGTTTGTTGGAGTGGAAGCCAGAGACGGCGGACATGCCGGCCGAAAGGCCGGCCTGGAGGACGTGCTGCATCGTGGTAGTTACTGAAAACTGTCTGTGGGATCAATGGATAGCAACAGGGACACTGGCGAAGGAAGTGCTGTAAAAATTTCCGACATGCGTGGTGTTCATAAACACCACCGCCGGCTTAGCCGGACATCGTGACGTCAGTACACCGTGAGAATGAGCGCACCAAGCAACAAGTCAGGTCAACACCGACAGAGCCGGTAGAGTACAGGTGACACGCTTCGCTGTGACATGGTGAAGCAGATAACAGAGTCGAACAAATAAGACAAAGGTAAGATTGGTGATTGACAGCCGCTGACAGCTTCCATTGGAGCTTCTTGAACCGTGCGCGAACACCGAGGTCCAGGTGACCTGTTTCCATCATGTCGCACGTAGCTAACTGTATCTATCTGAGAGTACGTTACCTACAAATGACAGTACGTGCTTGAGACAAACCTTGTCTTACACCTAGTCTCACGATGGTTGGTAGAAAAGCGCGATGCGAAAGACGTGCGCACCATTTTCAGTCACGCAGCCGCAGATGATACGTCTCCAGCTGCTTTTCAGTCAAGGCAGTCGGGCTCTTGACCAGCAGATCCTCGCCCTTCCCACTTTTCGGAAATGCAATGACGTCCCTGACAGAGTCTCTTCCAAGCATGACAGCAATCAGTCGGTCGAACCCTAGCGCGATACCAGCATGTGGCGGGCATCCAGCGCGCAGAACGTCAAGAAGATGCCTGAAGTCTTCCAAACGTTCATCACTCATCTTTAGCACGTTGCGGAGGATGTATTCCTGTACTCTTACGTCGTGAATACGGCGGCTGCCTCCACCGAGCTCAACACCGTTGACCACGATGTCGTAGTGCTCAGCGCGGACACTGGCGGGGTTGTCCACGAGGAGATCAACATCTTCTACGCTCTTCGGCGCCGTGAAGGGGTGATGCGTCGAGGACAGTCCTGCCGCACCGCCTTGGCCGGGGTCGGTATCATTGCTCGGTGAGAAGAGTGGAAAGTCCGTAATCCATAAGAATTCGAAGCCTTTAGGGGCGGGTATGTAACCTCCGGCAACTGCTGCGCGGTGGAGTGCGAGACGTAGATTGCCAAGTGGCGTTGAGCCGCCGCTGAAAGGAGCGTTCTTGCGCGCTTGGAGGACGACGAGGTCGCCATCTTCGAGCTCGAGCAGCTCTTCCAGTTGCTCAGCTGCTTCGAAGCCGAAGGGCTGCAGGCCTTGTAGTGGCTTTCTGGAGTCGACGATGAAGATACCGGGCTGCCCTTCAGGGTTGTTGATGAACGGTAAGGCCTCGGGTGAGTCCATAAATTGTGAGACAAACTTTCGGGTCTCTGCGGGCTGCTCTGAGATGGGGAGTTTCAGGACATCGACTATGGGATCTGTGAGTGGTCCTATTTTGCTTATCAGATCAACAGGTAGGAGGTGGCCGATCCTCATGATCTACGTGCATTAGAAAAATGTTGACGAGATGTGCGTATGTATCGTACCTCCGCTCCAAGCCGCAGGTCCGGCTTGTCAGATCCGTACCTAGACATAGCCTCTTCGTATGTCATCCGCGGGAAGGGAGCGGGAAGGTTAGTCACGTTAAGCATCTCGTCCCACAAGCGCCGGAGCAAAGCCTCGATGGTCTGCATGACATCCTCGCCCTTTGCAAATGACATCTCCAGGTCAAGCTATGCTGGTTAGCACCCTTGGTTCAAAATGTGCTGATGACTTACTTGTGTGAACTCAGGCTGTCTATCAGCTCGCAGATCCTCATCGCGGAAGCATCGTGCAATCTGGTAGTACCTCGGAATACCGCTGCCCATCAAGATCTGTTTATACTGCTGAGGGCTTTGCGGAAGGGCATAAGCCAGACCCTTGGTACGCGTAGGGACCAAGAACTCCCGCGCGCCTTCCGGAGTAGATTTGAACAGTAGTGGCGTCTCAATTTCTAAGAAATCATGCTTGCTACTCAGTTCATCTCTGCATATGTTTGCTGCTCGACTTCTGAAGGCGAGCGCATCGCGTATAGTCTTGTCGTTGCGGATCTGCAGGTGACGTTGCTCTGGAGGGAAGTTCGTCTCCTCGGTGATAATGATGTCTTTCGGAAACTCATTGAGAGCTTGGATGTCGAGAAGCTCAACTTCTATATTCTTGACCTTTTTGATATCGCCAAGGTCCTTCTTGGTGGGCTCGCGGGGTTTAAGTCTACCCTTGACAACCACAGGCGATTGCGCACTCAAGCTCTTTAGTATCGCGTGACAGGATCTCTGCTCGCCGTCTGGCGATTTAGCTGTTGATATGATTTGCACACTATGACTGAGGTCCTTGCTGAGAAGGGGAACAAAACAGAAATTCTTAGACAAGTCGGACCGTGATCCGAGGTAGCCGTGGAGGACTACATCCTCGCCAGGCTGTGCTTCTGAGAGACTGCGTACTTCATGTGTAGCGCAGGGGTAGTTGACTGGGTAGATCAGTAGAATTCTTGGAAAACTCGGAAGGTCGAATGAACCGGACCTAATTGCTTACTGACATGATTGCTTGTACGAGCGAAGAAAGTCTAACTCCGCTGTAGATTGATGAGAGGAGCCGGAAGAGAAAGCACGGAAGGCGTTGCGAGTAAAGTGTGGTGATCGACGAGCAGTTGAAAGGCCTCTTGGGCGGATGAACCGAGATATCTCAATGTAGCTCCTTCCAGCCTTGGAGATATGTGATATGGCACACTCAACGGGCCTATGCAGCACCATTACGCATAGAGAAGAACGCAAAGACACGAGATACGGGAATTAAGAGGGATGAGATCACGGTGACTGTCGCGAGAGGGAGTTTTGCGCCGAAATGGGTATAGAGCCGCTTAGTCAGTCGGACTCTCCACTTCCTCGAAACCGACATGCACATTGAACTTTTCTTCCTCATCCTTCCAGTTTAACACAAGTGAGTACCCCTTCTGCGCAACGCGTTTGCGAACCTGGCTGACAATGGACTCCAGATGATGAAAGCCTAGCGTGCACTCGATGAGCTGTCCTTCTCTCCGCTTTCGAGCTCTCCCTTCACCGGGCTCAAGTGGTTCGATTGTAGGAGTGGAGGCAGCATGATATCGGCGTTCGGCACACCACCTTGTTACTTCAACGGACGCGATGAAGGCATCTCTGACCCTAAACTGGAAGGTGTTCACCTGTGTTCCTGCGGCATGTTAGCATAGCACTACACACACGGAAGATGGAGGAACATGGGCATATGTACATAGCAGAAATACGTTCAATGGACGAGTACTCGTTCGACCCCTGGTGGCACGCTGTGATTTTTTCTTGAACGTGACGGCAACCGCTGACTACCTCATGGATGCTTCAGGCCGCCAATCCTGTAGCTATCTAACAGTCAAGCGGGAGAGCAGACTTCAGCGATGGTCAACAGTCCAGCTTCTATTACAATGGGAGTTCGATGTAAAAGCGCCGCGACATGCACTGCAGCCGTTATCAAGGATCACGTACCTATTGACGCTATGAGCACGGAAGAACCGTTCACTGAACCGCAACGCGGCATGTCGTAACAGCAGGAGCTGTAGATATCAAGCCACGATGAGAGCTACAACTAATTTCCCAAGCCGGACTAGGGCCTTTGCAACATGACAGAGCAATAGCTGTAAGGATCAGGGTGTTATATGCCCGCTCCGTTCCCGTTTGGACAACGAGGTGATACTGAACGCCCGAAACTGCATCATACGTGTGGAAACGAGAAACAGTGAAAGGGACGCCACCATATCATGGGGAGGATATTACGAATCACAGATCGAGCAAGCAAGAAAGGTTTCGCGGAACATCTGCATTGAGACGCAAAGTGACTACAGACGTGATGGTATTGTAAAGCGCTACCACATGCGCATCATGTCGCTTCTCCAGGTAAGTCGTGCTAGTTGTCGTAGTGAAGAAAAGAAGCTGCCAACGCCAAGGAAGTCGTCCCCCGCTGTCCAATTTGAGCATACTCAAGGATCAGCAGAGGAAAAGAAGACATGCAGGGACCAGGAGAGTCTTCATTGTGTCCAATTCCATCGTCGCAAAGAGGGAGAGAAACCATGTAACCACCAGAAAAGTCATCCTTGTCCAACTTGATCATCGTGAAATCCAAAACAAACAAACCCAATCCATTCCGAACCATCCCATCCAAGTGCTCATCCGCTCTTCTTAAAGCTCCTCTTGATCTTCTGGAAGCCTCTCTTCAGTAACTTCCGCGCGTGTCTCGCGGCATCCCCCATGCTATCTCTGAAACTGCTCTTCCTATTAAGCGCCTGGCTGGGAAGGGGCGGCGGCAGGCCCCGGTGTCCACGAGTCGAACGCACAGCGTTGTGAGCCGAGGCTCGGGTACTCCTCACAAACGCACCGAAAGGGCCTTGAGCGCTGTCAGATGTGAGCAACAAGCTAGTAAACAAACGCACTGTACTCACAGCCTGATGTATTCAGCGTCGTCGTCGTCGTCATCATCGCTGTCGTCGTCGACAACTTCGTCATGGGTGTAGAAGTAGTGGTCCAGCCTGTCACGGTTGTGCTGAGAGTTGTCGTCGGGATCATCTTCGTCTGGGGCGTCCTCGGCGAAGACAGAGCTCAGAATGTACCTGCGACGATGTGCGGAGGGAAGCCTTGCGCCGCCGAATTCGTCGTCTTTGTCGATACGCATGTTCTCGAGAGTGTTCTGCTTGGATTCGGCCGCCTTGAGAAACTCGATCATATCGAACGCTTGCGCTCGTTGGGTCTCTTTGACCCATCCGTAGAAGACGACCTTTTCATGGGCTTTGATGTACCCAAAGGCCGCCTTCAAGAACTGGTCGATGACCTTCCTGTGGCACCATTCTTCGCCGACTAACTCCCACGATCTTGCCCGTCTCGCCATCAAATCGGCAGGACACGGAATGATGATATGCAACTCCTTGAGCTTCGTCGGCTTGTCAAGCAGACAAATCATCGCGGCGTTGGGGACCCATTGCAGCGCGGGAGTGAGCTTAGCACCGAACACGTTCAGAAGCTCAATCTGCTTAAGATCGATCTCGACTTTCATCGGTTGGTGCCTTGCGTTGAGCGGGCCGCGTCGGTTCTCGAGGAATCTGGCGAAGCGCTCCATGTCGCCAACGTCGTTGAAGCAGAACATCGTCTCGGAGAAGAGTAGTCCGAGGAATTTATTGCGTGTTTGCTTGCTGAGGTAGACGACAGCTTGTTCGGGTGCATGCTCCGTTGAGATCTCCCGGCCTCCCGGCCGTGGGTAGGTGCGGTACCTGAAGGGATAGCATCGATTTTCGAACAGATTGAGGTAGATTTTGTTGCGTATCTCGCCAGGCAGTTTCATGATGGGGAAGACTTTGTTGTTTTCATACCACTGCTGCTTGAAGACCCATGGCAGCTCCATGATGGTTGTGGTTGGTTGGTGGAGGAAGGAGATTGGAAGAGAAGTTGGAAAACATAGTCAAAAAAGGGGCACGTGCACGGTTGACGATGCGGTGATGATGTTCATTTCATCTCTTTTCTCCAACTCCCTAACCTTCACGTTGACACCGCCAGCCCCTTGTAAACAGCCTATCCAGATCTTGATCACGTCGGTCTTGCCAGGATCATGTATCTCCTGCTTCTTACACCTCCAATCCGCTTTTTTTCTGAAGCGTCGGGAAGAGGTCTTGCTTGCAAATCTCCGGAACCTCGACGCCGACCCCGCAAAGTTCTCTCTCGTCCGCTGTTCGTACGTGATCCTGATCGATGCCACCCATCCATGCTGCTTTATGCTCCTCCGTCTGCGCTCTCGTGCCGCTCCCCTCCAAGAGCCCAGCTCGCCACCGGCCTCCTGATCGGATTCCCAACCACGGATGCGGGGATATCATGAAGTCTCCTCTCCCTAAGTTCGGTCGGGCCGTAGAGAGTACGTCCTTACTTCAGCATCTTTACCGGGGCTCACCGCACGTTTGAGCCTCATATGACATGGGACTAAGCGGAGGAATCATCAGTCATTGACCTCAGAGAGTACACAAGGTGGTGGCCAGGAGGAGCTACCGGGGCAGACAGCGCTATCCTTGTTCAGGCGCGAGTGGTCGGTTGAGGACGATAGATAGCTGGACCAGTTCTAAGCAGTTCGTGTATGAGGGTCATGGAGTCTTGCAGCAGTATAGCCAGTACTGGCTGGGCGTGCTGGGACGCTCAGGAGATACTGTAGGCTCTACGAAGCCGAATCCCTTACTGTGGTGAGGTGTAGATGTTGCTTCGTAGAAAGAGCACCGCTCCCCTGGGCATGTAAACCGCGGCCCTGGCTCCTGCTCAGAGTTTGGAGGCCATTTAATGTGAAAGGCTGAGTGATTTGATGTTCTCTTGAAAAACTGGTGCTCCATCATCTCATCAAGGTTTTTGACGTTCACCCAAGCCGCATGCCACATGCAAGGGATGACACCAACACACGACAGTTCGCGCTGGCACCAACACCACAATGAACGTTCACCGACATGGGCAGCTGAGTCCAAGATACGCCGCAAGTCGTACACCCCCAAGTCATGAATATCCCGTCCCGACATTGGTTGGACGTGTCAGGGAACCAAAGGACTATGTCTGACAACACTGCTAGCGCGCAGCGGGTTTGTAGAACGTCTAAGGGATCACACAACTTCGAAACAGACCCTCCAAACAACATAATGGTACGTGAGTGGAAGGAGGATGCAGCAGTTGCGTACGATGGATTGAATACGGCAGACCAGCTATCACGAGGGAGATATGCGGCAGCAGCTCGAGCGGCGAATACATCAGCGCCGTCCGGTTGGCGACAAAGCCCATCACGCCGTTGGAAGGTCCCATTCTGAGACGACGTTACATCGAGGATCCATCAACAGGCCAGGGAACGGCAATGAGACAGCAACATCAGCTCCATCAGGCCATTTGGAGTTCCACCACGCCGCTGACTCCACACTGGAACAACTCTTACGCTTCTTCTTCGACTGAGTGGCGACGAACTCATAAGCCTGTAGTGCGGAGGCCGCAAGCGGCGCCATAGGCGCAGTCTGGCGCTCTCAGGGTTCCCAGGTTCCGTAGGACACACAGCGCAGAGATTTGAGATCTACCCTCAGGCTTGCGGCAGCTGATGCCAACAGGAACGGACAATGGGGCAGTGAGGCGGAGCCACCACACGAAGCTCGATCTCCTGCAGGTCCCGTAGGAGGATCATAACGGCCGGGCTCTCATCCATTAGGGCGCCTCGTTGCCGTGAGGTGCCTGGCTGTATACTGCTGCAGGGCCTTCGTTCCACATAAGTTGCCGCCTTGCAGTTGTTCGAGATGCTCTCCGGCACTTGAAGCGGACAACTCGACGAAGCCCCGCCGAAAAGCTCTTCCTATAACACTCTGACGACGGGAGGCTTATGCAGCAGGTAGTGCAGGAATTGGGTGCAGCTGGAGACAGTACGGATAACTTTCGAAGGCTTTCCGCACAGCGCTGACGGCGACGTCGACATCCTTCTCGGTGGCCTGGTGCACTGCTCAGGAGGCAAGAGCAGCTTGAAAGCCTTGCGGCCACTGGATCGTCTCATCCCAGCCTCTGGACACTCCGCTCCGCAAAAGATAAAGCCGACTTGTTGACGCGGACTCGGGGAAGACGCGGTTTGGTGGCTTGCTGCGGAGACTTGTGCGAACGCCACGCTTACAACTGTTTCCACTTGTAGTAGATCTCGCATCCTCCAACAAGCGCGCCGCCGCCCTCTCGATCTTCGTCTCCGGATGCAGAGAGGCCCTGCTCTCTTATAAGTCTTTCCTAGAGCCGACATATCTTCTGGGGGCTACATTGGGCATGTTCGGTCCTCATGTTGGTGTACTCATCCACAACACGCTCGGCATACCGATTTCCAGCCATGGCGCTCTATACTCTTTGAATCTGGAGACAAGAACACCGAACGAGATACGAGTGGCAGTTTGACGAGTTCGCCTCGTAAGGGCCTGCGCAAAAGCATGAGATGGACATATTTTGGCAGTGTTCTGTCGCCATGGACACAATATACAGCTCCCAGGCTGGACTGGGGAAGCTCTTCTCCATCGAGCAACATCGTTGTTGTCCGTCTGCCTTTCGTTGACGGATAAGGCGGACCATTTCAGTTTCGTGCCTCCTCGCCCTCCTACTGTCATTTCATGGATCGTGTTCCTCCTGCATAGCAACTGCTCAGACTGGTCACCGCCCAGTCTGGTCTAGATGGAGGGCTTTTGGGAGACCACGGCCGAGGACCCCGAAAGCCCAGAAAGCCCGAGGGTAGAGCCATCTCTTGTTCCGTAAGACTTGGCTGTGGTTCGCAGCTTGCACTGTCCACAGAATATTCCAACAGGCATCCGATCATCAGCAGGACTTCCCGACGGCCCCTCCTCTGGATATGAACTGAGCCTCCGTCCGCGTATGCTTCCTGGTGGCGGATGGAATCTGATCCTGTCCAGTATATTAAGTCCGGCGCTTGGTCTCCAGTGTCCAGAAGCCTGGATACTGCCAAAAACTCCCCCGAAGAAGACCTTCTCTTATATTTTGAGTACCCTCCTTGCTCTGTGTCCGCATTAGGGGATCTCTCGCGTCTTAAAGGCTTCCTCGTCCTGCCGCACCTCCGTCTCCTGCACCCAGAGTTCCATGCTCTTTCCCGTCGAGCACGCGTCTTCTGAGATGATTCCAAGCAGATGCATGTTGAAGACGTCTCCGCGTTTACGCCCCATGTTGGACGGTCCTCGGCACACCAGGACTAGTCCCATGGCTGTCCCTGAGCCCTTAGGATTCGATGCTGGAGTTCGGCGCTTTGCTACTGTTCTTGTTGCCGTCGCCGTTTGCAGGGTGACTGCAGTCACTGGATCGCAATCCATCGCGGCTGACATGGCGCTGGCGTCGCGGTGGGCTAAACAGCTCTGCTGAGGCATCTGGCGTTGGGCAGGGTGCTCGTGTTCGTGAGATCGCCGATGGTTCTTGACGCAGCTCGGTTTGGGGTCGAGCAGACGAGAAAACGACAGCTGAAGTCAAAGGAAAGCGCCTACGCTCGTCAGCAAGGAGACAGACCTAGCTCAAACTTTTTGCAAGATATCCTCCATGATGCAGGCGGTAGGCCAAGCCGAAGCCCCAGACATGAGGCGTAACGTTGCACCATTTTTGTCATGCTTGAGGCTGTGGATGGAGAGTGTTGCGGTGGTGTCGTAGTGCTCCGCGCCGGCTGGACATCCGTACCAACTTGGTGACTCTACAGACAGTCCCATCAGGGAGTACAGAAGTTCAGTACCACGGATCTAACACTCGGCATGGCTACCGGCAAAGCTTGTGGACTCCCACGATGCACGGTCGAACTGCTGGAATCAGGCTCTTGGCGGGTGGATGGGCCGTGAGCTCGCTGGAGGCCACATGAGACAACGGCTATCGACGGCACCATCTCCAACATATTCGAGGTCTGGGATTTGCGAGCAACTCCTTGTACGGGTATCAAGGTAAGGCAGCGGAGACTTCTCCAGGTAAGTCGTACTTTGATTGTTGGCGGGAGTGATGTTTCGTCTCGGAGCAGGGGAGGACTGACGGTGGAGCTGTCTCTCAGCAAGTAACCTCAAGCACGGAACGACTGCACGACGGAGAGTTGACCGGTCAATGGCCTGCAGGATCAGCGTCCACTGCAACCTTGAGTGGTTGATAGGATCAAGGCGATCAAATGAATGTCATACTACCTCAGACAAGCATCACCAACTCCTATAGATTGGCCATGAGGGCCTGACACAGACCGGATATCTTGCTGCCCAGCTACGCTGGATCCCAGCTTCGCAAGCTCTCTCAAGCATTACGCTCCTTTGATGTCTTCAGTCTTTAGTAAAGACAGCCCGTTCCCACCAAACAAATCTCTGTGAGCAGCGCCTCTTTCAAAGAAAGGCCTCTATGTTTTACAAGAACGTTTCAGTTTGGAAGCGGTTGATACCAGGCCGTTACCGACAAACGTGTTGGCGACGAAACGGGTTATGCATGGTTTCCCAGGTCTCCTTTCCAGGCCGAAAAGCGAGAGGCGGTTTGGGAGTAGTGGGGTTCATTTTGCACATCCACGTATATAGTGAGACATGATATAGCTCCTTGTTAAGGGTAGTTATGGAGCGGATCGGTATGATACCTATGGAAGAAGCCTGATGTGAGGTCCCCGCGAAAACCCCTGCCCCTGACGCTTGACACGTGACCTGGTAGCCTTGGTCCGGAGAACACTCGGCCGGAGCATTTCCATCAAAGGATCGGCCTTTCGTGAACACTCCCTGGCGACCTCGCGCACATAAAGTCTCTTGAACACGACCAAACCGCACAAGGCACGGAACATATTTGGGCATTCTCTGCAGACGACTATCATGGCAGCTGTGAATCAAGATGAAGTCCGCGCGCTCGATCGTGTTCGCCAGCGCCTTCAAACATTTGCCAATACCCTTGGTGCTCTCCGCCAAGATCTTGAGAAGAGTGACCGGATACCGCCATGGTAAGAATATGTTTTCCGTGCAATAAGAATGTACACGCAAGTCTCTCAGGCCGGTCTTGGATATTCCCTCTCCTTTTGTTTCATCGTCAGGCTTTCCCCTTGCTTCCTCAGTCACTCATAATCATTCTTCCGTTCGCGCTGTACCTGCATCTTTTTCTCCGAGCCCTTTTCCATGTTCCACAACCCATGTCCATCGTCTGAAGCATTACCCACATATCAAAGTCTAAACCCCCTCCGTGCCTTCCAGTCTTTTGCCACATCTGTTCATGCTCCTCCCGCCAACCACTTCTCCAGGCCGATCCTCTCCGATCAAATCCAAACCGCAACCCGCACCCTCAGCACCCTCCAAGAAACCCTCTCCGAAAACTCCGCCTTCCTGGCCCGCGCCCACGCATATCCCCTGCCCTCCTTCCCCGGCCGCACCCAAGAAGGCCTGCTCCAGCAACTGCTGCGCAAGAAGCTCGACCCCAGCATCGAAGACGCGATCGCAGATGCCAGGAAAGAAGCTGCTCGCTTCATCGATGGGGTTGATGGGGTTGATGGTGGGGTCAGTGGAGGGACGAGCAGTGCAGACGGGAATGAGGGGGGCAAGCTGGGCGAGCACGACCTCTCGGAAATCTGGCTCTGGGCTGGCCCCGGCGAATCCGAGATCGCGCACTCGATCTTCTCCGGTCCTGAACTCATGGACGAGGACGACGACGAAGACGATTCAGGGGACGAGGATGACGAGGTGGAGAGTGCGGCTGCGACGCCGGCGGGCAGGGCAAGGGAGCCGGCTGCGGGCAATCAGGCGCCGAATATGGAGCTGTTTCTCAGGTTCATGAGTACGGGGAGAGATCCGGAGGTCATTGCGAGGGATTTGCAGAGGGAGAGGGAGGTGCAGAGGATGGTGGCTGGGAAGGGGAGAAGTGCGGATGTGGCGGGACGGCCGTAGGTGGAGAATTTATCGAGATGAGCAGGCGGAGAATGGGGCGGCATTGGGTACCAAAAGTTCCATTTCAGGGCGCTCTGGATTGATAAGATGGTTTGGTGGGCATTACGGGTTCTCATCATACTTGCCTTCCTGCACCGTACCAAGATTGTTGCGGGCACGGCCAGGGCTTCGCGTCTATTGGCAAAAGGGAAACACGGCACACTTTTCGTTGCGACAGCGGATAGGTAGCAGTCGAGGAAACAGTTGCTGTCTCATGCATTCAAAGAAAGCGCAAGTGCAGCCCAACGAACAAGCACGGCTCGTCAGCCCCTCCGTCTGGTAGACGGGCTCTTCGGCTTGTGCGCCGTACCCGACGCCGCAGCCATTGGCCGCTCCCGCATCGGCTCCTCTAGCTTCGTGGAGGAAGTCGTTCTGCTCTTCGGGCTATTCCAGTAATAGATCATCTGCGCCGCAAGCACAGCATTCAAGAGGAAGCCCGCAACGAAGCCGTACAGAATGAGCGGGTCATCCACCTCCTGCAGCGTCGTGAAGATGCGGCTCAGGGAGCCCGCCAGGTAATTGAAAACCTATCAGCCCACGTTAGCCCACTGTTCACACACCCTCCTCCCTATACTTCATACGTACCGCAAAAGCGCTCAACTGCCCCGTTCCCCCCTGCCGCCAATTCGCCCAGATCTGCGGCGCCTTGCTCGCAACCCCCAGCACGCCCGCGCCCGCCTGCAGCCAGCTCAGCGTCGGCGCATCCACCGTCCGCCCATCAAACAGGGCGTATCCCGCCGCGGCGAGCCCAGCAACCCACGCCGCGGCCCCAGCCGTCCTTCCCGCAAACTGCAGCACCAGCGCTGCAATGACGATGTTCTGCACCGCTATCAGGGCCGTCTCGCCATACGTGCTGAAGGGGAAGCCCTGGCGAACGTTATACGCCAGCCCAATGAGGTAGGCGCTTGTCTCGAGCGCGTAGGACAGGAAGCTGATGCCCTCGGAAGATTGCGAGTTCAGGAGCTTGAGCAGCTGAGGGATCTTGACAATGGAGGAGGCGCCAATTATGCCGATGCCGAGGCCCTTGGAGATGGCGAGTTTGAGGCAGGCCGGGTCGCTGAGGGGGTCGATATCGTGGAGGAGCGTCTGGTAGCAGTGCGGGCCCAGGAGGGAGAGGCCGAGGTTGCGGATTGGGGTCGGCAGGTTGTGGGTTATGGGCTGGAGGGCGCTGCGGAGGGCGTCCATTGCGGCGGTAAGGGCGAGCAAAACTTGCGTGAACGGGAGGATGTTATGGAGTTGATGTAGAAGTTGGTGGTGGGAGGGATGAAGCTCAGGGTCCGAAAGGGTCCAAGAAGCCACGTGACAGGACTTCGTATTCTGTGGAAAGCATTACTTAGGTAGGCTCAGGTGTGAGCAGCAGACGGAGCCCGTTCGAAAAACGAGGCTGGACTCATGCACCTGGTGCTGCCAAACGCAGTCTACGCCCTGAGCCAAATGTGCGCTGCAACGCTTTCAGTAAGACATCTGCGCCTGTTTCTGGCACCGGAAGTCTTTTATGAGTTTCATGCAATGTCATACGAGAGTTGTCTCTAAGCCCTCCACGTCCTCATTCTCTTCGCAAATCCAGTCTTCGTATGCTGCTGGTCTGCACAAACTCGAATTTTCACCTGCGACATTCTGCGTACGTCCTACCATTGCCATGTTTGGAAGTGGAGGTGTAAGCGTTATGGCGCGAGTTTACGCTCCACCTGCTGCATGCATGAGATACTTCGCTGAGCGATCAGAAAATTTAGACGTGTGCGCCTGGTAGCACGCTCACAATTGTGTCGTCGGCATCGTCCCAGCTGGGTTGTTTTGCAGCGCAGGATTAGAGAGAACTGAACGCAAGCGGCAAAGTTGGCAGAATGCCTTTTTCATGTAAGATGCCGGTCATGGTAAGGTATGTTTGCTTCTCCAGATCAGCTGGTAATATCAGCATCTGTATAAAGACGAGAGAATAGTGCGTCTGTTGCAAGAGTCGAGAGTTGAAACTTCTAACCTCGCGCTCTAGTTAGTTGAATGCTGAACTTAGGAGCGCGGGTGAACCTGCAACAGATGGAAGACTGAAACCAGTACTATCAACTCGCAAAGATCTAATCAAAACTGATGATATGGACGGAAGAGCTACTCAGTGAACTAGAATGCTACGTGGTTGCACGCAAGAACAAGGTCTACACGAAATAGAAGTACAACGTGTTGAGCAGGTTAGCGGTGTACGGCTGAAGTATCTGCGTAGCGGATGTTCGAGTATACCGTATACGAAGACGGATAAATATGTTCTGTTGCAGGGAAAGACATGCGTGCTGATAGACAGTACTAAAGATGACAGACGACCACCACCTCTACGTAATATTGCAAGCCTATATCAGGACGCCGCTAAGTATGCTGTTTGGCCATTAATCATCGTTGGTCGTTGCTCATTCGAATGAGATAGCGCCGGTAGCATGCAAGCTGGTGGTCGAAGTCGAGACCACACCGTTAAGAGATAAGAGCGGCCGGATAAAACCCTAAAACATATTGCAAGAAGGAGAACAGAACGCGTTCGTAGGCTGACTGATGGGGCAAGCCACACAGATGACACAGCTACAGGTAGAGAGGAGGATTCGTGGTCTCGATCGATCTCTGCAGGCGGCCCAGGTAGCGCCTCTGCATGGTGGCCGTAATCGGAGGATTCGGCCCAACTTCTGAGATCTGCGTTCCTAACGGTGTGACGTGTCCTGCATATTCCGGAGCCACTTCGTGCCACGTGGCTCACTTGTGGCCAGGCTGGGGACTGTGCTCAGGACATCGTCTCACGACCCACTTCTCCCACATTTTTCGCTGAACGTTGCTCACAAAGATGCCGTTGTCGCCCAGTGATTCAGGACTATCCAGGTAGGAGCTGCGCCCATTGCAGTCGCACCATGGCGCTGTCGAGGGGGTGTCTGGAGATAAAACTGGGAAGTCCATCCCTTCCGCTTCTGGCCCGGTTTCGTCTTCGGTATCCGGCTCGGCGTCCGAGAAGGTGTTGTCGCTCTCATCATCCTCGTCGATAGGATGATGGTTCGAGTTCGAAGGACCGGCTTCCTCATCTGCTTCCGCATGTGGATCCCATCCGCCGTCGCTTTCGTCGTCGCTCTCGCTCGCGCCACCCGGAGGATCGTCCGGTACTTCTGCTCCTACTGCCCACTGCTGGTCGAAGTGGGTGGTGTAGCCTATCCGGCGAAGACTGACCCAGTCCAACCGATGCATGTCATCTCTTAAAAACTTGAGTACGTCCTTCCACAAGCTGCCCTCTTTCAACAAAACATCTCTCAACCGTAGACCTTTCAGCCTCTCCCGGTGCCTCTTCGCCAGTGCGATGATCTCTTCAGCGTCCAGACGCCACGCTTGGATTCCAAAAGCCAGAAGCTTCTCCCATCGTACATTATGGAACACTTCCTCAAGCTTTAGGCTCAACGGTCGATGCGAAGGAAACCCTACATGGACCGCCTGCATATTGACGGCTGCCGTGAAGAATAGCCGGAAAAGGCCAGAGAGATCTCGCATCTTGTTGTCGAGGTCGATGCCATCGTCAAAATGTAGTTCGAGGCCCGTCAGGCGCTCCGCTACCGCCGACAACGCTTTTGGCGGGTGGTTTGCTAGGAAAATAGCGCTCTGTGGACTCAGCATCGGCGAGGAGAAACGTGAACACGGAGAGTGGGAGGCGAGAAGCGCAGCACCAAGTGTCTTTGTGCTATGAGAACATGCCGGTGCCCAATTCAGCTCAACAAGGTGGCCGAGGTCATCGCGTTGGCGAATGTAGTTGAGCAGTAACCCATCCTGCTGATCTTGAACACGCAGGATCTGAACATGCTGTAGTGAGGTGAATGCCAGAAGAGCTTGCTTGAGCACTCTCGCGTCTTCTTCGGACTTCAATATATCTTTCTGCTCCTTGATCTTCTGGTCGTAATGGAGCACGTCCAGAGGTCCTAGTCGCTCTTGGAGGCCGGGGAGTACTTCTCGTACTCGCTCTCTGCCTGTATATGACGTCAGTCACATGCGCTGAGATGACGTGGCAAATGCAGAGGACCCTCTACGTAGAAATACGGCACCATGTAGCTGAACTTCTTTACGTGCTTGGCTAGATGCGCCTGTCCGGCGATGTTCTCCAAGCGCTTGAAGCCTTTCCGTGAGAACCTCGTCGTTACTCGAGCGAACTGATGGATTGCGCCTAGCTCTGAGAATCTTCTGCACGTGAGCCTGAAATGGCCTATGTCCTGCGCCTGATTTGGCGACGGTAATGGCGGCGGCTTGAAGCTCTCCTGCGAGAGATAGGATCGCCGGTCGAGGCCGACAAGCTTTTCAGGATCTGCTTCGATCTGGTCGAGGATGATGCGAAGGAGTTCGTTGGAAAGCTTCAGGATGCCAGCGTTGGAGGCCATGCTGGACTGCGCCGGGTTGACAGGTCATCTATCCAATGGATAGAGTGGAACAGATATTGAGCTTTGCGAAACGGAGAGACGGCGCATGGGCTGAACTGAAGCGGAGAGCGGATGGTCATGCGACGATGTTTGCGCGGGACGGGAGTGCAAGGCAACGCGCGGAAGCAGAAGAGAGACGAAGGGAGAGGACGGGGCACTATGGCGGCACATAACAGCAGCAGAGTAGCGAAGCAGCAATGCAGAATGACAGCAGTCGTCGCAGAATGGAAGCAGGTGTCAGCCGAGCGCCAGTCGTGGATGGGACGCAGGAAGTGGGCAATGCGCGCAGCGAAGAGAGAGAGCAGCGGACGGTCCAATCGAAGGTCTTATCGCCGGTCACATGACCGTTAGCGGATGTGAGGAACACGGGTACCCTCCCGCGACGAGGAGAGTGGGAAGGCCAGCTGCATGGCTCTGACATCGCGCCGGCTTGTTGGTCGTCGGTCGCGATGCGTTGCGTTGCGCGATCCCCCGCCATGCAAGGCTTTGCTGGCAACCTGGAACCCAGCCGCGGCAGGAGCTGCTAAGGCGCCTCCGCTCCAGTTCAGTCGAGTATTGGTGCAACAAGCGCCAAAGAGACACCGCCAACTGCTGGATGACGTGGGTTGGGAGAAGTCAGAATGTGAGTCGTCAGATGCCCTCAACTGGCGTGGTACTTCAAGCAAGCATCTGCTGAAGTTAAAATGTCCGAGGGGTTCGACGTGCAGGCGCCTCAGGGACAGACGCGGCAAGTGACGGCTGTGGCAGAAAGGCTGGCTACTTGAATTCCGACCGGAGGCTCGTACGGAGGCTGCAGCAAACTAGAGATTCCCTTCTCGTATCCTGGTTCCTCTGCTGTGCGGGCTTAGCTGAAGATGAGGCTTAAAGCTGGAGCTGAGGAATCACGGCGTCGACGCCCTGTCTGTGTCCTTTTGTTCCCAAGATGGGTGTCTGTGAAGCTGGACGGCACAAAAGGCCTGCAGTTCCATTCTTCCGACGTCAAGAACCTTCACTTGTGAGTGTTATTGCAGGTGTCCATCCCGTTCCTTGATCAGTGTAGCGTCCGTAGGGTAGCTCGATGAAGATCTTCGAGTTTTTCACTACAGCGCCAACGGGTTTGGGAGGTACGCGTCGGAAGGCATCATAGACCGGCACACACACAAGGACATGTAAGAGAGACGGACATGGATAGTCTGCTGGAGTCCGAAGTCGTGGGAGTCGTGAGAGTCGTGTCGCAGGCCTGATCAGGCAAGGGCATAGTCACGTGATGTTTTATAGGGGTCACTGTCCGTGCGCGAACTTCCTCCGCCTCATTGTGCAGTTATTTGTGAGCTTTCGCACAAACGGCTGTTGCGCTTGATTTCTAAGCTGAACGATCCCGCTTTTACGCCGGGCTTCAGTTATCTGCAAGAGCACTGTACCATCAATGCTCAAAGTTGAGAGAGTTCTCCAGAGCGCCTCTGAAGTCCTTGAAGAACATGCCTCTGATGGTGGAATGACACCATCCCACTAGAGGTGATGTGTTTGGCTTGAGCGGCTTGATAGGCAACAGTCAACTAAGGTACGTTGAAAGACGCACGCCAGCTGAACACTGCAGCTTTGTTGGAGAACGTCAGCTGGATGATCGTAGTCCACAAGGCGGCATTAGGAACCTTGAAGCTGCAAGTTGCTCTCCAGTGATATCCTCCTTGCTTTGCTGCGAAGTCCAGTAGGACTTATACTTCTATACAGCCTTTTTTTCTATATGTGGAGAGGCGCCAGGTGCTGCAACGGACCGCGATGGAGCATCGAAGATACCCGTCAATTTCATGCAGCCAGCCTTTCTTCCCTTAGGTAGGCTTGAAGCTCGGCTACATTCTCTAAAGCGTCCCTCGACACAGCGGCTTGCGGAGTCGATCTGCGTCGCAACGCACGTCACCGTTAATCTTGTCGGAGCATTGCAGCTGCCATGGGTGGTAGGGCTGCAAGCCACACCTGATACGGCACGAACTTGAAGGATTTGAATTGGCCATGAGATCCTTCGAGTAAGTGCTACCACCTTGCTTGCACTGCCGTTGTAGAACAGACATCTCATGGGCCACCTTCGCGAGCTGTAGCCTCTTCAGGGAAACTTAAGCGAGGGAGCGCAATCCAACACAAAATGCTGCGTTGCAAGAGAAGTGCCAATACTGGAGATGGTCATACCTTCATGAATGGAGATACCAAGGGCCTCAGGTGGCGATGTTCATCCCACGGATTCCGACCAGACTGTGCATCAACAGCCCCGCCCTTATATCCTAGCTTTCTTCTCGCTCAAGTTTTTACGTATTTCCGTGCTGGAAATTTTGCTGTGGAAGTCCTCTTCCACCTTCCCAGCTTCTTCACCCTCGACAGGATCCAGAACATCGACTTCCAGGACCTCCAACTCAGCCCACCCTTTCTCCGCTCTCTTCTCGTTCACGGCCTTCCCGCCACTCCTTGTCTCAGCAGAGATGACCAACGCTGAAATATTCTCATCCGTGATCGTCGGCCCGAACGGGTCCCAAATCTCGACACACTTGATCGTCAAACCGCAAGTGAGGCTAATTTCAATAGCGTGACCGTTCGGGCCAGGCTCGTTCTTCTCCTCGATCTTGATCTTCGACGACCCCGGGGTTGAGAAGTCTAAGATGGAGAGTAGGAACTTATATACGGCTTTCTGCCGATCGTCCCAGCTCTCGAGGTACTCGGCATACTTTTTGTTCTTCAGCAGCTCATCTCCGGTAATCCCAATGGTCACGGTTCTTTGTCGTGGCGGATCAGAGGCGGCGGCGGACTGCGGAGCTTCGACAGCGAAAGCGGTCATGGTGAGCAGTAGTTTATGCCCGATGTGCAGATGATCGAACGTCCCTCCTACGGCAACGTCGTAGTGTCTCTTATGGGCTGACGAGTCTCCCTGCGCACCCAGTTCTTCTTCGCCATCAGAAACTTGCACAATGCCACCCCTAACCCTCCTCACCTCCATCTTGTTGCTGGTAGCCGCTAAGAAGCTCTTTAACACTTGTTCCCCACCCTCACTCTCGACGCTGTAAACCATATGATAATCTCTCCCACTGCGCGCCAGGGTGTTTAGGTTGGTAACAGGACCTTGAGTATCACTTTCTGAAGTGCCATCCGAGACATGGTCGAGCCTTCCGTTTCGTGGGTGAGCTACTAGCAAGACCCTTGCATCTACGCCCTCTGCATCCTCAACGTCGATGCTGTCCCTGGCGGAGATGATGCATATGAGCTTGTATAGTCCAGCCACTAACTCCTGCGTGGTCTTCCATAGTGTGCTCCGTGGAGCTGTGGGATTGGCGTATAAGTGAGGGCATGGCAGAGCGATATCGAGAGCAATGGGAGTGGAGCGGCGGTGCGGAAGTCGGCCCAGCTCTCGGAGTACGATCGTCAGGGAGGAACTATAAGCGGCTTTGAGAGCGGCGAAGGTCGGTGGTGAGGGGGGAGGTGGGAGCAGGAGGAGATGGCGCAGAGGTGTGCGTTGAGTGGGCGGCATGTTTGGAGCTCTTCTTTGTACTGTGCTACTCAATCAACGCTGCTGTAGTGGAGCGGTGTTACAGGAGACCTGCCACCTGTCGTGCCGGTGATCTTCGTCGGTTGGGTTCATTGTCCAAGAGAGCTCGGCTGGAAGTGAGCGTGAGCATCGCTTGTTGTCACTCAGCCCTACGGCAACCCCAAAGTGCCTACATCGCAAACGATCTATACCCAAAAATCCCCGGCGCCCCTCCACACCTTGTTACTCCGTATTGTTGCAGTGTCCGGCCGTAACTTGGGCGACCCTAGACGGTTGACGGCAGCATGCCGTTCCACGCTCACCACCAACCCGCCCACCCTTCCAGCTCAACGACCACACCCGGAGCTGCGGCCGGCATATATCAAGCGGCGCAGGCACTGGGCTCGATAGGTGCGCCCACAGGGAGCCTTCGTGCCGCGACCTCAGGCACAACCAACGCCGGCACCGACGCGCTCTTGCCCGCCAGCGGCAACGCTCCAGGGCTGCACAGCGGGACCGCCCCACCGTCGACGTCCGGTCTGCCTGGGCCCGGCGCAAGCAGCTCCCAGCAGCAGCAGCAGCAGTTCGAGACACCACGAAGATCAGCGACGGTACGGAGGCAGGGGGAGGAGCTGCATATCGCGTCTGGCAACTTTACCGGCCAGCATCCAGCCGCGCAGCAGCAGCAGCAGCAACACCAACAGGTGTATCGCTCGCAAGACGCATACCCGACGGGCTCTGCGCCAAACATCAGTCTCCAGCAAGCCACTCCTCAGGGATCGCATTTCAGCAACGCTTCGGCGGCCGGAAATGTTGGCGGCGTGCCTGGCAGCCTGCAGCCGAATCTCCAGCCCGCGCTCTCAGGACGTCCTGGCCCTCAATCCGCCTACACCGCACCCTCAGTCGTCCCTACGGTCCCCCACCTAAACACTAATGCGCAACAATACACCCTCCCTACGCGGTCCAACACTATGAGTACCTCGCACAGCTACTCGCGATCGAGTCCAGCTGGTCTGGAACAGAAATACATCCCCTTCTCCAACACCCCCGAGAACGCGAAATACACGCCTACGCCTCAGCAGCAGAGCAAGTACTACAATCCGCAGACACCCTCAGGACCGGCGTCGCAATCACCACTCGGCCTTGCGGATATACGGCCGCGGGCAAACTCGAGCATGGCAGACGAGGCGCCAGGAACACCGATACTCGGCGACAGCGACCGACAGCAGAAGAATTGCAACTACGTGGCGCCGTGGGCGGTGTACGCGTTCGACTGGTGCAAATGGCCGGTACATGGCGGGAATAGCGCTGGGAAGATAGCCGTGGGCAGTTATCTTGAGGATCCGCATAATTTCGTACGTCCTTCATTGGCTGTCGTCGCTTCTCCATACCCGGGATTATAAAGTAGACTGAAAAGCAGGTGCCAAGGCCCTTGCAGGAATACCACTAATCTGTGCTCACTCTAGATACAAATACTCGACACCCAAATCACACCCCAAGAGCCCACCACCCCTGGCAGCGTAACCTATGGCCTCGAATACGTCAAAGTCGCCGAGGCAACGTGCTCCTATCCCGTCACTCGCATTCTTTGGGAGCCGCCTTCCTCACAAAAACAATCCACCGACCTCCTCGCTACCTCAGGCGACCACTTGCGCCTATGGTCTCTCCCACAATCTTCCTACTCCGCCCCCAACATAAGCAGTACCATTAGCCGCTCCTCCAGCGTAAACACTCGAGATCCGGCACCTCAGAAACTAACACCGCTGGCGTTATTAAGCAACAGCAAGAGCCCCGAGCACACAGCGCCGCTCACAAGTCTGGACTGGAACACGGTGTCACCAAAACTGATCATCACGAGCAGCATAGACACGACCTGCACGATCTGGGACATCCCGACGCTGACAGCAAAGACGCAGCTAATCGCGCACGACAAAGAAGTCTTCGACGTGCGCTTCTGCGCCGGCAGCGTCGACGTCTTCGTCTCCTGCGGCGCGGACGGAAGCGTGCGGATGTTCGACCTCCGGAGCCTGGAACACAGCACCATCATCTACGAGCCCGCAGAAAAGGGCGACAAGGAGAAAGGTATGCGTTCTCTCCCCTTTCCCAAACCCCCTCCCTCCCAAGCCAGCCCAGTCTATCGCCCAAACCTCCAAACCTCACTCACACAACCCTACCCCACAGGCTCCCCAACAACCGGCCGCATCTCCCCCACAAAAGCCCAACAAACCCTGACCCCAGCCCCGCCTCTCCTCCGCCTCGCCGCCTCCCCCCACGACCCGCACCTCCTGGCAACCTTCGCAGCCGACAGCCCCCTGATCCGCGTCCTCGACGTCCGGCAGCCCGGGCAAGCGCTACTCGAACTCCGTGGCCACGCGGCGGCGCTCAACGCTATCGAGTGGTCCCCCAGCAGGCGGGGGATGTTGGCCTCGGGGGGGGATGACTCGTTGGTGTGTGTGTGGGATTTGATCAACAGCGGGAATGGGGCTGCGTTGAACGGCGAGGCTGCAGGTGCGCCTACTTTCTCGTCTAGCAATGCTGCTCCGGTGGTTTCGGGTGCCGGGGGTGCGGTGGGGGCGGCGGCGGGCGCTGCGGGTCAGGGCGCGGCTGCGGGTGCAGGAAGTATCCAGGCGAAGGGGCCCGCGATGAGTTGGCGGTGCGACTACGAGGTTGGGAACCTGAGCTGGGCGCCGCAGAGTGGGCTTACGCAGCAAGGGGGCGAGTGGGTCGGCGTCGCGGCGGGCAGGGGGGTTTGGGGCGTGAAATTATGATCATGGGATGAGTACGGAGAGGCTGAGTGAGGGGAGTGGCTATCCCGTAAGGGAGGGAGCTGGATTGAGAGGAACAGATGAAGAGGCAGGCGCGAGCGTTTGACGGTCGAGACGTTTTGATGCATTTCTTGGAGATAAGCGTGGCGTTTTTCCTGTTGTTGGCCTGAGAGGGCTGTCTCGGTCCTGGCTGCGAGGAATGAGACTTTGCGTTCGCCCTGCTGCGCGGATGGAAAAGCATGGAGCAGGGCAGATGGGAGGGGAGAGGCTACCTAGATACCACGATATTATCCTATCCTCATCCGTAATGATGTCTGGACGTGAACTCGGTGTTGAGTGCTTAGTCGGATCAGTTTGTCCTGATAGCGAAGTAAGCTTGAGTTTGTGCTCAGCTCTTCCTCAGCCCCCAATGAATAGTTTTAGAAATGAAAGTTGCATGGTCAATGTTGACTCTCAAGTCAGCGTCTTCATCCAGCTGCGTCGGCAAACATGGACGCCTAGCATCTTGAACCGGGCTGATGTAGTGTGATTTGGTTTCGGGACGATAGACTCTATTTACACGAGACCGAAACACCATATATATGCATAAACCAGAAATGCCCATCCAGAAGCCCATCTATAAGGCCAAACCCATGTCCAGTTAGGAAAAGATAACCCTCTACCCAGCAATGCAAAACTCCCTTGCTAAAATGCACCACAAAACCATCATCTATCCTGCGGCACAACATGCGCAATAACGCTCGTCGGCACAACCATCTCCACCCCTGACGCTCTCAGGGCCATCTCCGTGACCAGAATTGTGCTGAGGGGTGCCGCCGCGCTCCCCGACGCCGCCGCCGGAGCAGTAGTAGTCGACACGTGCGCCGAAGTCGGAGCAGATTGATGCTCCTCTCCAACTTTGTCCTCAGTACCACCTTAGTAAGCGGCGGGAGAACCAGCTCCCTCACCACCGGCCATCCCGCGGGCGGCCAGGGCGAGGAGATTATCCAGCCCGGGCTCGCCCTGTTCGTATCGTGCGTTGAACTTGACGACCCGCTTGATGCTGTTGTATGTCGCGACGTCCAGTGGCATCGGCTGTTCCGCGATGAGAAAGGTAATGCCCTCTGCGCAGGGCGGGGTTGTCAGGGAGCCGCTGTACTGCAGGAGGGGCGTGGTAGTGAGATGAGAGACGAGAGGGGCGAAGTCTAGGGGGCCTGTCTCGGTGATGCTGCCCGGTTCGGCAACTTTGTCCATGTGATGTGTCAAGCTGGCGAGGAGGGCTGTGGTGCTGCCGTCGGTGGAGAGCTGGAAGAGGGCGCCGAGGACAGCGATATCGCCGGAGTTGTCTGGGATGGGTTTAGCAGAGGTGTTTGGAAGACGAAAAAGGTTGAGGGGAAGGAAGGAACATAGGCGGAACGAGGACTCGTACCTGCAGCTTGGTGCACCATATGCATCTCAAGCGGGAAGTATTCTTCATTGATTCGATGCTCGGATGGAGTATGGAGATGGAATTGCACAAGATTGAACTGTCTGCCCGCAACAGTTGTCGTGCCGTTAACAACCACCTCAATAGTAGTGCCCAGATTCTCAAAGTCCGCAAACTCGACATTAGGTATATCGATGATAGGGGCTTCGGCGGCTTGAGCTGTCACACCCGGCTCTAGTTCCGTTAGCACACGACGGTATAAAGACAGACTGAGACCATACGGAGATTGATCGGAGACTGGTTCTTGCCAGTTCTGCATGCCTCATTGTCTGCGGCAAGATTGGCCCAGTTGACAGGGCCTTGAAGGCTGGTGTAGCCGAACTTGCTGACTTGTACCTTACCCTCCGCAGTGAAGCGCCTGCGAAGCTTGGAGGTGCCGTGCAAGCAGCTGCCATGGGCGTAGGCGGCAAAGCCTGCAAGTACAATGATAGTATGAAGAAGCATAGTGACTTTTTCTTTAATGAAAATGCGAAAGACGCCGGTAATGCGTAGAGCAGAAATAACGAAGGGATCTACAGAAGTATGATCAGGTAGTTCGAACTGTGCGTTGCTGAAGGATAAATTCTGTGCAAACGGACGATATATAGTAGCTTAACAATATAGTAGGACTAATGAATGTAACCCCAGGCCCGAAAAAATACGGAAGGGGGGACCCTGCTGGAAGCCGACTGCCTGCAGGGTAGCCTTGTACGAACGGAAAATTGCGGCCTGCGCGGAAAGCTTGTATGACCGTCGAGCAGTGGGGCATATGAGGATGAAATATATCCTGGAGAAAAGCCCGCCCCCTGAAGCAAAAGCATTGGGGGACCATACCGCAGTGGTTCCGAGTGTCGCGAGAGAGCTAAGTGACACAGATAGAACTCCAGGTATCCAACAGCATTGCTGTCCATGCAAGAAGCTGAGGACCTTCTCGCTTCGGAAATGCTTCTCAGACGCTAGGCTAAAGGGAAAGGAAGGGGGAAGTCTCCGCATTGACAGCTTTGAGCGTCAAGGCGAGACCGAAAACCTCTCTGGCGGAACGTCAAGGGGGCTCGTCTCATAGTACAAGCCTCGGCGCGGACATAGAAAATGAGACTCTGAACGGCGGCTCTTTCGCCACGATGAAACGTGCGAGCAAAGGTACTCCGTGCTTCAGCGGAAGGGGACTGCCGAGGTACGAGAAAAGAAAGAATCCGCCGCTGAGAGGCGACCTCGTCACTTACGATGTGATGTTCCGTCTTACTCACTTCACTTGCATACACGAGAGGAAGCGATCTCAGCAACAACCCAGGTTGCCTTCGGGCTCACCCGACGTCTCGATGCGATGCTCGTGCTTCCCCGCCCCACAGAATGCTCGGTGGGTAGCTGATTCGTTTGGGCGCTTACCGAGAGCCGTTGGGGGAACGGTCATGTCTGCGACGCGGTAGTTACAGGTGGCCTGATGAGCTTGAGAAACACGCGATAATTGCATTAGCTGACCCTCGGCGCGGCGAAACGGTCCGAGGCCTGGAACGAGCTCCCCAATAAGAATAGATCACGATACTGTTCCTGCTTCGCCGGTGATGTCCCGTGAACGGTAAAAAGGTTAGCGAAAGCGGAGCCGGATGCAAGTGCGGAGGGCATGCAGAACGCGGAGGTAAGCTTTCGTAAGGCTGAGGAAAACGGTGAAACTCGGAATGTGGAAGCCCATAACGATGGTGCGTGAGACGTTTCGTCTGCCAATATGATCTTCCCTTGGTCCGAACGGGCTTCATCTACCCAACAATTCATGAGGCGTCAAAGGTTGGAAGCCAGAGGGGTCCCAGATTGAAGACGAGCTATTGCCAAAGCCGCTACTTGATTGTACTCCGTACTCGTAAGTCGCCTATACTAGTACGATCGGCCTCGGCTGTCGGCGAACGACGAATGGAGGATGCGGACTGCCATGGACCTTCGTTGCTGTCCGCTCAGAACTCATAGTATACTCATTTGAAGCCCTTTTCTCGAGGTCGACGTAGCTTTTGAGTTTATATCAGCTTTGAGCTAGTCAACCTTGTAGATAAAGCTTGATTGCTTAATGATCCTGTTTGTGGTATTATGTCAGCGCCCAGGAGTTTCAAAAGCCCCTACAAGCGGTGTAGGTATCAACCACTTCGCTTTACTCGTACCAAGCTGAGCGCACGTGACAATCTGGCCATGAGGACACAGGCATCTCATTTCTCGCCTGCGCGCATACGCAAGTTCAAACGGACAGCGAAACTTATATAGAATGTCTTTGTTCAGGTCCTGGCTCAGCCCGCAGCTCCCTCCCGACCGTCCAGCGCTATCGAGCTCCGGCTATGAGCTTCCACGCTGGACCCGCTCAGCGCAAGATTTAGCAGCCATGCTGCCTCCTCCACCGATAGCCGCCAGCGTTTATGCATTGCCAAAACCGCAAACGCAGCAGCAAAGGATGCCAGCAGACTGGGTGGCTCTGCAGAGGAAGGAGCAACAACTCCAAGAGGACTTACAATCTCTCCTTGACGCCCAAGCCGAAGGCCTTATCGCCGGCTTGAACAGTGTGCCAGATGACCAAGCATCCGATGGCAGCTCGACACCAACAGCACAGAGCGTACGCCTAGGCATAAAGTCGCCGTCCCGGCGGGTCGGTCGCCGCAAGCCCGGACTTCGAGCAGCACGACGTAGTATATCCCGCACCATTCAAGAGCTCGCTTATGTAAAGGCAGAAGAGAGAAACCTGCTTGAAAATGACCTCGACGACAACCGAGCTATACTGAACCAGGTCGCAAGCTGGGAGGACAAGCAGAATAAAATCCTTCAGAAGATTACGAGCATCGAGCAGGGAAACAACAGCTCTAGGTCACAGTCCCTACAGCAAGAAGCCGATCGACTACAGATAGATATACACGACCTCGAGCTTCGACTTACAGAGATGAAGGCGAAGCACCGGCGGCTCATCGCTGAGATATCGGGTCTGGAGAACTCGGTACAGTCAAAGCTTTCGAGCTTTAAGGCGTCATTGTCGCTGCTTGACGGGGAAATCAGACGCTTTCTGGACAGGCCTCCTACCTTGCTGACCGCTGCGGCTCCTGATGGCTCTACGTTCTTAACCTTACCTCCGAAGAGGAGAACGCTTAGCATGGCCAAAGACCACTGGCAGGCTGGACGCCAGGAACTGGAGCAGAGATACGGACGTGTTGAGCTAGAACGTGAGGCTCTGGAAGAAGGCGCTGTAGTATGGAAAAGTGTAGTCGACAGAGTCGCTGCGTTCGAAATGTGGCTTGCGGATGAGATGCGTACTAGTAGCGTTAGTGACGGAAGTAAGAGCAGGCAGTTGAACGGCGCGCATGGCCTCTCGGACCTCGTAACGGATATGGACGACGCTATTCAGTATATCGAAGGAAAGCTCGAGCTTGCAGAGACACGAAACTGGAAGCTACTTGAGTGCTGCATTGGCGCGGAGCTTGAGGCATTCAGGCGAGGTCGGCAAATATTGCAGCAGCCGATACCAGTTACAAGAGATGGTCAAGTGTTTGAGCACGAAGATGGTGAGAGGGCGTCGACAGCTCCACCGCCGATGAGTGGCGATGCGTTCAGTCCTGCAAGAAAGAAGCCGGACCAGGGAAGCCGGCGGAAGATATTCCATTCTGACGATGACGAGCCGGATCCGGAGTTACTCATATCCCACCAGGACACAGACACTGAATCCGAGCGTTCAGATGAAGTGAAGTGAAGTGAATCACTCGGCATCGACATCTGTGCGCAGGCGGCCGTGAAAGGCACGATCGGACTCGAAAAAATGGAAAGCGCCGTCACCAAGCAGCACGAGCGGCAAGACTATGTGTTATAACTATATATAATGTCAAAGTCGCTTTGGTCAATTGTGCGGCGTAGGTCCAGGGTATGGCTTCGGCGACACCCCTGGCCCGCTGGGGATCCCTCTTCATCCATGAGCACACGGGATCACGGGCTCGACTCCCGGGGCATAGGTCTGAGGGGCTTGACTCCGTAAACTGTGTCTTCGATCCCTAGGAGGCGGCGGGTGGTGGCTACTTTTTTTGCCAATTCAATCTATTATCATGGTCATGAGAAGGCATGTTGGGATGATCAACCCTCTTCTCCGTGATGTTACTCAGGGGCTGCGCAACGATACGTAAGATGGAGTACATGGTTCGATCTCCACCGGTAACCTTTTTCATAACTTTTCTTGTCTTAATATTACTTGTGTGGAGTGCGTCCTTTGCATCGTTATAGTTGTAGGAATGAACCCGCTCAACGGTCTTGTACTCTTAAGATATGTTTGAGTACCAGAGTCATTGCAGCACCACTGCCATCGACCCACATGTGGCAAAAGCACTTTCATGGTCTCCTCCTTGGTTCAAGGGCCACCGGAAAAGTTCGTCGTCGCATCTATATTCTACTTGTTCAGTACCAGATTCACGATGGACCTGGACTTATGATCAGTCGATTATGGAATAGCGAGACCGATTGTATGCGATAGGAAAACATAAGATGTTCAGCATTGGGGTCCTATAGTGCATCGACCACTTGAGATGTCTTTAGGCTCTGATTGCGCTTGCGCGCTCTTCTCCTTCAATGCGACAATGCATTCTTTGGATGGCCCTTGGTCAATCGAAATAATATCTGCCATCACTACGTGACGCCACCAGCCATATTTTTCACTCAGCCTGATACTTGCAATGCACCTGATATAAGTTGTCCATCAACAGACGGGACCCATGCAGCTGATGCCAAGCATCTTCCACTCGACCCAGACAGGCTCCAGGCAACCCCACATCGCACTTGCGGTAAGCTTTCAACTGCAATTGACGCGCAATCTACCACATTCCTCCTCGCGATGTCATGAAATTAATCCGAGGGTACTTCCAAGTGCCCGAACGATGACTTTGCCAGACCCGGCGTACAGCTTCACTATCCCATCTCTACACGATGACACCCCGCTCGACTGCCGAATCTACCATCCTTCAGAACTAGCAGGGTCGGCTTCCTCTGTAGAAGACACATGGCAGAAGAGAGGAGCCATCATAGCGCACCCATACGCGCCATTAGGTGGGTCCTACGATGATCCAATCGTGAGTGTTGTTGGACAAGAGGTCCTCCGCCAGGGCTTCATCGTGGGAACCTTCAACTTCAGGTATGGAACTTGGAAGCGCTCTTCAACACGTAGAGCTGACACAAGTCTCCAGAGGCGCAGGTGCATCTCACGGCCGCACAAGCTGGTCCGGCAAAGCGGAGCTAGCGGACTACATCTCCTTCGCCGGCTGCTTCATCCACTACCTGCATAACCTCCAGTTGTCTCCATCTTCATATCCCGAAACGCATAAGCTTCAGCCTATCCCCAGCAGCAGCTCCCGACCGCTCTTTCTAAGACATAGTAGTGGACCCCCACCTCCAGATCCACCCATCAAGCTCATCCTCGGCGGCTACTCTTACGGCTCCCTTGCCACGACCCACATCCCCGCAACATCCACCCTCCTCCAGCGTTTCATCAATGCCGTGCCTGGCACCGCAGCTGCTGAGATACTCCTCCGCGCGCGCGTCCTAGCCGAACAGACGAGTACCGAGCTCAGCGCATCAGTAGCGCAACGCGGCCGCTCGTTCCGAAGAAGCCGCCAGAGCCTCACAATCGGCGGAGAAGAGACCCCGCCTGACATTCGGCGCCGGAGCCGGGAGACAAGCCGGCGCAGTCTCGATGTGCCGCGGAGCCTCAAGGTCTTTGGAAGGAAGGCCAGCGATCGGTCGTGTACACCTTCACCAGCGGACGAAGCAGTGGAGGACGAAGAGCACGTAAAGGATGTCCCAGACGTATCGACTGCTTACTTGCTCGTCTCGCCAATCCTGCCGCCAACGTCTACTTTGATCGCGCCGTCCCTGGCGAAAGCTTCACCGGGCCAGCAGAACATCACGAGGAGGCCTACGCTGATAGTGTATGGAGACAAGGATTCTTTCGCCTCGGCTAAGAAGATGCGGAAGTGGGTGGAGGAGCTGAAGAAGGAGGCTGGATGGCTGCTTTGGAGTACGGAGGTTCACGAGGCGGGACACTTCTGGCGGGAAGAGGGGGTGGAGAAGGAATTGAGGGATGCGGTGAGGGAGTGGGCGAGTGCTGTTGCGAGTGGATCCGAGGGTCAGCGGTCGATGTCAGTGCTGTTGGACCGCGCGGATGCTGTGGCTGCTATTGCTCAGGTACAATGAAATGGGTGATTCGCAATCCTAGAGCGGGGAGCTTCACCATGAGCTGAGCGAGAGACTGGCTGCTCAGCGCAAACGAGACCTTCACAAACCCGAACAACCAAGCTGGACACATGTGAGTTAGACACTGGTATGAGAGATGTGCACAAAGCGCTCCGGAAAATATAATGAGATTAGAGAAACAGCTGAGAGTATTAATATCAACGACTTGTAAACCTCTTCTTTCGGGCGGCATCTAAGTAGCACAGCGGGAGCTCCGCGAAGGTGACTGCTTTCTTTAACAAGGTTGACCCTCATTATACGCAGCAATTGCATCCTAGTAAGACTCTTTGGAGGGTATATAGGTAATATTCCTTTCTGCGGTGAGGATGTAGTTATATATAATAACTGGAGACCGACTTAAAACGTTTAACTTCGAGCATGCCACTAACCGCCCACGTTGTGGAGCAACATATGCCGTGTTATCCAAGATAGAAACCGGCAAACTCGACAAGGTAGTGATTACGATGTTGTCCGCTCCTGCGGTGTTATCGTCGCCATCAGCGTCTCGGCTCGGATCATCTTGGGTTTCTTCACTTCTCTCCCCTAGTGTATCGCCCTTCACAATAACGTACGGAAACAATTCAGCTTGGTTATCCCTTCACAGCTGTCGGATCCCTTAAACTGTCTTAGTTGCCCCAATCTTTCAGATCGACCCTTAGGTGCGAGCACAATGTCCAACGAGCGAGCGGTGGGTTACCTCACACAACTCATTGGCAAGACTCTGCGTATCACCGTAACGGACAACCGCATGTTTGAAGGCCAGATGAAGTGCACTGATAGGGTTCGTCCGACGTTTTCATGCCTAAGCGCTTCGGCACCTCTTTAAATCTCTTATTACTCACTGTTGTCAACAGGACCGCAACGTCATCCTGGCACTTACCCACGAGTATCGTCCTCCATCGGAAGAGGCTATCAAAAAGGCCATCGCGGAATCTGGCAGTTCATCCGTCACTCTGCCGCACTCTAGCCGATTTATGGGCCTTGTCGTTGTCCCTGGGGAGCATATCACGAAGATTGAGCTAGAGGACCGCAGTCTCAACCAACCGCCAGTACTATGAGATGCTGTAGTAGTCACGACCACGTTCTCGACAACATCTGCCTTGCAGCTCCGTCAACCTATATTTAAGGACCTTCCAGTCACCACCTTAAAACTAGGAAAGAATATCCGAAATCGATATCACGTGACAGCTCCGTACCTCGGCGACACCCCTCGTCGATCTCCCGACGCTCCTCCAAAGCTTCTAGCTTTTGACAGTCCCAAGTCACTGTCATAGACACCACCCTCCAAGATGAAAGCCATCGTTCTCGACGCCTTCGTCACTGACCTGTCCTCCCTCACGGCGACAGAAGCGCCCCTCCCAAAACCATGGCAGCCCGCCGACGTCCTAATCCGCATCACCCACGCCTCCATAACCCACGTCGACGTCCTCTACGCCCGAGGCCTGCACCAAAACAACCGGCGCCACACCAAGCCACCCTTCACACTCGGTCTCGAGTTCTCCGGTATCGTCGCGCAGTCCCCCGCTTTCTCGGCCTATAGGCCCGGTGACCGCGTCTTTGGCTCCGCGCTAGGGGCGTATGCGGAGTATATCGCTGTGCCGGAGAAGCTGCTGAGGAGGGTACCGCGCGGATATGGGCTGCGGGAGGCGTGTGCGTTGGGGGCGAGTGGGTGCGTCGCGGTTGCGAGTTTGATGGGGGAGAGGGGGGCGCGGTTGAGAAGGGGGGAGAGTGTGTTGGTCTTGGGTGCTGCGGGGGGGTTGGGGGTTATAGCTTGCCAGGTTGCGAAGGCGGCGGGGGCGAGGGTTATTGGGGTTGTGGGGTCGAAGGAGAAGGAGAGGGTGGTGAGGGGGTTGGGGGTGGAGGTGGTGAGGTATGACTCGCCGGGCTGGGAAGGAAAGGTTAGGGCGTTGACGAGGGATGGAGAGGATGAGGAAGGTGGCGTGGATGTGGTGTATGATCCTGTTGGAAACGTTGAAAGCTCACTGCGCTGTATTAAGTATGGCGGACGTGTCCTCGTTATCGGATATGCTGGCCGGCACGGCGTAATGGAGCAGATACCAGCTAATAAGATATTGCTAAAGAGCGCCAAGGTCATTGGGTACCGCTGGGGCGAGCATGGCCGACGGTTCCCACAGGAGGCAGAGAAGGTATGGGATAAGGTTATGGAAATGGCAGAGATAGGAGAGGTCAAACCTGTTGTCTACGATAAGGAGTATAAGGGCCTAGAGAGTGTGCCGAGGGCTATGCATGACGTAGAGGCTAATAAAGCGTGGGGAAGAGCCATTATAACAATTGCGAATGAGGGAGAAGTGCTAGAGGAGATGAGCAAATCAAAGCTATAAGTTCAGCATCACCGGGTAACTAAGCATGGGCTTTTCTAGATATTCCAGTAACAAAGGCTTCTGATCTATGCTGCCTTTAGCAAAGGAAAACTGCTCGTATATGCTGAATAAGTTATGAACGCGTGGTTAAGCTATGATACAACCCTATCACCTATTCCCACCCATAAAGCAGCGAAGCGATTCAGAAGCGCATAGTAGCTCTTGAGCGAGAACACCGTGGGCCGACGAAAGAAACGCTCGCTGCAAGCTGTGGTACTAGGGCCGCATAGCGCAGAACCACCGATCGGTCAACTCCTATCCTCTTCTCATCCGCCACAGAGCCCATCCACAACCTCCACGTCAGCAGAAGGACAACTCCCTCATACCACCCTGTTGAAACCCCGTCAAATTCAGAGCTCTTCAGCCCCCGCAGCAGCCTCGACCACCGCCTCAATCGACGTCTCCAACCCCTCAATCAACGCGCCCGCACCGTTCAGTATCCCGCCACCCAGAGCCCCCAAAGCACTACCAGGCGGAACATTCTCGCTATCCTCGTAGACAACAATCTGCTCCTCAACGACCTCAACGACCTCAGTCACGGTCGCGACGGGCGGCACACTCGGCTGCCTGCTCGTACCGCGCGTAGACCTCGCCACCGACCCCGCCCTCGACGGCGCACGTTTGCCCGTCGCCGTCAGACTCCCGCTCGTGCCCGGACGACTCGAGCTCGGTCCCACAGACGGCTGTCTCGAGCCCGCACGCGAAGAGCGCAGTGGTCCGCCATTGGCAGGTGGGACGCTTCTCTGCCTGGATGCGCCGCGAGTTGAGCGCGCCACCGACTGCGCGCGTGAAGATGCGGCCGGCTTGAGACCTGCAGACGGGAGGATATCGCGCTCCTCGTTGACTTCGAAGATCGTGTCGATGGTGTCGGTCGCGCCGGGCGTTGGGGGCGCGGCGGGCGTGAAAGCCGGGGTGACGCCGACGCTTGCGAAGGGGTCTTCGATAGACGGGACGAAGAGGTTCGATTCATAGGGCGCAGTCAGGTCGGCAGCCGTCGGAAGGTCTGCGGCTGGGGCTTCGGGGAACGCCTCCAAGGGGTCTGCAAGGGCCGAAGAGTCGATGGTGGGCGTCAGGCCGGGGGGTGCGTCGAAGGCGGTGGCGAAGTCTGTAACGCCCTCGAGCGCGGAGACGCGTGCACGGCGAGCCCCTTCGGCGGCTTCTTCAACGAGTTCCTCAATGGTTTCGGCGGTAGCGATGGCATCCTCGGCAGCATCCCAAGCCGCTTCGGCAGCCGCCTCGAGATCGGTCATGGGGACGTCGTTCTCGTCGCCGGTCTCATTAGCGAGGCTCATGATGAAGTTCCATTCGGCCTTGCTGACTTTGGTAACGCTAAGGCGACTCTGCTTGAAGAGTTGCATGTTCTCGAGGATGCCGCCGGATTTGGCGTATCTCTTCAATTCGGGCAAGGTGACTGGTTCAGGGAACTTTTGCCTGAAGGATACCGAAACGCAATGCCACCTGGGGTTCTCTTGACTTGACTTTGCGTCGTACTTGTAGGAATTGGTGTCAAATTGCGAATCTAGAAAGACGGAGTTTCAGTATGAGGGAAGTCAAAGGATGATATAGGGGAGGCCTGCATGGAGATCGCAATTGCCCCGGGAAGCACGTACCGTCAACATGAGCTTCCTCTACGATCTCCATGATACCGACGATTGCGGGCGTCTTGGTGTTGGAATGGTAGAAGAAAGCAAGATCGCCTTTCTTCATTGCCTGCATGTTGTTCCTAGCGACGGTGTTGCGTACGCCTGAAGATGTCATTAGCTGGAACAAGCAAGACCTGAAGACTGGAACAACACTTACCATCCCACTCCTCCGGTGCAGCAGCAGCCATAAGGTCGTCGATGGAGAACTTGACATCAACGCCGTTCTCAAGACGTGACTCGGCTTCGGACTTCATCAACCAGTATGACGGACCCTCCTCAGCATCATGCTCGTCATCAATATCGATATCCATATCTTCAGCCGCTCCAGCTGCGGTTGCAGCATCGATATCAGCTTCTTGACCAGCACGCTTGAGTGGACTCTTGAAGGGTGGGTTCTTCCCACGGCCACTGCCACTGGTAGTGGCGCGAGCCTTCGCGGTTGTGCCCTTCGCAGGCGCTTTACGCGTAGTAGGTTTAGTAACTTTGGAGGGTGCTTTCGCCTCCTTAGCCGTAACGTTGCGCTTGCCCCGTCCTATTGCCGGAGAAAGCTGCGCAGCTTGCCCAGCCTCCTCTGCCTCCTCGACTAGCTGCTGTGCCGCAGATCGGCCGCGTCTTCCAGGAGTCGCTGGCGCCGGCGCTGTCTCTGCCTTTGGCTCAGCAGCAACTTTCTTGGGTCGGCCACGGGCTTTCGGAGCTTCAGCAGGCTGCAGCGTCGATTCCTCAGCTGGCGCGACGGCGGATCTGGCGGGACGACCGCGGCGCTTGGGTGTTTCTGTAGGAGCAGGTGGCTCGACTTCTACTTCAGGCTCGTCATGATCTTCTTCTATGACGGCGGCCTTCGGTGCCCGACCTCGACGCTTAGGCGCAGCCGTCTCAGCTGCTGCAGGTGGCTCAGGCTCCTGTTCGATCGGTGCAGTCTTTGGAGCTCTTCCGCGGCGCTTTGGCGCCTCTGTTGGGGCAAGAACTTTTTCGATCAGGTTGTCAATGATAGCAGGTGCGGTCTTTGATGGGCGACCGCGACGCTTGGGCGTTTCAGCTGGTGCGGTGGCGGCGACTTCTTCTACATCCACAACTTTTGCAGCGCGGCCACGGCGCTTTGGTGGTTCAGTGGGTGGGAGAACAGCTTCAGCCTCCTCTTCGTCGTCCGCATTCTTCGCGGGGCGCCCCCGACGCTTCGGTGGATTAGCGGGCGCGGAAACTTCTGCCTCAGGTTCGGGCTCCTCCTCAACGGCGACGATCTTGGCCGGACGACCTTTGCGCTTTGGCGGGTCAGCCGGTGATGCAGCTTGTGGCTCAACATGAGGCTCTTCTTCAACAGCGGCATTCTTCGCCGGACGGCCTCTCCGCTTTGGCGGATCGGGTGGTACTTCAACGCCTGCATCTTCCTCTTGAACAACCGTTGTCACAGCAGCGACCTTGGCTGGACGACCGCGGCGCTTAGGCGTCTCGGTCGTTTCTCCTGTCGCGATCTCGCCATTGCTCTCCTTCGCGCCTTTGGTCGCGATGGACTTTACTGACTTAACCTCAGTCGCGGTAGTTGCGGTGGACTTCTTCGCGCGCTTTTGCTTGGGTTCCTCGAGCTCCGTGGGCGCAGCGCCACGCTTCGGACGCGATATAGACGCCGTCTCTGCGACAGGCTGAATCTTGCTGCCGCGAGGAGCGCGCATCTTTGGCGTTGGTTCGGGTTCAGGCGTTGGATCGCGGGCCGGCGCGGCTGGAGCTTTGCGCTTCTTTGGAGGCATTGAGGTTTTGATGGGTGCTTTCGGAAACTGGAAGATGTCTCAATGTTTACGAACAACTTTGCGCGTAAAGTAGGTACTGAGTGGATGCGATGCTGAAGTGAGGAGGCTGATGTTGTGTTGCAGCTGCGGAGTCGCAACGAAGGCGGGAAGTGACGAAACGCGATGGTCAAAGCTCCAGGTCTCGGGCTGACTTCCCTGAGTCAAGAGCTTGAGAAAGATTCACTGCCCCAAGTGAAGCTGCACGAGATGTTGTCATCGGGTAGAGTCGCTAACGCTCTCACCGTCTCTATTCATCGGCTTCTCATGCATAGAGAGGATGTGGGACGTGTAATCCGAGCTATGTATGGTTCTAAAGTTAGTCCCTATAAGAGCAGCAAGAACTCCTTTGGACGCCCCATGATGCGACACGAGGACTCAAACTAATGATAGCAAGCCCACTCATGGGTGTCTCTCACATACACGATTGTCCTGGTGCTTCCGCGCGTAGACTTTACCGGCCAGATCACTGCAGCCGAGATGTCTTACCATACAATACCCGGTTGCTAGCGTACGATACTCAGGCTCTAAAAACGCTGGTACGTGCTCTCGCACCAAACGAAGCCCACGAAACAAGAACCAGGGACGTCAAACCTCCGACGAAGGATCATAGGGACCAAGAAATGTTCCGAGGTAACGCTGCTGGCACTGAAGTCTGTCAAAGTGTTCGTTTCGTACTCTGCCTATCATTGTACTTCCTCAAGTGAATCAGAAGCTTCAGAGCTGTCTTCCCGCATCCTCCGCTCTCATCCCACCGTCCTTCATTGCCACTCATGATCTCGTCTTTCTTGGTGTCACAGTCCCGAACTGAACCTCAAGAGAACGTAACTCGGCAGCTCCAATCCAAGGCGATGTGACCCCAAAACCTGCTGGAGATGCGCAAGCCACAACTCGAGTCTTGAAGGCGCCGCGATTGCGCAACCTCGCACATGTACACTCTGATCCACCAGAGCAAGATGCGGAGAAGAATAATATCATGTGAAGAGCTTCACAAAAAACAAAAGCAATAACCCGCGATATGCGCTCCGCCCCCTCCGCTTGAGGTTGCGATCCCCACGCCAAGACGCGATGCACAGCATCTACGTGGGCGCCTCGGGAGGCATGAAATTCTCCGTCTGTCCTGCCTCACGGCGGGCTGTGGGTGGCTTAGCATGAAGAGTGTAGGTTACGACGAAGGAGTTTTGATGTGCCTTCATTCTATATATCCATGCGCTTTCACTTTATGTGTAAATCTCTCAGGAGCTCAAGATCGATCTCATAAAGCGAGGCTTATAGCCTTTGACCTATTCCAGCTTCGTGTAACTTATACGACACCCGAGCACAATTGTAGGAGTTAAACTCAGCGCGTGTTCTTTATCATAATCCACAGCTAGGCCTATCCAGTGAGTTTCACCACTACCACTGTGCTGGAACCCTACTAATATCATGTTCAAGATCAGAGAAGATCGGTATACGGAAACAGAAGCTGTACAGCGTTACTGCAAAAGCATGGCGACCAACGACCCAGATTGCAGAATTATCCTCGACGAACCCAATCGAGTCTATACAGCCGGCGACATCGTTCTCGGACATGTGTTGCTCGAAGTAGGCCGGCGACAAGAATCCTGTATAGTCGCCGTAACCATCTACGGCCGCACCAAGACGAGATTACACGCCAAGGAATCCGCCGAAGCCCACCGCGACCGGTGCCTACTCTTCCCAGAGTCCCAGATCCTGCGCACGCCCGAGAACGGCATCCCGCTCAGCCGCCACACTCTCTCCTTCTCTCTTGTCTTCCCCTCCGAGACCTCAGCGTCCCAGACCTGCTACCTGAACGCCCCTCTCGCCTTCAACCTACGTCTAAAACACGACCTCGAGCGCTCCACCGCCCTCGGCCGCGCCGTCCGTGATGCTCAAATCCTTCAGCGCGAAGCTGCTCGCGCGCACCGAAGTAGACGCACACGGCAGATTCGCCGACTACGACGACTACGCCGAGGACTGTGTCTGGAAAGCCTCCTCCTCCGACGCCGAGCTTGCTGGCCCTGGGCCCCTTCAGCAAGGCTGAGGATTGGAGTAAGGTTGTGCTGCTCAGGCTGCCTGAGAAGGGGGCTAGCCCGAGCCTCAAGGCGTATCGTCTTAAGAGGAGTTATCAATTGAAGATTATAGTGGTGGTTGGGGCGGCGGAGAAGGAGTTGGAGGTTAAGACGGGACTGCCGGTTGTAGTCAAGGGGCAGTGGAGGGAGGGGAGGGTAGAGGAGGCGGCTGAGAGCGCGGGGAGGGGGGAGGTGGGGGAGGCGCCGCCGTCGTATCGAGAGGCTACTACTGCTTGGTGAGCGACGGTGACGTATGCGCTGAGGCGTTTGATATGGCTTTTTTGTTAAAGTGGATGTACACTTATATAGTCGCGAGCATGTCAGACGGATATTGTCCATTCGCGAGTTTGGCGTTGGCTATACTTGTAAACTTTGTATGATCGATCAACACTCTAATTGCTGTAACTTTGCACGTTTAGCGCGATCGCAGTTCTCGTACTTTAGATGCATTGGCTTCGATTTCGTTGCTTGATCTTGTCAGCACATCAGCGGCAGCGGCTCGAACTTTAAGAAGTGTCGTATTGATACATCGGGTTTTATTTCTCCCTACAACGGCCACCTTAAGGTAGACTAATAATACCGTGTCCGCTTTTGCGAAGTACGAAAATGATGTTCGATCCTGCGGCCACTTATGGACCTGCCTCCCCTCGCACCAGCAGTCTCCCATATACATCTCAGATTCCAAACGCCGTCCTCCAATGCAAGACTGAGCCCAATCCTCTACATCTCACCCATCCGCCTTACTCATACCGCGGATCCTCGTCCCCAACCGGCGCCGCCGGCGTCTCCGGCGCCCCATAATACCCCGGCGTCTCCGGATACCCCCCCGGGGTCGGCGCCGCAGCCGGAGTAGCATACTGCCCACCCGCACCATAGCCACCGCCATAGCTCCCCGGCGTGGGATGATTCCCGGGCCCACCGGGCGTCGGCGCATGGAATCCTGGCGTAGGTGCGTCGTAGCCGCCGGGTGTCGGGGCGGACCAGACGCCGTGGTGGGGCGTCATGTCACCGTGGGCTCCGGGGGTGGGGGCTTGCTCGGGGCGGTAGAGCGGGGTTTTGGAGCCGTAGGGGTCGGACGGAGTGCCGTGGGAGGCGTGGAGGGGGGTTTTGGCGCTGGCGGACCAGACGTTCTGAGGGATTGTTAGCGCTAGATCTCAAACCGTGGCTTTTGAGGAATGGCGAGAGGAAGTGACGTAAGGTTTAGAGGAAGGGGCCGAAGAAGAACTTACACCACCATACGCAGTAGCCCCACCCCACACACTAGCTCCACCGCTCTGTCCACCATACGCCGTCTGACTGCCGCCATAAGCCGTCATGCCGCCTTCCCTACCCGTATTCCTCGCCCACATCGGCGTGCGTGCAGGGTTCTCCGCAATGCTCCTATTCCACATCGGCGTCCTGCCACCATCGCCCATCGGCGTTTTCGAGCCCGGCAACGGCGTCCTGCCTCCATCGTACGCACTCGGCACTCTGCTAGGCGTGGCGCCGAACTGGCCTGGCCGCCTGCTACCGAATCCACCGACCACGATCGGGTTGTTGTTCTGATCCCTCACGGTGAGCATATCCTTCTTGACCGTGACTATCTTGTTCTTGGAGTGCAGCTCGACGCGCGCGCTGTCGTCTGTTGCGTCCTTGACGATGCCGAGGAGGCCCTTGTAGGGCCCTTTGCGGATGGTGACGTTCTTGCCGAGGAACTGGTCACGGCCGAAGGTTTTGGGAGGAGCCATCTGGCCGGGCGTTGCGTTTGCGCCGCCGTTACGCTGCATAGCTGGGTTCATTTTGCTGAGATCGGGCCCGGCGTTGTTCACGCGGCCACCCTTTGCTGCGACGGTGGTGACGTTGCCGCTGCGCACGACGAAGACGCCTGCGTTCTCGGCTTGTTGCCGGTTCCGGACGAAGAGGTAGGTGCGGTGGATGTGAAGGACGTAGCCTTGTTTCTGCTCGCCGCCGTGCTCCTTTACGGTATCGTCGTGTCGGATCTCGGAGCCATCACGGTCGGTAGCTACAGCGTGCCGGCGGCGCTCGAGCTTGGCGGAGATGTTGGAGGGGAGGAGCGTCCGGACTGAGCCATCTTGTGTTAGAACTCGAAGGGATTCTCTGTCAACTTTTACAACGCAGGCAACGGTGGCGGCGTCCAGCTGGACAAGGTCGTAGAGATCGTATTTCGAGTCGCCGACCATACCGCCCGAGTCGGACGCTTCCCTCAAGTCTTTGCTGAACACTGTAATTTCTTGACTTGTGGAGTCTGTGATGAGCGTAACACGGTCATCTCGGACCCGGATAACCATGCCCACTTCGTCGCGATACTTGCTGCCGCCGATAACCTTGACGTGATCGCCATCCCGGAATTTCTTGCGCAGTGACTTTACTGGAGCTTCGATAACTTGACCAGTCAGGTCGCCTTCGGTAACCCTCAACGAAACAATGTCCTGGTGTACTGAAACTGCCTTGCCGCAAACACCTTGCTGCTCCCCGTCGTATATCTCCACCATGTCGCCGGGCAGGTACTCAGCTCCGGACTTGCTCGCGTTGATTGTGGCAGCGAGTGTCGCTAAGTCCAGATTTTCCACCCCGTCTTCCGCTATCGAGAACCTGGTTGCTTCCTCCAGCGTCGGGTTGACATTCTCAGTCTGCAAATGATTCATCTTAAACTCCTTGATGAGAAAGCCGTCGGAGTAGTTGTCTTGGTAGTACTTCCACTCATTTCGGTTTAATGTGGAGATCTGCGAAAGGAATCTAGAATGCTTTTTCTTGGCTTCGACCTCACTGAAGAGCCTCGGCGGCGGTCGAACCTTGCCCTTTGTAGCAGCTCCAGGTCGTTTCCTCTTGGATGTGTCTGCGTTCTTCTCCGCGTTGACGTCCTCATTAGCTCCGTAGTCAAGGCGGGGTACTACACGGAGTGTGACAGCTATGCCGTTCGACTCAACGTCCTCGACTAGAGCCAAGTCTCCAGCGTAGTGACCACGCGTTATGCGCACGTAGTCCCCACGTTGTAGCTGCTTCGACTTCCTCACCCGGAGAAGATCTGGCATCTCGGCAATTGGCACGAGTATGGGCGGCGTCCTCGCATAGCAATGCTGGATGTTTTCGATGGCGGGCATGACATCTGCCTGCCGTCGCGCCTCGATGTAAACATAGCCAGACATTCCCTTCTCGCGCTCGAATGCAGAGCAGATCTGTATGGGTTCCCTGGTGTTGATCCTATCCTCCCAGCGCTTCAGAATGGCGAACACAACTTCCCGCTCTTTGCCCGGCTTGACCTTGACGCCCCAGATTGTAGGATCATCGACGCTGGGGAGGAGTAGCCGTTGCGGCACCACGGCAGAAGTAGTTGCGGAAACGCGATTGCGACCGTATCGCTCTTTGAGTGCTGCAGCTTGTTTTTCGGCGTCCATACTCGCCTCCAACTCGCGCTGCCGATCGAGTTCTCGATGTCTTCGGTCGTCGCGCTCCGCGCCCGCTGGCAGCTCCAGCGCGTCATCGGGATGTGGTTCGTCTCCGACTAGCTCGTCGTCCTCGTCCAGTTCCTCGTCCTCTTCTTCGTCGACTTCGGCTTCGACATCGATGAACTGCAGGCGAGCGTCTCGCTTTCTTCGCTTGCGCGGGCGGTTCTGCCACGCATCAGTACAACCGCCACTGCTAGAAGTGGGCAGAAACACGTGCGGAGCTACTGGCTTACCGCAACTGCATCCTCTTCGTCCTCATCGTCCTCATCATCATCATCTTCGTCCTCTTCATCATCCTCCCCCTCCCCCTTGTCTGCCTCATCCTCATCTTCATCCTGCCCATCCGCCTCGCCATCCGCGCCGTCCACTTCATCCTTCGCGTCGTCTGCAGCTCGACCGTCGCTCTGCCACCTACTTCGAGCGCCGTCGGTTGCTGCCCGCTCAGGCTGATCAGCTTCCTCGACCGCCGGGGCCTCCTTCACGTCCTGTTCAGGCGCTTCGGCTGAGCTCTCCCGCCTCGCTGGCCCCTTTGCTGCTTTGCCCGCGTCTTCATCGTCGGAGCCTACTTCGGCGGTGGGATTGAATTCCTCGTCTTCGGACTCGCCCTCGCCCTCGAAATCGTAGCTCATCAGATTCGACATTAGGAGCCGCTAGAGACGTGAACTTCGCGATATCAGCGAGGAGAAAGGTCGAACGAATGGTTGAGAGAGGGTTGCTGGAGAGGTCAGAGGAGGGTTTGGCGTCGAGGATGGAGAGGGTGTGTGCGTGATTCTTTGTTGCGAGGTCGAGCTGCGCTGGGGTGATGGAAGTGAAGCGGACCGCGAAGCGGCATTTGCCGCGCTTAGTCACGCTCTAAATGCCAAGAGATACCATGAGCTTCAGCACCAACCACTACGGACATCAAAGTCAAGTCAGACAACGTAGTGATTCATTGCGTTTCGACGAAGGCCCTGGAGCGGACTGCCTCAAGTCCAGCACTGTGCTGAGCAGTTTGTATCTTAACACGTCTTTCAATGCGTGGCCCCCCTTTACGTGAGCATGATTCTGCCGTCTGCGATCACAGAGTTCATCACGCTAGTGTAACTCATCGAAGCTCGTTTGTTCCTAGCCATAACCTCGGGCACGAATCGTGAAGCTGTTGTCTTCAAACAATCGATGAGATGGTCCTCCAGCCATGCACTGCTTCAGTTGCCCTGGCTGAGTTGTCGCTTCAGGGCAACTTACGGCCTCGGGCCTCTACATGGCAACAATGAAGCATGTTCGCTTCAGCCATAAGACCGCTGACGTAGTTATGACTTCTCCTTCAACTTCACTTGCCAAAGTGGCTTTTTGATTTCTCACTCTCAAGCTCAGCTGCCGCATCTTGGCCCTCTCCTCTAAGCTTTAGAGCCGTTGGATTCCTCCGCCGTTCCCACTTAGCATGATGGAGACTGCTTCAAGACACTCGGAGTTCCTCGCCGACGCTCTTCGCTTTCTTGTTCATGACTCTAGCTCTCCTACTTCAACGCACGGCACGTCAGCCACGCCTCTGCCTAGTGTCTTCCATCTTGGAACCTTGCCCTGGAACACAGAAGTACTGGATCAGCCACACGTGGTCAATACGGCAATACTAGACGCGAACGTCAAGCAGGAACTAGATAGAGAAAGCTCAGAAGACCCTATCTCAACAACGATTCGAGCGCGCCGGTCACGTCAGTCGCATCAGTCGCTTCCAACGCGTCAGACAGGGCGTACATCCAACACTCTAATAACTTTGGAAACAGAGCCACCGGCAAGGTGTGAAGACGCATCCGATTCAGACGGATCTCTTCCATCACTCGCGCGCTTAGGCATCCGATGTCATTCGCCGATTTTATCCGAATCGGGAGACGATGTGGTACATGAAGCGACGCCATGTCTGGACAAGCAGATCCAGCGAGTCAAAAAGCACGCTCTTCCGCTAGCCCCCCCGGTTCGTAGAAAGCTCTTCGATCGGAACGCTTCGCCGAGGCCAACTCGCACATTCTCACAGCCCCGCCAAAGCCGCCAAAGCCGCCAAAGCCCACAGGTCATTGTCACAAGATCCAAGACGACTACTACCGTTTCTTCTGGTGTCGACATACAATTCTTCTCGAAGAGTCACTGGGTAAGCAAGCCGAACCTACTGAAGCAGATGGAAGTCGCCACTCTCTCTCGACCGCACCCACCAAAGCCGTCCCGTCTCCAGTCACTACCATACAACAAGAGCTCCAAGATTCTTCACAAATGGTCTCCCAAGCAGAAGATCGTTCTCTGCGTTCTGAAACGCTGGTATAAGAACTCGTGGACGGATGCCGCAGTAGTCTTTAACAGCTTCTTTGCTAGGGACCTAGCATATCATGGGGAAGAGGTGCACCGACCAACAGCGATGTCGACGTATTGGGCGGATCTAAGCACCAGGCGCAGATTAGACCCTGCGTGGGATGCCGTTTACATTAACACGCCTTTCCATGATCCTATGGGAAGGTGGATAGAGCTAAGAGCTAAACTGGAGTGTGCTGGGCAAGTGGCAGGCATCGATCTACAGCAAAGGGAAGAAGATAGCATATGGGGACCTACCCCGAAAAAGTCGCGCACTAACAACCAGTCCAACTTGGTGAACAGACGAAATTACAAGTCAGCCGTAGACACGCCATCATCTGATTCTGACGGAGATGAGGACCATGGTCTATGGGCTTCAGACTCAGAACCTCGAGGCCCTACCACCAAGCGACCGGCTGCCTTGAAGCCTCAGGGTAGAGGTCCGGCAAGCCAGATCGCGCCTATCACTCCTCAAACTTCGTCTAGTCGACCGTTGACAACTCCAGACTCGTCATTTAGCAGTCAAGAGGTCATGCCACAACTCTTCTATAGGAAGTACGACAACCTCAGCGCGGGATATAACAGTCCCCAGGGCTTTGTGGCCGGCCAGTACCATAGGCTTCCCGGCATCGATGTCCCACCACCCATGCCAACAGATAGCGCATGGTTTCCACATCAAGCGACTAACCACCTCACTCGCCAGCCTGTTGCTACGCCTTTTATTGGCGTGACTTGCAGCTTCATCTGGGTTATCTACCAAGCGCTGAAGTCCGAGCCATCGTCAAAGCCGAGCATTGCTCTCATTAATGCTACAGCAGCCGCGAGAGATGGCTGGGCCTATCCTGTGCAGCCTATCATGTCAGGCCTCAAGAGGATGGGCTTTGTTAGAGGCATCAGATACAAAGCGACACAAGAGTGGTGGATTTGGGCAGAGATTAAGGCAGAGGCAATTTTGCATGTCGCTTCTCTGGCCGACCTAGCTGATGATCCAGAAATCAGCCAACTCCTCATGCTCGATGAATTGAGGAGCAGTAACAACTTGACTGGTTTTCGCGATCGGTTACAGCATAACCCTAGGAACCTTGGTATCGACATCTACGCCGCCCTCGGCAAGGTTGTTGCGCTGTTTACACTGGATCCGCGGAGACACAAGGACTTCATCACACAGCTTATCCACGACATTCTGTCTGGCTGGTTCATTCCCGCACCCAGCAAGGACGATCTCAACTTCATTGTCAGCAGTCAAGATGACAATGCACAGTCATTTATCGATGCGTACAAAATCAACACTGAGCGAGACAGAGCGTTCTGGGACGGTACGGAGGATGCACTATATCGTTCCTTCTCAGAAGGGCTAAAGATGGCGGCGATAACTATCAGCAAGGAGAGAAGCTTCTATGAGAGAGCATCAGCTCGGAAGAGGCGGTCGTCCAACGAGCAAGGAGTAAGGTCGCGGCGGAGGAGAGGCGCCTATGAGGATTCGGACTGAGGTTTGCACGCTTTGTGAATGTGGTTGCCAGTGTAGTAGAGGGATGCCTGCGGTACCGCATTATGTGCCGATTGATCGCAGCGGTCTTGCCCGCTATAGGGCAACTATTGTGCTATGAGGAATCTCTATGGAGAAGTTGTGGATCTACATGTAGTCAAGCTCCGCAGTCCTTACCCGTGGGGAAGTGTCCGGGAGTGTTAGATTTATGAAGCAGTCTATAAATCCGGAGAATTTGTGACTCGATACCACTGATGTCTCAATATAGGCCTAAAGGCTGGTGAAAGCGCCGTCATATGCAGGTCCTGACAGAACCCCGAAACTGCCATCATATCCCCATCCCCGCCTTTTCATGGGTTCGGTCCTGTTGGTGGCTTTGAGAACGTTTCGGATCAAGTCACTAATGTTGAAGTGCTGACTAACCAATGCTCTCATCCTGCTCGTCTAAGTAAGATTCCAGATGTTCGAGTTACACAGAGGCTCAGCCTCCACCTGATCTCGTTCGCTAGTCAATGATGTAACGAGGCACGTCGTGGCCAAAAAAACGTGCGTACCAAGACTTTGCGCGCATCAACACCAGACCTTTCCCATCACCACCACCATTAATAGCACTACTGATATGCCTTTAATACGCACTAAACGTTCTGAACGTCTTTCTACACCCATTGATAAGGTGCGTTATGAATTTTAGCATTATTATTCTACTGCGTGGTTGACGAACTCGTGGTTTTCGTGATGGTGCTAAGGTTTGGTACGCACGTTTTTTTGGCCACGACGTGCGAGGCTGTGTCATTAAGGGCAGATACAAAATGCCGCCGCGTCGGCGCCGTCGCGGGCAACAACCTGCTGCGTCGCTTCTAAAGCCCACTTTCCAAAGCTGCCTCTTATCCTATAACACGTGCGCAGAGCTCACTCTCTGCGCCGACTTGTGTCTAGAGAAACCACATTGATTGCCGACGTCGATCCCGCTTTCTCCGTGCCGCCGCATACCATACGCGAAACGCAACATACAGGCTCTGTGCTTCATGTACATTCGATAATGCTATACTGCGACTGGTGCTAAAATTTGATCAATCGTCTGGGCGAGTTCCCACCACCATCCAGCGAGGGACAGGAGCGAACATTCGGAAAGATTTCTGCGACTGCGAAAGACGGATGCCCGATTTGTTCGCTCATCTCATCTGGTCTATTGGCTGAACGTGGTCATACCAAATGCGCAGAATTGGAAATCAAGACAAGACTATACGCTCGGTTAGACGGCGCCGCTTTCACAGTAGCGATAGACGTACGGGGGTTGGGCAGGTATGAGTTTTGCTCCCCATCAGGTAAGAACCGTCGTGGTCAGGGAACACAAGTATTTCTCGAACCTTAGCACCCTGCCCAAACTGCTCTAGATCAGCTTGAATTCAAGATACAAGAGCAAGATTTCAAACCCAGTGCGAGAGCGCTTTAAAGAGTCTGTTCTCGGCACTTGCAAGTTCTAGATGCTGCTTTTGAATAGCTTCTTGATCTATTAAAGGATCAACAATGCCCAAGGTGCATGGGCTTTATCAGTACGGGATTTCATGAGGATTAGTAGCATCGCTAACGGCTCAACAGCTGAAAGATGTACACTTTGGAGAGACATATTTTCCGACCAAAGCTTTCGACCCTCAGAGATGGAGTTGGATCTGCTTCCGTCGGTACCGGCAAGCAACAGAAGCGGTGAATATTGTAAACTAGTCAAGTACTGGATCAATAAATGCGAAAACGAACACCCGGAATGTCGATCGAATTCCACACCTCTGCCGAAACGCGTGATTACGATTAGTTCCAAGAAAGGCAACCCTCAATTGCGGCTGCGAGAAGCTGAGCAAGAGACTGGCCGGTACATCGCTTTAAGCCACTGCTGGGGTACCGGAAGACACTTCGTAACCGAAAAGGCAACGTTATGTAAAAGGTTAGAAGGCATAGATTTTGAAGATCTACCGAAGACTTTCCGCGACGCAGTACTTGTGACGTGTCGGCTTGGAATCCGATATCTTTGGATCGACTCCTTGTGTATAATCCAGGATGACAGGTCAGCTCCACTCAAACCTCTCAAGTCACATATCTTGAGCTACCCTGAACTAATCTGTCGACAGCTCAGATTGGGATATCGAATTGGCTAAAATGAGCGCTATCTACAAGCACTCGTTTCTGACAATCGCCGCCTCAGCTGCGCCGGGTGATCAAGCTGGCTTTCTCGGAGAAAGAAAGATTTTGCCAGGCCGTAAGCTTAAAGCTGACATCCCATGTCTCCCACATAGAGTGGTTGAGATGCGCCAGATACACGACCCTAACGCTCGGAGAAGCCAGACGGACCTCCAGGAAAACCCACTAAATGCGCGCGCCTGGGCTTTTCAGGAGCACTTAGTACCAGCGCGTTTCCTCGATTTCTGTTCCTCTGAAACAACGTGGGAATGCAAAAGAGCGACTTGGAGTGAAGGAGGCTTCGAGGTTAAGTCTATTGGTTATAATTCCATCTACAGAAAAGAATACCAACAGAACCTCGAAGATGGTGACCCTGATACCCTCTACCAATTCTGGGCTTACCGTATACTAACAGAGTACGCCCCGCTGAAAATCTCCTTTGAGGCAGATAGGCTGTCAGCGTTGTCTGCGGTAGCGAGTGAGATGCAACAGAGGACTGGAGATAAGTACCTGGCAGGTCTGTGGGCAGGCGACTTGTTGCGTGGTTTGACGTGGTTCTCCGGATTTAGAAGTCTGGGCTGGTTACCTGCGGAATACCGTGCCCCAAGTTGGTCGTGGGCATCCATCGAGTCAACGAGGCTGCTATTCGATTTTGGATATGATAGCAGGCCGGAATTTGTGAGTAAAGGCCTCACCGCGGTTGTCCTCGAGGCAGAGTGTCAGCCAGTAGGGGTCAGTTTGACCGGAAGAGTCCAGGGCGGATTCATCACGCTACGAGGTCGTTGGTGTCGACAGATCCTGCACTTCGGGAGGGAAAGCTACCCAACCTCCGCGTCACCAGATGAAAGTTCTGACTACTACTTCCTGGAAGGACTTCCTGGTACTGGCTCCGTAGAACTCGGGGAGTTTCGGCCTGACACGACGCTGGAAGTGCGATCATACCAAGCTGCCGGTGGGATGACTAGACAATATCTCCAAAGATCGCGTCTCCGCCATTCAGTCGAGGCTGGTCTCAACATTAACCATCCGGTCTATTGTGTTGGCATCGCTGAGCAAACAAATGGTTGGTGCGACACGTTCACCTTCCTGGTTCTGGATCATGCCGAAGGAAAAGAGGACACTTATCAAAGGCTTGGGCTTGCCTACATATCCTCAACGTATGTTCCTTCCGGCTGGATCAAGTCTATGGAGGTCTCCGATTTCACCATAGTGTAGCGTTAAAGGCCAGCCTTGGCAGGCCTTGTTCCATGAGTCACAACTCGGCATGGAGGGAGGCCGAGACCGGAGAATTCTGCGGCACGTAGCCACAGAATTGGCAAGAGTTGTGGGCTTTCAGACTCAATAGAAGGAGCTGGATATCCGCGGTGCGAAGGGACGGAACTCGCTGGAAACGCACTCAAAGGAGACAGGCTCGCCGCCATGCAAAGAGACAAGAAGTCCACGACCTGTGCTGTTGTCTTGTTTTGTCAGACAACCAAAGGACAGTAATGTACTCCAAGAATGCGGACGAGTGCTTCGGTAGAATGAGCAGAGCCTTGATGTCGGAGAAAAATATGTAAGATTCCTGTTTCTTGGGAGGATGCGGCGTTACAGTGAAAGGATTTGAAAGGATATCTTCGATTCAATTGGGGCAAGAGAAGTCTGATACTTGCAAGTGCGCAATCAAGGTATTCAGCTCACTGCGGAAAGGCGTTGCGCCTGTGCGCATCATACCTGTGTAGCCTCTAAAGCAACCGAGAAATCGTTGGTCACTTTGAGTGTCTCACCAGCATCTGAATCATCGTCTTGCGTACGTCAGTATTCGGAACGTGATCGCATTCTGAACTAGCCCACAAGATCCCTAGCTCCGTCCAGCAAAATGCAGTATCTCCATCCACTTCAGCTTAACGCAGAGCATCATCTCCTCTTCTCCATGCCTAGTACCTCTTGCCCTCCCTCAGCACATCGCTGTACTCCTCCAACGGGCTCCGCTGCAGCTTCGTCTCCTTCCACAGATTGGGTGTCAGGAAGCCGTAGGTATTCGCGACAGCCGAGAATGTAGCCTTGAGGGTGTTCTCGAGCGTCTTGGTCGAGCCTGCTGAAGCGGTGTAGACATCCTGCACACCTGCGAGCTGGAGGAGGCGCTTGACGGCGGGGGAGGCGACGAGGCCGGTACCGCGGGGTGCGGGGATGAGCTGTCCGTGCCTGTTAGCTACCGTGTCTCACTCTTGAAATTCAGAGGAATTTGCTGAATGGAAAGATGATGTGATACATACCCTGACAGTGACGGATCCACACTTTCCACTCTCCTTGGTGGGCAGCGAGTGCGGCTCACCAAGGTTGGTACCCCAGTAGCCTCTCCGGATGGGCACGACACTGAGCTTCGCGATGATGATGGCGGCGCGGATAGCGGTCGCGACTTCCTTGGAGGTCTTGATGCCGAGGCCGACGTGGCCCTCGGAGTCGCCGATGACGACGATGGCCTTGAAACGCGTGCGCTGACCAGCGCGGGTCTGCTTCTGGACGGGCTTGATCTGGAGGTGAAGAATTGGTGTCAGCTTGTGCTCGTTCGGACGACCATCCAAAACTCCCGCTCCAGTGCATCTCCAATCACAAGCCGAATTCCACATCCGCAAAGGCCCAAAAGTCCAGAGCTAACACCGCTCTATCTCTCCCTCCTCAAACACTGCCTCCATCTCTCAGCCCCCAGCCCCCACTCCTCCCCGTCTCCCAACTCCCGTCACACACGCACTCACCTTCATAACCTCATCCTTAAGCTTCGGCAGAAAGAAATCCACAATCTGATACTCCTTGATCGGCAAACTGTGCAGATAAATCTCCTCCATGCTCTTGATCTTGCCAGCCTTGACGAGTCTACCCAGCTTCGTAACCGGCTGCCACTCCTTCTCCTCGGTCTTGCCGCCGCGCCTGCCACGGCCCCGGCCACGGCCTCGTCCTCTGTCGCCGCCACGGTCGCCGCGGGAGCCGAAGCCACCTCTGCCGCGTTCTCCGCCGGAGGGGGGGGCGGGTGCGTCTGCCATTTTGTAGGGTTCGGAGGTTGTGGTGGGGTTCGGTAGGTGAGTTGTGGAGCTGTGGGTGGGATTGTTAGAACGGAGTTCAGGGCAGGAGGGAAGACAATGGCTCTTGGGCTCAAAGAGCTTCGTGGGACGTACAGTTATTCGGCGACGCTGGGCGCTTTCGGTGGTCGTGCGCGAGATGTTTGATGTTCTGAAATGCGATGGTGGGCTTCGGCTACGGAAGACGGATTTCGCCGTGCCAAGCTTTCTCGTCGATATCAAGCACAGCCAGGTATGCTTCTTTTGATAGAGCAGGACACCGTGATGAAATTGCAGAAGACTAATCTACTCACTATTCTGGCTAATTCGGTAGCTCTATGCCTGGCAGATGCTACCGTGTCTCATTAGACGGAGGAAATGCACTTTACAAGAGAGAGAAGCTATGACAGAGAGCCGAGGGCCGTGACCGAGAATGCACGCATCAAACGGTACAGAAGATTCATCTTGTAGCCTACAATGACGACAGTAGCGCTACGACGATGACAAAATACCCGCAATACTTCAAACGCTACAAAGAGAAGGGTGAGCGCTTGCGCAAAGACCTGCACACTCCAATACGCCTTCGCCAACCAACAAACTAACAACGTCACCAGCACCACGAGCTAATACACCGCAGAACGCTACTTCCAGGCTTGCGCCTCATCCCACTCTTGGTACCTCTCCCTGAAGATCTGGTCACCAGGTCGAGAAGAAGCAGGTGGACTCGATGCCAAAAGACGGCCACAAACGGACCCTCCGAAGTTGCTCAACCGGCGACCGAAGCCAGAAGTTGGTATCTGCTGACTTTTCCCCTTCCAATCCCCCCTCTTCATAAAAGCGTGCGATACGTTGATCTAGTCTCGACTCCCTCGGATCATGCAGGCGAAGCAGCTAATCAACACCATCAATATCGAACACATCCCACGGGGGATCGAGCTTGATGCTACCCCTCACAGTCTACCGGCACGGTTAGAAGCTTTGCGGATACTGGCCTGCGGGTGGCTGTGCGAGCTAGACGTTAGTACCCGTTCAGATATGTAGAGTAGTGGTGGGGTCATTCAGGTGACGGCAAAGGGGGAGAACTTGAATGTCGTACCGGGCTGTTGAGCATGTTCTGTCTCTTGTTTCTGCCTTTCTTGATATGGCTCTTCAGCGCGCTCGAGTCGAGCGGCTTCAGTAGCTCAAAGCTGCATAGAAGCTCCGCGTTAACGGACATCACGGCGCCCCAGTTGTCGAACTCGCCGCAGTACTGCGAAGTGTTAGCGCGGCCCGCAGAAAATAGTAAACAATCCAGCGAAACGTACGTTGGGTGCCGAAAAAACAGTGACCAAGATCCGATCATTGAAAAACTCATAGCCATCCTCAACCACCATGTGCGCCCGACACACCAGATCAAAGTCATGCCGCTGCAAAAACTCCATGATGACCTTCTTTCCAAAGCAATAGCTTACACCGCGTTCGTTCGACTCCCAGTCATTCTCCATATCAGCCGGATCGCTCCACAGCAGATCATTCAGCAGTCCGTAGTCCGGCACATCTGTCGGTCTCGCAATCTGCCGAATGTCGTCCATATGAGAGAGGCTAGGCGAAAGACCGCCGTGAACGCAGAATATCTTGCTCGCCACAATGGCCGCAATCGGCAAACAATTGAAAGTGTCAACGAACGCCTTCCAAACTTTGATATTGCACCGCCTCTTGCACTCATCGTAAAAACCGTAGACCCGAGTTACATTGGCGCACTCATGGTTGCCTCGCAGCAGGAAGAAGTTCTCCGGGAACTTCAACTTGTAGCACATGAGCAGAAGAATGGTCTCCAAGCTCTGCTTGCCTCGATCGACATAGTCGCCAAGGAAGAGATAGTTGGAGGTCGGCGGGAACCCGCACATCTCGAACATCCGGATGAGGTCCGTATACTGGCCGTGCACGTCGCCTACAATCTTGACCGGCGGCGCCAGTTCAAGCAGCGCCGGCTGAGACAGGAAGACCTCGCGCGCGGCTTGGCATATCGCAAAGATCTCGGCATTCCTGAGACACACGGTCTTGGTGACCTTGCCGGCGTATGCGGCGTCCAGCAGCCGTGTTATGTAGTCATCAAGGTTGTGAGGTGTAAGTCCGCTTATCTCCATCGAAGCCAACTCGGCACTATCTGCGGTCCTTGCTTCTGGTGCTCTCGGGATTGGGTGGCCTTTCTTCTGGAGAATTGAATCGCCAGGTCGCTGAGTATGCGTGTTCTGTGGTGCAGTTCCGGTTGGCGGTGCATCGGAGACGTGGTCGACCTCGCCACTTCTCTGTGCTTTGGCTATAGAACTGTGTCCAGTGCCGAGCGAGGCCGACTGCGTGGGTGAAGGAGGCGGTTGTGGAGTGTCGGCCTGGGCGTCGTGCGAGGCAGATGGAGGCGGCGAAGACAAGTCCATTGACGGCGGTCGTGCTGACGAAGAGGACCCGCGGTGGGATCTTGAGCTCACTCTACCGCTCGCCGCAGATTTGACTGATGCAGCATCTGCCTTGTCTGCGCCGCCGTTGGGCGCGAGTGTCTCTCCAGAAAGGGCGGAGGCGGAGGCGCGTGGGCTGTCGGTCTTAGCGCTTCCGCCGGGTATCTTTGACCTGATCGAGCTGCGTAGAGAGCGTGACGATCCCTGCGTGTCGGACCGTTCGAAGGAGCGGTAGTTTTCCTTGCTTATCTCCGGGCCGCTGCTGTCGCCATCGCCCTTCTTGTCCTTGGATGGCTGGTTACCCATGATGTCTCAGGGCTGATGTGAGATTTAGTGATCGGGGTGTGATGTGCGGGTATATCTGCTGGTGTAACGCGCTTCCCTCGCTCAATGTTGTGTCTACGAAGCGGTACTGTGAAGTAAGGCAGAAGTCGCGTGAGCGGTTCCTGCCTAGAGTAACTGATAAGGTCGCTCCTGGTATGCCCAGACGCCCACCTCGTGATAGTTATATAGTTTGGTCGAAAGCAGGAGCTTGTTTTATGGTGGCCTGTACAGGTGGGATAGGAAAGACAAGAAGCGACTTTCGACGGACGCTGCCCTTATCGACTTCGCGGGGCAATGGCTGACGCGTCCGAAAAGGGGTTCAGGTCCAATGGACGGCGTGTCAGCGAAAGGAGGAGGAGAGTATCGTCGTCGAGCCAGATTCGATGGTGTTGAAGCTGCCCTGGTGGTGGCGTCGTGCTGGAACGGCGATAAGTTGGAGAATGCGGCTGACTCCAAGGATGACGGCGAGGCGCTTGGGCGGGCGAGGCTCGGTGACGGATGTTCGGCCGCGGCTCCAAGGGGTCGAGCTTCCTATCGATTGTTTTGAGCCGGAATAGATGGACTTTGAGTTGGTGCAGCTCGTTCGTACGAAGAGCTGAAGTGATGGGATGGCGGGACGGCGCAAGCAGCGGAAGCGGGACGACGACAATCACTGACGTGCGCGTCCACGGTTGCTTCAACCAGACTTCAAAGAAAGCAGCGAAGAAAGTCCTGCAGCAACTGGGGACAAGGCTTTACCAAAACACGCGGTTGACAAGCTTCCGCAAGACCTGCGTTTGAGGTCGTTTGTTGGAGGAGTGATACACAGAGCTTTGTTCGAAGTGCTTGTGGGACTCGATGCTCTTGGCTGCTTCTTGGGCTGCGTGGCATCACGGCATCAACCGCTTGGCAGAGGAGCTCAGTACAGAGCTGCAGTGTGAGAAGAACAGAGAATCGAAGTCGGCTTACCAACCCGCCTGGAGACTGATCTCGGAAATCGGGACGTTTCAGTCATAGGAGATTCCGGATCACTTCTGATTTGAACTACGTTTCTCTGTCTGCTGCACCATATTTCTACCTAAGCATCGTCATGAAGGGTTTCCAAAGACGCGTCACTCTTTATACCTACAGTCGAGCTTCAAACCTTAATGAGTACCGCGATGAGTACGTCCGAGCATTGTTGGTGCTTCGTTTCCGTGGAACCAGTCGTTTTCACAATACTGGGGAGGTTCTTTGGAAGCCACACCTGAATAGCGCCTGTCGTGCACACCTGTATACCGACTGTCGATAGGTGTCCTATCTGCATCTCCCTGTCACTCATTCCACCATGTCTGACATGAGTTAGGACATGAACGACGCCTCTAACCGGGAATTGTAAACGGTACGGCGTTGCGGTCACTTCAGAAACTGCCGGTACAACAGCGCTCACCGTCTGAATACTGCTTCAACGGTCTGAAGCTTTCTTTTGCCTATCATCTGGGACGCCTTCAGTTCTTGATCGCTTAGAAATCCCAACCTTTGATTTAGATCTTCAGTTACATGAGTTGATATTGGTGTCCTTACCACCGGCGTGGTTGTAACATCATCCTGACTGCGACTTCCGGTCAAATACAAAACCGATTAACATCATCCACGCCTCCGCTACAACCAGCTGCCGAGATTTGTCATTACTGATTTGGTATTGCAGTAAGCCGCGAGGCCCGCCTCCCCGAGTTCTCTGCCTATCCCGCTTTGCTTGACGCCGCCGAAGGGCACCCTGAAGTCACTGTCGTTACTGCTGTTTATCCAAACCATACCAGCCTCGATTCTTCTCGCAACGCGGTGCGCCTTGACGATATCCTTGGTAAAGACAGCGCTACCGAGACCGTACGTCGTGTCGTTTGCCCTGTCAACCGCCTCCTCTTCCGTCTTGAACGAGCTAATGACCACAAAGGGACCGAACACCTCTTCCCGGAAGATCTTCATGTTGTCTTTCACGTCCGTGAAGATGGTCGGCTCGATGAAGAAGCCTTTCCCACCCGCGTTCTTAAACACCTCGCCGCCAGCAGCGAGAGTCGCGCCTTCAGACTTGCCGGCCTCGATGTAAGACAGCACGCGCTCGTACTGCGCCTTCGTGACCTGCGGGCCCTGGAACGTCTCGTCGTTGAACGGATCGCCGACTTTGCTGGTCGAGGCCATGTGGTCCTTGAATGCGGAGATGAATTTGTCGTAGATCCCGTCCTGCACGAGGATGCGAGAGGTGGCAGTGCAGATCTGGCCCATATTCGACATGATACCAATGTGTGCCCACTTGACGGCCTGTTCGAGGTCCGCGTCCTCGAAGACTAGCAGCGGAGACTTGCCGCCTGTCTCGAGGGTGATGTTCTTCATGTTGACGGAGGCCATCTTCATGATCTCGCGCCCGGTCGCTGTGCTGCCCGTGAAGGCGATCTTGTCGATATCCAAATGCTGCGCAATCGCAGCCCCGGCTTTCCGGCCGTAACCGTTGATGATATTCACCACGCCGGGTGGGAAGCCGGCTTCCTTGACGAGGTTGGCGAAATAGAGGATGGACAGCGGCGTCTGCTCGGCAGCTTTAATCACCACGGTGTTACCGCATGCGAGAGCGGGACCTAGCTTCCATGCCGCCATGGCAAGAGGGTAGTTCCAGGGAATAATCTGGCCGCAGACACCGATCGGTTCCCGGATGGTATAGGTAAGCTTATTTGGTCCCGTGTCAATGACTTGTCCGTGGATCTTGTCCGCGTAGCCGGCGTAGTACTTGATCGTCCCCGCAACCTCGGCCATGTCTTCGTTCAGCGCGACCTGGTATGGTTTGCCGTTGTCCCACGTCTCGATGGTCGCCAGCGTCTCCTTGTTCTGCTCGACCAACGCGGCGAGTTTGAACATCAGGTCCCCGCGCGATGTGCTGGACAAGTCTCGCCATGAGGAGGCTTTGAATGCTTTGCGTGCTGCGGCGACGGCTTTGTCGACGTCTTCGGGGTCGGCGGCGTAGACTGAAGCTATCTCTGACTCGTCTCTATCTAGCCGTCAGTCAGAGCTCGGCAGTTGCCTGTGGAGTGAATTACGTTGGGTTGATGCTCGTGATCTTCTCGCCGGACGTCGACTTCACCCATTCATTGTTGATGAAGAGGCCAATTGGCTGGGTATACTTGACGCCATTGGGCGCGGTAAGCTCTACTGCGAGATCGGACATTGTTCTTCGTACGATATATTGGCTGCGAGCTTGAAAGCACGAACTAAGTCTGGAAGTCGAATGAGGTTTTGAAGCCCTCTGAGCAAGTTTGAACATGAACAGAGCGGACTATATACATAGGTATGAAAGAGAGGGGAAGCTGACAGAGAGTGACACCTTGTCAAGCCAGAGCTCTCTACCCCAGAAGCTGCCCCGCTGGACCCTTGACGCCGCATTGATAACGCGATATCCGGATAGAGCTGCCTCTTGCGGCGTAGCGGCAACGCGTGTTAGAGCCGTCCGGAGATCCCTGGCACTCACGAACGGAAGGTTATTCCAGGAACAACACCACCAGAACAGCGAGCACCGGTTGCGGATACAGAACCATGGACCCGATCGCGTAATTTCAACTCCACAGTAACCTCTATATTTGCTCGCCGGCATGGCAGACCCGCCTGCGGACACGTCCGCCCAACCCGACGCCTCAATCAACCACGCCGCCGCCCTGGCATACTGGTCCTCGAATCCTCCAACCGTGAACTCGATGCTAGGCGGCCACCCTCAGCTCTCGCGCATCGACCTCCAAAGCTCCGCCAACTTCCTCGCCAAGCTGCGCCGCTCCTCCCGCACGCATCCGCCGGGGAAACCGCTGGCTCGGGCTGTTGACTGCGGCGCGGGAATCGGACGCGTGACGCTGGGCTTTTTGGCGAAGGTCGTGGAGGTTGTCGATGTCGTTGAGCCGGTGGAGAAGTTTACGCGCGAGTTGGTTGCCGGGGAGGGAAGAGGGTTGAAGGCCGTGGGCAAGATTGGGGAGGTGTTCAATGTGGGGCTGGAGGAGTGGGTGCCGGCTGACGACACCTATGACCTTGTATGGAACCAGTGGTGTCTCGGACATCTTACGGATGCGCAGTTGGTCGAGTATTTCCGCCGCTGTAGAGGGGCGCTGGTGAAAGGTGGTTGGATCGTGGTGAAGGAGAACATGAGCACTGATCTGGAGGAAAGGGATGTCTTCGATGAGGTGGACAACAGCGTGACGAGGACAGACGGAAAGTTCAGAACGCTGTTCAAGCAGTGCGGGCTCAAGATTGTGGCGACGGAGGTGCAAAGGGGCTTCCCGAAGGAACTGTATCCTGTGCGGGTATACGCGCTGCAACCGGACGGATGAGGTGCTCAGGAGTTCTTAGTAGGCGCGATATGATAGAAACCGATGTGGGCAACAAGCAGCAACGCCTGGCGACGAGCATACTGTAACCGCGCGCAGGTGGAACTCGGCGCGGATCCTGCATCCGATGAATGGTGTGGAAGCTATCACTGAGCAGGCGCGCCTTGAAAGGCACGTCTTGAATCCTTAAGGAAACAACTTCCTATCGACAGGAAGTCAGCGCTTTCGACAAACGGGACTGACTGCTAGGCGGCAGGGTGTCAATCTTAAGGTTGACCATCTATCAGAGGGTCGTTTCATATGCTCGTAGGGCCGCCAAATTTTCACAGTAGACATGTTCCGATCCAGTATCTTTATAGATAAGCAGTATCGCTTCCTCTGTAGGACGTCACGCTGGGAGTTATGTAACCAGGCCTCCAGTACACTGTGATGTATTCAATATAGATGTGTCAAATATCTAGCCCGCTCTTCTGGCCCGTGTTGTAGAGCATGTTGAATCAGTACGGCATCATTCGCCGTTTTCACACATTTCAAGTCCATTCTTGTTCTGCGAAGTCGCTGTGCCCAATAGGGTAGTAACGACACTTTTTCTACAATGGGAAGAACAAACACAGTCTTAGTGGACGCTGGTGGCGAAGACGAGTGATATCATGTTACTTATATCCTAGATATCGACGACCCAATGTGGGTTTATCTACTTCAGACAGCTATGTACCCGAACAATGACTCCGTGCAAAACGGAATCTCCACATGCCGCCTGAGCAGATTTTGTGGATCCGGCTCTGTGACCAATACAACCAGCGCTGAACGGTATCCGACAGGCCGAGCCATCGCCTCAGGCTCCGCATCAACCCACTCTAACACGCCAGTCGGGCTGTGTATGAGGCGTCTCTGCTCCAAATCGCCCATAAAATATCCCGGTCCGCCTTCGCTGCAGAGCCTACGGTGCAACCTCTCTGGGACCAACGGCTCGTGTGGTTGTGAGATTGAGAGTGCGAACGATTGCTCGACGTGCGGACTCCCAAGACAGCACGAGACGCTTGCTGTCAGAGTCGTCGTGTCCGAAGCGGAAGCGTGCTTGGCTGGGTCCGCGGGTTTGACCCGAGTGCGTTCGCATGAAGACATCACAAAGACGATTAGAGCACCTCGTAATAGTCGTCCGTAAGGCACCCAGAAGTCTTCCATGGATGTTATTCACCGAATGCACTGCACACGGAAGGCGCAGCTGTGCGGAGAGTATTCTCCGCCTGATCTATAACAAATTCTAAAGCCGTCCAGCTCATTTCATGATCTCCGAAGCGAACTTGCTCCTCGCTCTAATCTTCGGCCCATAAAACACCAACACCCAAGGCACGATCGTAAGCAAGATGCCGATGCCTCCAAGCATGCTGGAGGCGCCGGGATAGGACAGCCGCTGATACATGACTTTGGTGATCAGCGGAAAGGCACCGCCGAGCATGTTCCGGCAGAAAGACTGCGCAGCTAGCGCAGAGCTGGCGTATCGGTGGTATGTATCCGCAAGATAGTTGAAGACCGCTAGGTAGATTGAGAAGATGCCCATTGTCGCAATAGCTATGCCGATTGCGGGCGCGATCCAGTGGATTGAAGTGAATGACGTCCAGCCGAAGATGAAAAGTCCTACGGGCATAAGCGCGCTTTGCACGCAGGCGAAGTAAAGGCGGCCTTCAGGGGTGGATGAGATCTTGCCGCGTCGTGTCGCAAATTTCTCCTGGTGGATGCTCATTACGGTAGATATAGCTGCGCCTACAACAGTAGCACCGAAGACCGCGTTCGCTTGAGAGAGGCTGAATCCGTGATTGGTCTGGAAGACAAGCGGAACAGCTGCAAGGGTGAGATACAGCACCGCCCAGCTGAAAGAGACCCATAGCGAGAACCAAAAGACAACGGGCTCGGTAAGGAGGAGGTGAAAGGGCCGGTACAGTGATATGCTGATCATCCTTCCAATGCTAGCACGCTCTTCGTCGGACTTGACCTTCCATCTGATGCGCTGAGAGACCTTCTTAGCATGTTCGCCGTTGACTGGCATCTCGAATCCATAGTATCCGGCTTGCTCCCGCTCTTCGTACCACTGGTTCAGCTTCTTTGCTTTCCTGCTGAGTAATACACTACCACGTGTCTCTTTGAAGCAGATAGTAATGATAACCATCAGCGTTCCGCAAGTTATGGTTTGCAAATAGAAGATCCATCTCCAGGTAGTGTACTGCGCGATGAATCCGCACACCAGCGGTCCAAGTCCAGTGCCTAGGAGAGCCGCGCCAGAGAAGAGTGCCATTGGCGTGTTCCTGTCCTTGGTATGGTAGATGTCGCTGACCACTCCGCCCACCATTGTTGAGAAGGTGCTGCCACCGACGCCAACAAAGAAGCGGGCAAGGAGCATGCCCGCATAAGACTGTGTCACGGCACAGCAAAGCTGGCATATGACGAACAATATCCCAGTCGCGATGAAAACCGGCTTCCGCCCATTGATCTCAGAAAAGGGCGCCAGGACCATGGGCGCAATTGCAAAGCCGCACGTGAACGTCGTAATACCAACCAGCGCGGCAACCTCGCTGACGTGCCATAACTCTGTCATCTGTCCGACGCCGGGACTGTATGAGCCGGCCGTAAAGGCCGTAATGGCCGTTGCAACACTGGAAAGCCAGATGATGAAGCTCTTGCGCTTTGGCGACCACTCGAAAGGCGAGGTATAGGGTATAAGATTAGGTGGTTCTGGCGGCGGAGGCGCGCCTGGAGTAGGCGGGGTGATGCTTGTTGGGTGCGGCAGCTCGGTCTCGAAGGTAAGAAAGTGATATTCGACGGTGCTATCGCCATCACACTCTTCGTTCTCGGCATGTTCCAGACTCCATTTACTATCGCCCTTTTCAAGGTTCTCAGTTGATGTTGAGTCCAACCGTGTCCCCGTCTTGGCTCCGGAGTTGAGAACGTCATCCTGGGCCCTCGGCAACTCCACCTCTGGGTCGGCCATTGCGGCGAGGAGGTAGATCGAGGAGGCGAGGCAGACACTCCGCACAGCGAAGCGTAGAAAGGGCACTGATTGGAATAAGGAGAAGAGTAGCGACTGGGAGGGATAAGATGAAGTGACAGAGGGAAGCAGGCTTACCGTCCGCTTCTAATAAGGTATTCCCCGTCTACGGCACCGACGGAGATGCTAGCGGATACCAACGGCGCCAGACATGCACTGATCTCATGCTAGACGATCGGATGGGAATAAGAGGATTAGCGGCTGAGCAATCACAAATCGGAGAAGGGCTGAGGAGCTGCACCAACTGTTCCACGCGTTTGACATCTCCCGCAAAGCCGCAGGCGCGGACGCCCTATGCTTGGTTGAGAACGGCTATGACATGCCGATCATTGACCGTGTCCCTGGACGGGGACCCCGCAGAGGGGAGATACCGCAAGCTTGACCCTTCTTAAACCCGGGAAAGGTGCCTCTGGGATTCCAGATTGGTGATCTCTGGTGTGTATATGCCCGTTGTGAATACGGTCTCTGTTCACCGGCGAGAAGAGCGAACGTCCGATATGTTGCACGAGTCTGTGCCGCAGTGGGTACCATCGTCTTCCGATGCCGCGCCTCTCCACAGGTGCGGGAAGGCCAGGCGTGTGCAGGATCTGGTTGCTGACTCGTACGTGTAACATAAAGATATCTCCGACCGTCCTGCTTGATGCTTTGTGAGTTGTCCTTAACTAGAGCTCGTGTGATATGAAACGTTCCTGCGTAAGGTGCTCGGTGGCTGCTCCTCCGGGAATCCTAAAATTACGCCGCCGGAAATAAAAGCCCTACTGCGAATCGGATACATGAGTGCGTTACATAGGTGCCACAACCTCGAAGGCAGATATCGTTGTGATTCAGCAAACGGCCCAACTCACCGGCCCAGCTTTGGGATAGTCGGATCAGTCTCCGTAATATGTTGTACTCTTAAAGCATGCTCCCCCGCACCGTCAGGGAGCGCCCTTTGACGAGCGACCCCGAACGAAGCCATTCTCACCGCCCGGTCGGCGCAGGCTTATGATTGGTGTACGTGAGGCGTGGGCAAAAGACATGACGATTCGCTGCCTGTGGCAGAAAAAGTTGATACCTGAGCACGCCATCGCGCCGAGCAGCGGATGGTTCCTAAGAGAGTATTATTAAGACGGTCACCATGAGGAGATACAAATCTCGACTGGCCAGCCTGGAAAAACTTCTCCAATACACTGACCGTCCACCTTTGCAAGCTCAAGTCCTTTAACTGCACCAGTCCTTCGACTCTACAAGTACCACATCCATCATGGGTTCAGTCGATCGTCCAGAGCCTCTCCGTCTTGGGAGCATCGCTCCTAACTTCGATGCCGAGACCACCAATGGCCCGATCAACTTCCACGAGTTCATCGGCGACAACTGGGTGATCCTCTTCTCTCACCCGGAAGACTACACCCCAGTGTGCACAACGGAGCTGGGTGCGTTCGCGAAGCTCGAGCCAGAGTTCAACAAACGCGGCGTCAAGTTGATTGGCCTGTCTGCCAACACGATTGAGAGCCACGGCGGCTGGATTAAGGATATTGATGAGATCTCGGGTAGCAAGCTTGCTTTCCCGATCATTGGAGACAAGGAGAGGCAGGTTGCGCTCTTGTACGACATGTAAGTATAGACGTTCGCTCGGGGATTCAGAAGCGTTGCTGACATGCCGACTAGGATCGATCATCAGGATGCGACGAACGTCAACGAGAAGGGCATTGCCTTCACCATCCGCTCGGTCTTCGTTATCGACCCCAAGAAGACCATCCGTACCATCCTCTCCTATCCCGCTTCCACTGGCCGCAACACCGCTGAGGTCCTCCGCATCGTCGACTCACTCCAGACTGGTGACAAGCACAAGGTTACCACACCGATAAACTGGGTCCCGGGTGACGACGTGATCGTTCATCCGTCGATCAAGAACGATCAGGCGAAGGAGATGTTCCCGAACTTCAGGATCGTTAAGCCGTATCTACGGTTCACTCCTCTCCCCAAGGAGGAAACCAGCGCGGCTGTTTAAGCGCACTTGACGTTTTGGTTGCATATGAGGCGTTCTGCGTCGGACGTCTAAATGTTGTTAAGGTGCTGTTATAGATAGTGGAAATGACGATGAGATACCAGCTGCTCGAGAGAGCACGAAGCCATCATAATCTGCGGTGTTACTTTGGTGCTTGCTCTTCAGAGGTGGAGATGTGATGAACAAGCTTGTTAGTATCGTCCCACTGCCACGCTGCAGTGCGCCCGAAGTGTTACTCGCATCATCTCCGGAGTGCCGGCGACACAGACATGCGCCTTGTTGTGCCTCTGTGTTCCCCTTGTTGATGGTCGAATGAAGAGAGGCAGCCCCCCTTGCGTGGTGATGCCACTAAGCCTTATTCGGGCGCAACCAGGCGCGGGAGGCTTGAGAGACCGCCCACAATCCGTCGTTGCGGAAGCGCTGCCCCATAACATAGCGACCTTTAACTTGACTCCCCAGGTGGCGCAATACCCAGTAGCCTCGTATCTCTACATAGTTACTTCCCCTACATACCAAAGCGTTAGTTGAGGTAGGCTTCATTTACTTCTTGCGTCAAGAGCTGTACCGTACATCCCCGTGACTCCCAGTGCCTGCGTCCTGCATGCTGCATCCTTTCTGCAAGATCTCCGTCTAAGACATGTCGGTGCAACCTCTCCAGTCGTACGGCAGTTCTGTGCCTTGTCGTAAACCCAACGGTTGGTTGGCTGTCACCGATGCTGCACGCTGAGGTGTTGCCAGCCGAGACCAAGTTCGACAAATGCAATGGGCGATCGCTCTTTAAAAAGAGAGATGGATTGGTACTTGAGGTACTTGAATACTGGGGGCCTGTCTCGTACACGCCAGCTGAGCCGTTGCTTTCAACCTCTCTCCATCCTCCGCGTTTAGTGATTGACGCCGCTGACCATGATTCCATTAGGCGTGCTTGGATACCCTGCTGCTGGAGCGTCTTCAACTTCATTGAAAGAGCCATCTTTTTGGAGGCGGCCAAAGTCACCGAAGCTCAAGAGAATACAATCTCCGGCCAAGCAGAAGTTCGGCACCTCTGCAAGCATCCTTTCGTCGCCGGTCAGCTGCAGCAATAGCTTGAAGTCCTCGACCTCGCATTTTTCGCTCCAGGGCTCTCCCGTCTCCCCTAAAACCTCGAGCCTCTCTGTCAGTCCGACTAGACCAAAGCACGTTCCCATCTTAGTTCCACGCTATGTGCCAATCGTAATTCCCGACAGTCCCTGTTACTCTGGAGGAAGCAGTCCCTCGACAGCTTGCTACAGCACGCGGAGTGAGTGCCCAAGTACCTCTGAGCTCTCGCCTCCAGACCTAAAGGCATCAGCGGACTCTATAAGGTCCAAACGCAGGCATGTCGAGATCGTAATCCCGACTTGGGCACAACCGGTGCACACTTTGCCAGACTCGCCGCCAAGCTTACCCGCCCGCTCACCTCTCAGGAAATCAATATCAACGGCCTCGTCGAACCCTTTGTCCCCAGGCAAGATGTCACGACAGACGCCAAATGCCAGCAGGAGCAATACGATCGATTCTTCGACTTCGGCGCCTTCTCCCGATCAGCTTTACGCAGCATCACGCAAAGTCGCTAACACGGCCTACTGGTCCAGCGCACACAGTAGTCAGACTAGCTTACATAAGCTGAATACTCAAGAAAGTGCGCCCAGCGATGAGACTCCTCCGAGCGCCACATCACGTACACCAGTCTCTCAGTCGGCCGGGCCTTCTCCCGCTATGCAGCAAACCGCTGGGCTAGGAACTCCATCAAACTCCACTGCTGGACTCTCAGGCTTGGTATGCAATGTGCACCGAACTACTGGCAGGGAGCCGCGTCCTTTGGTAGGCGCCACTACCACAATCCTTGGGGACAAGCTGTACGTCTTCGGCGGGAGGAGACTCTCCAGGAGCAGACCGCAATTAACAGCAGATCTGTACGAGTTGGATCTCGTTCGACGGCATTGGACGAAGCTGGAGGCAAATGGCGATATCCCGTCCCCCCGATATTTCCACAGTGTTTGTGGTCTGGGTGATACGAAGCTCGTCTGCTATGGCGGCATGTCCCCAGCACCTGCACCTTCGGCCCAGTCCAATGCATCAAGCAGCTCCCAAGATCCGCAGCCGGAAGTTGTAGTTATGTCAGATATACACATATACGACGTGCCCACAAGGACGTGGATGAATGTGCCTACCTCAGACGGACCGCAAGGAAGATATGCTCACTGTGCTGCGATCCTTCCCTCATCTGCTGTCTTCTCCTCAGCCACTGCGCCACTGTCGGCGATACATCACAATCCTTCTTCGGCAGTTCCCCACCAAGGTTCAATAGGCGTTTCGCTTGACGGGACAGGTGGTGCCGAGATGGTAGTTGTCGGCGGTCAGGACAGCGCGAATCACTACATCGAGCAGATCAGTGTTTTCAATCTACGGAGCCTTAAATGGACGGCCACGAATACCCTCGGTCGGAGCTGTGGCGCGTACAGGAGTGTTGTTGCCCCTCTCAGCTCTGCAAATGCCGTGCAGATCGGAACCGGTCCCAGAAGGGACCACGAATCGAATTTTGATGACGAGGATGCTGAGGAGGCCGAGAATGCCGGATCCTCCATGCTAATATACTCGAACTACAATTTTATGGATGTCAAGCTTGAGCTCCAAGTCAGGCTACCGGACGGGACGTTGTCAGAAAAGCCCATGCACGGAAATTTCTCTCCGCCTGGCCTAAGGTTCCCGAACGGTGGCATTATAGACAACCACTTTGTTGTCAGCGGCACCTTCCTCACATCGTCAAAGCAGGAGTATGCCCTTTGGGCGCTAGACCTGCGGACACTGACGTGGAGCCGGATAGACGTAGGTGGTAGCATCTTCAGCCAAGGCAGTTGGAACAGAGGTATTCTTTGGAATAGAAGAAACACTTTTGTGATACTGGGCAACAGGAAGAGGAGTTTGGTGGACGACTACAATCATCGCCGGATCAACTTCACAAACATCTGCATGGTCGAGCTGGAAGCATTCGGCCTTTACGACAACCCTCGACGCGTTTCGCCTACATCTGGCTACCGCTCCGTCAGTTCGCCGATTCAGCTAAAAGAGCCGGAAACCACCGCTGGAGGCCGGCAACTCTCAAAAGCGGCAGCGGAGCTCGGAGAGATAGCTACCAGCATCCGCGAGGTAGCAGACATGGATTTCCTCGCCATCGGCGGCGAGCGCGTACCAGTCAACTCCCACATCGTCGCGCGGCGCTGGGGCCCCTACTTCAATCAGCTCCTCCGTGAAGGCGTCGCGACCCAAGACGGGACCGATACCGCAACGCTGCACCCAAGCATCGGCAGTCAGCAGTACCGCAACTCCAGCATAACAATCACGCCCAGCATCCGCACAGCAATAACGAGCTACTCGAACGCCACGACCGTAACCAACAACAACGACTCCGCATCCGCCACTCAATCCTCACCTTTCGAACCCCCCGACGCACGCTCGCCGAACCCGTCAACCCGACCTCGCACGTTCTACCTCCCGCACACGCAACTCACGATCCAGAGTCTAGTCCACTACCTCTATACCTCCGCCCTCCCGCCACAGAACAGCCCCCTCTGCACCCCGCAGATCCTCTGCTCCCTCCTCCAACTCGCACGCCCGTACCGCATCGACGGCCTCCTTGAAGCGGTCATCGAGCGCCTCCACAGCATCCTCGACGGCCGCAACACCGCCGCCATCTTCAACGCCGCGGCCATGGCGGCGGGCGGTGGCGAGGGCGTCGCGTTCTTCTCCAAAACAGGGACGTATCTCAGCACCGCGACTGCCACTGCCACTGCCACCGCCACGGCCTCGGCCACCGCGGCCAGCAGCAACGGCGCAGACGGCGTGGTCGGCGGCCTGCGCAGTCTACGCATCAACACGGATGTCACGAATGGGGGGAGTGTGGATAGCGGGCTGAGCAGCGCGAGCACGAGCACTAGTGCGAGCGACCTTGGCAGCTGGAGCGGGTTCGGGGACGAGAGGGAGGTTTGGGCGGGGGAACTGAGCGCGGTTGTTGGACTGCAGAAACGGGGGCTGAGGGGGTTGATGGAGGGGAGGAGGATCAGGGAGATGGGGAGGGGGGCCGAGGGCGCTGGTGGTGGGGGGGAGGGTGGTCGTGTGGGGTTGGGTATTGCGTAGGCGTGTTGGCGTGGCTGTGGTTTGTTTGGGTTTCGGGGTTTCGGGAGTGTGTGTGTGGGGAGGTTTGGATGTGTGTTGTTGGATATGAAGATGTAGGTGTTAGATGTGGTTCAGTCGATCTGTCATTGCGTTCCACGGCGGACGAACTTGTCCGCTTCTAACCTGGCGTCGTCCTGGGACACTCCATCGGGCACGATACTGACCTCCACGCCCGGTGTTTTTCAACCTTCCTTGCTCGATGTCCTAATCGCTTGAGGTTGCTCGAAAGAGTTTAGGGCGCCGCAGTGTAGTCATTGTTGGGTTTCCGACCGAACTTGCCAGCTCATGCTGCTTAAGATCGTTCATTCTGTTCTCGTCCCTCTTAGGACATCTTCGCCCGCATTGTCTCAGAGGAAGCAGCCAGATGGTGCAGCCTTTTCATACAGCGACCACCACCTGATACAACTGCTTGCACTGTCCAATGAACCAATCAGAGCAGAGCGCAGGGTACAGTCGCTGCTTAGACGCGCTTTTATTATCGTTTCTGTTTATTGATGCTGTCACTATGTCTACCTTAATCATCTCTACAAACACGTCTATTGGGTCAAGCCCCAGACGTTCCTCTAAGACCTCCCGGCCCTCTCAAACCACATCGCAATCCTCGCGCTCACTTTCAAGCAAAGGCGGCAAGAAAAGGGGCATCGCTCTTCGCGATCCCGCTTACGCATGGAAAGGACAGCAATCTACCTCCTGCCAATGAATACTGAACCCGGTAGTTGCGCGTCCCCTTGCACCTCCGCAAATACTCGCCGTACCGAGTTTCCGTCATCTGACTGCCTCCTTTCGCCCTCGGAAGCTACTCGGTAGTCGTGGCTGCGTTTGCGGCTGCTCGACAAGGCGGTGACGGCTGCGCTCCATTCGACGGTGCGAGGGGCCGTGGTGACGGGGACAGCGACATCCCCCGCACATGCGCGCTTGCGGCAGCGTGGCTAGTTGTGCGGCGTTAGCCGGATGGATGATGGAGTGTCGCCGAAGCGCGTTCATCTCTCTGCACTCGCCAGCCGAGGCGGGCTTTGCTTGTGGGTCACCGATTCAACAACCGCTGGACTGGAGATTGTAGTCGTGGTCATCGTCCCGACCGGCTTGATCCTTATGCCGTCATTCTGCGCACCACTGCCGAGCTCTCCTCCCTCCTCCTTTCCGACTTCCTGTGCGTCCATGCGACTCAGCTCCACACACTGCGTCTTCGTGATCTGCCACGGCTTTCCTCCACCAACCCCTGCTGCGCTTCCGGGCTCCTCTTCGAAATTCGTGTACGTCACCGAACTCGTCGTCGTTCCCTCACATGACCCATCCTCAAGACTGCGATACTTTCTCCCACTGCCGCTGCCGACTGGGCTCTTCCTCTCGATTCTAAAACTGACGAACGAGGGGCAAGATGAGTGAGGGGAGCGGTGACGAGAGCGCAGGGAGGAGGGTACGATGACCGAGAGGCGGGCCGAGACGCGGGAAAGCGTGGGAGAGATATGGCGAGAGACTAAGGGGCGGAGTGCAGGCGCACATGCGCAGATCTGAGAGCCGTCAGAAAGCGTTACACGCTTGTGAAAGGCTTTTTGAGAGGGAAAAGAGAAAGGGGAAAACCCACCATGGCCAAATCGATCTCCACCGCCGCCGCGATCCACAGGGGAAACGCATACCACATCTCGTCGTACGAATCCATAAGGCTCTTCCAAATAAAGCACGTCCTAATGATTCCCGCAAGCGTGACCACGAACCCCAAACTCAGCAGCATAACCACCCCAGCCATTTGCCGTCGCGGCATCTGCAACTTCACCACAATCGGAATCGGCAGGCTCGCCACCAGCAGATCCGCAATACAATTCACGATCCCCGCGCCCAGCGTGACCGGGCCCTCGGGGAGGCACTTCTGCAGCTGCGGCGGAAAGGCCCAGTACGCGGAGACGGGATTGCATTGGAAGACGGTCAGCGCGACGAAGGAGATGCAGATGCAGGCGTTGAAGGCGTGCGAGAGGTGGAGCGCCCAGGTGAACCACCGGTTCCCGGAGTCTCGCGTTAGGCGGTAGTAGAATTGGAGCAGCGACATGCGGATGAAGGTCGCGGCGAAGGTGAACATTATTTTGGCGGCGAATGCGATCCTGAGGGTGCCTGTGTGAGTGGAAGGGGGGGTTAGTATAATTTGGTTGATGTTGGGGAGGGAACGGGAAGGGAGAACGGACCCGGTATGACGCTCCATGGTATGTCCCATACATGTCTGTCCCAGCAGTACCGGGTGTTGGCGAGGAGGACGGTAGTAGTCAGGCCGATAGTCGCTACCTGAACGTTCAGAAAGGTCAGTCAACTCACGGTGATCGGATAGTAGAAGTTTTGGCATTGTGGAGAAGCGCTTTTATGAAGTCTTCGAGCCTGACGGACGGATGATGTGAATTTCCCTCACCAGAGCGGCACAGATGAAGTAGTCATCGGATCCAAACCAGCGCTTGATGTGTACCCGCGTGTAGATGCGCAATGCCACGGCGATGATCACCAGAGATATGAAGATAGAGTTGACAATCACTAGCGCCGGACCTCTCGTCTGCGGATGATCAAAGTTGGGGGACGGAAACGACAGATAGACGTCAATGGGAATATCACGCATCTTGCCATGCGTCTCGCTTCATCGACAAGCAGAACGTTGCAAAGAGGAGAAAAGGAACGAGCGTCGAGGATGCAGAAGCGAATGCCGCCGTTAAAGCAGAGGCGTGAGAAGTGTGCAGGGGAGCAGGACGAAGCGGAGGAGAGTGTTTTGGAGCAGTTGGGCCCGCATCCGGCCATCCTTGGACCAAGGACGCAAGGCGAGGATGCAACATTGACTTTTAGGGCGAGAAGCGCTGGTGCATCTGCCGCAGGGGAGCACGGCGCATGTTACACATTACCGGGCTGGTGGCTGGTGGCTGCTTGCGGGATGCTCCAGCATGCAAGGGAAGCGGAAGCTCCCAGCTCTCCAGGGATTTGTAATCTCTAGCCTTTTCCTGGACGGGAAATACTGCCAATGCATTCGGAGCTCTCTTTGCGCAATTTAGATGCAGCGCTTGTTTAGAGCGGTGCTTGGGTCCAGGTCATGGTGTCGATGCGGGTGGCTGAAGAGCCAAACACACGCCATGGCTTGCATGGTACAAGGGTCATCCATAGAAGGGCCGGATGCATTCCTTGCCGCATAGAGCCAATAACGATATCACTTGGCTCAGCGCTATGGTCTGAGTGGTTCGCTTCAGAGCGGAAAGCAGGGAGCGTATCCGGCCCTTCTATGGATGACCCGTGTACCGTGCAAGAATCTGGTGCGCCCGCAGATGCCGGCACATGTGCCGCCGCTTGTGGAGAGAGGAGCAGCCAATGCCCGGTGCTCGAGAGATGAGATGCGGTCTAGAGCCGTCATCGAGGTCATCGAGGCCATCGGCGTCGACAGAGGTGGGAATTAAACTTGAGGGCCTCTGCTCAGCCGGGGAAATCATGGCGAGATCGTAGCACACTTCAGCCTGTGGCCTGTGCCATCCTGTCGCCGATCTGCTGGCTGCGCGTGCGCGTTGCAGGTGTGTTTCACCTCAACCTCAACCTCAACCTCAAACGCGTTGGAGACACTTCGTTGAACGGGCTGCTGATGCGTGCCTTGTGGTCTTGCTGGGACGCTGTGTCCAGCGCCTTCGCTGGCAATGCTGAGGAACCGCCTGCATAGTACGTGAGTTACCCCGTTGCCCTACCGGCTCGTCGCTGTGGTCACTCCCCGAGAGAAACTGGCAATGTCATGTAAGGCGTGCGACTCAACTGCGCTGCCGTCAACGGGAACATCCAGAGCGGTATGACCTTGGCCTTGCGACATCGACCACTTCTTTGTAGCTGTTGGGAGCTCTGTTGTCGTGTGCCGCTCCTGCAAACTCCCGGTGCTGCGTCGCGCAAACTCAAAAATGTTCCGAGAAGAAACCGAGGCGAAGCATCGCAAATCGAGCTTGGAAGCGTCCCAGATCCGGGCGTTAGATGCAGGAACTTAGTCCCGAACTTTAGTTTTTAGTTCCCATCCGCACGCGGAGACAGCCATCAACTCCGCAAGAGCTTTGAGGCCTTTCCTCGGTAGATGCTACAACAACGGAGACGTTTCTGGGTTGACGCGCAGCTGTAGCCGCGCCGTCTTCGAGTACAGCCTCTGGCCACGTCCGATGAACAGACTGCAGGCGGCATCAAGGTATATCTATTGCTGGTATATGATCTGGCTAGTTCGGAAGACGCGTATACCCACCGCGTTGGCTAGTGATTGCTCCGGGACAATGTTCGAAATATCGGAAAGCTACTATGCTGACTATCCGTCGGGCGTGGCCAGCAGCTGTGCTAGGACGCTTCATACGTCCCAAGACTGTCGCCTTCATCGCGGCTGTTCGCAGTTGCCACAACGCCCGATGCTGTCCTGCGAGATAGCATCGGGGCAGGCATTCCCTTCATCCCATCCTTCGTCTGCTCTCAACGTTCACTCACCGCATCGTATACCAGAGCATGCACCCCGTCTCGGTCGCCAAACTCCTGTGTACTTTCATCTTGCTACCTTTTCTCCATCCTTGCGGTCCTTTGTATCTTACATCTTTCTTGAACGTCTCGCATCAAACCGTCTACTGAACAGGCCCCGTGCCAGACCCAAGACGTCAGACTTGACACCAGTCTGACAGAAGCAGGTGAGGGTTGCCTATGATGCGGCTGCTCGATGGCTTCTCCCGAAGAAGGACCTCTTGCGGCTGTCTCAGAACGGTAGACGAGGTTAGCAACATTGGTAGTAATGACACAAGAAGCTAGAAAGCAGGCGGGTGTTATGCGTGGAAGGGTCGCTCGATCAGACAAGCTTTTCGAGATTGAGGAAGCGATTTGGCTGGCCAGCAGCCGCCGCGTGCCCAAAACAGCAGCACCTGGAGGGTTTTGCTTTTGCTTCTCAACATCGAATATGAGATGGTAGACACTTAGATGAAGAGGTATTGGATGTGGGTTGCTGCTACCACTGGATATATATGAAACTCTTTTGCCTCTCTCTAACCCCGAGCCCCTGTTGCTGTCACTCACGCACAACATCCCAGAATGAACTTTTGCATCCGACACGTCACGTCCAGATGCCCCCCGCATACTCCCCTCTAAGCATCCTGATCCAACCCCAACCCCTCCTTCGCCGGGACAATCCGCAGCGTGTTCGTATGCCCCATGCCGCCCCTCCAGCCCTGCACGCAAATGACCGCATCCCCCTTGTTGAGCACGCCAAGCTTGATGGCATTCATGATGCCCCACTCGAGCCTCCTGTCGACGTCCTCCTGCCAGGGCGCCTCCTTGAAGTCCGGCTTCTTCTCCGGGAAGTAGAAGGGGTACACGCCGCGGTAGAGATGCGAGTAGCGGCTCGCGCGCGCGTTGCGTGTTACCATTATTATGGGGCACACGGGGCGGTATTTGGAGACGAGGCGGGCGGTTGTGCCGCTGTGGGGGGGTGGTGGTTAGCGGGTTGTTCTTCCGCAGGTTCTCTTTGGTAGTGGGTCTGGTTTGAGAGGGGGCATAGGAAAAAAAGAATTCCTTACCTGGTGGTCAGGACCAGGATGGCACCGGCATTCTGCTCGAGCGAGGCGCTCACGGCAGCCATGGCGCACGTCTCCGTCGTCGGGCATGGCACCGGCGCCAGCTTCCTCAGCTCGTCGAACGCGTTGACGTACGGGATGGCCACCTCGGCCAACAAGCATGTATCGTGCATCATCGTGACGGCCTCAACCGGGTAGTTACCCTTGGCCGTCTCACCGCTCAACATGACGCAGTCCGCACCGTCGAGGACGGCATTACCAACATCGCTGACCTCCGCGCGAGTCGGACGGGGATTGTATGTCATAGACTCCAACATCTGAGTAGCGCAAATAGCGGGCTTGCCGGCGATGTTGCACTTTGTGATCATCATCTTCTGTGCGATAAAGACCTGGGCAGGCGGAATCTCGATGCCGAGATCGCCTCGGGCGACCATGACGCCGTCGGTCTGCTTCAGGATCTCGTCGAAGTTGTTGACGCCCTGCTGGTTCTCGATCTTGGAGATGATCTGGATGTCCTTGCCGTCCTCGCCGAGCACCTCGCGGATCGCCTTGACGTCCTCGCCGCGCCGGATGAAGGAGGCGAAGATCATGTCCACGCCGTTCTTGACGCCAAAGCGGAGGTCGGCTTTGTCCTTTTCGGAGAGCGCGGGCAGGTCGATGTCGGTCTTGGGCAGGTTGACGCCTTTGCGCGAGGAGATCTTGCCGTTGTTCATGCATTTGCAGCGCAGGGTTTGGGCGTCTACGACGTCAAGGACGGTGAAGGAGAGGACGCCGTCGTCGACGAAGATGATGCGGCCTTTTTCGATGACTTTAGTTATATTTTTGTAATCGACGTACCTAGAGCAGTGGCCCGGGTTAGCCGTAATGCGTAAACGTGGGCGGAATTGGCGAGTACGCCAGGCCATGCTCAGAGTCGGGCCTTACATGTTCTCCTTGTCGCTGGCAGTGGCGTATTTCTCGTCGGTGGTGATGTTGAGCTCGTCGCCCGCGCTGATGGGAATATCCTCATCGTTCACAGTGTTGCCAGTTCGGATCTCTGGTCCTTTCTGGTTGCCAGGCTTGTGTCAGCGCCTTAACATTATAGCGATGGTGATGGGAACGCACGGTATCCAAAGCAATAGCCAACGGTCTGCCAGCCAGCTCGCGCTCAGCCTTGCGCGCGTTGTCGACGACCGATTGGTGGTACTGAAAGTAGCGAATGGGTCAGCATGTGCGTTTTCTCCGAGTGTTTACGAGCTCGCTCGTAGCAGACTACCCACCTCGTATGAGCCATGGGAGAAGTTCATGCGAACGACATTGAGACCAGCTAACGCCGGTCAGATTCTACGCTTGTATCTGGCGACACTGGACGAGCACACCTTTGCGGAGGAGGTTAATCTTCTCCGCGGAGTTTGTCTTGGGGCCTGCAAAAGATCAAGTTAGCTGCGGGAATCTAGAGAGATGGTTGAAAGCTCTGGAAAAAGCTTCAATCAGGCTCTAGGCGTACCGATGGTTCCGATGATGGAGGTGCGGCGGTAGGCCCTCAAGGGCGTGTATTCGGTGTTCAGCTGCGAGAGCCACTCGATTCTCGTGCGGCCAGCACTGAGGTGGTCCAGAGCGTTTGCCATCTTGTCTGTCGTTTCTCTTGTGCGAATTTTCTTCAAGTTGTAGGTAGAGGGGTGTTGTTGAGGGCCCCCTGTAGCTCAAAATACTGTTGACATTTTTTTAGTTTACCAGAGCTCCGTCGGACTTCAAGGCGGGGCCGACTCACGATTCACGGCTCAAACGATGCAGATGGTGGTTACTTTTGAGAAGAGGAAGCTGCAGAGAGATGATCTGAATGCAGGTTTTCAGGTCTCAGGTCTCAGGTCTCAGGTCTCACTCAGCGGAAAAGAGTGTTGAGCGGGTTGAAGAAGCAAAGGCTGCGCACCCCTCCATCCAAGGGATCCCTTGGCCTTGACGTCGGGTCCGTGTGCAGACGGGAAGAGACCTGAGTGAGCCTGAGTGAGCCCCACCTTGATTGCGATAAGCGCCAAACCAGCATTGCTGATTGCTGCCTCAGGCTGCATTCGAGCTCCAGCTCACGTGTCGGCCTGAGACGAGCTGGCGGCAGGACTCCATTGCTTGAACCACCACGGTTCCGCTGTCCTGTCAACGCCGCATATCCAGCCCTATCACCAATCCTCCTCAGAACTCCCGCTAGCTGCGCCCCTGAAAGGCTTAAACACTGCCAGACACGATAGATCTGCTGCACTTTGCGCACCCATCCGAGCCATGGTTGTACGTAGGCCGCTGCCTGCTTAGCTTGGTGGTCGACAGTTTCTAACAGCATGTAACAACAGCTCGGCCGGCTAGCCCACTACGCGTTCGATGCTGTCCTCTGTAACTATCCCTGCACCCCACCTCATAAACCTGTGCTAACAGAACCCCCCCAGTCTCCGCCTTCCTCGCTGGTGTAAAGCGCTCAACCGGTCTCACGTATGCCCTCCCACCTCCCGCATCCCCCCAGTATCCCCGTTGTACCAGCCCATGACTGTACCAAGATTGGAGTGGCCTCGCAACCCACCCAAGTGGATGAGCTAACTGACCACAGCCCCAGCCTGCGATCAGACAGCTTGGCCGAATCACCGAAGCTCCGCAGCTGGATCGAGACGTATCTGGGCGTGGGTGAGGTCATAATGGACCAGAGCGTCGCGATTATGAGCTCGAGTGGGTATTTTGAGCGGAAGAGGTGATGGGACCGACAGAGGGAGGGGGTTTGAAAACCCGGCGAGATGTGCGTTGAAGAGGGACAAGGATAAGAGTGCAACAGGATAACGAACGGCGTTAGGGATGGAAGGATACCTCAGGGCAGTGGGAAAGTAGCTATGCTGCTTAACGGTTTGTGTACATTCAGCTTGGGAATGCATCCTGCGCATGCTGTGTATTCATTTGCGCCTTTCGAGACTCTAATTCCATTCCGTTATTATCTCACTTCACCGACTCGATGCGCAACGCTTTAAAAAACAATGGTTAGGACCATGATGCAGAAGCTGGTGTGTTGCACGAAGACTTGACGTTTGGCCGCGTATTCTGTGTCAAAAAACGCGTACATAAGTCCCAGAACGCCAGCCCAGTAAGTCTTCCAAACCAAGCACACGCTCATCTATTCCCGAAGGCAGAGCATCTGACAACCCATCACAAGAACTTCCTGTCCGTCGCCTCGAGACGCGCCAACAGCGCCTTCTTACGCTCATTCACCTCCTCCTTCCCCCTCACTTTCTTCGCCCCACAATACTCCTTGACGCACCTACACCGTCTGCGCGCCTTGCACCCGCACCGATCCTCCTCCGCCGCCTTCTCGCCCAGCCAAGGCCACGTCCGGTCCACAAACGCCGCGTCCTCGGCATCGAGCGGCTTCGCGGTTTTGCCGTCAACCAACTCGCTGCGGTCTTTGTAGAACCTCTTGATGTTGTCCGGGTGGCGCGACATGTCGGCGAACCCGGCCTCGCGGATTGTTCTGCGGTTCCAGGCTTCGATGCTGGCGATTTGGGAGGTGAGGGAGGGGAGCCAGGATAGGGAGGCGAGGCGCAGTGCTTGCGCTTTTTTTGAGCATTGGGATCTGGAGGTGGGAGGTCCTGCGGGTTTGATGCTGGAATCCGGTTGTGCCGCATTGGAGATATGACGAGAGTTGAGCTTCAGAATCAGCTTCGCGGCTTTGCGGGGCGGTGTTGATGGGTGGGTTTCCGTGCCCCAGTCGCCGGTTGCTTCGTCGTCTCTTGTGCGCTTGAGGTTGATTCTGATCATCGTTTTTGGAGGAGAGATTGATATGTGAGAGGTATGAAGAGGTGAGGTGAGTGGTGGATTGTGTGGGTGTCTGTGTTTTTGGAACGGAAAGCTCTCTGTGGGCACAGTGCTGCCTTTATCCTGCCTGCTACGCAGCGCGTGAGCGTCCAGATCACGCATTTGCTAACTCGCTCAGACGCCCTGAAGTGAAAAGCAGTTCTTTGGTTCAACAGCCACGTTAAACCGCTTTGGGCGCTATCGTACTCGATTTCTGGGGGACCGACCCACACTTTCACTCGAACACCATGGCATCCACTTTTCGCTCTCATCAACTTCATACTTTGTCTACGAAGATCCGAACAAGCGACGCAAATTTTTTGAATGATTGGCGACGGCACAAGAAGCCGGCATCAGCAGGCACAAGAGAAGATCGATTCTTATCGGTGGTTGATGGTGACGCCCAATCGGCGCGTCAGGATACTTCAGCATATTGGCAATAGTAAGAATCCGGTGAGGAAGCTGCGATACATCACTCGCTACACGTTCCTCCCAGGTTCCTTCCCAATACGCTTCCAACGCTGAAATCCCTCAATCTCCAACCCCCCGCATTCAAATCCGACTCCATAAACTCAGAAGCCCCAACGTCCCAGCCCGCTCTTCTGCCCGCCTCGCCCTTCCCGCAACCAATCTAGCATGGATGCGTCGCGCAGCCTCCATATCCTCTTCCTGCTTCGTCGCGAAATAGACCTGCGGCTCCTTCAGCTGCTCCTTCTCCGCCTTGGGGCCAGCCACAGGAGCCGCCGTGAACCTGTTGCTGGGTCGCGGCGGCAGCGGCACCAGCACACCCACCACCTTGCCGGCCTCTCGCAGCTTCTTCTCCACGGCAACCTTAGGTGCAGGAGAGGTCGTGGCCTTGCTGCTGCTGGTGGATGGAGCAGCATTGGTTGCAGGGCGAGGCTTGAGTTTCAGCTTCAGCTTTGTCATGCCGGGCGCTGGCTTCTGCACTTTAGGGCCGCCTTTGGCGGTGCGGAGCGCGTCTTTCGGCATGAGTTCCGCCATCGCCTCTGCATACTTGACCGTAGGTTTTCGAGCGCGGTTCGAGCGGCGAGTGGGCTCCATGGGACTGGTGCTATTGTCGGGGTCGAAGGGGCGGAGAGAGTGATTTTCGTTGTTGACGGTGGGGATTTTGGATGAGAGGTTGGTGGTGTGATTTGGAGCAGTGGTTTTCGAGCCAGTGGGATTTGAATGTGCTTGAAGGGTTGATTGTGCGGTTGATGCGGAAAGTGCGGCGATTATATGTGTTTCTTGAACTTCGCTCAGACATTGCTAACTCTGGTTCACGAGAGAAGGCTACCAAACTTGAACTTTACGAAGCGATCGTACCCTTATCGAACATCGTACGAGAGAAAAACAGTCGAGCCGAATTGGACTTGTAGTATTGTCGTGGCTAGCGTACCAGACTGACTTCGCACCATATAACACAAGAGTCCCTCCCGCAGCCAAAACCCCTTCTTGCATCGATCTTCCAAAGTATCCTCGCTGCAGAATCCACATCAGCGAAAACCACTACCAATTCTTGCTACACAATCTGTACACGATCAGCATCAAGCAAACATCACCACCAACCCACCACCGACTCTTCTATTCCATCATCATCATGTCCGTATCATCCTTCTCGTCGTCAGATCGCAGCACATCATCCTCGTCATCATCAACAGCACCATCCACACGCGCCTCCCTCACCTCATGGGACCGTTACCTCCACAACCTCCACACCCACACCCAAACACAGGCCGAGAACGACGCCTACAACCGCGCCATCCACATCAGCCACCTCATCAGATACTACGGCCACAGCGACTGGACATGCGTACCCGCGCTCGAAGACAGCGACCTGAGCGTGCACGACTTCAACGAGGTGCTGCACGGTCCGCGCGGCGGGAAGTATGTACTGCGGCAGTGGGTCATGTTCGGCGACGGCGAGCGCGCCTTCGAGGTTTGCAGGAGGGGGGGACGGAGAGTCTACGCGTCCGTTGAGGCGGGGATAAAGAAGGGCCTGGCGGAGGACAAGAGGCGGAGGGAGGAGGAGGAGCCAGTGGAGGAGGCGAGGCGGGCGGATCGGGGGCGTGGAGGGCGGGCGAGTGGCGATGTGGGGAGGGGTGAGGAGGGCGATGCGGACAGAGCGCGGGAAAGGAGGGACACGTTGGCTGGATCGCGATTTCCAGTGTGTCGAGACGAGCTGGCGGACGCTTCGCTGTGTCGATGGTCTGAGCGGACGGGTGCAGAGGCAACAATAGCGCAACAGCTGGAGGACCTGATGTACTATTGAGAAGACATCGCAATGGACTTGGACAGAGATTTTGTTCTAATATAGAATAAGCCTATCGGTCTGCTGTACTTGAAGCGAAACTCCTCCAACTGTACGTTACACTCCACACTAGAGGAAAGTGCGCAACAGCTTTAATACCCCTGCCTTTTTCCAATCTGAGCAGCCACGTTGTGAACATGCTGCGGGTTGTGTCAAACGCTAAATATTCAGGCAACATTGCAACTCTAGCAGGACACTCTTCGAAATGTGACCGCGCCAAGTGTGTCCCGCGACTTTTGCAAGTTTTCCTTGACATACGTCGCGTCATAGCCCGGTGGTCATAAAGGCCTCACGAAGCGCTCACAGCTATCGGGGAATGTAGCAGAAGTCGCAGCACACATTGTGGCGCAAGCCTCGCCTAGAGAGCGTGGCGTGAACTTCCGGTACGTTGCCTGCTACTAAGTGGAGCAGAGACAGGCCCTCTCGATTCATACAAAAGATGAAATTCTAAGTTGGATGAATCCGTCGAGTAGGCATCAGAGAGGTGATGTTGAAAGACGGGAGTGCTGCAAGCCTCAGCGGCCCGCGCCGTGCCATCCTGCATGGTTCTGTGCGCGCCCAAAGCTCCCTCCATAGCGTCACTTCTGTGACAACCTCCCGTCATTGGCACGAGCTATCAAGAGTTTCAAGCAAGCGTAGCTATTCCATAGCCAATTTCGACATCCGGTGCGGACTCCGCTACAACCTGGAACTGCTATACAGCGAGCAGCAATTAGGGGATTCTCCGCTATACACAGCCCCAAACTTACGCACTAGACGGAAAGGAAGAGCAGCGTGAAACCAGGACCAGTCAGCGATATGGGCAGGAGTATGGGTTGGGCAGCGCAAGACCCACTACAGTGTACAGCTTCGCAACCCTCCAGACGAGTACCTGCTACCGTCAGCTCTCACCTTCCCTTCACGCCAACACCACCCTCAACCTCAGCGATTCTCCACCAGCTCCGCCGCAGAAGCGCAGTATCGCCGCCGCGATGCAGCACGCGAGCTTTCTCATCCGAACCATCCTCCACCCCACCGCAGGCAGCACCACGCACACCCCCCGCACCAGCCAACTCCGTCTCCGTCCCCCCACCCACGCCCTCAAGCTCCTCGTCTTCCTCTCCCTCCAGCAGAGCACAAGTACCACCGAAAACGCCCCCGAAGCAAGCCGACAAGGTTCCCATGCCCCAACCTCTACCCTTCCAGAACGCGCCGGCGTCGAAGCCACAACCCTCTATATCGCCCAAGGAGTGGAATGCCTTCGCGGTGTCCCAACTGTCTGCGCGCGGAGGACCGGGCGCAGGGGCCACGAGCACGCGGAAGATGGATCAGAAGGTCGGCTGGGAGGAGAGATACAGGACGAGGTCCAGGAAGTATGCGTAGCGTCTTTCCCCAGATTGTCACAATGGGAAGATTCTTGCCTAGTCCAACGGTCCTGCGAGCACGGAGAAACACCCACAAGTAATAGTTTGCTGACATTTTTTTGCTGCGCAACAGCTGGTTGAAGGGCATGGTGGCGCTGCCGATTGCGATCGTGTTGAGCTATGAGCTACACAGGAGATGTAGGTTATCCCGGTGTTTTAGATCCCATACGCACACCTTTCGTTGCTTTCTCTGGAGCTTTTGCATGATGTGGGAATGCAGTGATGCTGACAGGCCTGTGCGTAGTCATCCTTGGGGAAGGGCAAAAGAAACTCGTGAGACCGGAGGATGTGCCGGAGACGAAGCCGCATCCGGTGGACCTGCTGATCGGGGATGAATGAGTTCAGCAGTTGGATGGTGTAGTTGTGTTGATGGGAATGTGTGAAATGTAAAATTGTGGATGTGTTCGATACTCCGCAGCAGGGCGTTGGGGACGGTAATGTACCTACCATCAAGGGCGAAGGCGATGCAGCATCCCTACGCGGCTCGCATCACAACAAGGTATTGCAAGACGATGACTATGATCAGCCGCAGGTCATAATTTCAGCGGACTGCACAGTTGAGCTGACGCCAGAGATAGTGTAGCCAAATTCTTAAAACGTATGTATACAAGCACTGCAGATGCTCCGTGTGCCCCGCGCCCGAACACCACTCCTTCACAGCTATCACCTTACAATTTCATACCCAGCGCCTTGTGCACTCTCAGCGCCTGCCTAATGCTCAAATCCAGCATGATCTCCTCGCTGCCACCCGGGATAGCATACGCCCTAACATCCCTATACAGCCTCTCAACCTTCGCGCCCTGCCCACCCCTCGAGTAACTGAGCCCGCCAAAGATCTGGCTCGCTTCCCTAGCGCAGAACTCAAACGTCACAGTAGCCTGAGCCTTGAGGCCCGCAATGGCGCCGCCGAGCTTGAGCATGGCTTCCATCTCGCCCATCTTCTCGCACTGGTAGATCATGTTCTCGAGCCAGTTATACGAGGCCTCGATCTGCCGCGCCATGTGGGCCAGCTTGAGGCGGATGACGGGGTGGTCGATGAGCTTCTTGCCGAAGGTGCGGCGCTTGTGGGCGTACTTCATGGATTCTTCGTAGCAGACGCGGGAGAAGCGGAGGCATTGGATTATTATGCCTATGCGTTCGTCTGGTGGGGTGGTGTTAGCGAAGCTCGCTTTTCATGACAGCAGAAGGAACAGGGATCGGATATGGGGCGACATGAACTTACGGTTGAAGTTTGTCATGAGGACCTTGAAGCCCTGGTTCTCCTTGCCGATGAGGTTCTCGACGGGCACCTTGACGTCCTCAAACGTCACGTAGGTGGTTCCGCTGCTCCAGACGCCCTGGCAGTCCATCTTGCGCGTGCTGACGCCGCCAAAGTCCCGCTCAATCAGCAGCACACTGACGCCGTTCATGCCCTCACCGCCCGTACGGACAGCCGTCGTGAAGTAATCGGACCAGATGCCGTTCGTGATCCACTTCTTCTCGCCGTTAACAATATAGTGTTTCCCATCCTCGCTGAGCTTAGCCTCGCACGTTAGGTTCGCAACGTCGCTGCCCGCATCCGGCTCCGTGATCGCAAGACAGATGCGCTTGTCGCCGTTCAGGATCCCCGGCATGAGCCGCTCGACCAGCGCCTTCTTGCCGTGCTTGACCAGCGGCGGCGCGCCGATGCCGAAGCCCCCGATCAGGTTCCACACCAGCCCGCCGGACCCGGCGCGTGATATCTCGTCCGTCAAGAGCATCTCGTGGAAGAGATCCCACTTCTCGGGCGGCACGCTCTTGACGCGGTTTTGGGTCAGGTGGGTGGGGTAGTGCACGCCCATGAGCCCGGCGAGGTAGCCGCGCTCGCCCATCGCTTTGTAGATGGAGTCGGGCACCTTCCGGCCCTCGTCCCATTCCGTCACGTTGGGCATTATGTCGGCCTCGACCCAGGCGCGGACTTCGTTGCGGAGGTCGGCGTGGGACTGGTTGAAGTAGGGCGAGTGGTACTGGGGCCAATTAGCCGGGAGTCCGCACCCAGGAAGGCTGAAAGATGATGCATACTGATTGATACCATGACGGATCTGCGTAGGGAACCAGATCGCCATACTGATCCAGTGCTTCTGCTTCCTCTTTTGTGGCTTGGAAGTTTGGCGCAGCGGAGACAGTACCTGGCTCGGCTTTTGGTACCACTTGTGCTTGCTTCTCCTCCGGTGGCGGCGTTGCTGGGGGTGTGGGGGGCGCGGCTTTGGTGTCTAGTGATCCGACTTGTAGCTGCTCCCGGTACTTCTTGAGGATGGACTCGTTGTGGTATTTCCAGAACTGCTTGGAGGCGTCCTTGCCGCCCACTCGCTGGAGAACTGGATAGAAGGTCAATAACGGCTGTTGAAGGTTGCTGTGGATGGCTTACTCTTCTTGCCGCCTGGGACATGTTAGCTATTCTCCTATAATCTGTCTCAAGACTGTCTGTATGCTTACCCGGATGCTCCTCCTGGAAGTTGGTTAAATCATACACGTCCTCATCCACGATGATCCAGAGATCATCGGGCTTCTTGTGCGCCGCCACATCGTCCTTGGAGAAACGCTGCGACATTGTTGCAGTTGGATGACGGGTCTAGGGAGGTACAGCCAAATGTAGATGGGCAAGAAGCACAGTCGATGCGAAGATGTTTTGGTTCAGACAATGAATGGCAGGTGACCGGATTAATAGCTCTCAGCTGTTCGGCTCTCGGCGCGTCTTCACATGTCAGTCCTATTCACCCACGAGATCTTCCCCGGCGCGGACTCTTAAGCGGAGCCGTCTGGGGAAGGGACTTGATGTCCGTCCTGACAGCTTACCGGACGCCTTTCTGAGCTTCACGATTGGCTAAGAACATGGACTAAGCAGTCCTCATGAGACCAACGCCGGCTGTCGCATCGACTCGAGCTAACGTCATTCTTTGTTTCCGCCGAGGTAACTTCTTAGCGCGATATCGATATCAGACGCACGCGGAACGAGCACACGTGCATTCCGGGATCTCATCTCCGAACTCTATTTAGTTTACCTTGACGGCTTGACGGACCTCAAGGGTCTTTTACAAGCCTTGTGAGGGGAAGGTTGAGTGCTTCAGCATGGGTTTCAGCGTGAGAGGCTTGATTGAGCACGAGAGTAGCATACTGCAATCTAAACCGACCGGATCTACATGCTCATGAATATATCTATGTACTGCAACTAGCTGTGTACAATTGCTCGTCGAGCATTACCAGCAGGCTGAATGGGTATACAAGAGAGAAGGACCAGAGATCGTGGGGGAGTAGGTCCAGCCTATATCGAAGTTGTCAGTCATATGACACAGCATCAGGGCCTAGTAGATCTTCAGATCAACGACCGATACTCGGTAGACCTTTTTCTTTATACAGGAACTTTGCAATTGCTATAACGTTGAGTTTGTTCATAATAGCCTCTGGAATATCTCGTTCCTAATTTATTCCCAACTCTGCCATCAGCAGCACCAATGCCCACCGGCGGCGAAGTCCACGTCACGAAATGGGAGTCCATCGGCTCTGAGGCCAGTGGTGCCCAAACCGAAGGCATGATCCGACAGAATGCAATCGTCGGGCTATCTGATCAGCTTTGTGGCACGGGTATATGTCCTTTTCATTGTTCTCCCGCATCCATAAGCATTTGCGGTTTCTAAAGTTGTATGGTTGCGTGAGAGGTACAGAATACTGATATACGGCGACAGTCATGATAGCCAAGCCCCACAGTGCGAGCGCTATACATCACCACGGCAAGGAGGGTAAGATTCCATCTCGAACAGTCCCTCGATTCAAAGCCGCCTCTCGGTCAACTTCCCTTCCATTTGAATTTCCTCTCCATCCCTCCTCATCTTCCTATCCCTATACTCCCCATCTACCCCGGCCCTTCTCTTGTTGCTTCTCCCACTTCTCCCCGTCGACTTCCATCTAAAGCCACCACAGACACACTCATCTACGCCGCCCGCGGCCATGGCACCATCGTCAGCGACAGCGGCGCAAAGCGCCAAGACCTTAGTCCCGGGGACTTCGCGCTGATCCCCGCGTGGACCGAGCACCAGGAGGTGAACGATGGGGACGAAGAGGTGTTTTGGATCATTTGCCGAGGCGGGCGAGAGCCCATTGTTGAGAATCTTGAGGGATGGGGCAAGAGTTAGGGGAGAGCTTTGATGTTATCGGAAGGCGGCGGGGCGGATGCCATGGGATGTTAAATCGGTTTATGCGGGTTGCTCGGGATAGGAGACGGGAGACGCAGGGTTCAGATGTGTACACATGTGTTTTCCATTGTATTTGTGTGTGTGGTTGTCGAAGTATGTGCTTCTGCATGCTCCTGTCTGCAATACCCTTGTCCAAAGATGCTAATCAAGTGCCATCCACCTGGTGTACGGCCATGCTCTAACTCTTCTCGTCTCTTTCTATCCCTTCACTCTCTGCCTCTGCTCCCATATGCCCAGAACGCTCCATTGTATCCCGCCCACCCGGTTAGCCCGCCCAACCATCTACAATCGTCTCCGAACCGAGTCCGAGATGTACCAATATGTGTTATACCGAAACCGCGTTTCTACACAGCCTTCGACGCCCCCGCCCTCAACCCCGACTCGCGCTCTTCTTCCTCCTCAACATCATCCCCCTCGTGCCCGAGATATCAAGCTGCAACCCTTGCCCCCCGCTCCCCCTCCTTTCCCTCTCCTTCACCGCACCCCCGGCTTGCGGCACACCCCCGCCAACAACAGGAACCCCCTCAGCACCAGTCGGCGGCGGCGGGTGAAACAGCCTCTTATACCTTAGCTCCGGTGAGCTGGGCCTCGGTTGCTGCGGCTGTCCGACGGCCGACGATGTCATGATCATCGAATTCCGGAAGTTCTCTATCGGCGAGGCAGCGAAGGTCTTCGACGCGATGTTTGGGGTGCAGGGCTGAGACGCGAATGTAGGAAAAAGCTGACGGGCGCCCGTGGGCCAGAGCTCCGGGGCCGAGGGCGGGGATTCGACCGGCGAGGTCAGCGATTCGTCGGTCGGCGAAAGCGTGCTAGTGTCATCGTCGGCGTCTGCGGATGAGGACAGAGTGTCTGAGGTGAGAATGTCTGCGGGGGAGGCATTTGGAGGGCGCGGGGGGAGTGGTGGTGTGTCCAGGCGTCCGGTGTCTGTGACTTGGAATTGGAAGTGCGCATGTCGGGTGTTCGCTGGCAGGGCTTTTGTGTCGATGCTGTGGGGTCTGCCGAGCCGGCCTCTGCTAGTACGTCTGTTCCTTCCTCGCTCGGAGCCGGCAGACGTGGGCCGGCCGAAAGCGTTCAGACGGAGGTCCACTTGGCTGGGGCTGAAAACTACTCGAGCTCTGAGCTTCTGCACTGCGTCGTCCAGGGCTAGCTCGATGGAGCAGTGGTTCTGGATTCTGCTCAGCTTTGGCCATGTTGCTCGTTCGCCGGCGAGAGTAGCCTGGAGCATGTATTCGGTGGTTGGATTACTCAGGACCCTTGGAAACTGTGCGTAGGAAATCTCCGGGAAGATCGTGATGTCGCCAGAATACTTCTGACTGAGTACCGAGCGTACTTTTGTAACGTAGTTGGGGAAGACTCCCATCTCGGCCAGGACGTGTAAGCGGTGGAGAGCCTCGCCCTTGGCGACACTGGCCATCGTATGTAGCCAGCCCGGGCCTGCGGCGACCGCAGAGGACGATTGCTGCGCTTCGGCAGCAACCAGACTTTCGTCCTTCATGAGGAAAGGGACAACATGAGGATTGACTTGAGACACGATGAAGTGGTTGACATTGAACATCTCCGCCAGCCTGGTCATAGGTAGGTCGTTGTCTACGGATCCGTCTATCCAGCGCTGAGGGGACAAATTCCATGGCACATCCTTCCCGGTCTTGGGATCCTTCGCGAACAGCTGGGCTGCGGAGAAGACGAACGGGACCGAGCAAGAGGCGGCGACCGCCGACCAGATCATTACGTTGGGTGCCGTAATGTAGTTGAGCAACCGCGGTAACTCGTACAAGCTCGCACTGGAGACGGTGATGTTGAGGATGCGTCTGGTGCGGTTGTACGCCTCCTGAAAAGTGATGTCACCTAAGAGACTTCTCATGACCCGGACGAGATTTTGAACGTCGAAGATCGCCCCGAACTTGAGGAGCCGGGCGGCCTTTTTGAGAATGCTCTCTTCGCCTCCCTTCTCGAATACAGCCAGGTCGCCATAACAGAACTGCTCGAGAAATTGTGGAATCTCCTGGTCCGATTTTGAGCACAGGACCGCGCACACGATACTCCCGGCAGAAGCGCCTGATATGATACGCGGTAGCAGCTTAGCCTGCCAAAGGCTCTTGACAACGCCGATGTGGTTCATGCCGAACGTGCCCCCTCCCGACAGCAGCAGGGCGCTCCTGCCAAACGACTGTCGAGCAGCCAGCAGTTGCTCCAGGACATATCTTGGTTCCAGCGCGCTGTCGCTCTGCTTGGCCGACACGTCGAGGAGCGCATTGAGTGTCTCCTTAGCCGACTCGATATACCGCTCGATCAGGGTCTTGGTCCCGATGTGCGAGTGCTTGTAAAGCCGTAAATCTCCCATGCCTCCGAGACCACGTGTCAAAGAAGTTCGTATAAGGAAGAGCATGCGGCTGACGTCGCAGTTGATGCGTGCTTCGTCGAGCTGTTGTAGGCGTGCTTGTACGAGCGCGACATCGTACTCGGCGCAAGCGGTTTCGAGTTTCCAGGCATCATTGCCTTCGAGTCTGTCCAGTTCCACGGCCGAGTCTCGCCATTCGTCGTAGGTTGTGGCCTGCAGGGCATCTGTCAGCTTGGAGCCAAACCAGCCGCTTACAGTGTAACTTACATCCTTTATGCGCACATATAGGACCTGCCTGCGACTCTCCTGGTCCAGTACGCCCGGTTGTGCATTTTGGGCGCTATTATCATTGCTCCCTAGAAAACCTTCGTATGCACTCCCAGGATTGAGGATAAGTTGGACTAAAGGTTTCAGAAGTCCTCCGCTCTGGCTCTGGCGTTTCCGATCTCGTCGTTGTCCTTCATTGGAGTGCAGCCTGCCCGTCCCAGGCAAGACCGTGTCGTTCAAGAAGGACATCTACTCAGGCCTGGCGCCATGCGTTGAGCTGGCGACGCATGGAAGCCCGGTAGCGGCCCCTGTGAAATAATTGCACCCGTATATAAACTGCTCCTCCCTCTTCTTTGAGTCTGTTGAAGATCCTCGGCGGTAGTCTGTTCTGTAGTGAGATAGCAAGGGGGTATACTCGGTGTGAGTATTTGCGCGTTTACTGTGTCCGGCAGCAGCGAAAAAAGTCGGAAGAGCGGTCACGCGCAGGAGATGGTTTGGCGCTTGACGCAACGGCCGCGGCAATGATGTCTTTAATGAACGGTCATAAGTCCATGCCAAACCTGACTTGAGATGGGACTTGGGAATTTAGCGGTGGTCTCCCCGGCACAACACCATCATTGGAGAAGATGCGGATGGTGAAACAGGCGCTGGTCGTCTGCTAACAAGGCCGCGCGCGCGCCGCCGGCGACACGTCATGAGATTAAGCACCTTGTCGGTCACCGACTCTCGGCAGCTGCACGAGTCCAGGTTCAAAGGATGGCAGGAGCTGACAAAGGCCACAATCCGGTTTTGGATAAAGCAGCTGGGTTTTGGCAGCCCTCCCACCGCCTCTCTGACCACCCACTGTGGAATCTCACCCACACGGCTTCAGATTCAGACCCATGCGGCCCCGGCATGCACATCGCAAAAGAAGCAACATGTGCAGCTCGGCAGACGCGGCAGACAAGCCCTAACTATCCGATCAGGCACACCCTCACCAAAGGAAGCCCCCTTGAAGTCGCCGAAAGCTCCGCTCCGCGCCATTCGAGCCGTCCCCGGGGCTCCTAACCGTCTTGGGATTGAGACGCTGGCCGCGCTGGCCAGCCGTGTCGTGTGACTGACGAATGCCAGGTGCATCCCGGGCGTTCATGTGAGATCACCATCGGATCCGGCGGCCTGGGTGCGGAGGGCGGCCTGGCGGGAGCTGGGGCGTGGGGGAGCGGGCTGAGGGCGGGCTTACTTCATTTTTAGCATGCCTGAAGAAAACCTTTTCTGACACTTCTGACATCTTTGTGCTGGAGGTTGTGTTCAGGTGAGAGTCTGAAGGTGCAGAGGCAATGCCGGATGGAGCGACTCGCCACAGACAATTGGGGGCGACCGTTTGGCTTATTGGGTCGCCTCGAATGCAGTGAAACGACGCTCGAGGCGCGCTTCGCGCTGGTCGAATGTGACTTGCTGGCACGGCTGGATGGCTGGATGGCTGGATGGATGACCCGCGTGAGGGCTTGGGAGGCGGATGTGGTTGCACACAGATTTCACATGCTGGACAAAATTCGTCAGAGTTGGCGATTTTTCTTGTCACAAGTCGGGAGTACCTGGGTACGTGTGCGGTGTTACATCCGGGCTCGCCGGGGTCGGTGGCTTGAACCACCATGTATCGTAGTACTCCCCTATAAAGTAGAGTCGTAGGTTACCTACTCCGTAGAGCAACCAGGCAAGCTATCCAAATGCCCAAAGTATCCAAAACCATGCAGACGCCATTACCATCCCCCAGCGCCTTCCCATATATGCCCTCAAAAATTGCCGCCCAAATGCGTCGAGATCATTCCGTGCCCTTTCCCCTCGCCTGCACGACCAACACACTCGCCCTCATCGTACTCCTCACCACCACCTCCGCCAAGACGCCCAAACACCTACCAGCCTCATAGTTCATAGCACTCGGATCGGCTTCCTCCTTCAGGAGCGCCGTGCGGTTCGCCGCATTGCGCCCCAGCACCACCAAATCGCCCGCGTTCCTTGGATTCTGCCCCATCTCCAACTTCGCGCGATCCAAGGCTGCAGCCAGAGGCTTGCTTGTCTGGACAGTCTCGAAAGTAACCCTGGACGCAAGTTCCGCTGGCACGGAGTTACGTAGAGAGGCGAAGAAGGCGGCGTCGCGTTCGCTTGGGAGTGTTGGCGCTGTGGGGGCGCTAGTGTCGGTGGGCGCCGTTTGCCTCGTTGCTACCGGCGAGACGTTGCCAGATGTAACGGGCATCAGGGCAGCTCCTTCATCAAAGTACCCGCCCGGGACTTCGAAATGCACGATTGTGGCCGTGACGTCCGGGCTCTCCGCGAGCTGGAGGATGAGCCGGAGGGCGACTCTGTCATCGGCGCCGCCGAAGAAGGGGAAGAAGATGTGATGGCTGCGGTCTGTGATTGGCGTGGTTACGAGTCCGCTGCTGCTCCGTAGACTGAGGGAGCTGAGCGTTCTTGTTAGGGTGGGTATCTCTCTCGCCCTTGTGGCGGAGCCGCCGAAGTTCTTGTTGATGAAGACAGCGGTGGTGCAGGATGCGGTCTCGAGAGCTGCAGCTACAAACTGGTTGTACGCAGAAGTCGCTAGCTTGTTCTTGACGCTGTCGGAGGAAATGATTTGTGATTCGCTCATGCCGCCCGTCTCGCTCCATGGGAGGAGAATGAGATCCGAGGACATTTCGGACGCTTTCGATACCAGAGTGTCTGCGAACATTGTTTGCGGCAGCACGGCTACCTCGCCAGAAACAGCCAGGTTGTGGAGCTGTCCGAAGGTCTTGAATGTATTGACAACAGGATCGTGCGCGCTGTACTCGTCTACTTCAGACACTTTCATGACGGACGACTCACGATCCGTCAGTTCTATTAGCCGGACCCCGTGCGCTTGAACAGGCCGCTTGGGGCTAGCAGATGGCTCTGCGCCATCGTCTTCTACAGGAGCTTGATGGGAAGGATGAAGGCGAGGAGCCGCTACCTCTGGTCTGCCCCCAAGTAGCGACGCGAAAGCGAGGAGTGTGGGCATATTGTCCAGCCGAAGATATACAAGCAGCCTGTGAACTTTGGAGCTTTCGAGCTTCTCATACGCGAGGCTATCGCGAGCACTGCTCTCGTCGGATCTCGACAACGGAGCACCGGTGTCCCAGTCGATCTCTCCTCGTTTCCATGCTTCGATTTTCTTCTGATACCACGGCGGGTAGAGTGCTGATGTCAGGGGCGTGGTAGCAAAAGTCGTAACAAGAGCCATAACCACAAAAATTGTGAATGTGCGAGGGCTCAGAATCCGAGCTTGCAAGCCGATATTCTGCATGTAATTAGCGTTCATTCCTGACGAGGTGAGCGCGACCTTCCACTTACCAGCACAATCAGCTCCACCAGTCCTTTGCAGCTCATCAGCGCGCCGATGGTGAAGCACTCGCGCCATACAAGTCCATTAACTCGAGCAGCCAATGCGGCCCCAATGAATTTGGCAAAAAATGCGACCGCGATGACGCCGATAACGTATGCCCACGTGATACCATTATCGAGTAATCCGATGTTGGTATTCAAGCCCGAGAGTGCGAAGTACAGCGGTAAGAATAGGGAGCTAATAAGATCCTCGATCTTCTCCGTGACTTTGATGGCAAATCCGCCTTCGTGCGGGCAGATGATTCCAACCATAAAGGCACCGAAAATAGGATGGACTCCAATGACTCCAGTGAAGAAGGAGGAGCCCAGCGCTAGCATGAGCGTAAGTGCCATAATGCCTTGGCTGGGCCCATCTTGAAGACTTCGGGTGCGTCTCAGAATCCACATAAAGGCAGGCCGGATGGCGTACACAAGGAAGAGAGTGTATGCTAAACAGGTTAACAGCACCCACAAAGCTGTTAAGCCGGTCCCTGCGTTAACCAACGCTACACAAAGTGCGAGGAGAATCCATCCTGTCTCAAAGAGGTAAGCATCCGTTCTATCTGAGACGGGTAGGTGCGTCCAGTCTTACCAACAACATCATTACCCACGCCTGCAGAAACTACGATCACACCGACGGGTGTCATGAGCAACTTCAGCTCTGTGAGGATCCTGCATAGTACTGGAAAAGCCTGTAGTGATGGTATCAGTCCTATAGTCCTCTATATGGTTCGTTGAGGCGATGACAGCGGACTACGGACCGTTGACGGAATCTCTGAACAAGTAGAGTCCGACTTACCGTGATAGCCATGGCAACGCCAATGAACAACATGTAGACCCCAAAACTGATGGGTATCGTCCCCGGCTCAGATGCAAATCGATTATACAGACCCCAAGCAATAGCTGCTCCTAGCCCAAAAGGCAGTGCCATCCCTGCCAGTCCAACGCAGACTGCTATTTTCCAGTTACTAATCAAGAAACGCAAGTCGACTTCTAATCCCACTAGGAACAAGAAGAGGACCAGTCCCAGATTAGCGACGAGCGCAAGGTTAGGCATGGCGGCAGCCGGGAATATGGCAGCCGTGAAGCCTGGTATGCGGCCCATGACCGATGGTCCCAAAAGGATCCCCCCAATAACTTCTGCTATGACTCGTGGCTGGCGGAGCTTGGAGAGAGGGTAGTGGAGGAGGCGGCAGAAACCGATGATTATTCCTGCCTATACGTCCATTAGCCTTGAAGCCGTATAGTTCGGATAGTCCGTTTACCTGGATAATGAAGGTAATGATCGGGTCCTTCGGATTGTAGACCGAAGGATCCATGCCCTCCAGAATACCAGCCTGCGGAGGCGCTCTGTTGCTGCTACTCGACGTCGCCGCCGCAGCAGACGCCGTCCGAGTGACGAGCTCGGTCACTACGGAGGTGACCGTCGCCATGGTGTCGACCTAGGCAGATGTCGCTTTTTGGAAGAAGGTGTTCAACAGGTGCCCGTATGGTAGTTGAGGCTCCAGCAGCTTTTATGAGCCTTAGATGAGCGGCGGCTGCGCCCCAGATATGCGCACAAGGTGTCCCCAGGCGCAGATGCGGTATGCGTGATCCAAAGGATGGGCCGCCCAGAGTCTAGGCACGGTCAGGTCTGGTGTACCAACAGTTGCCGCTTGTTGGACTGAGGCGTGGTTAGAAGCGTGGGACGCCGAGCACGCGCGTGCTGACGGGAGAGACATCTTGGACATTGTTGGCAGGTGACTGCCGTACGGCTCACACAAAGGAACAAAACGTGCTCAGTCCCAGTGTCAGTGCCATGGCCGTGCTGCGCTGCATCATCTGCACTCCTGATACGAATGCGGCACGCCGGACAATGGAAATGGGTCTTCTGAGCGGTGACATCTAGTCAGCCAATGAGAAGAGGCTAAAGTTCGCGATACACCAGATGCGCCAACGAGGCAGGTACATTACCAGCAAACACCACAATCCGTTTTGGCTATTTAGAGGATGGCTCTCAAGCTTGTCTCAAAGCCTACACTGCCAGTGAAGCACGAGATGGCATCATGCATCCCGCGCCTCTTATGAAGAGATGTAGAAAGTACTGCATAATCGCAATCCCACCTCAATTATCAGACGATTGCGCCATACCCGATGCTAGGAGCGCCGCTAGCGGTAAGCGATGCGCCTTGAGCGCCAAAACCGTACACAGGTGTTCCGATCTTGATGAGGTGGACAGCAGAGAGAGTGGGTGACTAGGTACCCGGGTACGCTTCTTCCTTAGACAGGCAGCCTGTGCGACAAAATACGGAGCAACCTCCGAATACTCCATTCTACTTACAATGTGTGTTAACTTCTAGACCTTGCTCCTCATGCTTTCTATCCTACCGCGAATGATGTACAAAAAGAACCCAATGCTAGCCCCAATACTAACACCAACGACAACCAGCGGCGCGACGAGCTTCCAACGTATACCATTATTCATGATCTCGTTACCTCGTCCATTGTCTCTTCCGCTACCACTCCCACCAACAGACACCTGTGGAAGTCACATTCCTCCACTCGCAGGATTAGGCGGCAGCTCTCCCGTGGCCCAACTCCGCGGCTCGGGACCCAGCACAAAAGCCATACTCCCACCGTTCTCGAACACGTCGCTCCAGCTCACCCACGCCTTATCCCAGGGCTGACCATTCACCTCCAAACTCTGCACGTAGTATGCCGTGTTACTGTTGCCGCCCGTGCTGGTGACATCCAGCCGCTTCCCGCCGCCGAGGTCTATAGTCAGACTCTCAAACCATGGCGAGCCGATGAGAAATGTCGTCTGGCCAGTGAGCGGGTATAGGCCGATCATGTTCCAGAGGAGCCAGCTCTGCATTGATCCGGCATCGCTGTTGCCCGGCAGCCCTGCTACGCCCGGATTGTAGTAGTTCTTAGCGATAAAGCGGGAGCGCTCGACGGAACGGTCCTGTCGTCCCGCGAAGTTGTACAGATAGGGGGTCGCGAAGCTGGGCTGGTTACCTGGGTTGACGATCGTGCCGTTGAACTTGGGATTGCCTGGGTCGATGCCTGGCTCGAACATCTTATCCAGGCGACGCACGAAAGTCTCAGGGCCGCCAGCGTAGCCTACTAGGGTGGCCATATCGTGACGGGCGGCCATTGAGTATTCCCACGGCAGGCCTTGGTAATAAGGTTCGGCCCAATAGCAGCCTCCGCACTTGAGGGGATCTTGCTCGACAAACGACCCGTCAGTGTTGCGTGGAACGACAAAGCCGCTGAACCCTAGACTGGTGACGTCGCGATTCCAGTGGTTTCGCCAGTTGCGTGACCGGCCAAGGTACTTCTCGGCATCAGCGGCCATATTGAGACCGTTCGCAACTTGATACAGGCCGAAATCGTTGCCTGCATACTCCATAGCACGCGTTACAGCCCTGGTGTATTTCGGAGTGATGTATCCGTACTGAAGCCAATCAGGCAGCGCACCACGGCCATGTTTGGTTGACGAGTCCCTAGCTGACAGATCGTTATTGGGCTCAGGAACGCTTTCCGCATCTGTAACCATGGCCGCATATCCATCCCCCCAGTTCACGGCTCCTCTGACTCCCTTGACGTAGGCATCGGCAAGGATGTTGTCAGCGTTAGATCCGCCTTGCGTACGGCCGTTGAAGTTTGACGATCGGGCGTCCGGCAAGAATCCATCGTATCTCCAGATGTCGATCAGCGCTCGGATCTGCTCTTCGTAGGCTGCTGGCTGCAGTATCTGCACAAGAGGCGTCGTGCAGCGGAAGGTGTCCCATAGTGTGAACCAGTCGTCGTAATAAGGCTCGTCGGAAGCCCAGCCGGGGTTCTCCCCAGTTCGATTTGATGGCAACATGTGCATCCCGTACAAACTTCCATAGAGTTGCTGCAGGTTCGAGGGTACAGTATCTGTTGTGGCGACCTTGGAGAAGACGTCCGTGTTCCACCTGTCTACCGCTCTCGAGACCAGGGCAGGGAGCTCTGTGCCCGGGGGAATCTCATTGTTCACGTTCTGGCAGGCTTTTGCTGTAGATATGAAGGAGATGCCGACCCGAGACGTGACCGTACCTTGGCCAAAGGTGAAGACACCACCGAGCCTCTCTGTGCCCGACGCAGAAGTACTCGCATCATACCGAGACGCCCTGTCGCCAACTCCGCTGAAAGTCCGAACAACTTGCGGCGTTGCGCTGAAGTGACCACAGAAGTGGATCGTCCAGTCAGGTGCTTGATGATGATGTTAGCTGCAGTTGCGATGAATGCGCGGTAAAGTCATACCTAGATTCCATCCGCCATTGTACGTCCCGCTGCCTTCGTAATGGCCGTCCTCAAACACGTTGAACTGACCACGGGCGTACGTTTGATCCCAGCCCATGCCTCTGAAGGAGTGAAGAACGTGCGACACATCGATTACGACCGAGGTACTCTGTCCGGTAGGGAATGTATATTGATAAAGCCCCGCGTGTTCTGTACCCGCAAGCTCCACAATGACCCCATTCTCAAGTGCAGACCGATAGTAGCCCACCGTCGCTCGATCGGGCTCAGCGCGCGGGACCGAGAGGTCGGCCAGCGGGTTTTCGACCTGACCGAGTACTGGCATTTGATTGACGACACCATACTTAGGAGCCCCTCCCGTTCCGGATTCATGCATCATAGAGAAGCCGAAAATGTTTCCATTCGGTAAGTATCCAGAGTATGCGTCACGATTGCCGTCTTGTACATCAGGTCCCAGCTTCACCATCGCAAAGGGTGCTGCACAAATCGTCAGCACGACTCTTGTACACATCGCATGATTCTCCGTCAAAGAAAACCAAGGGCTCATCGCATACCAGCTACTACACCAGGGAATATGTTGCCGTCGCCCTCAGTGCCGTGACTGAAGCCGCGTTAGCCATGAGATGCCACAGGCGATTGATCAACAACTCACAAAGGATCAACATATTGCGAATAATCAGCGCTTTGAGCGTGAGAAAGATATGGTAGCGTTACCAAAAGGATATAGCGTCTCTTCATCTTTGAATAATAGCGACTGAGATGGTAAATAAAGACAAAGCGAGCGATAACAAACTTAGGGTGCTACTGAGCACTGCAGGGAAGAGCCATACAGATATACGGAAAGCACAACCGCTACGCAATAGCTTGGGAGAATGGAAATAGAAGGACTGACCCATATGCAGGACCAGCAGTCCGCAGCACGCGCTCCGCGATCGTCGAGGAGGCCGTCGCTCTTGGCTGCGACTGTACCTGTTTGCTTCATCATTCAGGGAGCAGCGAGACAACTTGTCACTCGCTACCTGACCTAAATGACTACCACGTGGATGTTTGGTTTCATCGACTTGGCGGCAGCGCGAAGCCGCCGGAGGTCTTGGTTCAGTCCATATGAGTGCCAGCCCAGTGCGTTTGTTACAGTGCTAGCAGAACTTGAGGATCACCGTTGTGAAACGGCGGAATACCAAGGCATGCGGCTACAGGATATCTTTCGCCACGTCCAGACAAAATTCGCAGTGAGTGGCTGCGGAAGCTTGCTGGAAGGACTGAAGGCAGACAAATGTTGTGGCTTTGGTCTCTTGGACCAGCGTGCAGCAAGTGGTTTTAATCCGGTTCCGAAGATAGCATTCTCCACCATACCGCAGGGTAGCGGCGATGGACGTTTTCCAAGACTACCGAAGAGTTTCGGGAGTTGGCCAAGCCTTGAGATCGCTAGCAATCATGTCCGCAATAAGCGTGCCGAGCGCGCTGCGATCTCCAGCCAAGCAGTGTTCCTGGACGAAATTGCGGCTGTGGTTATATTCACTGTCACAACGCTTTGCTGAGTGGTTGAACTTGGGAGCAGTGATGCATTTCTTCCCCTCGGCACCTCCGAAGCGTATCTTGGTACACATGAGGCGAACTCTTAATATAGCACGGCCAAGAGTTTGGCAGGAACCCAAATCCACTACGTGTATCTCCTTCCAAACTGCTCGACCTTGTTTCCCATAATGTAGAACCATTTCGACAGAAATCGGCCCGAATGACTTGCCCTGTTCCACCGCCAAAGCCACCAGCCGCCCCAGCTCAACCCAGTCACCATCGTCATTCCAAGGAAGCCCAGCAAAACCTTGCCTTGCTTCTGCACTGCCTTCTCGACCTCAGAGTAGCGCTCACTCCCAAAGCTCACGCGCGAGTACTGAGTCGCCCACCCTATGCTAGGCAGATAGACGTTCAGCCGTTCCTCAACATACTTCCTGAATCGGTAAACAGGCGAGCGAACGTCGCTTCGCATCTCCTGATAGTTACGAAGCGCGAGGTCGTTGATGGCTGCCGCATCCGGCGCTCGCTGCTGGGTGTACTCGTCCAATGCCTTCTCCCGCGCGGCTTTGCGCTCGGCCGGATCTACGCTGCTTGTGTTGTGCGCGTCCAGGAACTCGTAAAGCGTCCGGACGTCTTCGAGACCAGCGTTCATGCCCTGGCCGTAGAAAGGAACCATAGCGTGGGCGGCGTCGCCGACAATAACGACACTGGCCTTGAAGTGATACGGCTTGCACTTGATAGAGATGAGCGGGAGGTGCGGGTTTTCTGAGTACTGCCTCGTTACGTCTTGCTCCGAGATGAGGTTGGGTATTACGCCAGGGAAGTTTTCTTTGAAGAAGGTTATAACGGCTGAGCCATTGGTATCCAGCTCCATGAACTTGGGCTCCGGAAGAAACAGAGTTGAAGTGAAAGTCTTGTCCAGGCTTGGGATGGCGATAAACATGAAGTCTCCACCAGGCCAAATGTGCAGATGATTCGGAGACATCTTGAAATCGCCTGCTTCGTTTGGACCGATGTGGAACTCACACCACAACGTATCAATATATTCCTGGGAATATGACATTCGGGCGAACTTCATGAGGTGATACCGCACAGCTGAGTGGGCACCGTCGGCGCCGATCATGAAATCGAACGAGACTTCGATCTCATCTGCGCGCCCACTTTCCGCCCCTTGAGTAGGGTTTTGCGCGTGGTCAGTTCTGGGGGAGTCCCGGCGCTCGAACCAGGCCCTGTTGCGCTTGAAATCTGCGCCGGTGAGTTTGTGGTTGAAAAAGAATTTGACATTGGGCATTTTCTCCAGCTCATCTAGCAGACGCTTGTTGAGGCCCGCCCTGTCAACGGCACGAATGAACTAATCTCGTTAGTCTAACATCGGGGACCACTGGCGTATGAAAGAGACTTACTCGTCCGTGGATATCATAGGACTGAGACTCCTCGTAAACCTCGCCTGACTTTTGGCCATGAATCATCCGGCCATGCATAGGAATCGTCTCGTCGAGGACGGCTTCCAATAAACCTGGGCAGTTGGCTCTCTTCATGGAGTTGATTCCGCGTTCAGAGAGAGCCAAGTTGATTGATTTGGTGAAGTTCAATGGGGTGGTTGAAGGATCTCGAAGATCTAGATGATGGATTAACAACTCTAATGCGTATGCGAAGGTTGTTTAAAGGTGTCTTGGAGCCTCCTGGTTCTAATGCCAGAGAAATAAATATGACTGTAGCGACTGTACACTGAGGAGATGTCTCATTAAATGACGGATGAGAAATTACTCACCCCCTCGAAGCTCGTATATCTCAACATTGTCACCTCTTCCTGCAGCGTACAGAGCAGCTAGGGCTCCGACAGGTCCGGCTCCGACGACCACGGTCTTCTGCTTTGTGCTCTCTGCCATAGCCTTGAAGCCTCTATCCCAGGACTGTTGTTCTCTTGATACATTGTGAAGACCCTAGTTTGGACCAGAACGATGACTCTCACACTTGATCCCGTTCAAGGACAAGCTTTCTGAGCGCCCGAGCGTCCCGTTAGGGATTTTCGGCTAACAAGCCGCGCTGATCTGCCAGACGCCGAAACGGCTCGCGGTTCTACAACCTTTGTCCATGTGCTTCCCTCGAAAGCTTTTCGCCACAAGTTCCACAGTGTCACCTTGCAGTCTGGCTACATGCCAATATAGCGCGCTTTTCGCCCCACTCTCTGATCGAGTCTATATCCACACGTCTATAGACAACACTCAGCTTCACTAGAGACCACAACGGACGCTCCCACATCCTTTTACAAGCGCGCTATACACAATGACGGTCGATGATTCGAGTCCGCGGAAGTGTCTGGGGAAGGACTGTCCAAACGATGCCGGTTCGTTGCAATGTCCAACCTGCCAGAAAATGGGAAGAGAGAGCTACTTCTGCTCTCAAGACTGCTTCAAGAGGAACTGGGTACATAGTAAGATCCAGCGACGAGCGAGGAGACTCAGTTGCTGATAGCTCTGTCAGAGTGAGCACAAAGCGGTGCACAAATCACAGAGTAATCCTCTCCGCAATCTCTTTCCCCCAAAGGTCGTCTCTGAACCCGATCCAGCTACCGGCCTCTTCAACCCTTTCCCAACCTTTCCTTACACTGGCCCCGTACGACCCGTCTACCCGTTGTCGGCGAAGCGACAAGTACCAAGCAACATACAACTTCCGGACTATGCGAAGGATGGCATACCGCATTCCGAACAAGTCTTCCTTGGGAGGAACAAAATCAAGGTCCTCAACAAGGAGGAGCAAGATGGCATGCGAAAGGTTTGCAGGTTAGCGCGAGAGGTCTTGGACATTGCAGCGAGCGAGGCGCGGCCTGGTGTCACGACTGATCACATTGATGAAGTGGTGCACAAGGCCTGTATGGAACGAGATGTAAGTATAGGGTGCGCGGATTGCTTTGCAACCAGACGTGCTGAGTCTCGACAGTCGTACCCTTCGCCGCTCAACTACTGCCACTTCCCCAAGTCCGTCTGCACATCAGTGAACGAGGTCATTTGTCACGGTATTCCAGACAAGCGTGTCCTACAGGACGGAGATATCCTGAACATCGACGTAACCCTATATCATGGCGGCTTCCACGGCGATCTCAACGAGACATACTACATCGGCGACAAGGCGCTAGCTGATCCGGATTCGGTACGAGTAGTCGAGTGCGCCAGAGACTGTCTCGACGAGGCGATCAAGATCGTCCAGCCAGGCATGCTCTTCAGAGACCCGGGCAACGTCATAGAAAAGCATGCAAAGAGCCAAAAGTGCGGCGTTGTCCGGACTTACTGTGGGCACGGCATCAACCAGCTATTCCATTGTGCGCCGAACGTTCCGCACTATGCGAAGAACAAGACAGTCGGCGAGGCGAAGCCGGGGATGTGCTTTACCATCGAGCCCATGATTACGCTGGGCACATACAGAGACAAGACCTGGCCGGATGACTGGACAAGTGTCACGCAAGACGGGTCGCGGACTGCGCAGTTCGGTGAGTGAACCGATCCTCCCAGCCTTGGCCCTTAGTCTGCATACTAATTCGGATGACAGAGCATACTTTGCTGGTGACCGAAGACGGGGTTGAAGTCTTGACAGCGCGGTTGGCAGATTCTCCCGGCGGCAAGGTACCTATGCCTGGTGTGAATGGGTCTGGAACATCTGCTCCCACGACGCATCCAACAGCGAACGGCACTGACTAAGCGGTTCCTGGTGTTTCTTCTCTTGCCGGTAAACAGGAGTCTGGACGGTTGGCGCACGTGTTTTGTTCCGATGTGTCCCAAGGTTCTCTGTGGGATGGACGGCGGCTCCTGGGCACGCGGGATATTCGGGAAGCCTCTTGGTTTTATCAATTTGCAATCGCACGATATCATGAGGCTTCGTCTCAGGATATGACCCAGCAATTCCGTACATCTTTTTACTAATGACTTGTTCATATCGTGATTGTTGAGGTCTGATGAGAGCCCTTGCGGGGTGTTGACCAACCACAGAGAAAAACTAGGCGAGACTGCGGCGGGCACTTCCTGCGTCATCCCAAAACACTCCACCCTGCCGCGAAGCCTGTAGAGCTTGTGCACCTTGATTCTATCTTATGATAACTTGGCATCCTGTTCACCCCAGCAGCCTCCAGTATCCTTACCGTCGAACGAAGTCCGCCCAAAAGTGACCTACAGCAGCCGGACGCTTACCTTTCGCATCTGAGCCGCTACGACCGCCGATAGCACGCAAACTGTCAACTTGAGCTTGACGTGACGCTGCACGAGACACACGTCTTACCAACATCCAACGGTCGATTCCCATAATAAACTCCAAGTCCTATCTATTCACGATACCGAGCTTGCGCCCGCGTAGTGTACGCCCAAGATGTCGGGAGAAGCATGGCTATACCTGCTGGCGGTGCTGATAAACGCTGTAAACCTATTCCTCCAGGTCTTCTTCACCATAATGTACAGCGATCTGGAATGGTAAGTTGTACTGTCCTCGCCTTCAGTCAAGTCCTTCACCACATGGACTGTCCTCTGGGCGCAGTTGCTCGCGTGCCGCCTCCACCGATCACAGCGGAAAGCGCATTACTTTTTCCTATATCATGGGATATCGACTAACATCATGCCCCAAAAAGTGATTACATCAACCCCATCGACCTCTGCAACCGCCTCAACACCTACATCATCCCCGAAGCCGCCGTACATGGATTCTTGACCATCCTCTTCCTGATCAACGGATACTGGGTTGCTTTCATACTGAACGTACCACTGTTGGCATGGAACGCGAAAAAGTTAGTGCACGGAATAGTGGCAGCCCGGCCTGGTACAACAGCGCAAGTATGGGAATCTGACGAGCCGGCAGGATCATGGAGAACCAGCACCTGCTGGACGCGACCGAGATTTTCAGGAAGCTCAACGTGCACAAGAAGGTAGCGGCGCCAACATCTGTCATATTGAATATTATATTCTTACTTCGTGCGTATCAGGAATCATTCATCAAGCTGGGCTTTCACCTAGTCATGTTCTTCTTCTATCTCTACAGGTACGTTCCGTTCCTCCGCCCCCGCAGACTGGCTTTATCTGACAACTCGTACCTACAGCATGATTGTTGCTCTTATCCGCGATGAGTCGCACTGACTGCGGAGCGAGGTGGGAAGAAGCATGCATCAAGCAGCACGGCTGCGTTGAGCGGCTCATGCGCAGATCAGGCTATTGTCAAAGTTGGGTCTTACATGCGCAGAAGGAGCTTCCCTTATCGAGGGGGGCCATGGTATAGGGACAGACGAGGTGTTGGGACACGGTGCGAGGGGTTCGAAGTAGAAAGGCGATGGGGGTGAGCAGGGCTGGAGTAGAGCGCATGGAGTCAAGGAGTAGCGGCAGCCGGTATTCATCTGCAATGATACCGTATTATTTGTACATTGGAGGCGGCGGAGCACGTTAATGCTGTCATTCCGGGTTATCCATCATGCTTCCTGGGTGCCTCCAGATTGACAGGAGGGAGCTGGGAGTGAGCACCGTAGGTGGCTTGCTCGAACTCTTTGCATGTGACTGCTTACTCATCTAGCGCTTTGCTCCGAGATCCTCCCGAAAACACCACAAGTCGCATCGCCAAATGCTTGGCAATCACCATTGAATTACAGCCTGAGTTCAAGCGCAACGTCATTCGCGTCAGGAGTACGAACCCGAAGCGCACGCCGGCCTTGGAAGCTCCAACCGCACAATCTTACCAGCAATGACGACCTCGACCACAGGTAAAGTGCCCACGGGCTACGCCGAAGAAATAGTACTCAGCGAGTCCACCTTCAGGTCCGCCCACCGCGCCATCGAGTCCGCCTCCGAGCCACCCAGCAAGAAGCGGAAAAGAGAGGAGCGCGGCGATGCCAGCATACTGTACGGCAAGGGTGCTTATAAAGGGCCATGGGCGCGATATGAAGAGGAGCAACCAGAGGCGAGCTCAGGCTCGGAAGAGGAGGTGGAGTACGAAGAGGACGAAATAGCGCCGCAACCGCTACCAGCGCCAACGAAGGCGGGCACAGATTACGCGGAAACAGGAGATGGGAAGGAGACCACCCAGTTCCACGGATCACAGCAGTACGACTATCAAGGGCGGACCTACATGCACGTACCGCAAGACCTAGGCATCTCACTAAAAGGCGACATCGATGTAAAGAACTACTACTCGAAGAAGCTGATCCACACCTGGAAAGCGCACAGCAAAGCCATCAACCAGCTGCGCTTCTTCCCCGACTCCGGCCACCTGCTCCTCTCCGCCTCCGCAGACTCCAAAGTCTCCCTCTTCGACGTCTACCACCAGCGCGAGCTGCTGCGCACCTACTCCGGGCACACGAAGAGTGTAAACGACATATCCTTCAACTATGACGGCCGCTCCTTCCTCACCGCCTCCTACGACAAATCCATGAAGCTCTGGGACACCGAGACCGGAGCCTGCATCTCACGCTTCAGCACCAAAGCCACGCCCCACGTAATCCGCTTCAACCCCTCCGAATCCCACAACCACGAGTTCCTCGCCGGCCTCTCCGACAAGCGCATCGTGCAGTTCGATACGCGCTCCGGCGAGCTGGTCCAAGAATACGACCACCACCTAGGCCCGGTGAACACGATAACCTTCTGCGACGAGAACCGGCGGTTCATCACCACGAGCGACGACAAGTCCCTGCGGGCCTGGGAATACAACATCCCCGTGCCCATCAAATTCATCGCCGAGCCGCACATGTACCCCATGGTGCGCGCGGCCCCGCATCCCTCGGGGAAATACGTCGCCTTCCAAAGCTCCGACAACCAGATCGTCGTCTACCAATCGACGGACCGCTTCCGACAGAATCGGAAGAAGGGCTTCAGGGGCCACAATAATGCGGGCTATGCGATTGATGTGAGTATTAGCCCTGATGGCGGACTGATCGCGAGTGGGGACACGGGCGGGTTCCTGTGCTTCTGGGACTGGAAGAGCTGTAAGATGGTGCATAAGATCTCGACGGGGGAGGCGCCGGTCTTGGCCGCGCAGTGGCATCCCAGGGAGACGAGTAAGGTCGCGACGGGGGATTTGAATGGAGTGGTTAAGTACTGGGATTAAGCTTTTTGGCCGAGGGAGTTGCGGAGGCCGTATGGTGTGCATGGACGGAAGGGGGCGTGGTTGGGGATGGCTGTGAGTTTGGGGAGCGCTGGAGTTGTTTGTTGTCCTACCGTCCTATATTAGCCGCCTTTAGCGCTATTGCGAGATTCGGCGCGCAGTGGATACTCGATAAGCAATTTTCCGCTATGCTGGCGTCTGCTGGGTATCGTCGTTGAGTACGGTCTTCGTTGCAATTCGCAGCTGCTTGTGAGAGGGAGCAATAGGTAGTGAGATTTATATGTGACCAATAGGAAATGCCATTTCAACCCTGGTACACATCGGTTCACGATTTTCCTATCATAATCTGCTAGAGGGCTCAATACAAGTGTGCCATCGGATGGTGTTTCTAAACCTAGTTGAAATTGGTATAGCTAACAGACTGACCCCTCGCTGAGCCCTAATTCTTCCCGAATCCGTCGAACAAATATGAATACAGCCCCTCTTCCCTGCCAAACAAATGACAGGAAGAGTTGCAAGGAAACAGTTGAAACCCCCTCCAACAGGACCCAAGAAACTAGCAGCTGCCCGATACCAAGATATTACAATCCCTCTCCCCCTGGTTTCGTCTCTTCCAACGGAAACAACAACACAGTGCAATCTTGACCAAGGTAGCCTCCCTCCACACACCTCTACTCCTCAATCCCAATTCCACTATCCCTCACCTGACTAACCACCTTCCTCCCCCCCTTCCCCTTCTTCGCCGGCTTCGCCGCCACCTTCACATTCACCTCCTCCGCAGCCACATTCGCCGCCTGCGCAACAGCAACATCCGCCGCCCTCACGATCTCCAGCTCCTTGACGCTCAGACTCCCAAACTCACTCGCCCTCACCTCGGCGCGCTGCGCCGCGTCCCTGATCTCGCGGTTGTTCTGCGCAACCGTCGTCTCGGCGAGGTCGACGTAGCGCTCGAAGCGCGCCTTCAGGTCTGCGAGGGCTGAGGAAGCGGCCAGGAGGTCTGCGGCGCGGAGTGAGGCTTCGGCCTCCAGGTCCGCGATGCGCTCGTCGCGGTTGGCGAGCCGGAGGTTGAGGTCGGCTGTGGTGTCCTGTGCTGTTTGGGTTAGGAGTGTGATGGTCGTGTTTCGCTCCAGGAGGGTGGCGTTGAGGGCTGCGAGGGCGTCGGCGTGCGCGTTTTGAAGGGCGACGACTTGTTCCGCCTCTTCCTGGACGCGCTGCCCGAGGCTGCGCTTGTCGGCTTCGAGGTCCGAGATCCTGGCGTTGGCGGAGTTGAGGCCCTGCTGCAGGTACGCAATCTGCGTGTCGCGCTGCTCGGTCTCCATGCCGTACATCTGAGCCGCCTCGACGGCCTCGTTCTCCAGCTCGAGAATTCGGGCGGCGCGGTCGCCGAGGGTTTGGCCTAGAGTTGTGATGTCTTTATGCAGGCTCTCGACCTCGGCGATCTTCTGCTCGACGAATGCTTCGTGCTTCTCGTTCGTGTCGCGCAGCGTCTGCGTCAGGGCATGCACGTCGCCGTCACGCGCGGCGAGGAGGCGGTCGCGCTCTTCAATTGCCGTCTGCATTGCAATCTCCGTGTCTTGGAGTTGTTGCTCTAGGTCTGCGATGGTTGTGTCGCGCTCCAACACAACACTTTCGGCGGCTGCTCGTGCAGCCATCTCCGCGGCCATGTTCTGCGCGTGCAACTCCTCCGTCGCGGCCAACGTGTTGTTGAGCTGCGCAATAGTCTGCTCTTTTTGCTGCTGAACCTCGAACAGCTTCTGGCGTAACTCGTTGGCCTCTACGCCTGCCCTCCGGACACTCTCCTCAAGCATCTCAATGGTGTTGGCGCGCTCATCGAGCTCCGCCTCCGCGGCCTCTCGCTGGCGGCGTTCGGATTCGGTGAGCGCACGGAGGGACTCGAGCTCGGCACGGAGCGTTTCTAGCGAAGTTTCAGCGGTCAAGATTTTGCTCTCGAGGGAATTGATGAAGGCAGCGTTGTTGTCAAGTTCGGCTTCTGCGGCTTCGCGTTGGATCCTTTCGGCGGAGGCGAGTTGGTCGACGGCTGCGAGCTCATTGCGCAGCTTCTCGAGGGCGGTCTCTGTAGACTCTACCTTGAGTTCAAGCTTGGTAATTTGGACGGTCTTCTTGTCCGATTCTTCTTCCGCAACGGCTCGATGTGCCTGCTCGAGGGCGACCTTCCGTTCGAGCTCATCAATTGCGTCCGCATGCCTCTTTTCCAGCACAAGGATAGCGGCTGCGTGCTCACGCTCCAGACGAGTGACCAGCTCCTCCAGCCTCGCAACTTCGTCGCGATAGCTTTGGAGGCTTTGCTGTAGCTTGCTAATCGACTGGCTCTGAGTATCGATCTCAGAACCCATATTCTCGATCATGGCGTCTTTCTCAGCAAGTTCGGCGTTGCGCTGCTCAAGCAGATCGTTTGCGCTGTCAAGCTCTTCCTCGACATCAACGATGGTCTTGGAGCGGCGCTCCGCCTCGGTATCCAGCTCGTGCCATTGCGTCTCGAGGTTCTTCATGCGCTGGTCGGTGTGTGCGAGCTTGTCGAGGACGCCGTTGTACTGGCGGCGGAGGACCGCGCAGAGTTCCTGTTGCTCAGTAACGGTCGTTGTCTTTTCGTCCAATTCAATGAGAGTGGCTCGAAGCTCTTCAACAAGTGCTGCTAGAAAAGGGCCATTCTCGAGCTGGTTAAGCTCTGCACTCGGGAGCAGAAGTTCGACTTCGAGCCGGGCGTGTTGAAATGCGCCTCGTACCGATGAGAGGATAGCCTCCGTTCCCGCCTCTGGTGGGGCAAACCCAAGGCTTTGCAGCTCAACGACGAGGATTTGCAGGGCAGCTCGCGCATCGGATGCTTCGCGAGTGAGCTTTACAATAGCGTTCTCGAAATTGTGGATCTCGGCTTCGTGGGTGGGGTCAGGAATTGACGTTTGTGTGGACGGCTCGTCGTGCTTGCCATTGCTGAGAGACCTGCGAGAGTGACCGTTGACGGTCTTTGTCGTAGTGGTATCGATAGATAGCATTTCCTGAGAGAGGGGGATGTCCGCTGGATCGACAAGGACGAGATCATCATCCTCGTCGGACACTTCATCGCCCATGAGTACATCCCCATTAGTGTCCTGACTGCTGAGATACTCGCTATGTGCTTCACGCTCGAGAATCTCTCTTCGGAGCGCAGCGATCTCGTCCTGCATTGTCTTGACCTTCTCGTCATCCTCCACTTCCCCAACGTCGATGGCCATTTGGCGCTGGCTCTCGAGCTCATACTCGAGCTGTTTGACGCGCTCGTCGCGCTCATGCATCTCACGACGTAGCCTCTCCAACTCTTGCCTGACCTTAGCATCGTCGCGCTTGTGCTCTTCGATGGTGTTTACCTCTTCGCTAAGGTGACTACGGCGCAGTCTCCGCTTGACACGGTCGTCCAGGATTTGGGTTAGTGGCGAGTATTGGATCTCTTCGATGGTCGGAAGATTCTTCGACGAGTTTGCGAGAGTGGCCGGCAGCGAGTGCCGAGCTTTCCGAGACTTTGTCGGCTGCAGCTCGTGGGAGGACGAGGCAGGTGCTGTCAAAACAGCCGTTTCGTTTATTTCAATCTCAACGATCGGCGGGCCGGGATCAGAGAAGCGGACCTTGCGACGGCCACCCTCTGGCTGAGACTCGGGGATGATAACAGCGATGGTGTCCTGATCATCGAGCTGAGGTTGGCTGGCTGGCTGACCTGGGTCTTGGGTGGATTGATGAGTTTCGTGGGTCTCTTCAACTATGGTGGTGGTCTTCCTGACGCGTTTCTTCTTGCGCGGCTGTGAGTCTTCGGCAGTCGGAGGGGGTGAGGAAGATGGTGCGTCTTCGGCGGCTTGGCCCAGGTCGTCTATCGACTGCGTACTGCCCCTGCGCTTTCGCCGGACGCCTCGAGGTGCAGCTGGTGCAGCTCCGTCGAGCTGGTCTTGGGCTCTCGTACGCATGGTGGGCTTCTGACGGGACTAAAGTGGATGGAAGGTGTTTGCAGCAAGCAATGCTGGTTTGTACAAGAGAAGTGGGTTGAGCACAAGAAAACACAGTGATGTGAGCAAGGGACGTTGCACAGCGGTGTTGTCGTCTGTTTTGTGCGGAGGAGAGGCTGGGCGGTTTGGGAGAAAATCGTCATAAACGCCAGCCACTGGCACTCGCTCGTGAAGCGAACTCCTGTTCGCTGGTGAAACAGCGGTGACGTAGGGCACGCGCTCCTCTTCACAAGACGCGTCCAACAGAGCAGAGCAACCACGTTCAATGGGTGTTCTGGCTGTTCTGATCGCAGCCAATTCACGTGGCAGCGCGTCGCACCTGGGCAGCGAATGTTACCTTCCTCGCCGCGGCCGGTGAGGCTCTCAACGGGCAGCCTAGATCTGCCTGCATAGACCGACGCGTCCACGTGATGCCGGACGGATAATCGACAGCCCCGCCGATATCGCAGCCTCCAATCCCGCGGTTCACGATGGAATCACTACTGTCGAACACCTTATGTTTGCTAGGTTACGTGCTTAAGAGTGCAAGACCAGCTTCCTCGATGCTAGTCGATGAAGGACTGCTGTCTCGTTTCTCCGGGAGAGCGTGCCTGACTGCAACATCGTAGACAGCTGTCAAGTAACGTCGCCACCAACCACAAGAGACACTAAAGGTGTACTGTCACGAATTGTTGACGCCCATAGGCTGAAGTTTGTACGCCGCAGACGACTCGAGGGCTAGGGTACAATACCTCAGCTAGCCGTGCCGCATACTCCCGTAACTCGCCATCTTCCTCCACCCCATCATCGCCCATTGCCTGGCCCATACCTCCGCCGCAGCTGGTCACCTCCCACCACCGGGCCTCAGCTCATGCCAGTATCGCCTGCATATCGTCGCTCTGGAAGGGCCACTGACAATGGACACCCTCCGCAGCTCTCACCTTCTCGTCCTTCCCGCCGAGCTCATCAACCACATCCTGAGCTTCCTCCGGCCCATTGACCTCGCAACCACCTCACAAACCTGCCGACTTCTTCGCGACCATGCCTGCGACGACGCCCTTTGGCACCCCTTCGTTCAGTCTTCCGTCCCCGGCCAAGTCTTGCCACGCCCCTCGTCGTCCTCCTGCCCATCATGGAGCACCTCCCCCTCCTACCGCGCCATCTACGCCTCCCACCACCCCCACTGGTTCTTACCCCAGAACAAGCTCTGGTTCGCCGACACCGCACACACCGGCAAGCTGCTCATATCCCGCTATGACCCACGCACAAACACCATCGCGGCCTACGCCCTGGTAGCCGAGCGTGGCGGGCATGAGTTCGAGCTATGGGAGCATAACAACGACGTCATCATTCACACCTTCGCCCCCAAAGTCCAGCTCGACCTTAACCAGCCTGTACTCAAGCTCTCTCCGCATGCCTGGGCCCGCGCGGACAGCGAGAGCTGGCAGGGCAAGGGGATGCGGTACCAGCGGGAGATCCGGATGGACTGCCACGGCGGCAGCCCCGCGCACCAGGGCATCCACAGCACCTTCATCCTGGCGCGAGCGCTTCCGGCCGACCAGATACGCCCGACGACACAAGTCTGGCCGCCTCCGCTGATCCCGGCCGCCGAGCGCGTGCGCAATGAGAGCCACGACCGCCAGTACCGCTCGACGAGCCACCGGCCCACCAGCCTCTCCGAAGTCTCGACCTTGACATTCCGCCTGCGCCGCTGGATGGAGTTCTCCGCCCACGCCAATAATGCCGCCCTCGCTATACCGCCCGCGCATTACGACGCTTTCGCGGCACACCCCGGCATCGGCGCGGCCCTCAACGGCCTCGCGACACTCATCGCCAGACACGCGGGCGGCATGCCTTTACGCATGGGCGAGGACGTCGCCACGTACGCCACCCTTCCGCCTGAGCTGTACACACCCAGCAAGACGAAGCCGTACCAGGGCATCTGGGTCGGAGACTACTCCGGCCACGGCTGCGAGTTTCTCCTCATCGCGCAGCCGGACCGGCCGGGCCCACTGCCGTACAAGGCTGAGACGACGCTGAGGAGGATTAGGGACAGAGGAGGCAGCATGAGCAGCCAGGACAGTTGGGAGAGTGTCGGGGCGGGGAGTGCGTCCTCGTCTGCAGTGGCAGAGGAAGAAGACGAGGGCGAGGCGACGAGCGATGACGAGGACAACGGGGCTCAAGGGGGGCCGGTCGGACCTGGCTTCAGCGCTCCCAAGGCAAGGGAGGAGAAGCCCAGGAAAGAGGAGGAGTGTAAGGGGAGGCTGGAGGCGATCAAGTTGACTGGTGATCCGAACATCCCGAGGGGCGAGTACACCTTCATCGTGCCCGAAATCGGCGACGCGGGCCTGCTTAGGGTTGCAAGAGAAGCGACGTTCAGGGGCGCGAGGATCGTCAGGAGTGTTGGTCACGTGGCGGATCACGGGTTCAGGGATGGTGAGTCTCTTGTTGTTCCTCTTACTTGGTGCGCATATGCTTCCTTTAACTTTCGCAATTGTGCGCTCTCAACCAATAAATGTCGTGCACCCAGAATTTTTTGACAACCTCGCTGACAACAATATCGCGTTTACAGACGAGTTCATCCCCAGCCAGCTCGTCCTGATAAGCCACGACAGGCTAGCGCAGTACTGGGAGAATTTTGGCCACGTCAGCTTTTACGAACGTGTCGACATTGACAAGTTCCTCGCTGTCGAGTGACGGCTTCCGGTTTCAGTTTTATTTACCAACAACCCATCACTCCTGCAGGCCTCATGTGTATCATCGATAGAGCATCCGATACAACCTCACCATCAACTTGAGCAACAAGGTGCTGAAGCGGAAAGCGTAAGGAGTAGACACACCTGAAAGCATCACCATCGATACAGACACTCCCGACATTTCATCCGTCGAGCTGTCTTCCACTTCTCACTCGGCAGAGACCCACAGCAAGCGCCGTAAAGCTGACGATCGCTTGTCAATGGCTGAATTTTGCGACTTCATCCGCCTTTGCTTCAAAGGCGATCATGCTAATTGACTTTTGTGGGCTGAGCCCGAGAAGGGCTGTATCATCTTCGAGAGCTTCCTCTGCCTTGTATCTTGGAAGAGAGCTGAGGATCTCCTCACCGGCGTCCCAGAGCCACAGTCTTGAGTGTCGTCAATTCGCGAATCCAAATTGAGCTGGCAAGACCTGATTGCTTGTGGAAGCAGCGCGGAGACTCTGCGGGATCAGGAGCTGGGATGGTTTCGGCTGCTTGACTGGATATAGGGAGTGTGGCACGTGAGGCGTCGCGTGCACTTTGTGTTCAGTATCTGCTAGAGCTGGAGCGGAAGGCCTGTCTGAGGCAATTTTTCAAGGGGTTGTCTTGATCCTCCTATCATATCATTCAATCGTCTCGACACCTTTACCGTGAATGAACCTGACCAAAACGAAAAACCATCCATCATATCTCCTTATCTCGCATGAGACTCTCCACAAAAACTCCGTCTAATGCTCAAGCTAGATCCTTCTACCTCTAGCCAGTCCCTATGTCTGTCTATTCGTATCGCAGCATCCGAACGCCGCCAGCGCCACGCCTATACCTCCTCCGATGCCCTCGCTCAGCGGCCCCAAGAATCTCACTCAATCAACCCCCTCATCCACAAAACCATCAACCGCACCCTTGCTCTCTTTGCTCGCTCCGCTCGTTTCTTTCGTCTTGCTCTCCTGACCTTCTTCACCGCCCTCGGCCTCATCCACCTGCTCAGCAGGCACAAGAGTAAACACAATAACAAACAGCGGCGTGTTGGTCGCGCGGTTCTTGAGCACGTATCTGAGTGAGTGGGCGCTGTGGTCAGCGCGTGCGGCGGCTTGGGTTAGTTTCGCGCAAATGCAGCAGATGAGCATGGATTTGTGATTTTGAGAGTCGAAGGGGAGAAGCAAGAGAGGAGAGAGATTGAGGAGCGTAGTTGGAAGAAAGGGGCGAGAAGAAAAGGGGGGGGATTTACCGAAGCGGTTGCCCATCCCAATATCGAACGATCGGCAGCGTGAAGCCTGGGAGCTTGAGTGCGAACTCTGTCCCTCTATCAGCACGTCCCGGAATAGCACCCATAACAATCAAAAGGCACTCTCAGGGGAGGAGCAAACCAACCATTGAAATCTAGATACGGATTGAAGAAATCGCACAAATACGCCCTCCCCTCTTCGAACTGAAATTCCTTCCTCTTCGGCTCCTGCAGAAAATGCTTCTTCCGCGCCGCCGCATCCGCAGGCACCTGCGCCGCCTCCCTCGCAGCCTGCCCATCGCCTTCTGCGCCCTCCTCTAGCACCACGACGCCGGAGTCTGGGACCTCCTCGCCTGCGGCCGCCGTTTCTGCCTCTAGGGCTTCCTGCGTCTTTTTGCCCCCTCCCTCGCCCTTGTCCTCGCCTTCGCCCTCGCCCTCTTTCTCCGTCTTTCCCGCTATCGAGTTTCCTACTCTTAATACGTTGATACTGCTCAGCAGCGGCCCATACAGATACGGCTCCTCGGCGTACACATCCCCATCGAGCCCGGGATCAATCATCCACTTGACGATGCGGAACGCAGTGTTGAAGCCCGGGGGGAGGCGATCCCGGATCGGATGGTCGAAGTCGTTGCCGAAGACGACATCGTTGCCGTTCAGCGTCTGCTTCAGCGCGAAGGTGAAGGCGATGCTGTAGCGGTCGTGGATGTGGGTGGCGTGGGTGAAGTAGGGGGATGTGGAGAGGGAACCTTTCGGAAGTCCTATAGGGTGTGTCAGGAAACTATTTCTTGGGCTTGAGAGAGGAGAGAAGGTTAAGATACCCCGGTAGTCCTGTATGCGCACGTTGATGCTGGCGTCGATATGCTCGGAGGAGATCTTGAGGGGCGTAGGGTCGTTGACGTGGACGGGGTGGTGGGTGCTGGGGTCGTAGTTGGGGCCCGCGGTCACTTTGAGCATGTATTTGGTGTGTTCGGCCATTGTTGATGCTTGATGTGGTATCGATGTGATGGAGGCGGGTCGCGGTTTGTTGCAGAAGCTGTTGAGGCTGTTCGCGTTCCGGTAGTAGGTCGTTGAGCGCTTCTGGTCGATTTGCAAAGCAAGCGCTTCGGTTTACTCTATCCGTTTTAGAAGGCGCCCAGGTGGTATTCTGGGGTCCCTCGCTGTGCTGGATCTTCGAGATCCTGCACTCGAGATCTCTCCCTCATGACGTCTGCGGGGCACGTCAATCACACGTCGCGCAACAGAGCAACACGCCCCTGGCAGGTTTACAGGAGCTTGCTCTATATTCTCTATGCTCACATTACAGCAGACCCTTGCATGTCTATTCTACAGCCGCTTGATAATATCCTCTACTACCTCGTCGGTCTTAGCGTTACCACCCAAGTCCGGCGACAGTAATTTTCCCTCCTCTAGATTGGCGTCCACAGCGGAGTAGATTTTCGCGGCCGCCTTTTCCTCTCCCATAAACTCCAGCATCAAGCCCACGCTCCGAATCGTTGCAATTGGATTTGCGATCCCCTTACCCTCGATATCTGGCGCAGAACCATGGCACGGCTCCCCTATCGCGAAGTTCTTCCCCACATTCGCGCTCGGCACCAACCCCAAGCTCCCCACTAACGCAGCGGCCGCATCGCTGAGAAGGTCTCCGTAGAGATTCGGCGCGACAACGACATCGTAGTGGCTGGGCTTCAGATACAGCTTGTAGAACATGCTGTCCACAATCTGCTCCTCCACATTGAGAGACTGATATTTCTCCTCACCGAGCGCCGTTCTTGCGCTCTCGCGGAACAGCCCATCCGTCTGGCTGAGCACATTGCTCTTATGCGTGATAGTAACCAGCGGCTGCTTGTGTATGCTATCCCCACCAGCATCCCTAACCCGCTGCCGTCGAAGCGCGATGTCGCCGGCCATGCGCGCGATGTTCAGGCTGGCGTACTCGGTTATCTCTTTGATGGCGCGCGCGGTCTTGCCTTTAGGGCCCATGAAGGTCTCTTCCTGCTTCACGTAGAGGTCTTCAGTATTTTCGCGGACGATGACAAGGTCGACGGGGGAGTGGGCGCCTGCGACCGTTTTGACGGGGCGGACGTTGGCGTAGAGGTCGAGGCGTTTGCGGAGGGCGACGATGGGGGAGGAGTAGCCTTTGGGGATGTTCTTGGTTGGGGAACTGGGTAATCGTTGTTCAGCCGTGACCCGTCCTGCAGCTGCGCAACTAGTATTGTGTGTTATACCTGACTGCGCCGAATAGCGCGCCATCGCACTCCTTCTTGAGTATTTCCACTGTCTTGTCCGGCAACGCTACACCCGTCTCCTGGAAGGTTCCGAACCCTGCATCGAGGTTCACGAAGGAGAAATTAAGCTTAAAGGAGCTGGGAAGAGCTTCGAGGATGCGGCGGCCGGCGGGTATGACCTCGCGGCCAATGCCGTCGCCCGGTATCAGACCTGCCAATGGATCAGTTTGAGCTTGATTAAGCATTCTGAGGAGTGGTGTACCTATCCGTAGTGTTCGTGCTGCCATTGTTGTGTGACTGAAACTTGGAGTTGTGATATTGTATTCTTCAAAGTTACGGATAATTATTTACCAGGGTCTGATGCCGCAGCCGAGATTGGAGAAGCGAAAGACACCCATCCACCTCGCCCGAGAGACGCGAACATCAAGCTTCACGATCTTTACAGCAGATCTTGAATCTTTATGGTAAGTGACGCTCGTTTAAGGGTAAGTTCTAATACTCCGGGATTCATTCAAGAATGCTTTGCAGCGTTTCCATTCGTTTTACCCGTTACTCCCCAAGCAGGAACAGACTGTTAATACCTGATTCTTTCGAAGCCTTAACTCTTGAAGACACGGCTATAGAACTATTACCTGAGATTATTGCCTTTTCCTCTCTTCTTATATAATTCCGTCTGTAAGTGCCCTTATTTTATTGCGTCTATATATATTATAATATAGAAAGGCTTAATACTAGAACTTAATTTATTAGAGTAATATACAAGATATTATATAAGGTTAGAAGGTATAGAAAGAAAAATAAAAAGAAAACTCTATAAGTAGATTATATAACTATATTATATAACTTTAGAATAACTAAAGATCTAAATATTAAGAAATACTAAGTCTAAACTATAATAGTAGCTTTTTTTTAAGAGCTAAGTTTCTATAAGGTATTTAAGCTAGAGTTATATTTAGATTTAGTATTAGAGTTATTTTTAGACTCTATAGAAAATATAAAGTAGCTATAGACTTTAAGTTCTAACTAGTAAGTTATTATAATATAGAAAGACTTAATACTAAAACTTAATTTATTAGAGTAATATATAAGATATTATATAAGATTAGAAGATATAAAACGGAAAATAGAAAGAAAACTCTATAAGTAAATTATATAATATAGTTATATAACTCTAGAATAACTAAAGATTTAAATACTAAGAAATACTAAGTCTAAACTATAATATAAGTATAGCTAGACTTATAAGAGTAGCTTATAAAGAAATAATTAACTTTTATAAAAGCTATTAATATATAGTATAAAGTGTTATAGTTTAGACTTAGTATTTCTTAGTATTTAGATTTTTAGTTATTCTGAGTTCCAGCCCTCAACTCAATTGACCGACCCTCCTATTAGCTACTAACACTATTACCCCTACCCGCACTAACTACCCGCACCCCCTACCCGCGCCTATACTAAAACTACCTACCCTAGCGGAATAATACAATCTCCCCGCCTTCGGTCTTCTATACTACTAGGCCTATCCGTGGAAGCTTTTGTCTACTAACCCTTCCCTTCCTCTTTTTATGGCCCCTTTTAACTTAATTATGACCGCGCTAACGCGGACGCGAATATGGAGATAGACGCGTCCTATAATTAGCACGCGTTGCTAGGCTACCCTACGCGTCCTCTTCTATCTCTATATATCCCTTCCACCGCCTCTCGCCTACACCTCGATATTCTATCGACGGTACTATAGATCTATTTAACTACGTGCTAGACCTTAAGGTCCTTATCTATCGCCTGTGTCGCCGCACTATCGCTCTAAAAACTATTAAGGCTCACCTACTTAAGTATCATCGCCGCTATATAGCACTATAGCTATAGCCTACTACTACTATTAACACGCTACTAGCAACCCTCTAAGCGTAGTGTCCTCTTACTAATCCCGAGTCTACTTCCTTCTAGCTTCTAGCTCCCTTCTCCCTCCCTATCCCGGATATCCTAATCTTTAAGGATGGCTTGCTATGCTTAGAATACCACTACGTGGTACGCACTAAGGACTCTACTTAAAAGCACCTCCGCATCTAGCATATAGTAGGCTTCGGCTATAGAGGCTAGCCCCTAGCACGCGTTAAGAATGTGGTCGCTAAGCCCCTACTACGCCCCGTCTACTGTTAGCGCCTCTTTACTACTAGCCACGGTAGCGGCTACTTTGCCGTGGTATCGCCCGCCTAGCGGTAGTAGTAGGAGAACGACGAGGAGATAGATGCCCGGTATAGGCGGCGGGAGACTCGGGCAATCCCCCTAGCGGATTTAATTAAGGCCTAGGTGGACTAGGAGCTAGCGAGGGGCCTCGCCGACGCTAAGGTTAAGGATAGTATAATCTAGGAGAGCTCCGCTAGGACGGAGGTGTCTCCTTAGCTTGAGATGACCTAGTAGCCCCGCTATCTACGCAGCTATAGTATAGTGGACATCGCGTAGCTCGCCGAGGCTCCTGACCCCGCTAGTAAGCCTACCCTAGAACTTATCGGGTAGAGCCTTAGGCGGTTAGTTAAGGGGGCGCGGTAGTCGATCGCCGATAGGAGGATTAATGTCTTTAACTAGACTAAGATTAATAGCTTTTTCAATAGGCTTAGTTATGGGACTAGCCGCTGCTAATAAAGCTGCAGAAGGCTAACTACTAAAGATACACTAGTATATAGAAGCGGCTTCTATGCTTCGCCTACCAGACTACTAACTTAGCGCAGCCTATTAGGCTCTCCTACTATCTTATAATAGGCTAGCGGTCCTGCCTCGATAAGATGCTTCTAGCTGTAGAGTCACTAGACCTACTATAGCGCGTGCTATAGCGCTGCTAGCTAGAGGCTTATCCGGATAATAGCGTCGTCCTCCTAGGCGCGATAAGTAAGGAGGAGCTTAAGCGTCGCCTAGACCGGGCGACTCTCCTATTCTACATTAAGGTGCTCGACTAGAACCTTAGGGGTGATCTCTTTAAAAGCATTACCGTCGGCTTCTTTGCCACGCTCGCTATAGAGCTAAAGAAGGGCATCTTTAGGGACGCGTGTGAATATACGCCCTCTCTATCCGGATTTATTAAGATCGCCTAGATGCTCGTTATATAGCGGGCTGTTACGATAGCTAACGATAGCTATATTACCTACCTAGATAACGTCTTTAAGGAGTTATAGGGGCGCTTTCTAGTCTACGGCACTAAGTCTCCATTTAACTAGGCGCTACGGATGCGCTCTTATAGAAAGAGGATCTAGAATAATACTACGGCGCTAGGCTTTATTAACTAGTCGGACGATAAGGAGGCGCTCTTGTATAAGGAGCTAGAGCTGCGTATAGTGGACTTAAAGGACTTTGTGAGCGACTAGCTGCGGCTAGCGTAGTTGTAGCTAGAAGACCTCCTTCTTATACACTAGGACGAGTAGAGAGAGGATGTCGCGCCCTAGCTTAAGCTTAACAACCTTAAAGACAACCTATTGCGGAACGAGAAGGGGTGGAGCTTCCTAAAAGACCCCCGGAACAGCTGCGTCCTAGTGCCAGGTAGGCGCTAGCTACTAGACCGCGTCCTAGCGAACGAGTGGCTATAGGATGAGTTTATTAAACTGGACTAGGCTAGCGCTAAGGCTGTCTAGAATAAAGATACGGCTGCGGGATATATCTCTCGTATTAACGCGTTCCTTAAGCGGCTCCTACTACTTATCCACCTCACCTCTAGCTAGCCGGCTTAGGGGATAGAGATCCTAAGCCTACGATATATAAACACGGTGTAAGGCTACTATAGGAGCATCTTTATTAAGGCTGGATTAATCGGCACTATAACGACCTACTATAAGGGCTATAGTATAACGGGTTCCACTAAGATCATCCATCGCTATCTACTAAAGGAGGTTAGTGAGCTAGTCGTGTACTACCTCTAGCTTATCCTACCGTTTTAGTAGCATCTTAATATCCTCGCCCTATCTTAGAAGAAGCCCGCCTTGCCGTTCCTATAGCCCTCGCCTAAGGGAGGGTAGGGTAGCTAGGCTAGCGGCCGGTTAACAAAGGTGCTCTAGAGGGAGGCTACTAAGTACCTTAAAACCTACCTTAATATCACGACCTACCGGCACGCTACTATCGCAATCTCACGCGCCCACCTTAAGTGCAGAGGCTTTAAGAAGGACTACGGCGTGGACGAGTCGAGGGCTAATAGCTAGGCGGCCCACACTATATAGATGGCCGGCACCGTCTACGCGAGGGGGATCGAAGAGGCGCTTAGGCACGTAGAAGCTAAGAAGGCGGAGTATTAGGTGGTAAGTAGGAAGTAGCATACCTTTTTAGGGTTCCGCGCCTCTCTACCTGCTAGGAAGAGGCCGCTTAGTGAGCTAGAAAGTAGGAGGGGCTAACCGAGCGAGGGGTTGAAGCGAAGACGACAGGAGGATATAGAGATAAGTAAGGAAGAGAGGGCGGTAGTGTAGGACTAGGATAACTAGCGCGAGAGGCGCTAGAGCGGAGGTACGGAAGGGTCCTCCTATAGAAGGCTTCGTTAAAATAGCCTAAGGAGGCTACTACCACCACGGCCTCTCTACGGTAATAATCTACTCTAACGACGGCAGAAAAGGCGGGCTTTATTAACTAGGGGCCTCCTGTTAAAGGCTTCCTTAACTAACCCTATAGGGGCACTGCGGTAACGGCTAGGCGATAGTGGAGAAGAGGCTTAGTTCTACCCTACACTCTACGGCCCGTCCCGCGCTAGCGTCGCGCTAAAATGTCTTAGTACTAGGAACGCGATAACTTTATTTTCTAATGTCACCTTAAAGTTTTACTTTATATTTCACTTCACGTTTTAATCTACTAAACCGATGTTAAGATTCACATTTAATTTATAGCTAGATAGCATTTATAAGCGTAAAGCTTATATAATAGCGCTAAGCCCTATTATCCTTCTCTACCCTCTTACCTCCCTCTACTCTACACTCCACTTCTAACCCCCCGTCCAAATTGCTTGGAAGGCTCTAATAGAATACCCCTACCCTTATTAACACCCCGGCCCTATAAATTCCTACACTATATAAGCACAACCGCTTTAATGCCTCTAAAGCGAGCTAGTGCCCCTAAGGCTAACTAAGCGAGCACCCCTAAGCAGCCTAAGGCCTCGAAGCAGCCTAAGGTCCCAAAAAAGCCCAAGCCTAAGCCCACTTCTAAGTAGCCTAGTGCCGCTAAGAAGATAAAGCGAACTCTGCCCGATAATATAGACGAGGACGACTAAGACGATGAAGCTAATAATGTAAACCCGCCGAGTAAGAAGAAGGCTAAGGCT